TGCTTTTGATTTATTTTAATGATGGATGAGAAATGAACTTGCTGATATTCAAAGTCATTCCACTACATGTATACTCTGTAAATATCTTATCATTTTCCATCTTTTCCTGGTTTGTAGGCCAGGACGTCTGGAAGTGCAAATTGAGATAAGCCTTCCTGATGAAAATGGTCGTCTACAGATTCTACAAATTCATACGAACAAGATGAAGGAGAGCTCTTTTCTTGCTCCGGATGTGAACCTCCAAGAGCTTGGTATGTGCAAAAGTGACGTGCTTGCCGATACTTATTTATATGTTAATTGGTTGAGTTAAGAATTGATTGAAGACTATTCAGTTCAAATTATTACATCAGCTGAAGATGGCGATTAAAATTGTAACTTTAAAATACTTATTTTAACACTAAAATATTACATAGGCTGGTTTGAGTGTTCTAACGTGGTGAAAAGCTGTATCAGAAACAATATTAATGTTATATATGGGCGTATAAAATGTATTTAGATTTTTGTCAATTTGTTGTCCCACCTACTCCTAAACGAAGATGCCTGTAGTAGATTTGTTGTATCTCTTACAAGTTACAACCTTTGGGTAAGTGATCAAAAATGAGAAATCAGTAATGATGACAGATGCAAGAAGGATATATGTACTTATTTTACGCAGAGTTGCAAGGGTAGAAGTTAGGTTCTTTTTATCTACTTATCTTTTGCAGCATTTCATTATTTGGGATTGCTTACATAAATAGGAATGTTTGCAAGTTAATCTCATAGTTTTTGGCATGGGGAATAAAGTTTACCGATTTCTCTCTCTCTCTCTAAAGGTTCTGGTTTTACATCAAGAAGAATATTTAGTTAGGCTCATGCGGGGTAAAACCAATGTTTTAAAAGTCAAAGAACTTGAGAATGAAAATTCTTCTATTTTTTTTATTTTTATTTTCCAAATTCTTTTGTGTGAAATTGTAAATATTTTTATAATACTTTGAACTGTAAACATGTATCCACGAAGGAGATGGAGGGCTTTGCTTATATATTTCATGTTTGCAGCGGCTCGCACAAAAAACTACAGTGGTGCAGAACTTGAAGGTGTCGTTAAAAGTGCAGTATCATTTGCTTTGAATAGGCAATTAAGTTTGGATGATCTGACCAAGCCAGTGGATGAAGAGAGTATTAAAGTTACCATGGATGATTTTCTACATGCACTCCATGAAATTGTACCTGCATTTGGAGCCTCCACTGATGACCTTGAAAGATGCAGGTATGGCTTTAGTTAGTTGCTAACTAACTTACTATTGAGCTGTTGAGCAATAGGGAAATGTAATTGCTATCGGTCTAGCTTAGTTTACATCAGGTTGTTATATTAGATCAAGCTAGCAAGTAGTAATCTTGGTGACAGTAACAGAAATATTTATCTTAGTCTGTTTAAAACGAAGATCATGCTTTCTTTGAATGTCTGGCAAGATATGGAGTCTGTTAATTTTTTTTTACACTTCATTTCCTGATTCTTTTGCAACTTGTTTTACAGAATTGATGGCATGGTGGATTGTGGTGATCGACATAAGCACATTTATCAAAGAGCTATGCTACTAGTGGAGCAAGTTAAATTGAGCAAAGGAAGCCCACTTGTTACATGCCTTCTGGAAGGCCCTAGTGGCAGGTATGCATTTGTGTGTTTTTATATATTCATTTTTTAATTTTCTTTTGGTTATTTGAGCATTCTGAACTTTACCCATATTGGACAGTGGTAAATCTGCACTAGCAGCTACTGTTGGCATCGACAGTGATTTTCCCTATGTCAAGATTGTAAGCTCATATCCCATATTTTTTGTTTCATGTTGCATATTTGTATGATTTTCAAGAATTTGCAGTCTTTTCTATATCTCGCTTCCTTTAATTTCTGATACAATGTTTTCGAATTTTGCTAACTGGACAGGTTTCTGCTGAGACAATGATTGGTCTTCATGAGAGTACCAAATGTGCCCAAATTTTAAAGGTTTGTCTGTCTTCTTGGACACTTTTAAGAAAATGTAGTTTTCAGAAAAGTGCTAATTACTGGTCAGTTTAAAGATGTCGCTTTCATGTCTCAAATATTCAACTATGGCTATTCTGAACTCAGCAACATCATGGGATGATTTGCTGATTTACTAAAAAGCCTTGCATTTAATACTATCTTTTCATTTTTAATATTTGTAATTTTTTGATAGGTTTTTGAGGATGCATACAAGTCACCATTGAGCATCATTATCCTCGATGACATTGAGAGGTAATTACTGCTGATCCAAGTTTAATTTACTTCTGTTACTCATCTTGGTTTGTCCCCAAAGCCTTTACAAGCCATTTATCTGAATAAATTGTTATTTTTAAAATGCGTTGCAGGTTACTGGAGTATGTTGCTATTGGTCCAAGGTTTTCAAATGTGCTATCTCAAACACTGTTGGTCCTTCTGAAGCGCCTTCCTCCAAAGGTTTTTCATTTTCCCTAGACTTCATTGAATATCAGAGACACTGGTTTTAGAATATTTATTGGCTGACACCATATAAAGCCTTTACTTTTTGGAATCTAATATATCTCTGAAGTCTTTGGATGCCTATAATCTTTCTTTTTAACCTTTTCTCCCATCTTCAGGGAAAAAAGCTTCTGGTGTTTGGAACAACAAGTGAATTGGGCTTCCTAGATTCAATCGGTTTTTGTAATACCTTCTCTGTGACTTACAATGTTCCCACATTAAAGACAGAGGATGCAAAGCAGGTAACCATTATTTTTGTTTCCATTTTGGTTTTGTTTTGTTATTTTTACATTTGTCAGTTGTTTCAACATTGTTGTTGGTAAGTTGAATGCTCTTCATAACTTCTTAGCATTATTCTCATCACAGGTGCTAGCACAGTTGAATGTTTTTGCTGATGAAGACATTGATGCTGCGGCAGAGGCCCTAAATGATGTAAACTTGGTCTTCCCTTACCTTTGTTCGTTATTTTATTTGAATTTGAATTTGAATTTTCTACGGTTAATTTATGGTGTGGCTCGGCAAGTCTTTTTTGAACAGAAAATTATAGAAGAAAAAATACTTATAATTTTGTGAGACATTGCTCGTGACATTTTCTTTTGAAACTTAAACGTTTATCTTGTTAGATTTTTCTAGGACAAAACTTTACATGTGGCTGGACTTTGCAACCTCAACTATGTTTAATGTTTTAAGTCATTTTATCATAAATTAATTTGCAATACCATTTCTGAAACCCATTCAAACATCCAGTTCTATGTTTTTGAATGGTATTAATTGGGGGATCTTATTTTTCTCTGTCTTTTCCCTTTATTTAATCCTTTTTTAACTTTCATTCTATCCATTCAATTTCTCTCTCTAGATGCCTATCAAGAAGCTCTATATGGTAATTGAGATGGCAGCCCAGGGTGAGGAAGGAGGATCTGCCGAGGCAATCTACTCTGGAAAAGGGAAGATAAACATCCAGTTCTTTTATGATTGCCTTCAGGATATTGTTCGATATTAGTTAATATGCATTGTCTTAGGATACGAAAACCACAGAATTAACGCTTGGATTTGTTATTAATTCTTCACATTCTTAGGTGCTTTCCCCTGTTGGGACTAAATCCTTTGTTGGGTCGAGTTGTATATTGGAAAAGGTCTTGAGACCTTAAAATTCTGAGTGTAGTCTTGTATAGGTTTTTTGGTGTCAGAGTTGAGGAAACCATGATTTTGTACTGATTATCGTGTTAGCATAATCGATTTCTGTTATTGGTTCTACAGCTTGTTTTTTTCTGGCTAAGCTGCTACCATTATTGATCTAGATGCCATACCAGAAACTCTTTATGCAGGACGACAATCGATATCATTGAAATTGATACACGTTGTTACGTTTTGTTGGTGACAATGATATCGATGCATTATTGCATGATCAATCCCATCCAGCTTAGAAAAGTAAAACTTAGCCAAACAAAAAGAGATCCACACATAATTCAGTTAATTAATTGAATTATGTGTTTGGTGCTTATCATTAGGCACATAGACTCACAGAAAACTTACAGCTAATATGGAATATGACATTTAAACTTTTGGATAGGTTTCTTTCATTTGCCGCTCCGAAATAAAGTCATCGTTGTGCCAATCTAGTTGTGAAGGAGACAGACTTACATACTGAATGATGATACGTTGTGTCAGTCCGCACACGACCAAGCTGCATGTCACTAGAATAAATCAGAGTCCCACATCACTTGGCCAAAATTAGGTGTTTGGTATTGGTACTTATCAGTAGACTCATATTAGGCTCATAGCAATTACAGAGTCCCACATCACTTGGCCAAAATTAGGTGTTTGGTATTGGTACTTATCAGTAGACTCATATTAGGCTCATAGCAATTACATGCACGTATTGGTACATACAAATTATAATCTTTCTATACTTTTCAGTTACATCTTTAGAGCGATAAGCTATGTGGCACTAAGTATGGGCTCATTCGCAGTAAAATCACTTGACCGTACTAATCAAATTTCAAAACCACTAAATAATTATCGTAATCCTTCTTCCTCCTCCTCCGCCACCGTTTTATTTTCTTCAGCGAAGAGGAGAAGATTCCAAGAGATGAGGAAGAAGAGGGTGGTGCCACTGCCATTGATTGTGAGAATGTGAAGGTAAGAAGTCCCATTTTGGAAAGTTGAGAAACCTAACAAGGGCTTATAAGGAGTTGGGCTACTCCCCCATTGCCAATTGGTTTTGGGGTAGAATCTCAACTTCTTTAATAGTATCAGAGCAGGTTAGCCCACGTGTGAAAAGCCCAACAGCTACACGTACTCCACGTTACCCAATATGTGACTGCAATGAAGACATTGTAATTCATAGCCCCGGTGACTGTACGGACAAGCAAGAGAACCTTACCTGTAAATGACAAATGTATTTGTGTCATGAAGACTTTGAGCCGCTCTGGAGACACCGGAAGGGCTGAAAGAGCTAAGAGAAATGGAGCTAAGGTAGCTGAGGGGTGACGGGGCAGGGCTTAGAATGCCATCTGATAGAATATACCACTATAACACATACAATGACATTGGAAATCCAGACAAAGGAATTGAATGCATAAGACCCACTCTTGGAGGCAACAAGAACCCACACCCAAGACACTGTCGTACCGGACGCCTTCCAACCAAGACAGGTCACTGATCGATCAGTTCAATACATGTCATATTTGTGCAATTGGGTTTATGAAATAATTAGTTTTCCTATTCCCATTATCTATTAGTTTGAGATGTGAATTAGATCAGTTGGTCAGGACAGTGACCATGGAGTCACCGGTGAATGAGTTTACCAGAATTTACATGGGACACATCTTGTTGTTTGTGAGATGACGAATTTGGGCGTCAAGCAGTTGCAGGCATAAATCCTCTAAGCATTGAAAGGCTTACAGTTTTCCCACCTGTAAGCAAGCTTGATCCATCAATCTATGGTCCACAAGAGTCGGCACTCAAGGAAGAACATTTAAAAGGCCATCTTGATGCCATGTCCGTACAACAGGCATATCGTATGGGAATGTCGAATGTGACATTTCTCTCATAACATATACGTAGAAGCCTCACGTACATGTTGCAACAGTGATGTCACCATGTATGACGGACTTGTATACACGAAAATTCAACATAGATTTCACAACAATGAATGATTGTGGGTTTTGCAGGCATTAGAAGAAAACAAGCTGTTCATACTAGACTGTCATCATGACATGTTCCTTCCATTTCTCAACCAAATAAATGCTCTGGAGGACCGAAAGGCTTATGGAACACGTACGATATTGTTCTTGACCTCATTGGGAACTTTAAAGCCAATTGAGGAGGAGATTGAGAGAAGAAATGGTGATCTAAATTTGAGGAACAGATGTGGGGCTGGAGTCTCACCCTATGCCTACCTCAGAGGCTGGGGTTACACATAGAGGAGTGCCCAATAGTATAGCAGTGACTTTTAGGTAGCTAGCTTAGAGCCTACAAGGGAAGGGAAGCAAAGTTTTCCAATTCCAAATGTTGATAAACGTAAAAGCTTAGGTTAGCTGGTCCTGGTTTGGTTATGTCATGCATGAAGATGAAGATAAATAAATAAAAACATGCTATTCTCGTTTTCCGCTAATATACGCCTTTTCGATCCTAATGACTTGTCACCACCGACATTAACGTATGGTTGTCTGTCTCTGACAATATGTACTGAGGGCTGATGACGCAGTTGCTTCCGATACAAAAGGACGTGGGCCAAGTGGACGGTTGTTGAAGAGGACGATAAAAACTAAGATGAATGAAAGGTCTACAAACAAACGGGGAAGGAATTGAACGTACGTACACTTTTTTTGATGTATACATTGATTTTTTTTTGGGAACGTACGTATACTTTTTTTGATGTATACATTGATATTTTTTTGGGAACGTACATATACTGTTTTTGATGTATACATTGATATTTTTTTGGGAACGTACACTTTTTTTTATGTATGTTTTTTTTGGGTTTATTTATAGAAATTAAATGGTGTATGGTTTATCTATATCATTAGTGCTAAGAATGAGTGTATAACTAAATATCTGTATTTTTTTGTATTTCTGGACCATTCTAAGCTAGCGTGCAGCAACAACTGAAATGAGAAAAATACATATATTAGCTAGATCTAGATGCATCTATGTATATATTTGGACGTGAATCAATTGGCCTAATCACAATGAATTCCCAAATAACAAATATTTCAAATGAGATCAGAGTCTGAAACCAAGAAAATGAAGAAACATGGTACAAAGATACTATAAAACAAGTAGATCTACGCCACACAACATTGGGATCCCTAAAAACGTGACAACTGACCAAATAGTACCCCTACCATCCCAAATCACGCCAAAAGTGAATGAACAGTGCTCTAATTTGTTATTTTCTCCTCTTTTGGTGTGACTGGTTAATTAAATTCCAATTTGTTAAGGCATACGTTCCATCCAAGGACCTCAACCCGTCCCCCACACCACCACCACAACCACCGCCCCCGCTCGGCGACTAATTAATCTCATCTGAAATCAGCTATATATAGGATTAGGAGTGTTAAAGGAAATTCATGTGAAGCAGAGCAAGCAAAAATTGCCGGAAGAAAGAACATATTATAAATATATATATATAGCTATGACAACTACTATGATTAGCTCATTTAATTCCAATCACATTAATTCAAAGGCACTGAATTGTGTTCTTTGGAACGCGCCCAAGATTTCTTCTCCTCCTCCCAATTTGTTTTCTTCAACAAAGAGGAGGAGATTGCAACAAATTAGGAAGAAGAAGGCTCTTGATCAGGCCACAGGTGGGGACATGGTAAGTACATTAATATCCTCTACTGCCGTTGATCAGACGACGGCGCTGCCCGTCGAACTCACTGCGCTGGTGAGTGTAAGGAAAAGTCTGAAGCTAAGCATCCAAGGCATGATGCTTCATTGGTTTGGCAATCATGATCATTTCACCCACCACGAGGAAAAGGAAAAGTGTCTTGTTTTACAGCTTGTTAGTACTGAAACTGAAGCAGGTAAATCTATACTACTACTATTATCATATTATTATTATTTTATCAATATTAATTATTATTATTTTATTTACAATATTTCTCTTTGGTGCCATATGTTTCTTCTTTGGCTATATAAACTAACTTTTTCCTATTAAAAAAAATTATTTCAACTATACCACTTTGACTTTTCTTCTTAATGTCGCATTGAAACATAGAGTCCATGAAGCCAAAGCTGAGCAATGAAGCTATATTGGATTGGTCCAAGGATCTAAACCTAAACCTAATCCTGGGTGCTGAGAAAAGCAGTTACGAAGTTAAATTTGAGGTGGATCCTAAATTTGGGATGCCAGGAGCCATCACGGTGAGTAACAAGTACGAGGAGGAGTTGTATTTGGATAGCATCAACATTGAAGGCGTTGTGCATATTGCCTGCAACTCTTGGATTCAACCAGACAAGGATTCCTCGGAAAAAAGAATCTTCTTCTCTACTAAGGTCCATGACAGAGATTATATATGTATATGAATATATATATATATATATATATAAAAGGATCTCCAAGCCTCTACATTTAGGACACATGCATTTATCCGCATTTTGTGAAATCTAAGCCACTCAAATAATCTAACCACTTAACATACATCAATTTTACGTTTTATGTATTTTTTTTTCCAGAACTAATGTTAATGTTAAAGTTAACCTGCTTGATGTTTTTTTTTCATAGTGCTTCCTCACTATATATCAAGGCTTTAGTTCTTTGGAGATGCAACAACATTCTTGGGTTGTTGAGTTATTTATGTTCGTAGTTGATTTTTATATTAAATTAACTAATTCTATTTTATAATTGAGAAAAGCTATAGCTCTTTTGCTTTCTCTGATTTTGTTGTGAATTTTAGTGTTTCTTCGTGTTTAAGATGCTTTAGTTTGTGAATTTTTGAAGTTCAAAGGTTTGCAGATTGACTTGTGAAGTACGTGAAGCATCTTCAAGAATGGATGACGATGCTGGAGTAACAAGCAGTGAAGAAAACGGTGGAAGTAGTGGTGTTTGTGAAGAGCACTCAGTACTCTGCAAATGATGATATCTTTTCATCGGATGAAGAAAGAAAAAAATCCCAAGCACATTAACTTTAACGTTAACATCAGTTTGGAAAAAAAAACCACTTATATTGATGTTGTGTCATATGCAAAGTTGTTATATTATTTAAGTGGCTTAGATTTTACAAAATACAGATAAATGCACGGATGCTAGATGTAGAGATTCGGAATCCATAATAAAGTTATATAAATTAGTCATGGCCGTGGTTTTGCAGGCATACTTACCTGACGAGACACCAGCAGGGCTGAAAGAGCCGAGGGAAATGGAGCTAAGGCAGCTAAGGGGTGATGGGACAGGACTTAGATTACCATCCGATAGAACATACGACTATGACACTTACAATGACATTGGAAATCCAGATGCGGGGATTGAATACAAACGATCTACCACTGGGGGCAATTATACACACCCACACCCTAGACGTTGCCGAACTGGACGACCACCAACTAACACAGGTCACTAAGTTAGATAGTGAGAGTTATTGTCTAGTACCAAATATCAATCTACAATAACTAGTACATCGTTAATATTTTGTCATGAAATAAATATATATCGACAATGTACTGAATACTGTAGATTAATATGCGTTATTAATACGGGTATTCAATGGGGTTTCTGCAATTAGTTATAATATCCATCCATGTGAATGCAATGCAACAGATGATAATATGGAGTCACCGGAAAATGAATACAAGAGAATTTACGTGCCAAGAGATGAAGAGTTTGAGGAGGCCAAGCAAGGAGCTCTTGACGTTGGAAAGTTGAAGGGGATTCTCCGGCATATAATTCCTACCCTTACAATTATTGCCAGCAGGGACAGCAATGTTTTAAAGGGGTATGCAGATATCAACTGTCTCTATAGTACTGACATGTCTTTACCTAAGATTTTGAACAAAGTCCAGGAATTCCTCAAATTTGACCCTCCAAAGCTAATCTCTGGTAAGTGGCAAGCAAGCGTCGACATAAGATCTTATTACTTATTATTATTGGAGTAAGAGAACGGAACCATGGAATGGATGTGTATAAAATCTCACTCACACTCCAATTATTTCAGGGCTTAAATCTTGTTGTTTGCCAGATGAAGAATTTGGGCGTCAAGCAATTGCTGGCACAAACCCTATGAGCATACAAAGGCTCACGGTTTTCCCACCTGTAAGCAAATTGGATCCCTCCATTTATGGTCCACAAGAGTCGGCACTCAAGGAGGAGCATATAATAGGCCATCTCAACGGCATGTCAATACAGCAGGTATATATGTCTGGAAAACAAAAGCCCTAAAAAGACAAATACATAAAACAGAGGAAGATTACCTACCTAAACTGAATGGATGATATTTGTGGGTTTTGCAGGCATTAGAAGAAAACAAGCTGTTCGTACTAGACTATCATGACATTTTCCTTCCATATCTGGACCAAATAAATGCTTTGGATGATCGAAGAGCTTACGGAACCCGTACAATTTTGTTCTTGACCTCATTGGGAACCTTGAAGCCCATCTCTATTGAACTCAGCTTCCCTCCAACCAATTCAGATTCACCATCCAAGCAGGTTCTCACTCCTCCAGTTGATGCTACAACAAATTGGCTTTGGCAGATTGGCAAAGCCCACGTCTCGTCCAACGATGCCTGTGCTCATCAACTCATTCATCATTGGTATGCACACCAGTTTCCATAATTGTTGTTAAGGTGCTGTTTTCATCTAAGCTTGATGATAAACTTGTTTTCCTGTAACCAATGAGGCAAAATTCCAATGTATGAAACAGGTTACGCACCCATGCCTGCATGGAACCACTTATAATAGCAGCCCACCGGCAGCTGAGTGTGATGCACCCTATCTACAAGCTTCTCAATCCTCACATGCGCTACACCTTGAAGATAAATGCATTGGCCCGCCAATTTCTCATCAATGCTGGAGGCGTAATCGAGTCGAATTTCACTGCTGGTAAATATTGCATGGAGATGAGTTGTGCTGCTTATCGAGATTGGTGGCGCTTTGACCTTGAGGGCCTTCCTGCAGATCTCCTTAGAAGGTTTCAGAAAAGCTCTTAATCTATATACTATCAGGATTCAGAACTAAACTATAATAGTTTATTAACTTTATCTTCATTTCTACACAGAGGCATGGCAGTACCAGACTCTACTCAAGTCCATGGGATAAGACTGGTAATTGAAGACTACCCTTATGCAACAGATGGACTCCTCATATGGTCAGCAATTGAGACATTGGTCCGAACCTATGTCAATTACTACTATCCTGATGCAAGTGCGGTCAATTTTGATACAGAACTGCAGGCCTGGTACAATGAGTCAATCAATTTAGGCCATGCTGATCTTCGCCATGCTAGCTGGTGGCCTAAACTCTCTACTCCAGATGATCTTACATCCATTCTCACCACCATCATTTGGCTCACATCGGCACACAGCATGCTGCCTTGAACAATGGGCAGTATCCATATGGTGGGTATGTCCCAGCCCGCTCACCACACATGCGGAGACTACTACCAGAGGAGCATGACCCAGAGTATGCTACTTTCATGCAGGAGAAAAAAAAAAAAAAAAAAAAAAAAAAAAAAAAAAAAAAAAAAAAAAAAAAAAAAAAAAAAAAAAAAAAAAAAAAAAAAAAAAAAAAAAAAAAAAAAAAAAAAAAAAAAAAAAAAAAAAAAAAAAAAAAAAAAAAAAAAAAAAAAAAAAAAAAAAAAAAAAAAAAAAAAAAAAAAAAAAAAAAAAAAAAAAAAAAAAAAAAAAAAAAAAAAAAAAAAAAAAAAAAAAAAAAAAAAAAAAAAAAAAAAAAAAAAAAAAAAAAAAAAAAAAAAAAAAAAAAAAAAAAAAAAAAAAAAAAAAAAAAAAAAAAAAAAAAAAAAAAAAAAAAAAAAAAAAAAAAAAAAAAAAAAAAAAAAAAAAAAAAAAAAAAAAAAAAAAAAAAAAAAAAAAAATATTCCACTAACATGTGATTTAAGTAAACCGAAAAGTGATGTCATCATGTGTGAGTGACGGACTTGTATACACGAAAATTCAACATAGATTTCAGAAAAAAATTTCAGGCATTAGAAGAAAACAAGCTGTTCATACTAGACTATCATGACATGTTCCTTCCATGTCTCAACCAAATAAATGCTCTGGAGGACCGAAAGGCTTATGGAACACGTACGATATTGTCAGTGTTAGAAAATTATAATATTTATACTTAATTTTTTAATAATTGAATGGAAATTAAATGGTGGGACTCGTGACTTTAAGTACATGACTTTTATGAATTGGTATGTATTTATTGGGAATAGTCATGTTCTTAACCAAGGAAAAATAAAATATTATTTATTTTGTTTGTAAAGCAATAATACTTTATGTGATAAGTTGCATTGTTTAATAATAAATGAAACATTGCACTTCTTGGCTTATGGTTTGCAATATGAAAAGACACATTTGTTGATATTTTTCAGTCACATCTTTTCTGAACAGAGGCCTTGTTGCCTACAAATAGAGAAGATCCTACAACATTGCATTCATCCAATTTGTCATCCAACAATAGTAGTCTTTAGAGCATTCATAGCATTATATTTTTTTAGAAATATAGTGAGTTAGTAAGAAAGAATTCATACACAAGTTTGAGTTCGCTTTTCTTGGGAATTGTAGTGCTACTTCAACAAAAAGTCGATCGTTGTATCCTGGGAGACGTTTGCCAAGTAAATCCTATAAGCACCTGTGAGGAGGCAATTTCGTCTTAAGGAGATAAAACCAAGTTCTATATTCTATCATCTGTAAATTATTCTTAATTTTCCTTGTCGTTATTTTCTTGTATTTATTTCGAATTCATAATGAAGTTTTATTTTCGAAATTTCTGTAAATATTGCAATTATCTTTATATTTTTACCGACAGTCAGCAATTGAGACATTGGTTCAAATCTATGTGCGGTCCAATCTGACACAGAACTACCTGCCTGGTACAAAGAATCAATCAGTTTGAGCCATGCTGATTTGTGCCAAGCCAGCTAGTGGCCCAAACTCTCAACCCAAAAAGATCTCATCTCCATTCTCACCACCATCATCTGGATCACATCAGCCAAACATGCTGCTCTTAACTTTGGGCAGTACCCATATATGAAGGGTATGTTCCAACTCGCGGCTCGCCCACCACACATGAGGAGGCTGGTGCCATATCAGTATGATGACCCTGAAGAGTTTGCCAGTTTCATGAGGGACCCACATCAATATTTTCTATCATCACTGCCTAGTCTGTTTGAGCCAACCAAATACATGGCTGTGATTGATATCATCTCAGCTCACTCTCCTGGTGAGGAGTATATTGGGGAGAGAAAGGACTTGCTGTCAACATGGTCAGTTGACAATGTGATTGTTGAGGCATTTTATAGATTCTCAATGGAGATGAAGAGAATTGAGAAGGAGATTGAGAGAAGAAATGGTGATCCAAATTTGAGGAACAGGTGTGGGGCTGGAGTCTCACCCTATGCCTACCTCAGAGGCTGGGGTTACATGTAGCGGAGTGCCCAATAGTATAGCAGTGACTTTTATCCAAATGGTACGACATTATGTGTGACTTTTATCTCATAATTTAGGTAGCTAGCTTAGAGCCTAGAAGGGAAGATAAGCAAAGTTTTCCAATTCCAAATGTTGATAAACGTAAAAGCTTAGGTTGGCTGGTCCTGGTTTGGTTTGGTCACTACCAAAAATGGGACAATAGTCACCCTTGATATAATTGGTATCGATGACAATTGAATGGTTGGTCCATGATTTTGTTTACTTGTCACTATTATTTGTGACTAATCTCTCACATTTTAATATTTTGGTGAGTGTTGATTTAAATATAATAAATACTAGCCTTTTTGCACGCGCTTCCACACCTGTAAGAGGCATTTTCTAAAAAAATTTAAATTTATTTTAGAATTAGAAAAAATAGTGGATAATTGTATTCTATAAAAATAGGATTTATTATCTTATTTTTCTTTTAGTTTTAATATTAATTTTTTTTACTATGAAAAAGTGTGAATTTACCATATTATCCTCATTTAATTAATAATTTCAATTCTCAATGTTTATATTAACTAAGGGCATTTTCTGATATTTTGAATGTTTTACCATTCTCTGCCTTTTACTTTATATATATAGAAGATAAAATTAATTTTTGTGATTAACACCGAAACATTAATTTTTCATGACTAATATTTGATTAGAGCCTTGCTAATAATTGTAATCCAATAAAATATTTGGTGGATTGCCCACCTCTCGTTCTCTCTCCTCAACCTCTCGTCTCCTACTCCTCAAACAAATCGAAACTTACCCCTTTTCTTTTGTAAGCTCTTCTCTCCCAAAACAACCTAGCAACCCCTTTTTTCTTTTTAGATCCGGTGATTTTTTTGGCTATCTCCTTGCTTTTGACAGAGTTTGTTATCTCCCTAGTTTTTCTAGGGCGTTTCTTTGGCTCTGGGTGGTCCTTTTAGATCAAATTTCAAATCTAAGAGCTAGAGTAGGGCTTGCTTCAGTCATGGCTTTCCTTGTATTTTGTTTTCTATATAAGCTTTTTTTTTATACTTTTTAATATATTAATATATTCTTTGATATTCTGTGATGTAGGAAGATCAAGTTCTGCAGGGGCGCTGGAATTTCTGCGTTCTAAAGATGTTGTTTTATCTGGGTTTCTCTTCCCTTGAACATTGGTGAGTTTGGCTGCTTATTATACCTTGTGTATTTATTTTATCCCACGTGTCCTTATGCGTTTGAATTATTCTTCAGTTTTTTTAAATGTCAATGATGGTCTTTCACTTGAGAGCAAACTCTTTTTTTGTTCATTATTGGTGCGTTTGAACACCAACAATGATTAGATCCCTTCACCATAGACAGATGAACGGTTGATGCTACCAACTACAAAAGAAGAGGGTGAGGTTGTAATTCCTTAAGCTTGGATATCTACTAACTTAGCTAATTGGAATTTGGATATATGATGGATGACACTTCAGTTGCATCGTTCGTTTGTATGTTCGGATAAGAGGAGTGCTTGGATTAGAAAATACTAACTATAGGTCTTCTTAGGCGTGTATGTATTATTGTTTGTAGAGGATTGTACAAATTTTTTATTCATTAGGAAAATATTGTACTACTTAATTACCATCATGTATCAAGCGAATATTTATATTTAATTAAATAATAATATTTGAGGCCTTTTTTACACATGAAGTGAATTACCAAGGAATTATTATTATTATCTTATCAGAAAAAGAAAAAAAAGAAAAAGGAATTACTGTTATTATGCCATTAAAGTATATCAAAAGGAAATTGTAATTATTTAAAACATATATAATTCAGAAAATTATTAAACTAATTAAAAATGAAAAGTCAACATATTGTTTGTCACTTTCTTTAGTAGTAGTGACAAAGGCCAACTACTCAAAATTTGTAGCTGCATCGTTACTAAAGTCTTTATTAAAGGTGACTAATACTTTCAAAAGTCACCACAAAAAAAGGTGGCTATTGCTGATTTTTTTTGTAGCGGGTGTATGTCATGCATGAAGATGAAGATAAATAAATAAAAACATGGCATTCTCGTTTTCTGCTGATATACGTCTTTTGATCCTAATGATTTGTCACCATCGACATTGACGAATGGTTGTCTGTCTCTGACAATATGTACTGAGGGCTAACGACGCAGTTGCTTTTGATACAAAAGGACGCGGGCCAAGTGGGCGGTTGTTGAGGAGGAGGATAAAAACTTAGATGAATCAAGGGTCTACAAACAAACTGGGAAGGAATTGAACATCCGTACACTTGTTTTTTATGTATACATTGATATTTTTTTGGGCTTATTTATATAAATTAAATGATGTGTGGTTTATCTATATCATTAGTGCTAAGAATAGATATATGACTAAATATCTATTTTTTTTTTTTTACTATTGGATCATTCTAGGCTAGCTAGCATGCAGCAACAACTGAAACGAGAAAAATGTGAATCAATTGGCCCAATCAGTGGTGGAGCCACTCCTAGACCTAGAGTGGCTCTGGCCCTCCAATATTTTTATAACTACTCTATTATATTATATATAATATATAGAATTTGTAATAAACAACTTAGAATTTAAGTTATAATTTCCTCTAAAACAAATTAGACATTACTCAATTAAAAATATTTAGCTCTAAACATGTAAGTATTGAATATTTAGGTGTTTTATATACTTGTATTTTCTCCTTCGGCCCCCCCAATTTACAATTCTAGCTTTGCCCCTAGGCCCAATCACAATGAATTCCCAAATAACACATTTCAAATGAGAACAGTTAGTCTGAAACCAAGAAAATGAAGAAACATGGCACAAAGATACTATAAAACAAATATGTCTACGCCACACAACATTGGCATCCCTAAACACGTGTGCCCCTACCATCCCAAATCACGCCAAAAGTGAATGAAAAGAGCTCTAATTTGTTATTTCTCCTCATCTGAAATCAGCTATATATAGGAATAGGAGTGTTAAAGGAAATTCGTGTGAAGCAGAGCAGGCAAAAATTGCCGGAAGAAAGAACATATTATAAATATATATATATAGCTATGACAACTACTATGATTAGCTCATTTAATTCCAATCACATGAATTCAAAGGCACTGAATTGTGTTCTTTGGAACGCGCCCAAGATTTCTTCTCCTCCTCCCAATTTGTTTCCTTCAACAAAGAGAAGGAGATTGCAACAAATTAGGAAGAAGAAGGCTCTTGATCAGGCCACAGATGGGGACATGGCAAGTAAGTTAATATCCTCTACTGCCGTTGATCAGACGACGACGCTGCCCGTCGAACTCACTGCGCTGGTGAGTGTAAGGAAAAGTCTGAAGCTAAGCATCCAAGACATGATGCTTCGTTGGTTTGGCAATCATGATCATTTCACCCACCACAAGGAAAAGGAAAATTGTTTTGTTTTACAGCTTGTTAGTACTGAAACTGAAGCAGGTAAAGCTACACTACTACTATTATCGTATTATCATTATTTTATCAAAAAATTTATTTCAACAATACCCTTTTGACTTTTCTTCTTAATGTCGCATTGAAACCTAGAGTCCATGAAGCCAAAGCTGAGCAATGAAGCTATATTGGATTGGTCCAAGGATCTAAACCTAAACCTAATCCTGGGTGCTGAGAAAAGCAGTTACGAAGTTAAATTTGAGGTGGATCCTAAATTTGGGATGCCAGGAGCCATCACAGTGAGTAACAAGTACGAGGAGGAGTTGTATTTGGATAGCATCAACATTGAAGGCGTTGTGCATATTGCCTGCAACTCTTGGATTCAACCAGACAAAGATTCCTCGGAAAAAAGAATCTTCTTCTCTACTAAGGTCCATGACAGAGATTATATATGTATATGTGTACATATAAAAGGAATCCCGGGTCTCTACATTTAGGATCCGTGCATCATTTTGTGAAATCTAAGTCACTCAAATAGTCTAACCACTTAACATACTTCAATTTTACGTTTTATGTATTTTTTTTTCAGAACTAATGTTAACGTTAATGTTAACCTGCTTGATGGTTTTTTTTTCATAGTGCTTACTCACTATAGATCAAGGCTTTAGTTCTTTGGAGATGCAATAACATTCTTGGGTTGTTGAGTTATTTATGTTCGTAGTTGATCTTCATATTGAATTAACTAATTCTATTTTATAATTGAGAAAAGCTTGCTCTTTTGCTTTCTCTGATTTTGTTGTGAATTTTAGTGTTTCTTCGTGTTTAAGATGCTTTAGTTTATGAATTTTTGAAGTTCAAAGGTTTGCAGATTGACATGTTAAGTACGTGAAGCATCTTCAAGAATGGATGACGATGCTGGAGGAACAAGCAGTGAAGAAACCCCATACAGGAGCCCAAATTATTATTATTTTTTATAAAAAAAATTCTATATAAAATGAACTTTAAAGACACACTCATAACTCATTTACAACATAACAAAAAGGTTTTTAACTTCTTTTAAATTACAAAACTGTCATTGATTTCTTAAAACAAACCCAACTCAAAAACCTCATAAAAAAAAACCCAAAACACTAAATAGGGCATCCGTAATTCAATAATTAAAATTAAATTCAATAGAGCTAGTTGTCATTTTTGGGGGGTTTTTTTTTCTTTGTTTGTTTATAGAAATTAAATAGTGTATGATTTATTTATAGTTTTAATGCTAAGAATGTGTATATGACTAAATATCTCTTAACTTTAACGTTAACATCAGTTTGGAAAAAAAAAACACTTATATTGATGTTGTGTCATAAGCTAAGTTGATAGATTATTTAAGTGGCTTAGATTTTACGAAATAAGAGTAAAAGCACGAATGCTAAATATAGAGGTTCATGATCCATAATAAAGTTATATAAATTAGTCATGGGCCGTGGTTTTGCAGGCGTATTTACCTGATGAGACACCAGCAGGGCTGAAAGAGCTGAGAGAAATGGAGCTAAGGCAGCTAAGGGGTGATGGGACAGGACTTAGATTACCATCCGATAGAATATACGACTATGACACTTACAATGACATTGGAAATCCAGATGCGGGGATTGAATACAAACGACCTACCCTTGGGGGCAATTACACACACCCACACCCTAGACGTTGCCGAACTGGACGACCACCAACTAACACAGGTCACTAAGTTAGATAGTGAGAGTTATTGTCTAGTACCAAATATCAATCTACAATAACCAGTACATTGTTAATATTTTATCATGAAATAAATATATATCGACAATGTACTGAATACTGTAGATTAATATGCGTTATTAATACGGGTATTCAATTGGGTTTCTGCAATTAGTTATAATATCCATCCATGTGAATGCAATGCAACAGATGATAATATGGAGTCACCGGAAAATGAATACAAGAGAATTTACGTGCCAAGAGATGAAGAGTTTGAGGAGGCCAAGCAAGGAGCTCTTGACGTTGGAAAGTTGAAGGGGATTCTCCGGCATATAATTCCTACCCTTACAATTATTGCCAGCAGGGACAGCAATGTTTTAAAGGGGTATGCAGATATCAACTGTCTCTATAGTACTGACATGTCTTTACCTAAGATTTTGAACAAAGTCCAGGAATTCCTCAAATTTGACCCTCCAAAGCTAATCTCTGGTAAGTGGCAAGCAAGCGTCGACATAAGATCTTATTACTTATTATTATTGGAGTAAGAGAACGGAACCATGGATGTGTATAAAATCTCACTCACACTCCAATTATTTCAGGGCTTAAATCTTGTTGTTTGCCAGATGAAGAATTTGGGCGTCAAGCAATTGCTGGCACAAACCCTATGAGCATACAAAGGCTCACGGTTTTCCCACCTGTAAGCAAACTGGATCCCTCCATTTATGGTCCACAAGAGTCGGCACTCAAGGAGGAGCATATAATAGGCCATCTCAACGGCATGTCAATACAGCAGGTATATATGTCTGGAAAACAAAAGCCCTAAAAAGACAAATACATAAAACAGAGGAAAGATTACCTAAACTGAATGGATGATATTTGTGGGTTTTGCAGGCATTAGAAGAAAACAAGCTGTTCGTACTAGACTATCATGACATTTTCCTTCCATATCTGGACCAAATAAATGCTTTGGATGATCGGAGAGCTTACGGAACCCGTACAATTTTTTTCTTGACCTCATTGGGAACCTTGAAGCCCATTTCTATTGAACTCAGCTTCCCTCCAACCAATTCAGATTCACCATCCAAGCAGGTTCTCACTCCTCCAGTTGATGCTACAACAAATTGGCTTTGGCAGATTGGCAAAGCCCACGTCTCGTCCAACGATGCCTGTGCTCATCAACTCATTCATCATTGGTATGCACACCAGTTTCCATAATTGTTGTTAAGGTGCTGTTTTCATCTAAGCTTGATGATAAACTTGTTTTCCTGTAACCAATGAGGCAAAATTCCAATGTATGAAACAGGTTACGCACCCATGCCTGCATGGAACCACTTATAATAGCAGCCCACCGGCAGCTGAGTGTGATGCACCCTATCTACAAGCTTCTCAATCCTCACATGCGCTACACCTTGAAGATAAATGCATTGGCCCGCCAATTTCTCATCAATGCTGGAGGCGTAATCGAGTCGAATTTCACTGCTGGTAAATATTGCATGGAGATGAGTTGTGCTGCTTATCGAGATTGGTGGCGCTTTGACCTTGAGGGCCTTCCTGCAGATCTCCTTAGAAGGTTTCAGAAAAGCTCTTAATCTATATACTATCAGGATTCAGAACTAAACTATAATAGTTTATTAACTTTATCTTCATTTCTACACAGAGGCATGGCAGTACCAGACTCTACTCAAGTCCATGGGATAAGACTGGTAATTGAAGACTACCCTTATGCAACAGATGGACTCCTCATATGGTCAGCAATTGAGACATTGGTCCGAACCTATGTCAATTACTACTATCCTGATGCAAGTGCGGTCAATTTTGATACAGAACTGCAGGCCTGGTACAATGAGTCAATCAATTTAGGCCATGCTGATCTTCGCCATGCTAGCTGGTGGCCTAAACTCTCTACTCCAGATGATCTTACATCCATTCTCACCACCATCATTTGGCTCACATCGGCACAGCATGCTGCCTTGAACAACGGGCAGTATCCATATGGTGGGTATGTCCCAGCCCGCTCACCACACATGCGGAGACTACTGCCAGAGGAGCATGACCCAGAGTATGCTACTTTCATGCAGGATCCACAGAAATACTTCCTATCATCATTCCCCAGTTTACTCGAAGCAACAAAGTACATGGCTGCAATAGACATCATTTCAGCGCACTCACCGGATGAGGAGTATATTGGGGACAGAAAGGACTTGTCAACCTGGTCGGCTGACACAGTGATTATTGAGGCGTTCTGCAGATTTTCTATGGAGATGAGGAGGATAGAAAAAGAGATTGAACAAAGAAATACTGATTCAAACCTTAGGAACAGATGTGGGGCTGGCGTTTCCCCATACGAGTTGCTCATGCCAAGCTCAGAACCTGGGGTTACATGTAGAGGAGTGCCCAATAGTATATCAATCTGAGTCAATTTGACGCAAAAAGTTGGCTATGAGCCTAAATCAATCGGAATTTCTAAACTTGGCACTGAGCCCAGTGTCCTTTTCCATGATACTCAGCCTAAAAATGAAACCTAGTTGAGCTCAGTCAAACCCAAAACTCAGAAATACTCATTAATCAGGAAGAATTCATCCCCCTAATACCACAGAAACCTCATCAAAATCCGATGTATGTGCTCCTATAGTAGCATAGGTAGGCAATTAGGAAAAGTGGTTGATGATTCAAAGCCAATTATGGTCCCACACCAAAAATATTGCGCATTTAATAAAATAATAACAGCGAACAACTATTATATTTTGATAAGCTATTTTGTTTTGACTGGAGCAGTGCTATAAACAGGATAAATATTTAGATAGCATGGTTGTTTACAACCGGTATAGTGAAGATTTCCTCTATTAGCAGAAACTAGTTTAGCATAATCAACACAAAAGGAACATAACTTTAACCAAAATTAGAGCTCAACTCAACGAGAAGAGGATGAGTTTGATTCAAAGAAAGAAACTAAAATCAAGTAAGTATGTCGAGCAAGCACAGGATGATAATATACGTGGTAAATTTAAGAAGTTAGCAACTTTGTAAATCAAACAACAAAGTAAAAGTAAAGTAGGCAGAACTAGAATTCTAGCAGTTGGATACACCCTTTTTATGAGAAGAAGCAGATTTGCAATTCCAAATAGCAAAATTTCAAGAAAGCCACATTGTTTTCATGCTCACCCAAAACTACAGGTGCATATTAGGCTATATAGTCATTGGCAGATAACTTCAAGCCTTCAGCCAATGTTTATAAGCCACCAAGTCATTACTTATGCTTTAAAAGTAACAGAAATTAGCATCAAAAGACTTATGTGTTTCATTATCCACAAAAGTAAATATGTACATCAGAGATTAACAATATTCCACTAATTCCACAAAGAAGAAGATAGCTTTTTTTTTCTCTTTCTACAAAAAAGAAAACTGAAAGTCTAATTCCAGCTTGTAGGCAGCCATATTAAACAGAAGCACTCAAGCTGCCCCAATTTTGACATTTTCTCAGCATTTAACTTATATCCATTAATCCAAAAGGTAAATTGAGATACAAGAAAACAAGCCGTAAATAATGAAGAAGAAGAGGTGCTTAGTCGTACTTTTCTCTCCATGAGAAAACAAGGAAGAATACCCAAGAGGCTGCCAACACTACATCGCCGACTGTCTGCCTCAGCCAATCCCAAGCGAGGTCCTCCACCCTTCGCTCGAAGTAGCACCGCCACAGCGCCATGAAAACATGCAGCACCGTGCACCCTTTGGCGAAGAAGCTCTGGAACTCGCGATCCTTCACGAACGACACCATGAGCAGCAAGAACCCGATCGCGAACAGGAGCAACCCGGAGAAGGAATCAGAGGTCCGAATCAAGAGCTGGTCGTGGGGCGTGGACCCCAGCAGCTTCTTCGCAGTCTCGATCCCGTGCCCAAAGGTGTAGACTTCCGTCATGTAGAACATCATAAGGGCCCCACAGGTTATGGCGATTGCAGAGTGGAGGAGGCAGATGACGAAGAAAGCTGACGACGAGGGCGATGACATCGATCGGACGGCTCTGATTGATTTCTCACGGTGTTGGTACCGTACGCATGTTTTCTGTGGTACCAAAACCCTAGACTGGACTCTTACTGTTGAGCTGAGAAAATGAGAAGAAGGTGAAGGCTTTTTCGTTTCTGATTCAGGGGAGGAAAATGCGTTGTTGGTTTTCCATCTTTCTTCTCGTTTTTCTCTTTTTTTATTTTTTTTTACCCTCTTTCCTGTTTTTATTATTATTATTATTATTATTATTATTTTTATATGGTGAGATTCAAGATAAGGATCCAGTGGGACCTGGTGGGACCCAGAGGGCGTCAATCGTCGGGCATGCATTGGAGTAATTTGTCTTTGCCTGGACACGTGGCGCAATCCTAATAGTGCCGACAGATTCCAACGGGCAGTTTATTCAATTCGCTTGAGCTTAAGATCAAAAGCTGATTGATTCAATGAGTCAATGAGTAAAGGGGTGTTTTGGGCATTGCAGAAATATTTTCAGACAACAATAAGCAATAAGCTAGTAATATTTAATTGTAAAAGAAAAAGACAATATACTTCATTTCTTTTCAATAGAATCTCGATAGCACGAGTTGGAGTCAGGTTGAAAGAAAATTAGGGACACCTAAGCAAATGCAATTAATATAGGTGGTCCAAAACTTGGATAAAAACAATTGAAATCTTGTCGCATCGGAAAGAAGCTACTATTAGAAATCCCGCGATAGAGGGAGAAAAAGGCCAGTCTCTAAGCCTCTTTCTGTTAAAAAGATGGGTGCTTTTGCTTTTGCTTTTGCTTGTGCTTGTGCTTGTGCTTCTTCCATGGCCAGACAGAAAATGAAAAGCAGAGAAGATAAGAGGAGAGTGGAGACTTCTAGTAACTTCCTTCAACTTTATTGATTTTTCAAAATTAAGAGACATGAGTATTTGTGGCTACTATATAATTCAATGGGGGGTGGGGGTGGGGGGTGGGGGGTGGGGGTGGTACAATGTTCCTGTGGTGATGAAATAACAAAATGGGCCACTACATATTGAGGGGTTTGGTAGCAACCCATATCATAATTATTGGAAAATTGAACTTTATATATACAACAAAAAATGAGTAAACTTTGACAATTCCAAAGGTAGAAAGAATGAGAGAGAGAGAGAGACAGCAGCTCCATGTTGAAGCAGAACCAAAACACTCATCTTCGCACAAATCCTCCAGCCCCACCATGAGTTGATTTTCCAAAGGGGGGAGGGTAAAGAATAATATAATAACTTTCTTGAACAAAACTTTTTAACTTGAATCAATGTCTCTGTTACCCGCCACAACTTTGCGGTGACGCCTAGAACCAGACCTTCGATCTCTCCCGCGCCTTGGGCCCCTCTTACCTGGGCCGTTTACAACCCTTTCGGGCAAAGTTTCGACTGATGGTTGAACTGGTGGTTCGTTACTTATAACTGGTGGCGGCGGTGGTGGTAATAGTGGTGGTGGAGGAACAGCCACAGGAACACGAGGAGCCAGGTGCTCCAAAACATCTCTATGATATTTCTGTAGACAGCAATAACACATATAAAAATACATCAAGGAACATGAGAAAAAAGAATAACCAAACTGCAAATGCACCCCAGTAACCCCACCACCATCAAAAAGGAAAATACATGTTTCTTCTGGGTACTTTAAATGAACACCATACACTAAAAACACATAGCTCCAAACCTTATGCATTAAATAACTACCTGAACAACAAAATTGCGCCTTTCACAGTCGTAGAACATATTGATAGTCCAGTTTGTCCTTTCCCTGATGTGGTCTCTGACAGTGGAGAAACTAATTTGGTCCCTGGAAGTAAAACGATCAACTTCATTGAACCAAAGACAAGTGAATAGGTTGCTGATAGGTACGTGCTCCCTTATTATTACACATCCTTCAGGAACATCTGCAGCAAGGCCAAAACAAAGAAACTTAGTAAAGCAAAACATATATGATTTATTATAACAGTCAGAAGTTCCACCTACCACTTATAATAGGAAGCTTTGCCTCAGAATATGGGGCCAAACCTTCCTTTTTGTAAAACTCAATCTGGAAGTCAATAGAAGCATTGTTGTATTTTCCAGCTGCTTTATTTGCCTCAGCTTCCGTAAACACGTCAAAACGTTTATAATGTTTAGAAATTGCAAAAGTTGCATTTTTTCTCCACAAGAACCTGAAATATTGTTTTTTTAAAGGATGCATAAGCATGGATACTGGTAAAACCAGATAAAACTTGGCTGGATAAAACCAGTATGAACAGGGTGTTATTTGCTTTTCAAGATGATGTTTATACCCAAATAAGTAAAACATTGAAATTGATTGCATAAATGGACAAGATCCTAACAAAGATTAAGAAGACCTATTTATCATGATAGTAATACCTTTCAAGAATTTGATATGGATCCACGACAAGTTCAAGCTTCCCATCAATCCATAAAGAAAAGCGGGCATTTGGAAACATCCTATGCACTAGAAGCTTAGGAATCTGGAAAAAAAAATATACTGAGTCAAAAGGCACATCAAGGTACAACAAATGTATATGACACACAGCATTCTTCCAAGGCACCACCCCCACTCTTAGCATAAGGTACTACAAATTTGACGAATGTAATCAGCCCCATTAATCCTAGTTACACATTTAAACACAAGGCAACACCACCACCCTTAGCAAAAGGTACGACAAATTTGAAGAATGTAATCATACCCATTAATCCTAGTGACACATTTAAAAGCAAGCCAACACCACCACTCTTAGCAAAAGAAACACACCATTCACACTAAATTCGTTCCTTCCTTCTAGAGAAGCTTAAATTATATTTTACATGTTTCCAAATCATCGTAATGTTCACTTTTGACCAACATCTTACACAACATGATCACAACACCAGTCTAGAGATTATTCAGGAAACTAGACAATTCACAAGCCAAACTCTGCTCTAGAGTCAACAAAACTTGCAGGCAAAGAATTATAAATCTTACCTTCCCAGTGCGCCTTCCATCCGTATAAGGAGGGTTATGCACAACAACAGTTCTCCATATACCAACTTTCCTATCGCTGCCCAGTTTTCCAGAACTCCTCAAATAAGCTTCTGTCACCTCATCTATAAACATGTAGAAGCAAACGGTCTCCTTGGAATAATCACTAATGTTTGTCGGCTGGTTTATCTCATCAAAATTCCCTGACGGAACAGATTTAATTGATAAGGAAGGCACCATATTTATCTAATAAAAAGTTGTTTCTAAATCATACTGAACATTACCAAATATAGCTGATGCAACAACCACACCATGACACTGCTCCATATCGTGTAGGTCAACCTCATCCATATCATACCCTGTATTGCGTCCAGGTTTACTTCCTCCAACAAATCTGATTGATGCACAAATCCATCAAACAAAATGCACCATAAACGTAAATGAGTGAAGGGCCAATGGAAGTAGTACTCATTATTACTAGACTAAATCATTTTTAAAAAACCAAAACTCAGGTAAATGTAAAAAATATATAATCAAAATAAACGTTGGTGCATACAAAAGTATTAAGGAAAGCTTGACCAAGGTAAATAAAAAAACATACCCACAGTGCACACTCATTGACTCTCTTATATCATAAGAATCACTCCTTTGCTTCAAAGTAGGATATCCACCAAAGTCTGAGCCTCCAAATTCTGTTTCTCTAGACAAATTTTCTTCATAAATGTATGTTAAATTCTTAAGAACAGGAGAATCTGAAGGGACCTTTGGCATCAAGGCTATGGCTTCCTCCACAGGAAGGTAACATACTGGACAAGCTGAATTGTACAGGACGGAGAAAACTCAGCAACATCATTAACATCACATAATTTGAGAGATAAGGTCTGGAATTACAAAAAGAAAGGAAAAGAAAAGGTAGAAACTTACGCCGCGGTCCAGTTCTTTTTTTATCTGCTGGTGGGGGAGGCAATGTGAATAGATTACATGGATGCCCAGGAGGAAGGGTGTAACCCAGAAAAACAGCAGGGGGAGGAGGAGGCAATGCTAGCGAAAAAGTCACGTTGTTACTTTGCGGTCCATGTGTTTGCAAGGATCCAAGATAACTTATAGTGATGCTATTGTTAACACTAATGTTTTCGACACTGACGCCTTGTTCATCTTCACCTATATTTGAGCCAATATGCATATATTACTTCCTCACACAAATCAAATATGTAATTTTGAACCATAAACATGGATATCAAGTAAAAACAGTTAGCAGAAACATAAGGAAGAATAGCCTAAGCTAAGGATTAGCCCAATCAATGTGCTAGACTAATCCTTTACTTTTAATTGGGAAAGTATGTTACACCCACCTCTCTTCCCCGTCTTCAGAATTGAACTCAATAGTTTAATCTAAATCATCTAATATCAACTTAAACTACCCAATATCCACATCAAAGCAGAAAACTAATCCAGAATCAAATTATTAACTTAAGAAATCAAGCATGCAAAGGACTATGAATCAAACCTTTTCCAATGTACAAAACCCAGACGAAAACCGCGGCGGAGATGAGACAGAGGAACAACATTCCAACCTTTTTGCGGCCGGCAAACTTGCAGATCCAATGGAACAACCTCTCCTTCTCCTTGAGCATCTTTGAAGGCTTACGTGCAGATTGGATTGGCGACACTCCGTTGTTGTTGTTCTGTAGCTGTTTATCCAAAGACCCATAACTCCCTGAACGAATCCCCAATGACCCTCCAGTCATTGTTGATCCAAACCTTCATGTACACCTCTCATCTCCCTCCCAGCCCTCTCATTCAAAATCTCTCACAACACAGACTTTTCTCAATTACCCACTTAATAAAATCCCAAATTTTCAAAGACACACTTCACCAAATCAGCCCCAGAATTAGGGGCACTTCCAGATTTCACTGAATCACAAGCTCACCTATCTGCCCAAATGCACTTAAACAAAACCGCCCCACTAACACTCAGAGAACTCAACCTTCCAACTCTGGTTTTCTTAATTCCAAGAGACAAAAAGTTGGGAGTAAGAAGCAGGAGCCAATATGCTTCTGGGAAACAAGTATCACAGAAAACTAAGAACAAAAATTTTGCATTTAATCACTGAAATAAATGAAATATGAACAAAATAAGAATTTGAACTCTATGATGGGGTGGAAAATCTGGGATTGGTGATTGGGTTTGTAGGGTTTATAGCATAAATCTAGGTTTTTATGAAATCTAGGTTTTTTGTTTCTGAAGAAATCTGGGATCACAATTTACAACCAGCTTTCTTTTATGTTTGCTAATTTTGAGGTGATGACGGAGCGGAAAAATTCTTGGATTATTTATATTGTCCCAATTACGAAAAAATTTAAATTAAAACATGGGAATTCCTGATTGGCAAACCTGCGCCATGTGCATAATGTTAACAGCCGGACGGTGATTTCTCACTTATTGTGGTACTAATATTTCGTGCTACCTATGCTCAAACAGAGACGTTTGGCAATTTGGGAATTTTTTTCCTTTTTAAATATGAAACAAAGGTCTTGGTCATTGAAATTGAAATGCGTGTTAACAATTTTCAATTACTTCCCAAATATATATATATATACCAGTTTGTTGTCTTCTTACTTTACTTTTGATTTTTCATTTTCTTGTTTACCGTCTTCAAAATCAAAATCATTTAAATATTTTATTGACAAAAAAAAAAGAAGATCATTGAAATATTTATTTTTCCTTGAAAAAGAGTTTCTTGGGATTTCATTTGATAAAACAATAGGTCCTGTTAGACTTGGGATTGTCCTCAATAGGCCAGGTCATCTAAATTTGATAGTGACCCAAGTTTTACAGCACTTTAGTGCTACTTTTACAATTTTACAACTTGCAAGCATGTATCACATTGATATGCGAAATTACTTTTAACAATGGGAAGTTAATTACTTTACTTGTGAATTTTTTTTTTTTTTTTTTTTTTTTTTTTTTTTTGTGACAGTTGCATCATTATGTGGCGTTATCAATTCACTTATATTATAATACGTGTATTTGTTAATATTATACCTTATATTCATAGAATATTAACCACGTCATCTAATAATATCATATATCTGAATTAGTAACGTTTCGTAATGGTGTGAACATCACACCCTAATGATTGTTTTTGCACAATTCAATTGTTAAGTACCAAGTACACGTTTTTGCACCGAAAAAACAATAACTTCTATCAAAATAGGAATACAAAAATGAGAAGGTCCCAATGCATTAAACATGTAAAGATTTTGTGCAGCTTTGGAGTCGCTTGCCATGCCCACACTCTAAGGGAGGGGAGAACATACTTTCATTTGATGCAAACTCCTCGTGGGGCCCTCTCTTTGTTTATTTGGGCCAGATGTGAGCGATTCAAAATTAATGAATGGAAAGACGCCCAAGTTGCGAATTGATCAATGGGATGGATGCATGGATTTAATTCCAATATTGGGTAAGCACAAACAATAGCCAAAAGCTTTAAAACATTCGTCAAAATAGCTTGCTACATAATGTGGACATGACGACTTATTTAGAAAAAGACCACCGCTAATTATAATTAGATGCGTTAAACCTTATAGTCTAAATCATTCAAGTCCCTTTCCGCCAAGTCATTGCTTTTTCCAAGGTTTATAATTCAAAATCATGTGTCGAAACTTTCCAAGTTGCTTCCAATCCAAGCCAAAGGTCAACGTCCAAGAGGAGCAAGCTAGACCACGACTTCACCACCTTTCTGCTCAATGAGCATATCCCCGTGGGCTGAACCATCCCATTGAATTGCATCGTTTATTATTATTTATTTCTGGCTTTTGTAAACAATGGACCATATGGTTCGCATGCTCTGCACCATGGAAGCCTCAAGCCCGCGTGCACAGGTAGTCCTCAACCTAATGTAATCCAATATATATATGATATTTTACTTTAATTTAATATAAATTTTCAAGAGGGGGATTCGAACTCAGGTGGTACAGAGTGAGGAGCACATCCGCCTCTGGCCAATCTAACTAAGCTCATGTCTGTCTAACCTATAAAATTTAGAAAGCAATAAAAATAGAAATCACCTTTGATTGTTTATTATTTACTAAATATGGGCTTCATGCATGGATTGGCATGTTTATTCTGGTTAGTGGGCTTCGGGCCTATTCAACACTCTTGGCATATCAGAAATTCTCAGATCTTCTTTTCATAATTGTGAGCATTTATGTTGGCAGTCAAGCATGATGCATTATGGGCAAATTTTCCTTTTCTTGTACAACTTGGAACTTGGTAGTTTGAAATGAAATTAAGTATATATTGTTGCTTGCATCTGCTGTTTGAATAAGGGGCTCCAAATCCAAAGGGTGTTTCCAGAAAGACAGATAGGTGGTCGTCTCTCCTAGATGACTTTAAAAAGTCCATTAGTTGTGTGTTAGAACTTGAAAAAATGGATCATCTTTTTGTCTCCTCTGTTTTTTCTTCTCATTGCTCTAATAGCTCTCTCCTCGAGTCTTATATGTTGAAGCTTTCGTGCTGACTGATCCGCACCGCAGGTACTAGTTGACTATTTCACTTTCACTTTCGAGGCCACTTTATAGTTGACAGCTTAGGGGTTGAGGTTTAATGGTTTCTTTTAGGTTTGGAGTTGAGCATTGACTTGTACGCAATGTTTTTATAGAGATAGAGGAGAGCCATGGGAATGGGGCTCATTGTTTTCTTCTTCTCATCACTTGTGCGCAAAACCCATGTTCACATCCTTCAATTACATGTAATTAATCCAAAGATTGACTTTTGTATATGTTTCTTTTTCAATGAGTAAGTTTAGATGAGGGAATTTAAAAGTACGAAGGATTTCATAAATGACGGAATTTAAAATGACGGAAATTGATATTCTAGAATTCGTAAAGTTTCTTGTTTGGGTGACTGATTTAAAACACCGAATTTAATCTTTATTTGTAAAGTTAATTTTTTTTTTAAACTCAATATCTCTTGGCATTTTAGAAATGACGATTTTCAGATATAATTTAAAATTGGGATTTATGATCTCCAAATTCCATGTTTTTTCCCATGCAAAATTTCTAAATTTCTATGTTTTTTTATCCAAACACGGGAATTGGTTCATATCAATTTAGAAATTCTGAGTTTTGTCAAAATCCAAAGTTTATTTCTCTCATTCAAACGCTCCATGAGAGTTTCATTATCTTTCTTGTAATTTTCCACTCACATTAATTTATCTGTCTTGCTAACACAAACAGACGCTCAGACCCTAAAAACGACAAATGAAAACCCCGCAAACAGACAAAGACAACCACCTTTGCTTGCCTGACAGAAAAAGAATTACAATGATGAATTTGGAAAACAAAAGCAAGCGAATCAACCGGCCAAAAGTGGAAAAAACAGATCAAGTAATGACATCAAAACATTGGATTGGAAAATATAAATAACAAATCCAATGTAAAATATAAAATAATTACAATGACATAGACGCTTTGGTGTGTTCTGCCACTCGTGGTTGCCCATTTAGCCCATTTTTTCATTATTTATTCCGTCGTTGATTATGATGGGCTACCATCATGTTCACATCTTTCATGATTGTCTGGAAAATCCCCATCTCTTTAAATTTATTTAAACCCATGTTCACATCCTTCATTTACATATAATTAATCCAAAGACTGACTTCCGTATATGCTTCCTTTTCAATGAGAGTTTCATTATCTTTTTTAAGCAAGCCAACTCGGAAGTCAAACAACTTGCTTGCTCCCCATTTCTTATTGTACGGATAGCAAATAGGTTTTTCTCGAGTGGCCCAAAAGTACGTATAAGCAAGCCAACTATGCTTTGAGAGAGAGAGAGAGAGAGAGAGAGAAGCAGCGGCTGCTGCCCTTTGAATTTGAACATGTACCAGAATCTATCTGTTGTTTCGTACGAAAGAGGCGTTCGTTGACTTTTCAACCTCAAAGTTGGGCTACGTTTTCTCTCGAAATAACCAACATGCCATTTTGATATTCATATATGAGCCAAGCCGTCAATGTCAAGTTCACACTGGTTGACTGAGAATATTATTTCTTTTAACTCCAATTTCCACATAGAAATCGAATCACGCAAATGATGAAGGTAAAAGTTGTTCATTTTCTAATTTTCAATTTCGTTTATATATGATAAAAAGTTACTTGTAACTCAAGTAGTTAAAAATAATTATCAATACATCTGCTTAAACCGATAGAAATTTCAACTATTTTTTTCTTTGTCTGGAAATTTCAACAAAGAACATTGCACCAGAAAAAAAGAAGAAGATATTATTATCTCTGCATGCTTTCATGTGCACGGTCCCAGCCACATGCCCTCTTGAGTCGGCAATTGCCTTCAGCCAGACAAGCAAACCCACCACAAAAATGAAAGCCAAATGCCATTTTCGTAGTTACCCCAATATACAAGGGCAAAAAAGACACATCTCCAGCTGAAATTTATGGGTTTCTTTGACTACACAAATCACATATGTCCAGCTACTGTAAACAAAATAATAATAAAAAACCCTTCTCTGCATCCCCAGTTCATTTCATTCATTTCTCTACATGAATGAGCTTCCTCTGTTTTTCTACAATGAAGGAAACAAACCAGCATCCCAAACCTCTCCTCCTGCTAATTTTACTGCCTGCAATCCTATCTCTCCAATCAGCTTTGGCTGTGGACTTTGTGTTCAATGGCTTCAACTCCTCAGACATGCTGCTTCTCTACGGCAACGCCACCGTCGAATCTCGAATTCTAACACTCACAAACAGCACAAATTTCTCCATCGGCCGAGCACTTTACAAGTCCAAGATCCCCGCCAAGGCACCAAACTCTTCGTATGTGCTTCCTTTCTCAACTTCTTTCATTTTCTCCATTGCTCCTTACAAGAACACTCTCCCTGGCCATGGCATGGTTTTCATTTTCACCCCGGTTACCGGCATCAAAGGCACGAGCCCAAGCCAGCATCTTGGGCTCTTCAATTTCACCAACGAGGGCAGCCCCAGCAACCATGTGTTTGGTGTGGAATTTGATGTGTTCGAGAATGAAGAGTTCCAGGACATTAACGACAACCATGTTGGTATTGATGTGAATTCCCTTAAGTCTGTAGAAGCACATGAGGCAGGGTATTGGCCTGAAAATAGCGATGGCAGTGACGACAAGGATTTCAAGAAATTGAAGCTGAACAGTGGAGAAAATTACCAAGTTTGGATTGATTATAAGGATTTCTTTATTAATGTTACTATGGTAAGAGCGGGCATGCAAAGGCCTCGAACCCCAATTTTGAGTGCTTTTTATAATTTATCTGATGTTTTTGAGGATGAAATGTTTGTTGGGTTCACAAGTTCAACAGGGCAGTTGGTTGAGAGCCATAAGGTTTTGGCTTGGAGCTTTAGCAATTCCAACTTTTCGTTGAGTGAGAGCTTGATCACTTCGGGTTTGCCTTCTTTTGTGCTTCCAAAAAGTCCGATTTTCAAGTCAAAAGGTTTTATTGCAGGAATTGTAGTGGGTGGTTTGTTTGTAATTGGTGTATGTGCTCTGTTTTCTCTGTTTTTGATTAAGAGGCATAGGAGGCTAGCAAGGGAGAGAGAGGATATGGAGGACTGGGAATTGGAGTTCTGGCCGCATAGAATTACTTATCAGGAAATCGAAGCGGCTACGAAGAGTTTCGGAGAAGAAAATGCGATCGGGGTTGGAGCCAATGGGAAGGTTTACAAAGGTGTTTTGGCAGGAGGGGCAGAAGTTGCAGTGAAGCGCATTTCACATGAAAATGATGGAATGAGAGAGTTCTTGGCTGAAATTTCAAGCATCGGGAGATTGAAGCACAGGAACTTGGTAGGGTTGAGAGGTTGGTGTAAGAGAGAGAAGGGTAGCTTCATGCTGGTCTATGATTATATGGAAAAGGGAAGTTTGGACAAGAGGGTGTTTGATTGTGATGAGAGTAAGATGTTGAGCTTTGAAGATAGAATTAGGATTTTGAGAGATGTGGCTTCAGGGGTTTTATACTTGCATGAGGGTTGGGAATCCAAGGTCCTACATAGGGACATTAAGGCAAGCAATGTGCTACTTGATAAGGAAATGAAAGGAAGGCTTGGGGATTTTGGGTTGGCAAGGATGCATGGTCATGGTGAAGTGCTTGGCACCACTAGGGTGGTTGGAACCATAGGGTACCTGGCCCCGGAAATCATACGGGTCGGGCGAGCATCGGATCAAACTGATGTGTTTGGGTTCGGGATCTTGATTTTGGAAGTAATGTGTGGGAGGAGGCCTATAGAAGATGGGAAGCCACCTTTGGTGGAATGGGTGTGGCAACTTATGGTACAAGGCAAATTAATGGATGCGTTTGATGAGAGGCTTAGGGCTAAAGGAGAGTTCAACGAGGAGGAAGTGGAGAGAGTGCTGCATTTGGGATTGTTATGTGCATATCCTGAACCAAATGCTAGACCATCAATGAGACAAGTGGTCAAAGTCTTGGAGGGGAAGAATGATCAGCCGGAGGAGTCTGAAACTGAGGATATGGATGCATATTTGCTCCACAAGTTGCAATCCAAAGAGATGTGGTCTGATTTTTCTCAAACTTTTAGGTATGGATCAGCACACCCAACTTTTGAGGATATTAAGCAGTCCATATCCACTTCAATGTCTCTGTCTTGGTCCAATACTAGCATGGTGGAGGGCAGGTGAATTTCCATTACGCACCAAATGCAACGGCGGAGTTACGTACGGGTCTGAAGTTGTCTTAACCCCTCAAATTTTACATGAACAAGACTACCGATATATCCATGGAAGATTACCCGAACGATAAGTAGCTAGCTCCACCACATGGAAAGGGGATTTTCCTCTTGCTCTTTTTTACTCCCACATATATTCATTCATTTTCATTGGATTGGGTGACGTAGAGGAGTCTTCTCTTTCTCTCTCTTTTCAAATCAGAACCGTACATTTGTATTATAGCATACTTTACGACATAATACGAGTGATTTTTAGCTTAACATGCACTATCATGTTACTACTAATAAAGTTACGTTGTCTTTTTCACTATTGTGACTCATTTAGCAATTTTTTGATGCATTCCCATCTATTGACATGGCAACCCAAGAACAACCACTATTTACATGAGATATGAGAAGACAAATTTGTAAGGATTTTGGTATGTAAAGAACATGACTGTGTATTTATAGAAAGAAAAAAAAACTGAATTTTTTGGTATTTAAATTGGCCGATGATGTCACGCTGACGTTAGCTTGCCTAGTCAAGTCTTCCCCAGTTTCTTGGGCCTACTTCTTACCATGACAACTTTTCCTTCGTAGAGATTGTTTTTGAAGCCTAAGCCCTCTTTTGACAAAATGAAATAGGCGGAAGTGCCCTTAGACACCAACTTTTAGATGGCAATTGAGTAACAGCCTGAGTGAGAAATTTTTCACCACGATTTGCTATGAGTGAAAGCTCTTGCGTTGTTACAGCTTGACCATCAGTATTCATATGGTTAGGTAGGAAAGGTTGGTAGAAATTAGAACCATCCACTTTAAAAAGCTACATCAATTCATATTTAATCAAATATGTAGGGTCAGGTTGGGCTGTCCCTATCTTTTGTGGGTTTAAAGGTCTTTTCAGATGGTTAGGCCTGGCCTAGGAGGCTAGGACCCGGGATATGTTTACCTTGACTGACAGGCCCATTGGGCTACCAATGAACTTCAGAGGTGATCGCTTGGACTATATTGTATTGTTCATGCGAATGGGCCTATTCGAGTTGCGACAAGCTTCAGCAAGCATACAATTGGGGCTCATTTGGTTCATGGAATAGGAATTAAACGATAATGCATATTCTCAAGAGATGAGAATGGAAGATTTTCATTCCCGTGTTTCTGTCCGTCAACAACCAATCGAACTATGTATGCATCCACATACATTCATATTTACATATAACAAACCTGCATACGTACATACATACATATACATATATATATTTAGAATGGACAAAGCATGTGCGGAGACGTACTCTGTATCTCCTTTTTCCTAAGGGATGGGGTGCTTTTGGAGTTGGAAGGTCCACACGTCAGTTCTAGTGTTGCCAAAGCTCTTGATTCTGCATTTTCAAATGATTTATTTCCAATTAACAAGCAACTATAAAGGTTGCTTTGCTTCTTGCCACTCAAATTATTAGCTTGGGATGAACTTCTACCAACTATTTAATCTCTTACAATCCTCCAAAAACAGAGAGAAAAGACGAGAGTGATGCGACGCCAGTGTAATGTCTTGTTGCCTTAATTGGTTTTGCTTTGCTTGGGAAGGTGAAGTCTGAGTGCACATATATGACATGCAACTCAGCTCAGCTGTCATATCATTTTCATTTCAGGATAGCTTATACGTGCACCACAAAATTTCTCTCTGGTTTTTGTCGTATCATGTAGTTTGAGCTCAGGATCTTGCTGCCCAAAATTGGGGGTTCTTGAATTTTCTGACAAGCCATCATGTGGCTCATTGTCCCTGCCAAATGTTGCTGGCAGAAGTCCACAAATATATCATCTGACTGAACCTTCATAGTTCTTCCTTTTTTTTACACCAGAACCTTCACCATTTTTTCTTTTTTAAAACAAGTGATAGTCTAAACTAAACTATATTATTCTAATCACGAGAAAGGAGAGTCGAACTTAGATAGAAGGAGGCGAGCTCACTGACCAACTGGCCTAACCCACTTTTGCGACCTTTATGCCATTTTATATTAACTGCTCATTTGATCAATCAAGCTTCTAAACTTGGTAAGTGGACACACCAAATTAACCAAACCCTTTTCTGTCTTAAGCCGACCAAATTAGACCAGATCATTACAATTTGAACAAAGCTATAGCAGATAAGGATCCTACCTAGCAAGCTAGCCAGGCTGATCAGATTGATTAATGGTCTTATCATCTTCTTACACAATCATGGCATTAAAGAATTCAGATAAACACCGGCATTGTGTTATGCATGTTTTGGATAATCAGTACAGATCGATCTGGGACAGGTTAACAAACGCATGTTGAACACATGCCATGAAAATGAAATGATCGATTTGCTAACAAACAGTTTACAATTCAAGGTTGCCAAAATGTCACCTTCTCTTCTGGCATCTTCTATTATGTAGTTCTTATCCTTTTTCGAGCAAGCTTTTATCCAAAGGCTCCACACATGTTCAATACATTATTATTGTCCAAATCCATACATATATATATATATATATTTACACCTGTAACTCTTAGATTGATCAGATGGTTTAATCTTGTCTATATGTACCAGCCAAAAATAGTCGTTGTTATCATCATCTCATGTTGAAGTGGTCAAACTTGGCATGATTAATTTATGGGATACAAATAAGAGATTCTAATTAATTGACTGAAAACAAAATAGCAACTATAAATTATACAGTTTGAAGGGAAAAAGTGACTAATAAAGTTAATTGGTATCTGCATTCTTAGTGAAATTAGATTCCGAGTTTGTTTCTTATTGTGCGTTTAAGGTATAGCCAACGTATTATATTAGGTTTAATTACCTAAGATGGCATCACCATAGAGTCATAGACAATTAATAAACAATGACTATAGTCTACGCACCAATAAACAAAATAATATCAATAAAATACTATAACTAGTTATTTATCCTCCTATCAATAAAATGCTATCGCTTTTCCCTCTTAAAAAAAAAAAAGAAAAAAGAAACTTTATTAATTACATATGAGTGCTTGTGAAAGATGTTTCAAATTCGGATATCCTCTTTCTCATATAAAAACATACTTATTGTAGAGTTTTTGTTTCATCTAAAGGGGATCAAAAGATTAGCATTGAGGACGCGGAAAAGATATTTGATGGGATAATGATCGCAAAACTAGACATAATATAATAGATGAGTATGAACATGTAAAACAAAACCAACAATGCTTAGACAATAGTTTAGTTAATGTTTGGAAAGGATTAGAATCTTTTTTGTGATATTTTTACCAAAAAGTGTTGGAATTAATATTATAGTGAAAGACCTAAATAACCTACCTGCAGATACCGATGCCTAACTTGACCAATTCTAGGTACCTAAGATCAATATAATTTTTTTTCTTAGCTTTGCTCTCCCATGTGCGTTAGGTCTAATATACTTAAGACTGATGCAGCCATAATTAATAAAATAGCTTTTGTTTCATATTGAGTTATGTATTAGCTCAAAAAAAATTAATGATACGTTTTCGTTAAATTTCAGAAATCTAATAATTACGTATATCTTTAGAAAATGAATCCGTACCTAATATCGCTTTAAATCAGAAATATTACTAGATCAATAGCTAACTTCACGAATTTTAGTTAGGTACCCTTAATTTCAGGTGAAAATTAAACCATTCTTAAACATGACATTGAAATTGGAAATCAATCACATCCATCACAGAAAACATAGAAAATGTACGTTACCCTAGCATGTGGACAAAGTGAATGCACATAGACCCATTCTGGGCATGGTTCAAACGATTGGACCGTAAAATGACGAAAGTGCCCTCAAATTATGCGGAAAACAGGGGAAAAAAGAAAGAGAGAATGTGATTGGCGAGTCCAAGACGCCGCGTATTCGTAACATTCTCAAATCTAATCTTAATCTTGCAAAAGACATTCAAAAATTACGATATTAACTAGAAGGTACTAATAATGGGTTGGTTGAGCGACAGGTAGGCCCCGCTAATCGGATAGAGCTCGAGCATCAACGGCTCTGATCGATCCAAATTGCAACATCTAAGACACTCAACAAACATCGTGTCATCTCAATCATTCCAGCCCTGGTGGTCCCACCACTCACAAGATCATGATAGAGATGCATCGTCACTTTTTTCGTTATTTTATTTTATTATTCCTCTGCACTATTTTATAAAAACATTTGAGGTAGAAAATAAAAAACAAAACCAGAAATAAAAACAGAAGCTGGATATTCGAGTATATCCAGATAGACTGTCGCAATTATTGGACATGACTTACGTGGATCCCTGCTGTCCGGCCCAATCTCTACCAAAAACAACCGAACCGCTTCGATTTACCTCACCAAATTGGATGGAGCCACGTTGGTAAATAGCGTCCCCCTCTCATGTGCGCGGCCGCGGCTACCTGTAGTCCACGTTGGTCTTGTGGGCCCCACCATCATCCAAACTTTGGTTTTGGTATTTAAGCCCAATGTTATTCCTCCATTGTTCATGCCAATACGCTCACACCATTTGTGTAGCAGCTAGAAATTAATAGTAGCGTGGGATCTCTTTAATGGCCACAACTCCTGCCACCGCCCAACAATTACTGGCGGCCAGTTTTTCTGGCATGGTTTTCGGGTTTCTTGAGGATTGTCAAGAATTCCGGGAAAGCTATAGCAGCAGTAGCGATGGAAGCCAAGTAAATGAAGCCTTCTTGTTAGATGAAGAGGAAGAAGAAGCTGGAAATCAGGAGGAGAAGGACAGGAGGTTTTGGGAAAACCAGCACCAGCTTTTACAAGTAATTGTTTACGCATACGCATTTGTATACATAATACAAAAATGTTATGTTATCAAACTATGAAGTTAGATAATACATTGATTTAGAGTCTAACAACATAAGTATCTGTCACGTGTTTTGCAGGCGACCTTGTGCAGGACTAGTTCTCTAGAGACGAGAATTAGGAGTATGACAAAAGAGGCGGTGAAGGAGATAAATAGAGAAGGGACAGAGTGTGGTTGTGGGAAACCGATGGCTAGCGGTTGCCGGAGCTGCCTAATGAGAGAAGTTTCCGGCCGGCTTTGCAATGCTGGTTACAACAGTGCCATCTGCACGTCTAAGTGGAGGAGTTCGCCGGATATTCCTTCAGGTAAAAACAGATTAAATATATAATTTAAATACTTCACTAATTAATTAATTAATACAATATATCCCATCACACACCTTCTTTTTTGACCTACCTTGCTCTTTTTTTGACCTTCTACCTAAAATAATACAAGTCTGCACACAAATGTTTAGTGTCTTCTATAATTAGCACGTACAGCCCCTTTGGGTTTTTTAATTCCTTTTTTAATAAATAAGATAAAAAGAAAAACAGAGCAGTTGATTAAGGTAGGTAGTATCTCGATATCACACATTCAAACAAAAATCTATATGATCAATGGGTCAGATTGAACCAAGGTTAAGATGCTAATGATGCCTTTGCTTTCATTATTGTTCAGGAGAGCACACATTTATTGATGTGGTGGACAGTTCAAACCCTAAGAAAGGAGAGGTGAGGGTGATTATAGAACTCAACTTCAGAGCAGAGTTCGAGATGGCCAGAGCAAGCAATGAATACAATAATCTGGTGAACCGGCTTCCTGAAGTGTTTGTTGGCAAAGTTGAGAGACTACAAAACCTAATTAAAATCTTATGCTCAGCTGCAAAGAAATGCATGAAGGAGAAGAAAATGCACATGGGGCCATGGAGGAAGCAGAAGTACATGCAAGCTAAATGGCTCAGTCCCTGCAAAAGAACTACATCAACACCACTTTTATCAGTGGGAAACTCTGGCCGGTTGCGGCCGAAGCCGAAGGAATCCATGCTAACGGTAGATTTGCTGGAGATGCTGCCTAACAGTTATTGCATCACAGCAGTTGAAGTTGTGTGATTTTAAGCAAGTTTTTTGGTTCATCTTCTTGCTTTGATCGTTTTGAAATAGTCAAGTTTCTAATACTTCTGAGCTTAGTGTATGTATACTATATGTGTAAAGGAAAGAAGATCATCTAATTAGTAATAATGGATATGAAATCTGTTGTTGCCCACTGTAATACTGCTTCTGAAAAAAAAAAAAAAAAAAAAAAAAAAAAAAAAAAAAACAAGGGGGAGCAATTGTAATTCTTTTAGCTTTTTACACATTTTCTTGCTGATGGAGGCACAAATTTTAACATAATAACTTCTTCAATCAAGAACATGGGGAGTTTTTGTTTCTAGGAAAACATGCTCTGTTTGATGAAATTTCATTTTATTACTAATTAAGACTTGCTTGGTAGATGGAACATGATTTTCACACAGATGTATGAGCAGCCTAACACAGTTGCATATAGGACACATTAAACATCCAACATCACTAATCATAATCAGCATCATCATCAGCATCATAGGTAGATTCATGAACATTTTCTTGATTCGGAACGTGTGATTTATAATTTGCTGGCCTTCCATCACCTCCCTCTTTAACATTTTCATAATCCTGCCTCAATTTGAAGTCATTTTCAGAGATGTCTGATTCATGCTCGATGGTGAGAGGGTTTTGTCCTTTGGCATCACCAGCATGAGTTATTATTGCCTTGGACTTTTTCCTTGAACTAGGAGCATGCTGCCAACAGATGAAGAACAAGCAATTATTTGTTTGATAAAAGGCAAAAGAAAGTTTGGTTTCAAACTGGAAATTCAAGTGTCTAAATTTTGAATTTGAAAGAATTCACTGCAAAGTAGAAGACCCTTAAACAAATTAGTTTTGTGTTTAAGTTTATAATCATGTAATTAGAACACAAAATGCCAGTTCTATTTAAGATTTACCGCCTTCCGCAACAAAAAAAATTCCTCAGACTAACCTTCTTGATCTTGAGCAGCATAGCAGGATTGGCACCGACAGCTCGTTTTGACCAGAGTCCTAATTTCAAGAAAAACAGTACATAGAGAGAAATAAACAGTTTGAGAACAGTTTTGAAGATCTGCATTTATATTTGTATGTTCAGAAAATTAATTGATGTGCTTAATTTTAAGGCATACCCTCGTTTAAAGGACCTTCAAATGACTGTGAATTGTCACTTGAAACCGATTTTAAAGAAGAACCTGCCCTCCTGCCCTGCAAACGAAGTGAAAAAGCAAAAACATCAGTTCACACGGTTGGTACGTTCTTAGAGAATAACCAGGAGATGGATTATGGATATGGGGTCCAAAAGAGGGATATGGTACCTTTCTTCCGGAGCTTTTGACCAAAGTAGGTTCACTAGTACTGGCATCTCGATAGATAAGCACTTTTCCACAACCACTGCATGATCTGAAGTAAACCAAAAAGAGAAGAAGCAAAAGCAGTGATATGGGTTTGTTCATGACTGCTTCTAAAAGGGCCACACGCACATGTACAAGCGTTTGGCATAAAATTTATTAAGTGTATCTAGAGAAACAATTTTTCATAAAAAAGCACTTTTGTGGAAACTATCTCAATTATGTAAAGTAGCAAAGATAATAAGGCGTTGCTTACACAAACTGAAGATCATCTCTCATTGGAGGAACAAGAGCTCCGCAATGTGAACACCACAACATTCTTTTTCTGAAGCGTTCACTTTACTCAATCTGTCTGGAAAAAAAAGAAAAAAAAGCCAATTAGTATATTGACTTAGTTAGTAACATCTTTTTCTTTGTTTTGCACAAATAGAGAATGGGGATCGAGCACATAACATTGGGTCTAATGATACATACTCTTAACTATTACAAGCTCACTCATATAACAAGTGAATTATGAATACTATAGTATGTGAAGAATCATAAATACTAGTGTGTCACGCTAGTTGTACGATACGCGATCATACACATTATATAACACATGGTGTAATTACGGACACTATTTTGTCTGATACTCAAAATTAGATTTGATGATAATTTGAAGCTTCAGCTAAGATTTAAATCACCTCGATAGAAAACACCACAAGTACATCATATACATATACGTACCTATATACGATAATAAATTAATAGGACACAAAAGAGCATAAATTAAAGTTCAGAAGAGTATTAATTTAAAAGTAAAACTATATTAGAAAAAGCACAAGGCCATATTTTGAAGAAGAGAGCAGACCTGTGAAATAAATAATTCTGGTTTAAAACAGACAGGAAGGAAGAAGCTAAGGGTTAGCAGCATATGTATGTATGGGAATGGGATATGGATTTTTAAAATATTTCTTTTCCTTTCCTTGTCCTGAAAAAAGAAGGCTTTCTTTTACTTTCCGTTTACTACGGCATGCGCGTCATTAAATTACACCAATATGATTGGTCCATTTAAATCACGCCCATCCGACCCTGTGGCCCATTGCCGCAATGCTCATTGGGTCAAAACCGGACCGGCCCAATTTATAGTAAACCAACGTGTGCCTGTCAAACATTTGTCAAAATTCAATTTTATTCGCTTGGGTTGGATTTATGTGAACATATGGGCTTTGTCTCAGTGTATCTTTGGACCTTTTTCTTTATTTCCACTTTCCTTTCTTTTCGTATAAGGAAGAAAAACTAAACCTCCATTTTCTTTTTATTCAATGATCAATTTACAGGTCATGGGATCCGGATCCTCAAATCATCCTTAAAATAAGATCTCAATTTACCTCTAATTAAAAATAGAAAAAAAAGAAGCCCTAACCTTATTACATTCAACTTAAAGTCAATAGCGTGTTTTTTTTCTTTTTCTTCCTTTCTCTCTTTCTTCAAACGTGTGTAAATATCATATCTTCAAAACTCGTGATCTCTTTCATTTTCCATATCAACACCAAAAAAGAATAGCATATATATATATATATATTATCTTTCCATATGTCCTAGCTCGATTTCCTGACTGCTGCTCACGAGTAGTCTGAAAATTACACATGTAGCATCACGTCTTTTTGCTCCAAGGATTTTTGCCTTTTACTAATCGCCTTTTTGCTCTAAGTGCACTTCCAACATTTGTATTGTTCAAGCTGCTTGCTATGGTAACCAAGTCCGCACAGAGTATTTGAAATCCACATAGATGGCAAAGGAATCACTCTTTTGGAACCACCCTAGCCATCCGTAATGGATATATGGGAATATAGATTTTGTTTTGACAGGAGAAAAAAATTGATAAGCCACTAGAAGTTTGTTTTATCTCTTATCGAATTTAGGAGCTCCTAAAAATCTCCATATTTTATGAAATGAATAAGAAGCATGGTTGATGCTGTATTTTTTCAATTATTCCATAAAATTTGTCTAATGAGGTGGTTTAGGGAGCCCATTACGTATGCTCTAACCAATTCATATACCTCTGGGAGACTACATAATCCTTCTAATCAAGTAAAAGATGATAGCTTGGAAATTGGAAAGAACCCTCCTAGTGTGAAAGCATGAAAAATACTTCTATACTTTTAAGTGTCATTGTCTCGTTCTCCTTATCTCATTCTCGTTTTAGAGTCTAGGCTTTTGCGTTTTCATTTACTCCATAAAAACTACGGTATTATGGTAATTTTCTACAAATACACATGTAGAAAATCAAGTAATCCATGTTTAGATAAAATTTAATGATGTAAAAGTCTAACGATAGAGTATTTACTCTCACATCGATGTTGGTAACTTCCATCTTCAGATTTTGCATGCATATCTATTCTAAAATTTAGATATATCCAACACATTTATCCCCGCATTCAAGATAAAAGTCGAAATTTTATCCACAATTACTATTTTTACTAATCCTAGATGCAAGGTTCCATAATCTCCAGCTCTTTACCTAACATAATCACACAGCAAACAGCAAAAGATTTACAATTTTAAGCTTTAACACGTCGAACCTCGCACGTACAGAGATATTGTTCCGTGGGAACCGTACCAGATAACCGTAGGTTCGTTGTCTTTCGGTGCCCGCTGGCGTTCGGCTTTTAAAAGTCATCCGTACCTCATTCTCTCCGATAACGACACATGTAATCCTACATTTTACATTATTTTAATCAAAGAATTCTCCTCTTCCTCCTCTCTCATCTCACCTTCTTCTCAAATCCGTCTTTTCTGACTTCCGCTCTGGTGGCCCCCACCCACCACCACCCCATTGAAACCCCACATCTCCTCACCGCACCATTAGAGAGACCTCACCAAAAATATCGGGGTCCATGGAATCTACGCTCCAGCTTATACGATACGTATAAGCAAATTGTCTACGGAAAAAATAGAAAAAATCTGCTAGGATTATTGGGTTTTTTTATATATATATATTATTTTATTTATAAATATTTCCTCCCTACCAAAGATCATAGCTTTCTTCCCATTACCCCATCTCGAATGTTGAAATGGTGAAATACAATTCGAATTCATGGTGATTTGTCGCCGTCATGTAGAAGCCATAACCCTTATGGTAAGCTTATCAGCTCAGACTTTTTACTTGGTTGCCCTTTTTTAAATATAATTTTTTGACTTTGTTTTTGGTGTGATATTATGTGGAATGTTAATTATTTTGCATCTGGGTATATTTTATTCTGTATTATTTTAGTGTGTTTTGACACAATGATTTTTTATTTTCTCTTCCGTGGTTGATGGGGTTGTAATCATGGGTGTTTCTTCGTTTTCAATATAATTGAGTACACTTTTGTTTTTTTGGGGCTTTTGTTTTTTTAATTTTTATTGAGTTGTTTATTGGGTCATGTGTATGAATTTCCAGGCTTTTACGGAAGGTGGTATTTGACTTTGAAACCAAAACAAGTTTGTTTTCGAGAGGTTAGAGGGTTTGGTGGTGCTCAGGGTCCATATTATTTGATTGGAAGGTCTGCTTTTGGATGGGATATGGTGGGTTTGATGGAATTTTGGTTCTGATGGAGATGAGATTGAGATTAGGATTTGATGCAGCCTCATTCTTCAAGGGTTTGAATGCTTTTCTGCTTTCAATGATGAAAAAAGTTTGATTTTTTTCTTCTTCCGTCCATCAGTTTATAAGCTAGAGGTTGTTGATGGGCTTGAAGAAATTTGGGTTTTCGAGCTCTTTAGTTGAAATTACATTGTTTAAAGAGTATCGACTTGGTTTTAAGCCGCCTTCTCAGCTAGAGGAGAAGGAGGAGAAGAAGATTAAGGAGGTGTTGTGGGTGTAAAGCTGGGTTGGATTCAGAGAATTACTGGGAAATATGGAGGAAGAGGCTAATTCTTGGATTAGGAGAACAAAGTTTTCTCATCGCTTTGATTCTTCAAGATTGGCCTCCCTTCCTCTAACCATTGAACAAGACCGGATTTCAGGGTTAAAGTCAAGGCCTATAGCAACAGCAACAGAGGCTCCTTCTAATCGGACTTCAAGTCTCGGTAATTCAAAGACTCAGAGGAACCATGTTCCTTCACGGTTTCAGCGAAATCTCATTATCAACAAGCAGAGATCTTTGTCCCCTCTGCCTCAGACCACCCTCTCTGATGAGTTTAAGGAAGCCAAGTCTGAAGCCAAGAGGTTTTCGACACCACATCCTAAGAGAAAAGTTATGGGAAGGTTATTTAGTAAGGATTCACAAACTAAGGTATCGAATCCGATGAATACGAGCCCCCTGAGGCACTTGGCGTCTATGAAAGTCAATGACAAGTCGAAGAACCGGAAGGAGTCGCCTTGGGCCAAGTACTTTGACCATGCCGGTGGCAGAATTAATGCTGTGGAAGCTGCCGACGAATTTAGTGTTGATTTGTCAAAGTTGTTTCTTGGGCTTAAGTTTGCTCATGGGGCGCATAGCAGGCTTTACCATGGTATTTACAACGATGAAGCTGTTGCAGTTAAGATTATCAGGGCTCCGGATGATGACGAAAGTGGAGTATTGGCAGCTCGATTGGAGAAACAGTTTAGTAGAGAAGTCACTCTTCTATCACGTCTCCACCATTCAAATGTCATAAAGGTGACTGAATTCTTCCTTTCTCCACCTTTCATATGTTATTTGGTTATGTAATTTTCTCCCTTGCCTTGTCAGAATTATTCTTTTGGCTTTCCAATTTTCGTATGCTGGTCAACCAATAGTCTATTATAGCTTGAAGTTTTAAGACGTCATATATGGTTTAACCATGTTTAGAACTATCATAATTGCGATTCATGCCTTTTAGTTTGCTGAAATTGTGTATCCTTTGTTACTGATATCTTGATCCAATGAAACAGTTCGTTGCAGCCTGTAGAAAGCCACCCGTATATTGTGTAGTCACGGAATATTTATCAGAGGGTTCCTTGAGGGCATATTTGCACAAACTGGAGGATAAATCTCTTCCTTTAGAGAAACTGATTGCCATTGCCTTGGACATTGCTCGGGGAATGGAATACATACACTCACAAGGAGTCATTCATCGGGACCTCAAGCCCGAAAATGTTCTTATTGATCAAGAATTCCACCTGAAAATTGCTGATTTTGGTATAGCATGCGAGGAGGCGTACTGCGATTCTTTGGCTGATGACCCTGGGACGTACCGTTGGATGGCCCCGGAGATGATCAAGCGTAAATCCTATGGGAGGAAGGTTGATGTGTACAGTTTCGGACTCGTCTTGTGGGAAATGGTGGCCGGAGCAATCCCCTATGAGGATATGAATCCCATTCAAGCTGCTTTTGCTGTAGTGAATAAGGTATGTTTCTGACTTTTATTTCCCGTCTATAGTTCGAACTTAGAAGGGTTGCATATCGGGCTCCTTCCCTTAGTCTGTGAAGGTTAGTCTTCAGTAAGTAGCAGATGAGGGTCATAACTCATAATGGAATGAGTTTGCAAGAGCTTTGAACTTGCAGCACCTTCAATATTGCCATTTACTCTTTCTTGTGAAGCTCTATATGCATACCTCTAAAATGAAAGTTACTTATAAAAAAGAAACTTCTAACTTAAAAGTTACATATGGAATACATTCTAAGATATTATGGGTTCTTTCTTTTCAGAATTTGAGGCCTGTTATTCCAAAGGACTGCCCATCTGCCATGCGAGTCTTGATTGAGCAATGTTGGTCCTTGCAACCAGATAAAAGGCCTGAGTTTTGTCAGGTTGTGAAGGTATTGGAGCAATTCGAGTCTTCCCTTGCCCGCGACGGAACCTTGACTCATGTACAAAATCTAATTTGCCAAGATCATAAGAAGGGGCTCCTTCACCGGATTCATAAGCTTGGTCCTGTGCATCCTCATAGCACACCCGTGCCCAAACCCAAGTTCTCTTGAATCTTTCTTATGATCTGGCTTTTGTAGTGTCACCAGGTCAATTGTAATTAAAAAAAGAAGGTTCGTTTTTCAAGCCTTTTTTTAAAAATTGTATTTCTCTATTATGTTATTCATGTGGAACAGTGGAAGTGAACAAATAGATTGATAGGCATGCATTGTAGTGAAAGCAAATATCTTTTTCATATTATTTACATACACAACAAATGCTTATCAATTTTGCATATTTTTTTCATCTCTCTCACTCTCTATCTCTTCAGAGAGAGAGAGAGAGAGAGAGAGGTGGAAAATGCCATATGGTGACAGTTATAGCTCCTTTTCTTTTGCAAGTTGAATATTCTTATTAGTTCTTCTTCTATCTGTACAAGCCTTTTTGGATTTTTATATATAAATTTTTATAAATTCACCTTTGTTCATGCAATCAATCAAGGATGGGTTTGGTTTTCACAACCAGAATGATTGGTACTCTGTTTCATTTTCATTCTATTTACCTTCCCAAGCATTTGAATGCATTCTTCATCAAACCAAACCAATAATGAAGTGGCTTGTCGAATTAGGCAATTGCCATACACACCCCTCTGTTTTCTTATTGCACCACCCAGTCATCTACTCTTTTGTCCAATTGTCTCCTCCCCTACCCCTTGCCTGCCTTACACGCTTTGAAGACTCTTTGATACAAACATAAATGTCTAGTTTTGAAACGAACGTGGATGCATGGCCTACATGTTTCGCCTTGCGTCATAATGTTTGATTACTTGTATGGAAATTTGGGTTCAAAAAAATCCGTGATCTTTGAACGGGTAGGTGGTGAAGGACATGTTCACATAAATTCTCAAAATGTTTTTGTGTGTTGTTCTGCCAAGAACACAACTGGGTTTGTCTGCTCATTCAAGAAACAACACAATTGTCTCCTCCTGTAGCTAAAGAGTTTAATGTTGCGATATGACATTTCGCTACCAACTCCCCTAACAGAATTTAGATGCATTGCATGGAGAATGGGCTTTCTGCTTTTGCCACCTATAACTTCCAACCCGTGATATTTTAGAATCCGTGACATTTTTCTTTCGATACAAGCGATATCTAAGAAGACGAAAATTGAAAACAGAACACCATGAGCCATGAATGCAATTGCACCAAGCAGTGAAAATGAAAAGGTAAAATTTCCCAAACCGTCAGATGATTCATACATAGTCGGTTCAAATGCAGTGGATCGTGATAATTTAATTGCATCATACAACTGTTGGGTCCTAAACATTGGCGTGAATGAATTAATTTTGTTAATGTGTCAACATTTGTTTGGACAAGGTCCTCATGTGTCGTGCATTTCTGGAGTTCACAATCTCATTACTTTAACAGACGTGACGTTTGCAAATTGCGGTCCATTCCATATACTTAGTGACGTATTTTAGATGCTTAATTATTTCCTTTTGACCAGACCAACCAACGGTAAACCATCCAATCCCCGCATTGCTCCAGCACCTTTGCCTACGAGATGGTTGGACTGGACTTCTTTTTATTCCCATTCTCTTTCTTTCCTCAATCGGTCCGATCCGCACAAGTGGTTGGTTCGTTTCGTCCAGCGGCCCACAAATTTTTGGACGTATAATTGAATTAACTGAATTAACATATCAACGATTCAACTAATTATTAATTTAGTGATATTTATTTTCATTTTGTTAAAAGATATTTTAAATTTGATTGTACCAGCAATGACTTTTTAACACCACCCAAACACGTTGCACCCAAGTTTAGCCTTATAAAGGGAGCAACACTTGTGTGCAACGAAGATAACACTGTTTTGCTATCTCTGACTAATCACGATATATCACGCGTGATAATTTATTAACTTAACATAGCACGATTGATCGGAATAACAAAACAGTATTATTTCCGTTGCACACAAGTATTTCTCCCTTTGTAGACCATTTAGCACCTACCCAATTGGCTCTTCCAAAGTTGTATGGTCAATTTCTGATCCCATGAAAGTGGTGACGGGGTTTTGAAATTTGCCTTTGGTTTTGGCAGACGTTTGGTTTGCTTGCTTCATAGAAAAGTTAGAAAGGGTCTAGGTTTCTAACTTCTAGTTCTACCTACCAAAATATTATTACTTAATTGTAGTATCAGATAGACTTCTGATGCGTTGCCCGGTTTGTGGAGCAAATAAGGGAGAGCATTAAATCATACTTTTATATCATTTCTGGAAGTACTTTATAAATATTATATATAAAAAATGTACGAGTCTTCTTCGACATTATTAATTTTAGTGGCAGACCCATTCAATTCAATCAACTTTAATGGCAGGGAGTCCACAGACCTTGCCGGTACTTTTCCAGGGCTCCAAAGGCTTACACAAACAAACGACAGAATCTCCAACAAAAGCCACTATGTATGGCAAATATGATGCCAACGAACTCCTTTCCATGTGATAATTAAGCCGTTTTCACCCCCTCTTCTTCATTTTGCCTTTCATATTCATTTTGATTCTATTTCTTATATTCTAAACAATGCTCAACTTTGCACGTATGAGTTAAGTCAGTTAATTAAGATAGTTTATCCGCTTATTTACACTTGAGTTCGATCTCCATCTTCGTACATTAGAGTAGTTAAAAAATTTGTTTTGTCCAAAAAAGAAAAAGAAAAAAGCAATGGTCCATTTTAGTGAAGATGTGTATTAGAACTAATTTATATAATCGTCCAACGTAATGCCGATTGTGCTATGGTGTTGGCCTGCTGATCTCATACAACATTACAAAATGTTAAACTTTGATAAAAGAACAATACTATTGTTAATCATTAGATTACTACAAAAAGATCGATTAGATTAGTGTTAGTTGTTAGGAAGCATGCATCAAAACTAACCTCGAACCCATTCCCTAACAACTCCTAAAAGTGTTTAGCCTAGAAAGATCCTCAGCAGTTTAATTAGAACCGCTCCTGGCCAGTTACATATATGTGGCAAGAAATGCAAGAACGTAGCAAGAAAGATTTGAACACTCAAAGTATCATCAAAAGAACACAGCATCTTGTTATAAAATCCACATTGTCCCCCTTCTCTTTTTTTGGCGTGAAAGCAAAACACTAGCCGGGTTTGTAAGAGAATTTGAGAGCACGACTCTTGATCTGTTCCCTTCAGATTTCCAACTTTAGTTTCTCTTGAGGGCTTGTCATTTTCAAATCTCTCAAGAAAACTCCCCATTTATCTGTGGTTGTGGTAACAACTCCTAAAGCTACTTTAAATGTATATAGTTCTAGAACTGTTTCTGATAATCATTTGACGTTTTCTGTGGAAACGACAAACAAACAGAAAAAAACCATCTTTTAACATGTGAATGCAGATTAAAGTTGCGGTAGCTAGCCTACTCATCTTTGATTAATATGTGAATGCAGATTAAACTTTGCTAATATATGTCTAATTGGAAAGATTACTGATATTTGGAAGAAGCCACAGGTCCTTTCGGCTTGATAGACCCTCTTCAAGCACATGTTGAATTAGAGGGATGTATGGCAAAACCAATCAACGCTCAGCTTCGATAACTGGTGGATAAGGTCAAGGAGTGGAGAGTAGTCTTTGGAGAATGATTTGCATGATGAATCCAAATGTGAATGTACAAAAGATGCATAAAAAGAAGACCAGAGATAGTGCTGTCATATTTAGCAGCATCAGCAACAGTAGCGGTGAGCATGTATAACATGTGCTTGCTAATAACCACATGGTTACTTACCAAATAGTTTGTTGTTGTTAACCACTTCATAAACTTAATTAATGAACATAAGAAGACTAAGGTTGCGTGAAAAGAAGTTTCTGAGTCCTTGTGCGTGTATCGAAGAATACAATGGTCAATCTTCAATACGGGCCGTTGATGCAATGTGACCTACATGCATTAACGACGAATATCAATTACACACATGACTCCTCTTGTCTATCTATTTACATGATTTAAGAATATGACCCCTTTGTGTTTCTAAGGTAGGTAGGACATAAATTTATAGCTGGAACTGTGACTATATAAAATAATGCAAAAGATGGTCTAGAAGAACATTAATCTACTAATTTCCATTCTAATTATACGTTAATTGATTGATACATCCTCTACGGTTGTTGAGAGCCGGAAATAGCACAGCACAGAACCATGTGTTTTCATTTGTGGAAATGACGGTCAAGGACGATGGTGCGCACGTAGGGCCCTGCCAAACAAGGATGAAGGGTCCCAGTGCCCTCTGAAATCTGTAAACTTTCTCAGTAGCATCTAATGATATAGTACTGCTTTTCTTTTCACCTTTGGCTGTAGAGTCTTGATAAAAGCGCAAACAACAAATTGATGACCAACATTTGTAAAGTTTTTGACAATTTATGTGTAATACATATATCATCAAGCACTTCAATTTTGCAAGTGAAAATTGTTTTCTGTTTATTGGTTTGGTAGCACAGTACCGCTAACTTAGTTTTCTAGCTAGCTAGAGCTTGGCATATTCATGGAGCAGTGCCCTAGTTCATCTAGAGCTGATAGGAAAACCATAGAGAAAAATAGAAGGAATCAAATGAAAGCCCTATACTCCAAGCTCAATTCTCTTGTTCCCCATCAACGTTCAAGGGTATCTCTCTCACTCTACTGCTTCCCTATGTGTGTGTGTGTATATATATATATATGTATTCATCAATAATGTTCTCTTGTCAAACTATGAATTTGATTCATTCATCAAAAATGTTGTCTTGTCAAACTGTGAATTTGATTCATTCATCAAAATGATTTGGTTTAAAATGAGTGGTACTCGAGATTTCACAATCGCAACATAAGCATTTGTCTGACAAAGTAAGTCCATATTGAGATGTTTTTGGTAATGGGATTTTGCAGGAAGTGACATCGCTACCGGATCAGCTAGATGATGCTGTGAACTACATCAAAAAGCTACAGATGAACTTGGAGAAAATGAGGGAGAAGAAAGAGTGCCTAATGGGAAATGAGAAGAGTGGAAATAGTAATGCAGGGTTTGTTGGTGGTGAAGTAATGGGGGGATTAAAATCACCACAGATTGAGATTGAGATTCAAGAAATGGGTTCAGCTCTACAGGTTGTTCTGATAACTGGGTTGGATTATCAGTTCATGTTTAATGAATCAATTCGCGTGCTTCATGAAGAGGGAGCCGACATTGTGAACGCCAGTTTTTCAATTGTTGAAGATACCATTTTCCACACAATACATTCCAAGGTATAATTAACCAAACAGTCAACATTAATTCATTATAATTTTTATTTTTTTATTTTTATAGATATAGATACATGTATTTCTATATAGAATGGTTTATTCATGAATGTATGCATGTTTTTGCTTCTTCATAAGTAGATTGGAGAGTCTGCACCAGGCCCCGTAGCAGCAAGGATATCAGAGAGACTGAAAAAGCTTGTAAACGGTAGAGCTGGTTCATTTTGAAGCATACAATATGATTACAAAGTGCTGCTCTATATTGAAGGGATTGATAACCTTAATTATATGTATATTTCTTTGAGTTTGGTTGGTGATCTTCTTATGAGTCCTTTAGAATAACTAAGTTTATATACGTATGCCCCTTGGTCACGGTCTCAACCTTTCCTTTTCTTTTGCTTAAATCTAGGACTTACTGCAGTTTAGCAAAATTCATGCTTGTTCACTCACTCAATGAAATATTAGGTTTTTTGTCTCATCATATAAATTGTTAGGTGACTATCGGCAGAGTCCGAATTTTACTTTCGATATAAACCAAGTATGATCGATCTTATATGATTCGAAAAATACATGCTTTCTTACTTGCATAACAAAGAGTAGTAGTCTACAGTAAGCTTCAAAAATTAGGTCATTGGAGGAATGCAAGGGTTGGAGAAGCAACAGAAATATTGTGTTCTGGTTTTCTTACATTTGCTTCACTACTTATCTTCCATGTGCACAAACTAACCCTCCTTTTGGATGAAGGAATTGAAAATTACATCGAATTTTAAAATGACGGAATTTAGATTTGCATCATTTCAATTCTAGCAATTGAAGATTTCAGTGTTTGAATTTATGTATGTCGAATTTTGTAAATGGCACTATAGAATTTGTGAAATGACGCATATTTTGATGGAAATTAAACTCGGGAATTTGATGCCCCAATTTCCACAATTTTTTCCGTCATTTAATAAATTCCGTACTTAAGTTGCCAAACAAGGGAATTGTCCATTTCTCCTCTTAAATTCCCAACTTTTAGTTAAATTCCGAGTTATTTTAGGTCATCCAAACGGAAGATAAAGGTTCCAAAATTATTAATCTTTCTTTTGATTTTGTGTTATATGCTTATTTTGATATCTGTTATATATGTTATATATGTATATATATATTGTGTGGAAGGAAATGGACAGAAAAAGTGGATGCGACTGGGAATCTGTGTTAATCTGATGAGTAGCTGGTACATGTGGAACTTGTTTCTTTTTATCCTCATATATGCTCCCTCTTTTAAATGTTTTCTTTCTTGACTACACCTTTCTTTGAATTATTGAAGCTTACGAACATTTGTTATCTCTGGTGGTGACAGTCTTTTTCTGAAAATGATTCTCCAGTGCATAATTATTAGGGTACATAAATAGCTTATATTGTTTGAAGAAGAGAGAGATGAATTATTGGTTGATATTTCAGAACATGAATGGAAGAGTTTTGTTAAACAGGTAAGTCTGCGATGAATAGGAGCAATCGAAAGAGAACCTTCATACATTAGTACAGATAAGAAAAACTAGCTTACTGAATTTGCCCAATAAACAGATAAGAACCTTCATTCATATCATGTATGGGATTTCCAGAACCATGACAATCTTCATAAGCTAATGACCATATGATCCGTTGATATTTAATCTCCACTTTGTCTTTGTCGAAAGATGTTCTCAATTTAAATCTTATGATTGACGGTTGTTGAAAAAAGTAAAAATAATAGCTTAATAAAATAAAAAAGAACAATTTTCCCACGAGTTAGAAGAAGTGTGTTATATATTGCAAATTGCAATACACAGTCTATATAAGGTCTATCGCTAAAGAGTGTATCTCAAATGCTTTTTTGTCATAATTCGACATAACGTATTTAGCGCACAAAAAAAGTATTACAATTCACCAGCTTTATAACAAATCCTCAAACCCTATCCAACAAAAGCAAAAAGTAAAGATATTGTGATGACAATTCACTAGGAAAAGGCACATGAAATTATTATAAGATGATTATAAACATAGATAAAAAATTATATATAGTCTTATCTTATGTGTGAGTTTGCCTTGCATTCATCATCATCATTGATCCTTAAATCAGGTGAAACAGGATTACATATGCCATCACCAACGAAATGAGAAGTGCGCTATGCTTCTACTGAAAACCCTAATTATCATTAGTAAATCAAAAGAAGTCAGGACTTACATATCTTTCACCAATTGCGATCTCCATACGAATGCAGAAGCAGCAAAGTTGAACTTGTCTGACCAACTAATTTGGGCGTGTTCGAATCAATCCAATCCAATTCTTCAAACCCTACAAGGCCCAACCCAAAATCGAGATAAAGCCCACACTTGATGAGAGAATAAACCAAGCCCGAAAAACACATTACGGCCCAGGGATGAAACAGTAAATTAACCCGTAGTATATAACCGCACGAAAACTAGGGTTTAATCCCAAACCCAATCGGGACTGAAAGCTTCTTCCACTGTCAGCACCGCCAATTTCCTCTTTCTGAATCACTCAAATCCATCAGCCATGGTCGAAGGCTTCGAAGTCGGAGGCGTCCCGTTCAATCCAGACGGGTGGGGCCCACCGGACAGCGCCACCACCCCAACCACCACCTCCAACCTCCCTCTCAACGTCCCCTTCGCCCCATTCTCCCGCGCCGATAAGTTGGGGCGGATCGCCGACTGGACCCGCACCTTCAACAACCCGGCCAGGTCTAAGAACCCATCGGATTCAGTCTTCGACTTCTCGAACGACGAGTCGTTCCCTGCCTCCGCCGATGACGACGCCTCATTCCGTCTCGTCGACGGAAAGCCCCCGCCGCGCCCCAGGTTCGGCCCCAAATGGCGGTTCCAGCAGCAGCGGCAGCTGCCTCACCGCCGCGACGAAGAAGTCGAAGCCAAAAAGCGGGAGGCCGAGAAGGAGCGGGCCCGCCGCGACCGGCAATACAACATGAACCGGTCCAATGTCAATGTCCCTCGCCGCGAAGCCGCGGTTTTCAAATCATCGGTCGATATTCAACCCGAGTGGAACATGCTGGACCAGATCCCTTTCTCCACATTCTCAAAGCTGTCGTTTTCGGTCCCAGAACCAGAGGACCTGCTCCTCTGCGGTGGGCTCGAGTTTTACGATCGGTCCTGCGATCGAATCACGCCCAAGAACGAGCGAAGACTCGAGCGTTTCAAGAATCGGAACTTCTTCAAGGTCACCACCACCGACGACCCAGTCATTCGCCGACTTGCGAACGAGGACAAAGCTACAGTATTTGCCACTGATACCATTCTCTCGACTCTCATGTGCGCGCCCAGGTCGATTTACTCTTGGGATATCGTTGTTCAGCGAGTTGGGAACAAGTTATTCTTCGATAAACGTGATGGGTCGCAGTTGGATTTGCTTTCGGTTCACGAGACATCTCAGGAGCCATTGCCTGAAGCCAAGGATGATATCAATTCTGCTTACTCGTTGAGTGTTGAGGCTGCTTATATTAACCAGAACTTCTCGCAGCAGGTTTTGATTAGGGATGGCAATAAGGTAACATTCGATGAGCCCAACCCATTTGCGAATGAAGGTGAGGAGGTTGCTTCTGTTGCGTATCGCTACAGAAGGTGGAAGCTTGAAGAGGGTATGTATCTGGTTGCGAGATGCGAGGTTCAGAGTGTCATGGAGGTCAACAATCAGAGGTCGTTTTTGACTCTGAATGCGCTTAATGAGTTTGATCCCAAGTATTCTGGTGTGGATTGGAGGCAGAAGTTGGAAACCCAAAGGGGTGCGGTTTTGGCGACTGAGCTTAAGAACAATGCTAATAAGTTAGCTAAATGGACTGCTCAAGCTCTTCTGGCCAGTGCGGATTTGATGAAGTTGGGTTATGTTTCGAGGGTTCATCCTCGTGATCACTTTAACCATGTGATTTTGGCTGTGGTCGGATATAAGCCCAAGGAATTTGCTTCGCAGATTAATCTGAACACGAACAGTATGTGGGGTATTGTGAAGTCTATTGTTGACTTGTGTATGAAATTGAATGAGGGCAAGTATGTTCTTGTTAAGGACCCGTCTAAGCCTCAGGTTAGGATCTATGAGGTCCCTCCAGACGCCTTTGAGAACGATTATGTGGAGGAGCCATTACCGGAAGATGAGCAAGTTCAGCCACCTACAGAGGATGGGCAAGGTGCTGAGCCAAATGCTGCTGCAAATGATGTAGAGGATAAGGAGGTTGAGGCTACTCAAGCTTAAAGGGTAATATTTCTAGCTGCATTTCAAACTGTACTGTTCCTGACATTCTTAGTGTTTTAGTTATTTTTTAATAATAATGTATGGAATTAAGCATTTTTTACTAATCTCATCATTGCTTAATGATTTCTTACGTTGTTCGTTTCCCTTTGAATCATGTATAACTTTGAATATGGCAAAAGGCTCCTGAAGATGAATATAATGATTTGCTTTAGTCATTCAAACTTCAACCTAACTAGATTGTGTGAAGTTCAAAGATCATTTCTTACAATGTCAATTAATAGCCTTTTCTTATCGAATCATTGTTCCTCTACCTGGGCTTAAGCTGAGAGAGCGGATTGGTGTTGAAATATCATATGAAAGGTGAATAAAAAGAGAAGACGAATAGGGAACTTGTTCACTGTTAAATGTTAAATATAAACCTGAGGTTGTGGTAGCCCATTGTTGCCAATCTTGACTTGTCCTTGCTCGATGTTAGGCGTTGTTGTTCTATTATAAGCACACATTATATGGTGATCTTAATCTATTTCCTCTTAAAAGTTAGCCACATTTGAACTTGAGAGCAAATACGGTTTCTTGATAATCCTTTGGTTGAGATTCTCTTGTGCTTCCAGCCCAGTTGACTCTTGTTAGAAATGGAACGCTTGACTGAACTCCTCTCCTCACATTTCTAGAAAGGAATCCTTTGATGCTTTCATGAATGTGTTTAGTTTCTTCTTGAGGTTACTATTAATTTTTTTGCATATTATCTTTTTGCCCCTTAGGTTAAATTCCTTGTGCTTTCAAGTTAATAAATGCTTATTTTGCTTGCATATTGCCTGCTGTATGATAGAATGTGACTTTTCGTTATAATACAAATTGGTTTGATCTTGCCCTTGTTTAGTTGATTGCTTCATCATTGGTTGGTGGCTGCAGATTAAAACCGATATCGCAGTTGGTAAGAATGGAGACTTGGCTACAACTCTAATAGTTGCAATGGGGGAAGAAGCTTATATATGCCTTTCAAGGACTTGTATTTGAAGTTAGCTAACTTTTATTTCGTCACTGGCATAAAGTATTCTATGAGTATTTGTAGTCTGCCATCTTTTATACTGGCTAGATAAAAACTTGTAGACCATGGGAAGGTGGTTTTTGTTGCATCTGATTTCTTTTCTTTTTTACTTTTACCTGAAGTTTTCTGTTATGCTGTGTTTTGTAAAACTTCAATTTTGTCTTGATACGTGTTTGGTTTCTTGTCCATGGTATTCGGTTAGTTCTTTCTCCATTACGTTTGCGTTTAGAGTGTCTTCTGTTCGGAGGTTTGCTTGTTTTTTCCACTCTGCGGCATCCCCATTTACTCTGAAAGTAGAAGTCTTTAAATTTGTGTGATTTCGTTTACCGGGGAATTTAAGGAGCTGGTTATGCAATTTGTTTGGAGGAAGTGGAATTTCAAGTAGCCACTGTCTAATCGTAATATTAATAGTGAAATTATTGGCTTTGGGCCCTCATTTCTAAGCGGAGGGGATTGGGCTGGGATTTTATATGGGCCTGGGTTGTTCGTTGCGGTTGCAGCCCAACTCTTTACAAGGCAGACCATCACTAGCATAGCAATCTAAAAATCTTTAGAATTCAGTAGTGATAAGGCCTTAGATGAGACCTCATCTCTTAATGTTATGGTCAAAATCAAATCTGTTAGTTTGATTCAACGGTTAAGAGATAAGATCTCATCTAAGGGCCCTCACTATAGAAACTATTCACAAGCATCTTTCTATGCATTCCCAATGTGGAATTGTTGACTAAACAAATCAAAGAGAGTCCATGTTAAGAAATTATCATGCTTATTTCATACAATTCAACTCAGTGCAGTGAAGGTAACTAAAAAGTAAAAACGTGGAACTAAAAAGAAAGAAATAGTGCACACCTCCCATTCAAAACCCTGAAAAATGTTATAATTGTAGGTCACAGCAGTATCAAGAGAGCCACAAATTCCGTCATTTGAATCCACTTCTTGTTGTTGATGCGTTTTTGTTTTTATTGGCCAAATGATATAGCAGTTGGCCCCACTAAGCACCTTCTCAAAGTAGGTTAGGACAAGATCAGCGGCGTGGGAAGAAGATTTCTTCTTTATTGAACAGACTCTTCTGAGTCCGACGCAAACCATACTATATGAAGCAGAATTGTCCCACAAATTACCAACAGGAAAGAGGCCCCTTTTAATTTTTTAAAGGCTTATACAAGAAGATATTATTAATCACCCTTAAAACATCTGGATAATTACAGGAGAAATATGGATTTACAGTAAAAAAAATTACCTAGTGTCACCTCACAAATGTCATATATATCAAAATCTATGTGTATGCGTGCACAGAGAGAGAGAGAGAGCGAGAGAGAGAGAGAGACAGAGAGAGAGAGGTGGGGATAATCGGCATGCACTCACCGCTAGCGTCGCCGATAAATGCTGGGGACTCGTAACTTGACATTGGAAACTTGGAAAGCTATGGCCGTTTATGAGGAAAATGTTTGAAAATTGCAGGTCAGATAGTGTGTTTATTTTATTCATTTTCTCGTAAAACTTGGCTTTTGGGTAACAGCAAACCTGTCCCATAACCATCATTTGTCCAAGACTGGCGTTTTCGTTGAAAGCTTCATCACCAATTTTTCCACCAAAATTATTGAGCCTGACAGAGATCAATAATTATTTATTATTACATATACCACCGTAAATTTGAAAAATAAAAGTAGGTTTAGGTTGGAGAGGTGTGTGTATATGCTGAGTTGCTGAGCCAACCCAAAAATAGCTCCCAGTCTGCAACTCTTTCTGTCATGTGATGTGATCCACAGTAATATTACTCATCCAGCTGTTTAAAATATTAAGCTCTCAAAAGCTCCATCCATGGCGCATAATATTTCAGCAAATGCCATGCCCATGCACCACCCAACTTATTACCTAATGCACCCAAGAAAGGAATGAGATGGGTGGAAAATGGAACCAACCACGTGGCAAGCACGCATGGTGTTTATAGCATATTCTCTTTTTTGATAGATATGCCATGTAAATTTTTGGCTCCACAAGATTCTTTTTCTGGATCAGCCCCCACCAGACACATGATTTGACATGATTAACTTTAAGACAAAACTTAAAAGCAGCGGCTGATCTATAAATCATGGTGTCCTTATCTATAATACGGCCTTTTATCTCTGTTTGGTAAAAAGGGCAAGGACGACTGAGCCGAGGGGCCACTACTGGATAGGGTTCCCTCCTCCGACATAATTATACAATGACCTTTCAAGAATCCAATGGCTGAGAGGAGCTCAGTGCACCAGACTCTGCATGCATGCATGCCGAGGAGTTTCAAATTCAAATTCAATGCTTTCTTTATTCTACAAAACAAAGCAAAACGAAAGCTTCATGTCTGCCATCCATAGTACAGCAAGCAGTAAAAATTATATGACCGTTGAATAAATAAAACTTTCACTACAAGTTAAAATAGGTAATTCTATTATTAATAATTCAAAGGGTACAGCACAACATTACCATTCTAAAAATCCCATTATTTATTTTTAGCCAAATAAGAACAGAGTACCATTAAAACCATGGTTGGGGGAAAACCCTAACAATGGCAAGATTATGCAAGGATTATGTGGTGAAAACTAGACAAAGACTCAGTACAAAACACACAAGCTGTAAAGAAACTAATGGCATTTGGGCTCAAAGGCAAATGGGCCAACATTGTATAGAAGGAATGGGAGTTTCTCGGACATGAATGGCTTCTGTGGCCTCAAGACTGCACCACTCAAACCGGCATGGAGATCAGAGGGCTTAGAGCAAGTGGCAGAGGGTGATGAGACGAGAAAGACCTTGCACTTGTGAGCTCCGAATGTGGTGATGGTCTTGGGTGCTGTGATGAAAAAGTAGCCATTTTTGTCTGTGTTGGTTTTCACAACCAATGGGTACTTGGTATTGTTGCACTGTAGCTTGATAGTAGCTCCTGCCATAAAAAATAAAAATAAAAACCAAATCCAAGGTCACATTGTTAGAAAAATGTTTATAAATTAATGGTATTTTTGTTGTTGTAATTTAAGTGAAATGCAGAGGAGTTATGGACTAACCAAGAACAGGGGAGGCGCCCAAGAGGGTGTCAACGCCGGAGTATTTGCAAGACTTGCAGTAAACAACGCCTTGAACCGCTACAAAGCTCCTTGGGAAAGGTTTCTTAGGCGGGTACTGCGGAGGGTGAACTGGGGGGTGGCTTGGGCTCTGAACCGGTGGGTGAGCCGGTGGTGCATGGTGGGTTGGAGGGTGACTCGGGGGTTGAACCGGGACGTGAGTAGGAGGGTGAGCCGGTGGGTGGCCATGATGGTGGTGGTGGCTTGGTGGGTGGACCGGGGAATGGGTTGGAGGGTGAACTGGTGAATGGGTTGGAGGGTGGACCGGCGAATGGGTTGGAGAGTGAACCGGTGGGTGAACCGGGGAGGCAGTAGGAGGGTGTGGGTGTGGGTGTGGGTGTGGGTGGTGGTGGTGGTGGTGTGTTGGTGGGTGTGCAGGGGAAGCTACTGGGTGTGAATAGTGAACATGGTGGTGGGGAGGAGAGCTTGGGGGTAAAACATCAATTACATTTCCAAACACAGTGAAGCAACTCAGTAGTAGAACTGAGAGCTGCACAAAGCCTAGAGCTTTAGCTTCAACAAAACCCATATTTTCTTTCCTTCCTTCTCTCTAGTCTTTTTTTCTAGAGACAGAGAGAGAGAGAGAGAGAGAGAGACAGAGAGACTGACTAACGAGAAAGAGAGAGAAAGAGAGAGATATGGAGTGGGGGGCTCAATGAAGTGAAATTTATAGAAATTGAAGCCAGGATTCCCTGCGGTTTTTCTTCATGAACTTGGTTTTGAATTTGGGTGTGGAGGGTTTGGGTTTGCGTTTGGGCTTGGGCTGGGCTTGGGAGGGTGAATCGTAGGAGTGTAGTGGACAAGCCGCACAGAGGGTCACGTGCCCAGCAACGAGCAACCAATTTTTGCATATAGCAATGTAGAAGTTTCCAAGGCCTTTGAGAGTTGAACCTTTTTATATTAGTAATTAATAATATAATATAAGTCTTTGGTTAAATAAACTCAAACTCAATAATAGTTTATGGAATTTATTAAAAGAATAAAAAGAAAGCAGACAGATGAGTAGACCGTAGGGTTAGACATGGACATGGCCCACAACAAAAGCCGAGGCAAAGCAATCATAAAATGACAAAAGCTTGCTTGGTGGAGAAGAGAATTTTGTACCTTACAAGAAGACATCAGTCAGCTTTTACTTATTTACTAGCCCTCCAATCCACTTTAGGCATCGTGTAATTTTCATATGGGTAATTCCAACACATAACCTACGTGTAGGATAACCGCTCTTAATCAATTTGACCACAAATTTTTTATGCTCAACGCTCATTCTTACGTGTGGTGTAACTATCATTTAAAATCCTAAATAGAATGCTCTAATACCATATTAGAATTAACGCGTTGAATCTAGGATCCATTTGTAGTTGACATTTGAACATGCTCAAAGGAACGTGAATTCATATTCTCAACACCTAAAATATTGTCGGCACACCTAGCTTGGTAAACAATTCCTTAATAGTGTATTAATCAAAAGCTTAGTTGATTTGAATGCTAATTATAGCTCTAGACTGTGGTTGTCAGTGGCAACTGCAACTTGTCAAGAGTGTAGAAAGTTCGACTTGGATTCCATCCCACCGATTCAGATTTGACCCCGATTATTCGGTTCAAAAATAAATCCATGTGCCACGTGAAGCAAATGAACAATAAAGGTGCATCCATACTTGTAATTTACTCCATTATTAACAACTAAATGGTAATTAACGGACATCGTATCCCATACTTCCCTCGAGTTTTGGGCTTTCACTGACTCCATAGCCCAATACTTTACTTCTATTTCTTTTTTTGGGTCAAAATTACGTTTCTTCCAATCAATTAAAAATAAATAAATAAGCTGTCCTTATAATAGATATTGTGGGAGCAGATATTTTCGTCTCCAATCACAACGCGCCACGTGGAAAAGAAGATTATCTCTTTTAATTAATTAATTGAACCAGTTTATCTGGCCAATTAATTAATTGGGATAAATATCTTAATTAAATGATATTATCTTTATTTAATAAGATAATATCATTAATTAAGATATTATCCTAATAAAGAGAAGATAATGTCATTATCTCAAATATTATCTTCATAAAAAGAGATAATATCATTTAATTCAGATATTATCTCCATGAAAAGAGATAATATCATTAAATCAGATATTATCTCGATCCGACTCGATCCCTACGAATTTGGGTAGAGAATAAACTCAGCATATTCTCTACGAAACCCTAGCCCCGAGGCTCCTATAAATAGATGACTTCATTCATCATTCAAGGTACATCTAAACCTACTCCTTATACCCGAGTAAAATACCCGAAGCTCTCTCTTTCTCCCTCTCCACTCTCCATATTTTCTCCACACGGCTCCGGCCACCACACACGGCTCCGGCCGCCCGGTTCACACCCTACATAAACACTACTCCGTACCCTTTGCTTAGCTATTGTTTTCCTACAAACACTCGAACTAACTTAGGCATCGGAGGGCCTTTGGCCAACACCCCCCGGGTGTGGTCCATTTACTCCAATCTGTTTTACAGGAATCGAGAAAGAGAGAGAAGGAAGATCGAAGGTTGAAGGATCTAGAAGCGAATATTCTCCCGTGAGATTATTTGCACAAACATTTGGTGCTTTCATTGAGAGCACGAGTTATACTCAACGCGTGCTCAAGGAATCCGTTCCTCATATTTTCCAATCCACCGAAGCCTTCCAAACAACCATGGTTGGAAGCAAGCGCACGAGGAGTAAAACCGCCGCGATGGCTCAATCCGTGACGGCCCAAAGCCACTCCACCCACGATCCCGCGATCAACATGGTGGCACCACCACCTCTCGCCACCGTACCACCTACCGGACCCGCGACCGAATCTAGCAACCTCCGTGGCACCACCGCCGAACATGGTGGAACCTCCCATCAAGGTGGGCTCGTTACCACCACCGACTTAGGCCCGGTCTTGGAGCAACTTCAAGCGTTCCCTCCATTGCCTCCACGCTCGACACACGCTCTCGCGTACACCTCCAGTGAAACCCTAGCCCGTGTGCAATTGGGCTCCACACGCTTCTCTCCTCCCGATCCACAAAGTCAAGCAGATCTCAACCTGAGAGTTGACCGGCTAGCTCAGAGAATGGACGACCAAAACGCTCTTATGAGGCAGCTCCTTAATCAAATAAGCGTGGCTCAAAATCTTGGCCTTGGACAACCAGGCGAAGTGAGAAGAATAGACGAACGCACCGGTGGGCAGCTCAACGGGGACCAAGCGGGTCGAGCAGGAGCGAGCAGACAAGGGGATGCACAACCACGTGATCAGCTTGCCGACATGTCGCAAGCATCTGCAAGCCACACACAAAGCAACGTGCGAGAAAGGCTCGGCCCACGACTTGACGTCCGTGCTCGCCTGGGCCCGCAGGGGAATGTACTTCAAAGGCTAGGCTCCCAGGGAGATCAAACTGACAATCGCCGCAATGAGGATCGTGAAGAGAGGCGCTCCGCTGCCCACTCGCAGAGAAATATTCACGAAAGGCTAGGCTCCCAGGGAGGTCAACCCGGTAACCCTCGCAATGAGGATCGTGAAGAGAGGCACTCCATTGCCCGCTCTCGGAGAACCAACTCTCGCCGTCAAGCTGCAGAAAATCCCTCGCAATCGCAGTCCACCAACACGCCTCTTAGGCATTGCGGACGAGAGGACCGACCCTTGCAGACCAACGAGGAGGTCAATCAGCGTCGCTCAAATCGTAAAAGGCGCCAACGTGATCGACCAGCACTACGCGTGGAAGATGTTGAGAAGCTTGTGAATGACCGACTTCGAGACTTGAAGGCTAGCGGGAACCTCGAGGATGCACTACGTAAGGAGATGGACCAAGCGATCTCTACTCCTTTCACCCCTGAAATCGAGCAGGCTACTCCCCCGAAGCGATTCTCAACGCCTTCTTTTACGCATTTCAAGGGAGATTCCGATCCCGAGAGCCACCTAAAACACTTCAAAAGTGTCATGATCCTCCACAAGGCCGACGACGCACTGATGTGCAAGGCATTTGCAATGACATTGCGAGGAGCAGCTCAGGACTGGTTCCACACCCTGCCATCTGGGTCGATCAACAGTTTCAAGGAGCTTGCCTATGTCTTCACTAAAGAATACACTTCTTATCGGACGATCAAGAAGAACCCAGATCATCTGTTCAACCTGCGCAAGAAGCCCGACGAATCCATTCGAGATTACATCAAGAGGTTCAAAGCAGAAAAGGCCAACATCGTAGGGTGCGACGACCAAATCGCATCATCTGCCTTCAAGAAAGGTCTTCCAGCAGAACACGAGTTATACCGCGAGCTGACTATCACTCCCAGCCAGACTTTAGCAGAGGTCTTCGCGACCGCAGAACGCTACGCGCTCTGGGATGACGATCGAATTGCCGCGAAGAAGTCCACTGAGCAGGGAGATCAGCAGACCAAGCGGGCGGGCCAAAGAAGCGATGGATTTAGCAACAAGAACAAGGACAAGCGCAGGTCACACCCACAAGAGGACGCTAAGGCAGGAGAGAACTACACCAAGTTCACTATCCCTATACATCAAATCCTAGCCCAAGTGAAAAACAAACCTTGGGTAAGAAGACCGCCACCCTTGAAAGGAGATCCAGACAGGAGGGATACTAGCAAATACTGTGCCTTCCATGGGACGCATGGACACACTACGAACAACTGCTTCGCTTGGAAAGCACACCTCGAAGAACTCGTGAAGGAAGGTCACTGCACAGAATTCATCGCTAAGCAGGCCATCCAACAGATAGAGGACCGCGACACCACCAAGAAGCCGCCCCAAAAGGTCATAAGGATTAACACAATCCTAGCCGACTCCGAGGAATCTGGGTTGACCAGCAAGGAAAAAAAAGGAAGATCAAACAAGCCACTATGATCTCCCAAGTCTCAACCGACATTCCGCTAGCAGAAGACGACCCTATAATCGGCTTCCAAAAAAAGATCTAATTGGCCTTGATCTACCACACAATGACGCTCTTGTCATCAGCATTCAAATCGCTCAGGCCATGGTCGGCCGAATCCATGCAGACGAGGGCAGTGCGGCCAACATCCTACAATTGACAGTTATCCAACAGATGGGCTTAGAGGCAAAGATCAATAAATCAGCCAAGTCACTGACTGGTTTCAATGGAGCAACAACGGTTACCGTGGGCACGATAGAGCTCGACGTCTACGCCCCACCTGTAATCAGCTCTCAAACGTTCATGGTCATTGATGAAGTCTCACCCTACAATGGCATTCTAGGCAGACCATGGATCAGCAAGATCAATGCCATCACCTCCGCCACGCATCAGAAGATTCGCTACCCAATTCCTTTGGGGTGGGATCGGCCAAATCAACAGCGATCAGGCAATGGCGAGGAAATGCTCAGCTTAAGGGTTGAAGAAAGGCAAGCAAACACAGTTCCTCCCTGTGAATCAAGCATATCTAAAGGGAGTAGAACAAGCAAATGAGAAAGCAGATCCCGTTCCTGACGGCCGAGCAGGCCAAAAAGGAAAGGGAATAACTACTCCCCGATAGCAATCAAAGAATCAGGACCAAGTTGAGGGAATCCGTCCGGAGGTCTATCCTGAAGAAGGATGGAAGCCCGAGGAGGACGTTGAGCTAGTACCCCTTGATCCTGACAAGCCAGAGAGAACAGCGCGGATCGGCTCGCGCCTAAGCCAGGAGGAAAAGGCAGAGCTTGTAGCCTTCCTCCAGAACAACAAAGACGTATTTGCATGGTCACCATCTGACATGCCTGGCATCGATCCCCAGATCATCTGCCATCGCCTACACGTCAACCCAGCCATCAAGCCTGTAGCGCAAAAGAGACGCAACTTCGCCCCCGAGCGAGTCGCCATCATTGAAGCCGAGATCGACAAGCTTCTAGTTGCCGGTTTCATTGAAGAAGTCTCATACGCAGAATGGCTGGCGAACGTTGTTCTAGTAGCAAAGAAAGATAAAGGCCTGTGGAGAGTGTGCGTCGACTATACTGACCTCAACAAGGCATGTCCTAAAGATAACTTTCCACTGCCGAGAATTGACCAGCTCGTCGATTCAACTTCCGGCAATCAACTGCTAAGCTTCATGGACGCCTACTCCGGTTACAACCAGATCATGATGCATGAAGACGACAAGGCAAAGACCTCTTTCATCATCGAAAGAGGTACCTACTGCTACAAGGTCATGCCCTTTGGGCTGAAGAACGCCGGAGCAACCTACCAAAGGCTGGTGAATAAAATTTTCAAGGAGCAAATGGCAAGACTATGGAGGTCTACGTAGACGACATGCTAGTCAAAGCTCCCGAGCGAGCAGACCACATCGAGAATCTTGCCGAGGCATTCAGCATACTCCGAAAATACAACATGAAGTTGAACCCGAGCAAATGCACATTTGGAGTCTCGTCCGGCCGATTCCTTGGATACTTAGTCACCCAAAGAGGAATTGAGGCACATCCAAATCAAATCAAGGCTATACTCAACATGAAGTCACCTGCCACAACAAAGGAGATACAAAGTCTAACGGGTAGGGCGGCAGCTCTCAACCGATTCCTCTCTAGATCTACCGACAAATGCAGGCCATTTTTCAAAGCCTTGAAGAAGGGACACAAGGATAAGTGGGATGACGAGTGTGAAGTGGCTTTTCAAAACTTGAAAACTTACCTCACTTCACCTCCATTACTCTCAAAGCCGATGCCAGGCGAAGACTTGTACATCTACCTAGCGGTGTCCGACTCAGCTGTCAGCTCAGCTCTCATCCGAGAAGAGCTGGGGGCACAACATCCGGTATTCTACACTTCAAAAGCTCTCCTCGATGCAGAGACTCGCTATCCGAAAATGGAGAAGCTCATTTTTTTCGCTTGTGGTTTCTGCGAGAAAGTTAAGGCCATACTATCAAGCACACCGGATAATTGTCATAACAGAATTTCCTTTGAGATCGATCCTTCACAGCCCCGACGCTTCTCAGCGACTCATGAAATGGGCTATCGAACTCAGTCAATACGACCTCCTCTACCGGCCGAAGACTGCTATAAAAGCCCAAGCTTTAGCAGATTTTGTTGTAGAGTTTACTCCGACAGCCGAAGAAGAGAAGATGGTTGCGAAAAGCAAGGAAAAAGCGGACGACACCTTCCCCCACCGATTCGAACCTACCTAACGACATGTGGCAGTTGCATGTAGACGGAGCATCAAATCACAGGGGAGCGGGAGCGGGAGTCGTCATAATCACCCCAGACGGAACCTTGTTGGAACAAGCTATCACACTAGGCTTCTCTGCTTCAAACAACGAGGCAGAATATGAGGCACTGCTTGCAGGACTACGCCTAGCGAAAGAACTGTCGATCAAGAGACTGGCCGTCTACTCAGACTCCCAACTGATCACGAATCAAGCCTCAGGCGAGTACATGGCAAAGCACCCAAGAATGGTTCAGTACCTCGACAAAGTCCAAGGACTTTTGAAAGAATTCCCTACTTTCACCATCCAACAAGTTCCACGGGCAGAGAACACTCATGCAGATGCGTTGGCGAGCCTAGGATCAGCACTGGACACCCAGTTCAGACGCTCCATCCCAGTTGAACACCTTGACCGGCCAAGCATCGAAGAAATAGAGCCGATCGACTCAATGCAGATTGATGAGGACCCCAGCTGGCAAGACCCCATCATCGACTACTTAGTGAATGGAAACCTGCCAATGGATAAGTCCGAAGCTAGGAAGGTCCAGCAGAAGGCCGCGAGATACTATATGCACGGCAGCAAGCTCATCCGTAGATCTTACTCCGGCCCTCATCTCACCTGCATAAAGTACCCTCAAACACTTGAAGTCCTCTGCGAAATTCACGACGGCGAGTGTGGCAACCACTCGGGGGGCAGGTCACTCGCCCAGAAAACTCTAAACGTAGGCTATTTCTGGCCTACCATGCGCCACGACTCCGCTGAATATGTCAAAAGATGTGATCGTTGCCAACGATACAAGCCGATCCCTAATCTGCCTGCCGAAGTTTACCATCCGCAAAACAGTCCATGGCCATTCATGCAATGGGCCATCGACTTAGTGGGTCCCTTGCCACCGGCGCCTGCCAAGAAAGAAATGATGATCGTCGCCACTGATTACTTTACTAAATGGATCGAGGCCGAAGCTCTATCCTCTACTAAAGAAGCCGATGTGGAGCGATTCATCTGGAGAAATATCATCTGCCGGTTCGGCTGCCCACAATCGTTGGTCACTGACAATGGCTCACAGTTCATTGGCAAGCAGATCACCGCCTTCTTTGCGAAATACAAGATCAAACAACACCTGTCTACTCCAAGGTATCCACAAGGAAATGGGCAGGCTGAGGCATCCAACAAAGTCATATTAGACTGCTTGAAGAAAAGGCTAGAAGGCGCCGAAGGGAAATGGGTGGACGAACTCCCCGGAGTACTATGGGCTTATCGCACCACCAAACGAAGGTCGACTGACGAAACCCCATTTTCCCTTGCCTATGGAACTGAAGCGATCATTCCTCCTCACGTCAATGTCCCCTCTATAGGCATTGAAGTCGGCAGCATAGAGCAGAACTCCGAGCAGATGAGACTCAACCTTGACTTACTTGAAGGCGAGCGCGAGAAGGCCATTGTGCGAGTCGCCTCTTATCAACAGCGGTTGAAGTCCTACTACGACAAAAGAGCCAAGATCAGACAGTTTCAACCTGGCGACCTTGTGCTAAGAAAAGCCTTCATCACTGCACAAAGACAAGGGTCTAAGAAAATAAAACCCAATTGGGAAGGCCCTTATGTAATCAGCCGGTCCGGGGGCAGAGGAAGCTACACGCTGGACACCATGGATGGGAAGGAAATACCACGGCAATGGAATGCCTACCATCTCCGAAAGTATTATCCGTAATGCTTCATCCTGACTGCTAGAAGTTTCAAGTTTTTGTACTCAGTGATCTCCATTTTCGAATAAAGGACTGTAATCTTATGAATATCAATATAAGTTCAGTTTCTCATTCCAAAATGTCTCATCTACTTACAAAACACAACTGTTGTCCATAAGCAGCGTCCTTCGGGAGACGCAGGGCAACGACCAGAAGCGTCCTTCGGGAGACGCAGCCCATAAAAAGCGTCCTAAGGGAGACGCAGGGTGCGCCAGGAATTTCCTAAGGGAGGTATCCAGGTTCCTATCCGTTCCCTAAGGGGGGCAGGATAGTCATATAGTTGCCCATAAGGAGCGTCCTAAGGGAGACGCAGGGTGACGACTAAAAGCGTCCGTTTGGAGACGCAGCCCACTAAAAAAGCGTCCTAAGGGAGACGCAGGGTGCGCCAGGAATTTCTTAAAAGGAGGTCTCCATGCCTCCTGCGGGAAGTATCCAGGTTCCTATCCGTTTCCTAAGGGAGGCAGGGTAGTCATACAGTTGCCCATAAGCAGCGTCCTTCGGGAGACGCAGGGCGACGACTAAAAGCGTCCGTTTGGAGACGCAGCCCACTAAAAAAGCGTCCTAAGGGAGACGCAGGGTGCGCCAGGAATTTCTTAAAAGGAGGTCTCCATGCCTCCTGCGGGAAGTATCCAGGTTCCTATCCGTTTCCTAAGGGAGGCAGGATAGTCACACAGTTGCCCATAAGTAGCGTCCTTCGGGAGACGCAGGGCGACGACCAAGCCATCCTAAGGGATATGCAGAACACGTTCGAAGTCCTTCAAGGGGAACCCCAGAAACACTCAAGCAGTTCACGAGACAATATGCAAATTGAAGTTGAAAAATAAAGACTGAAATTTTCATAGCAAAGCGACCAACCGGCCAAGTTCAAACAAAAAGAAGATGGTCAAACAAGACCAATTATTTTAAACAAAAGCAGACTACAAAAGTTGAAAAGAAATAAAGGAGTCTTCGTCTACTCCGAAGCGCCAGCAGGAGATCCCTGATCTACAGCCTCTTCAGCGTCCGCCTGATCAGCCACGCTTTCAGCAGCTCCACATGCCTGATATATGATGTCTGCCACCACCTCATCGGTTGCATCCTCCTCTGCTCCATCTTCCTCAGTTACCGCCTCTTTAGCCACCTGCTCATCAGCTCCTTCGGTGTTCACAGCATTAGCCTCCTCACTTTTCGCAGGGGGCAAGTCTGGATAGAGCATCTCGATGTCTTCATCTCCAATGGCGTAGAGGGGATCATATCCTTTTGTGCAGTCCAAGTAGCCCAACTTGTACGCGTCCATGGCAACTTCGGACTTGGATTCCTCAGCAGACTCATGATAGGCGTGAAATCTAGCCAAAAGCTTGTCATAGCTATGAGAGATGTCGGCATTCTTGCGCTCAAGGTGGAAGTAAGCATCTTTTCGACTTGCCAAGTCAGCAGCAGAAGAGTTAAGCTCGGAATCCTTCTCAGCAAGGGAGCTCTTCAACTCAGATATCATCGCCCGCAAATCAGACGTCTTCTTCTCTTAACGGGTCTGCTCGGCGGAAAGTTTGCTAACTAACTCGGCATTCTTCTTCTCCAACTCGCTGAGCTGAACAGAAGATGGGGCAACAGCAGACGAGTTCCGAATGGTCTCAGCAGCAAAAACTATTCCCTTTTGAAGCAGATGAAGTGTCGCTTCCTTTTGCTTTCCAAGGAAAGACTTGAAAAAGTACCAAGATCGCCAGCCTGACGGATTTGGTCAACCAGCTCAGCACAAGAGGATGGACTTGATAGAAATTGCGTCTTTAGCAGATCAGACACGCCTGCATCCCCTGCAGGGCTAGATTTGTCCACCTTTGGATCAGTCGCTGACGTTGCAGAAGAACCTTTTGTCCGGGCAGATGACTCTCTTGCTTTCCTAGCCTCCGCCAACCTCACTTCCAAAGGAATTTGCGACGTCGAATCAACTCCATGCTTGACTGCTCATGACTCAACAGTTGAAACATGATGGTTGGATGGATGAGCAGACTGCCCAGATCGACTTCCAATCTTCGACTGGTACAAACGACTCGAATTTCGAAAAGGAGCATCCGCATCTCTTTGCCTCTCAACAAGTGAGCTAGATCGTGCACGGACTACTTTACTGAGCATATCACGATCTCCAAACTCATCAGGCTTGAGCTCTCGAAGACTTGACATCAGCCTTCCTTTTTTAGGGGAGTTTAGCAAAACACTCCTCATGTCCAGCAGGCAGATCATCAAGGCTCGGACCATCCTGCTTCCATCTATCGACATCCTTAGCAGGGGGCAGTCCACCAACTTCCTCCTAATCGTTGCTCAGCAGCCGCCAGCAACCACCGCCGCTCCAATCGTCTTTGGCTGCCAGTAACGATGACAACCAACCTGGTCCCACCCAACTGGTCCTCGCCTTGAAAAAGAGAAGACGAAGGAAAATTTACGTGCTCGACTTACTTTGGGATGCACGGCAACTCCTCTCTTCGACAAGCAGTACAAAATTCTCCAAGATCTTTCTCAAGCTAGAAAGTAGAGAAGTTAAGTTTGCGATGTAAGAAAGAGTGAAGAGAAGCCCTGTATTTATACAAGTTGGACAACCCGGGTCAAGAAGGAATCTCAAGCTCTTTCCTACTGGGAATCCAACTCCAACAACAGTCAGAAGCCTACACCAATTGAGAATCCGATCTGCAAAAGGAGTCCAATTCACAGAAGAAAGCCCAGACTCAGTTGGAGAGCCCGAAAAAAATAATTTCATCTCCTACATGCCACACAAGCGTCACGCAGAAGCTGGGGGGCATTTGTGGGAGCAGATATTTTCGTCTCCAATCACAACGCGCCACGTGGAAAAGAAGATTATCTCTTTTAATTAATTAATTGAACCAGTTTATCTGGCCAATTAATTAATTGGGATAAATATCTTAATTAAATGATATTATCTTTATTTAATAAGATAATATCATTAATTAAGATATTATCCTAATAAAGAGAAGATAATGTCATTATCTCAAATATTATCTTCATAAAAAGAGATAATATCATTTAATTCAGATATTATCTCCATGAAAAGAGATAATATCATTAAATCAGATATTATCTCGTCCGACTCGATCCCTACGAATTTGGGTAGAGAATAAACTCAGCATATTCTCTACGAAACCCTAGCCCCGAGGCTCCTATAAATAGATGACTTCATTCATCATTCAAGGTACATCTAAACCTACTCCTTATACCCGAGTAAAATACCCGAAGCTCTCTCTTTCTCCCTCTCCACTCTCCATATTTTCTCCACACGGCTCCGGCCACCACACACGGCTCCGGCCGCCCGGTTCACACCCTACATAAACACTACTCCGTACCCTTTGCTTAGCTATTGTTTTCCTACAAACACTCGAACTAACTTAGGCATCGGAGGGCCTTTGGCCAACACCCCCCGGGTGTGGTCCATTTACTCCAATCTGTTTTACAGGAATCGAGAAAGAGAGAGAAGGAAGATCGAAGGTTGAAGGATCTAGAAGCGAATATTCTCCCGTGAGATTATTTGCACAAACAGATATGACCTATGCAATTGCAAAGGTTGGTCAGATTTTAGTGAGTTTTTATTGCTTGATTTAGTTTTATCTAGGTTGAATATTAGTTCAACCTGTCCGATAAGGTTCTGATTACTATATATTAATTCATATATATATATATGTACTTGTTGTGTTGAATTGGCAATGAGATGAAGTCAGAAAATGAGTTCATATACAGGTAGATTTCTCTTAATTCTAGAGATTATGCTTCCTCTGAACTGTTTTGCCCCGCAATCCAACGCAATCTGGATTCTGGTTCAAAGCTTGACTTTCTTTGGATCTTAAAATTCGTCATTGCTTTCTTCATATTCTATTTTATTGTTTATACCATTCATATTTATCAACGTCACGAGCTCAACTCACCGTTCATGTTGTTTTGTATGTCGTGGCTATGATCATGATTGAGGAAACTAAATTATAGTTTGGAAGATATTTGTAGTTGAAGTGATTAAGTGCATTTATTCCTCCACTCAAGATCCTAAGTTCGATTCCTGCTTTTCAAATATTGCTTATATTAACAAAAATGAAACAAGTTAAGTTACATTTGTGTCTCTTCAAAATGTTTTCAAACAATGAAAAACTTAAGAATCTCTTCTGTTTTATAGTTAATAATGATAAATATGTAGAACTTGATTACTAACCAAACAATGTTACAATATGGATACATATAGCTGCAAGAATCAAAATGTTATTAGGCCGTCTAAGCAAACCGAGAGAACAATCAAGGACAAGCGCAGGCCTTCTGAAGCCATGTACATAAAGCTTAAATAATTAGCCCAGCCCATATCTTTATTTGGCCATCAGCCCATTTTACTTCTACAATTTTGTGTAAGGTAAAGGTATGGAGTGAATGAACGATTTCTAATTCCTTGTTTGGAAGGTATATTGGATATCGTATCGAGCTAATTTAAGCAGGGCATTAAAATGTTTGGTTATATAATAAAGGCTAAATCAAGTCGGTGACCACGATCCTTTTATTATTGTGAGAAGTCAAACTAAGCATGCTGCATGTCCTCTAAATCCTCAGGTAAGTAGGGCACCCACCCCTTAGAAGATGTAACTTATGCAGTTTCGTGTCTTCAATCATTGAAGAAAGTGTGTATATGTTGGGCTGCCAAATAATTGAAAAGGCTACCCAAGCCAAGCATGGCAGTCCCAAGACAAGAAAGTTTACAGAGTGCCCTTTTCATGCATGTGAAATACTCACTGGATTTCAGCTTCTGTCACAATCAAAATTGTGGCTTGTGATGGCATTCGAATCTGACTTCCGCAAGTCTGTTGCATGCAGAAATGTTGTGATGTAAAAGAAAATTAAAAAAATGTCTGCACTGCATTCCAACTAATAGAATTTCTAAACGTGCTCAGTGGTTGCATCTACAATTTTCACTCATAAATTGGGATTGGTATAGGCCAAATCAGGAAAAGGATCGAAATGTTCATGTCTGTTTGCTCTAAAAAATTCCCCACACAACACCATAGAAGAGAAAGGAGAGAAATTTATATATCACCGGGATAGCACTAATTTAGTATCTCGTGATATACAAGTTCTTCTCGAAGACGAAGGAAGGGCCTAAAATAATTATAAAAAAATCCAAACATTTCAAGCCTGCATTTGATAACAGGATAAGGCTCTTGGTAGAAGTGACTGATATAGCAGAGAGCGTGGTCCCTTTGTTTGAACCTCTCACAGTACAGTACAAGTAGCTTAAGCTTTTAGTTCATATAAATGAGAATAGGATTCACCTCTCATTTTCACTTTTGCCTATTGGGATCCTGTCATTAAGTATCGACTTCAATGTTTGACATGTGCTAAAGGAGATTGGAAACTCTCATCTCGTCTCACCCGCCCAAATTTATTGGAGGTTCAAAATTCTGATTCCAAATCTCCATTAGCTAGCAACTTCAATCGCAGATATAATTCCTCATGTCTAGTGATGCACATAAACTTACCTACTCCGGATTCGTAATCTTTTTCTCTGTTTCTCTGTTTCTCTCATCACGTCATATTTCGTGTGAAGAAAAAGTGTATGAAACTATTACATATAAATCTTTTCGTCTAATTCATCACTGTATAAAATGCTCAAGTTAGAGTTTCTTTATGCATCTTTAGAATATAGAATACTAGAGGACACCAACTCTTGTTGTTGGTCATTGACTTCTTTCATCTAACTCCAAAAGTGAGATGACCAAACATAAAAAGAAAAAAGATATTTAGAATTGCTTGAAGAGTTCTTCTTGTTATTCCCTGCAAGAACAAACAAGACGTATCAAAATGTCTTTTTCCCTTCTACTCTCCCACAAAGGGCAAAAGGGTAAGAGTCTGGTTTAATGGGATTTCATTAACGAAACCCCAAGTTGTATGAAAAATATCAAAGGGCTTGTTAAAAGCTTATTAAGCAGAGAGAGAGAGAGAGAGTAAATGACCCCGAGAGAGAGAATGTGAAATAAGAACATCAATGGGTCCGGGTCATGTTGGGTCGGGGTACTGTTGTACTGCCATGTACTGTGTAATTGGCATATGACAAACACATTTTGCAGACTGCAGATGATGACATTTTATAGGGGTCATGAACCAGCCAGGGCCAAACTCGGAACCATTGCAACAAAGTTGAGGGTAAAGTAGTAATTCAACGAGGCATAGGTTGGACCTAGTTTGCATCTAAAGAAAATTTTGTTAATTTACTTAATCCTGGTTTACAAATGAGTTTGGCTTGTGCAGATTAAGTGCACCAGCACCACCTCCCAAACAAAGCATTTCACTAATTAATATGTTAAATGTTAGCACACTGGTAAGGGTAGCGTTTTTTTGCAAGTCAATGACATCTTTGAACATTTTTTCGATGATTTCTTTACACATTCGTTATCTCTCTCACAGCTGGACTTGACAAGCGGGTCATTCGTTTCGTTTTTAAGTTGATCAGACAACATATTAAGTTAACGGGTTAACACAAAACGATCAGTTGAATGAACAAGTTGACACAAAATCACCCATTAAGTTAACCGGTGAGGTCGAAACCTCACCAATGCCATTTAACCAGTCGGTGTTGCCATTAACTCCGCCCACCCGTTTTCTGAGTGCATATTTGTAGTTCTCCTTTTGCTGCTGCTGGCTCTGTGCTTTTTATGCCATGCGTGTTCTGATTTCTTTGCTTCTGTCATGTCAACATGTGTTCAGATTATTTTTCTTTTCTTTTTGACTTTTTTTGCTCACTTCGTATTCAACTTCCATCTCACCGTCGATTCGTGGTTACGAACCTAGAAAACATATCAAACGACCCCGCTTGTATAGTTTATGAATAACAATTCTTGTTAATATGGTAAGAGAAGCGACTTCATACGTGACTGTAACGGACGGATGAAACAATTGTATCTACAAGACTCATCGCGTAACTAATTGTTCCTGTGTATACTCGATCATACCCCTCACTAGTATATGGTATTTGTATGTAACAAAAAGAAGTTAAATACTTATTAAAAATGCTGGATATAATAAAATTTACAAATTTAAAGTCATGTCCACAGTGTTCTAGAAAGATATCTTGAATAATGATAACATCTGTGGAAAAAGCAACCCCATTACAATATTAAATATCATTATGGCCTCAGTTTATTAGGGTTTTTGATAATTGACCTCAATTTATTACATTAATGAGCACAGTTAGTGAGTGAATTAAAAATTAATTAGGAGTGTATATATCTATATATATATACATATATATCACTAACTCCTCATAGCGCGTGAGAGAACTTCCCACACCAGTAGAACCCAAAGTCCCCACCAAAACCTTTCTTACCAAACCAAACGAAAAGCAACAAATTCTCATCTCAAGACATCGAAGTCTCTTCTTCCTCTCCCCCCCCCCCCCCCCCCCTCCTCCTCCTATTTTCTCTCCTTCCTTCAACTTGCTCGGCAACCAAACAGTGCGAGAAATCAGAACCATCATCATCAATGGAAACCTCGCCCAGACACCAACAAGGGAACCCAAACCCTTCTCTGCTTCCTTCTCCAAACAGCCACAGCTCCAACAGCAGCACAAGTAGCACCCACAGCAACAACAATGGACTTCAAGCTCCACCAACAACTCCAACTCCCCAACCCCCAAAACCCATCACCAGATCCGAATCCGCCAACCCGTACCCGACCACCTTCGTCCAAGCCGACACCAACTCCTTCAAACAAGTCGTCCAAATGCTAACCGGCTCCTCCGAAACCGCCAAGCAGGCCTCTTCAAAACCCGCCAACACCTGCCCAGACCCGCATAACAAAACCCACATACCACCCATAAAATCCACGCCCAAAAAGCAACAATCCGGGTTCAAGCTCTACGAGCGCCGAAACTCACTCAAGAACCTCAGAATTAACCCCCTAATCCCCGTCTTCAGTTCCAACGCCTCCGGCTTCTCTCCCCGAAACCCTGAGATTTTATCTCCGAGCATTCTCGATTTCCCGGCTTTAGTTCTCAGCCCGGTCACGCCGCTCATACCCGACCCGTTTGACCGGTCCGGGTCGGCCAATTACTGGTCGAATCCCAATGGGTGTGCCCATTTAAACAAGGAGGCTGAAGAGAAAGCCATTAAAGAAAAGGGTTTTTACTTGCACCCGTCACCGAGCACGACCCCGAGGGAATCGGAGCCCCGACTGCTGCCTTTGTTCCCTACGACGTCGCCTAGAGCTTCAGGTTCATCTTCTTCTTGAATCAAACCAACTCTAAATTTTTTAGTTTTGTGTAATTTTAATATGTTATTGTTGACATTGATCGTGATGACGATGCTGAGGATTGAGGAACATAAATTGTAATGGAATATTTGCAGAGAATGAGAGAGAGTCCTTAATCAGAATGTAAAATTTCATGTATGCCTCTCCTTTTAATTTTGCTTTTAACTCATTTCCCATGTTTGGTTGCTGAGAAAGTTGAGGGAAGGAGAGAAAAGAAAATTTCCAATTTCCTCTATTAGGCCCATTGCGATTGACGGGTGAAAAAAATCTAGAATTTGAATTGGGGAGTCAAAAGTCAACATGGGGAGTGAATTGAATTGAGAAGTAAATAGGAAGATGTGGTTTGTCTACTCTTTTTATTTTTTCACTAAATAGAGAAAGTAAATAGGAAGATGTAATTCAAATCATAAATTGTTATTAATTATAACAGTGTAAGAAGTAATTGTAGGTAGATGAACAGGAGGAGTGAGAGTCCAAAAAGAAAAAAGGAAAAGAAGAAAAGAAGAAAAGAAAAAGAGTGAAAGGGGAAAGAGTTTGTTTTTTAATGTCAATGGGAAAATGAGCTTTGGGATAGCTGTCAAAGAAAGAGGGGAAGAATGGGCAAGGAATCTTGACCCTTTTGTTGTTTTTCTCAGTGAGATAAAAGATGCCAAGCAAGGCAGCCTGCATTCTGTTGTATTCACTACATGGGTCTTTTTCTTAAAAACCAAAAATATCAATGCATGCATTTTTTCTTTCACCTACTGTTTTTGTTAGACATTTAGGGATTTTATACTTAATAATTATTGTTAATTTAGAATAGTTTAGAATATCGAGCTTAGATGCAAGAGTTTCCGCTGTTACGAGCACTATTTCATGCTCTAGGCATGGTGGATCTATAATTATAGGTCATGATATAGGTGAGAAAGTGACCTTTGGATGTATGATGGGTCCTACTTTGCATCTTTTAGTCTTAGGATCAATCTAGCTTAAGAAGCTGATCCTCAGAAAAAAGTTCCTTAGTGTGTAATGGTTGCCCCATCTTAAGTGTCAATCTATCCCCGGTTTCGTTTCGTGTAAGTGTTTCTCAATCTTAAGCTGTTCTGCCTGCAGAGTGGAGATGTTGATTATTGGGTTGTTGGGTCCCATTGAAATTTTGGTACCTACTTGTAGACTTATAGTCGTCTACTTGGTTGAGTTTCTTGGTGGGTCGTGGCCTTTTGAATTGGTGTGAAAAGCAATCATGCAAATCAGCAAAGGTTCTCTTCTTTGTTGAAATCTAACATGGTTTTTGAGTCTGCTTTTTGACTCAACAAAAAGACCAAAAACTCTGCAAAATGCCATGGGGACGCATGAGAAAGTGAAAGTGGAGGGGGCAGTAGTGGGACTTGTGATGATGAAAGGAGAGAAAGATTGAGAGACAGGCAGTGATGAAGTGATGAAAATTAAGACGGGAAAGCCAGAAAATATGGGTAGGGCTGGCCTCTTGTGCTTTGTTTTTTTGTTTTCTTTGCACCGTATGGTAGCATATGGTTGTTGAGGGATTGATTGCGAATTTGAACCTTCCATATGGACTGTTTGGAAACCCATTTGGTCTTTGCTAGTGTCACCAATGATGCGTGGGTTTCCATGCCCGTCAACAAATGTTTCTGATAGTGTTTGGTAGAAAAATATACAAGTGCTTATGAGTCATAAAAATGCTTTCTAAAGAAGCTCTTAGCAGTAGCGCTCCCAAATGGATCAGATAGCAGTAGCACTCCCATATCTAACAAACACTTCGGTAAACTTATAGCTAGTTTTGCTTTCGATGCTTTTAGAATTCGCCTCTATCTTTGACAACGCTTGCAAGAAATTGGATCAGATCAGATAGCGTTTGACTTGGTCCAAAATTGTGGACCTAGGTTCTCCAAGCTTGGGCCAGTAGATTAATTAGTCAACGAGTCTTGTTCGGGCGAATGTACAACGAGAATCATTCATCTTTTTCCATTGGGTCAATTCATAGTGATTCATGATTCCTGATTCAGCCTAATCTATTTTAAACCTAATTTAATATGGCTAATTTTCTTGTTGATGACTATCATGTTAAAATCAGATTAATTTCCTTTGCAAATTACCCAACTCTCACTCTTTTTATATTGTAAGATTGACGGGTATCATATAATATTATAAAATTAATTGGTCAGATGTTAGCTCTGTCCACCTGCATAAAAATTTACTTGTAACGGGGATAATATTGTTTTGCTATTTCTGGTCATTGCATCATTGACGGGGTATAACAAAAAGTGATATTCCTGTTGCATGAAAGTCTTTCTCGTCGACCTACGATTGAGCCAAGCACTACTAAACGTTATGCCACCTGGCTTATACTTGGATGCATGACATCATCAACCAATCTCACTACCTAATTTTTTGGTCATACTCATATCACTACTTTTGTTTAGTGAGCTTTTCATCAAAGGTCTTTTATCTTTATCCACAGTTTTCTCAAAGCTATAGCAATTCACCTTTTTTTTCTCTCTTCTTTTTCTAAACAAAAGAGATTTTCTTTGGTGGGCATCTCGCTAATCACTATCAATTTGGGGGTAAAAAACTACTAATTCATAATTTTCCATGTATTGGAATGACCTCTTTAATTATACCCTCATTAATCTTTTATTTTTGTGCTATTTTGGTTTTGGACCACGCCCAAAACATCTTTAAGGGCAGCACCCAAATTTTTTGTTTCTTTAAGTTTTGTCGTAAAAAGACAACCTACGTATGGACAAAAATGCCTTTGTTATTATTAAGGGAGATTCACTATTATATCCAATATAGAAGCTCAAATTATAAAAATACCCTATATGAAATGGACTTTAGAAACACACCTAAAGCTCGTTTACAATATAACAAAGAGGTTTTTAACTTCTCATAAATTTCAAAACTACCATCAATTTCTTAAAACAAACCCAATCCCAAAATCTCATAAAAATACCCAAAACACTCAATAGGGCATCAAAGTAATTTAATAATCAATATTAAATTCAATAAGGCCAGCTGTCATTTTTTAGGTTTGTTAATAGAAATTCAATGATGTAGAGTTTATCTATAATATTAGTACTAAAAATGGGTAAATCACTAAATATCTATATTATTAATTAATCATGAGCCAATTTAATCAAAGACTTGTATCATAGCTGAGGTCAGAGTTTTGGGCAAAATTAAATCGAAAAATGTATATGCATCAATAACTAATTAATTTAATTGTAGCTAAGCTAAGCATAGCCTCACATATTGCACGTAATTTGCATGCATGTGATTAGTCCCAAAGCACATTATCATTAGAAAATAAAACTAAAAAGAAGAAGAAGAAGAAGTAATTCCTCATTGAAATGAAATCATACGTACCCAAGGTATATATATCTGGATTATTCATTTCCTCCTTGAAATACAAGCATATATAGTAAATAAAGATATATAGATATAACCAAAACAAAGATTACAGAAGCAAGCAACTTCACATAATAATTCAACAAACACAGTAATTAAAAATTCAAAAGGAGGAAGTCATATAATCTTGAAAGCATGAATGTCGATGATGATCGATGATTTTGATCCCACTTTCATTCTCTTTTCACTATATATCCTTGTACGTACGTACTTTTTTTTTTATTTCTCTTTGATCTGGTCTTGTAAATAAACCGAATTGATCATCCACCGTCGATCACATTCAGCGTCTGGCGCAGCGGGTGATGGTGGTGCAGCCGCGCTGGTAAGGGTTGGCTCTCTGCCTGTTTTGGCAGTTGTAGTAGGACTGGCCGCGGCGTCCGCATGGCACAGCATTGCGCCTCAGGGCACCGTACGCAATGTACCTTCCTTGACTCCCTCTAAGTGTTCGACGGCTGCTCTCTGAGTCCATCATCATTTCGTTTTCTTCTCCGATCATGTCGCCAATTTTGCCGTTGGCTCTGTCGATCAGGGACTCGTCGTCGTGGGTGGTGAAGCTGAGGCCCCAGCTGGCCTCATGCCCTTTAGCTGATGACTGGGCCACCATGGCCAAGACCACCATCAGCAAAATCAAGCACACTTTGTATCCCATCTTCGTTTTGATAGTTTAGGACGTATACAAACAAACTGGGTTTTTATTCTTTGTAATTTGTTTGTAGGGTGAGAGAAAAGAGAGAGGCTTTATGGCCTTTGTCTCTGCCCTTCCTGTTCGTGGAGGGAAAGAGAATGAAGGATATAGAGGAAAAGGTGGGTATGGTTGGTTATGAAGCTGGTTCGTTGGGATAAAAAAAGACGGGTCTAATTTAGTTTGTGGGTTGTCCGTTTCTTTCTCCTTATTTTCTGTCTTTTTGTTCGCTACCTGATTAATAGTAATACACAAGGAGGAGTGCTATTATTAGTTGTGCGTGAGTGAGCGCGTGAATTTTTTTAAAATCATTGATCGCCCGCACTCATTAACGGGGCTAAAAAACTTTCTCGTGCTCACGCGCAACTATTCTTGGTATAGAGGTGGTTGTTTTTCTAACCGTCATTTTCTGTAATTGGAATGTAAATCCAATTTTCTCTCCAAGGTCCAAGTTTATGGTTGTTTGATCAGCATGCAGGAGAATTTGAACTAACAACCTCTTTCTATTTTCTATGGTTGCCAGCCAAGCCAAGGTCATTGTCTTCCCAAATTCTTTTGCATATTACCAATATTTTGGCACCTTCGTGTGAAACATTGCACATTGGGTTTTATGGTGGCCCATAATCTTTCTTTGAAAAAATCGTACCTTGGACATGGGGTAAACGTGGATTTGAGCTTGTGAGGACAGAATGGCTTAAATATTCTAGCCCATCTCTTTCTTTTCGAAAGTTTCCAACTTCGTTTTCACACTAGTCCCAAGATTTTTCTACTCTGCTTGGTCCGAGATGGACAGATCAACGCTCTCCACACAAATTAAGAGGCCAGTTTAAGATTTTGAGTGTCAGTTAAATTGGGTAAGAAGGACGCCTAATGATTGATTAATTTGGATTAAAAGTAATGGCAATTCATTAAGATGCATCCAAACTTATGTTCACTTCAAAATTCCGAAGCTTTCCAACCCAGGCGTGAAGTGCAAACCGCAAATAAAAAAGGGACAAACCAGAAATTATCAGAAACCTTTAGAAGAATACTCACATTCGGGGTCCAGTGATGTAGACACCAAAGACATATTAAATCAGCATGCCCTGAACCTAAAGCAAGAGCTTTCCATTATCTGCCATCAAATGAATACGTACCATTACCATCACCCAGATTTTTATTTATACAAGAATAGGTCCACAGAACTAAATCATGAGCTTAATTTCCATTATCTTCCGTCAAATCAGCATCATCACCAAGATTTGATATAGGAACATCTTAGTTTTGATAAGGGATGAGCTAATTTGAACTTTTTATGCACTTCCAAACTTTATAGAGTTATGTTAACATTAATTGTCTATTCGAGTCTAAGTGTTAATGCATGTCATTAATGTAAGTGGATTTCACAACGCATCAATACTCACAATCACTGGCTTTCGTATGTGCATGAATGATTGATGGCTAGCGTAGTGCTCGTTGCTTCCAATTTTTGCAACTCATCCAATTCATATAATGCAATTGATTAGGGTTGAAAATTTTGCTTAAATGTACAGGGGTCCTAATCAGCAACCTAACAACAACTACGTAGAGTCGTAGACCCATTTGGCCATATCCACACTCATTTCTTTGACCTGTTATAATTGCTGGCCTCAGATTTTGTTGATTTCTCTCGATTCCTCCTCGTTTCCATCCTCCATAGTCAAGAGAACAATGCTTACTAAAGCGACGGCTGAGATTTCCTTTATATCACAATGATCATTATTGTCATCAAAATTGTCTTTCATGTGGGACCCAATGGTCATTTCAACTTTGTGTCTTTCTCCTCCACGTGTATACGACACTCTTCTGCACGGAAGCTTCTCTAAACCAAATCCATTGCTGCGCAACATGTAGCATGTGCTATTTGTACCACGCCAAAACCAGTGCACCCATTCATCATCATCATCATCATCATCATCATCACCACCATCACATTGCGGGGTCTATTAACTTGTGTAACATTTTGTTTATTGGATTAAATTGAAATTATGCTATTATTTTTTTCGTCGCAGTTGTAACACTATTTTTATATGGGGCCTTGATATGAGTTGTCTCTATGACTAAACTCATGCAATTACATTTCCAGCATTTGATGGGCACATGACATAGACAGTCCAACCTCAACCACCTACAGGGACACCACATCCATTTGGATAAGCACACGTGTGCGGTTAGCCAATACTCGACTGAGTCAAATCCAAATCATGTAAGGAAAAAAAAAGTGTTATTTTCCATTTATTATTTTTGGTATATTCTATGAGAATGAGAGCATTAAGTATATTGACGGTGGCCTCATCACACAGATAATAGTAATACCCACCAGCTGCTACATAAACCAGGCTAATAAGTTACAGAGCTTAAGGTGGTGTCTTCTAATTTAGCATATTATAATCCCAAGCTTAGCTTGAACTACAAGTGATCCCTCTCTCTATGTTAATCCCAGGACAAGATTTGATGAGGGACACGAGTCACATGATGACAAGTCACTTTAATTTATTCTCCATTTTCTAAGGTTTTATTACCTTATTATTTTATAAGAAACAAAGACTAAAGGAATTGAAAAATGGAATAAAAATTGTGAACGGGTAAGATATAGCAGATAGCAGATACCGGACAGCAGCCTTGTTCCTAGTCTCATCATCATCATCATCAGCCACCTTTTACTTTGTCTGTTTCACAACTGAAACTGTAGCCTAACCTGTTTACAGGTGCCCAACTCTTCTTTTAGCTCTCTCTCTCTCTCTCTCTCTCTCTCTCTCTCTCTCTCTTCCATGTTTGTGCCTTTCTGCTTGGCTGGTTTGGCATCAGATTCAGAGGAAGACTCAAACATTGGCTGCTGAGTTACTGTTAATTCTAGTTTGTCCCTTTATGTTCTCAGGAGGACTTTGCTCTTCGCTTTCTGGTGCAATTCTCTGTCTTTTCAATCTTTAAAGATGAAAACTTGTTTCTTGATGTTTGTTTTGCTGAATTTGATTTGGGTTCTTCGAATGTTGTTGTTGTAATTTTGGTTACATTTGCTGTTCTCTGCTCTGATAAGATGGCTTCTTCTGATTTTCAATGTATGTGGGTTTTCTCTGTTGTTATCTTTTTTTTTACATATCGGTTATGGTCATTTAATTCTTTCTGAATTTTCATTTGGGTAGCTGAGAACATGATCAGTACTTAATTGACCAATTTCACATAGCTAAAGAACTTAAGGGTAGAGTTTAGGGTTGAACAATTCTTGCTTTTTGGCCAGTTAGTCTATGCTTTAGACTTCCAAACTTTGACATTCATTGGTGGGTTGATACTTGATCATTATCTTCTGGGGGGCTAAAAGTCAATATAGCAGGTCTACTTTCTTTCTTTCTTCTTTTTCCAAATGATCTTTGGCGAATTTGGTGGATTTGAGCTTGAACTTTAACTGCTTATCAAATTAGGAATATATTCCCTCCCTAAATTTCTTTGCAATAGGATTTTTTCTTAAGTTGTCCAATTATGCTCAAAATATTGTTACAATGCGATTTTCATCGTGATCCGGTATTGCCTGTGGCAAATGCTCCTCATACATGTGAAGGGAGTTTTGGCACTTCTTAAATGTCATTCACTTGCTTGTTTGTATATTGCACTAATTTGAGTGAGTCCCTTCCCAATTATCCAGGATGTGCTGCAACTAAAATTCACGACATCACTTTGGTGACCCTTTTTGTTTTGGTTTTTTCAACTGCAAAGTGTACTAATTTGTGATTTCTACCAACAGGTGTGTTATGCCATAAGCATATTGCAGTTCGCACTTGAAGAAGTTTTTTCCTTTTAAACATGACGGCTAATTCATCTTTTCCCCTCAAAGATCAGAGAGAAAAGCAAAAGTTTTTGATTGAGGTAATTTTCTGCACCTACATCTGCTACTACTAAATACTGTCACTTCATGCAGAAGACTCTTGTATTGTTTTACTCTGTGAGTCTTGAAATTGTGGTCCTTTCAGGTTGCAAACACAGAAAATCAGTTGTGGTCACTGATCCATTCCAAAGGTCTATTGCACTCTGAGGTTAAGGACTTGTACCGCAAGGTGCGATCTACTTATGAGAATTTCATACTGAGTGATCGTGACCAGTTGGAACTTCAGGACATCGAGTATTCTTTGTGGAAGCTTCACTATAAGCGTATTGATGAGTTTCGTAAAAGAATAAAGGGAAGTTTTGTTAATGCAGAAAGCAAAAAATTGGCAGTGCCACAAAATGATAATCATGTAGAAGGATTTAAACTCTTTCTATCAGAAGCAATTGAATTCTACCAAAATTTGATTGTGAAAATTAGAAAACATAACAGGCTCCCAGAAGAGTCTGTGTTCTATAGAAAGGGAGGCAACCTTACCTTTGCAGAACAGAAGAAGATGCAGAAATGCCAATTTTTGTGCCATCGGTTTTTGGTATGTGTTGGGGATCTTGCTAGATACAAAGAACAATATGAAAAACCTGATGCTCAAAACCGAAATTGGTCAGTTGCAGCCACCAACTATTTGGAAGCAACAGTAATTTGGCCAGATAGTGGAAACCCACACAATCAGGTTCATTCATAACTTTTTCCTCATTAAACTATTTCTTCTCAGAAGAGTTTGCTTACGTGGAGAACTAAATTGCTTTATGATGTTTGCATGTTTGAATTAACTTATTTTAAACATTTCTAAGTTGGAAGTTACATGTGGGTTTGTTTGCAGTTAGCTGTATTGGCAATATATGTTGGTGATGAATTCCTCGCTTTGTACCACTGCATAAGAAGTTTAGCTGTTAAAGAACCTTTCCCTGATGCCCAGGGTAACCTTATCCTACTGTTTGAAAGGGTAAAACCTGAACATTACAAGAACCGCTATTGTTTTAGTCATTAATTTCATAACACCTTCTGATATTCATATTTTGGCAGTTCTCATTTGCTTCTTATATCTTGCAGAGCAGGTCATCTCATTTATATTCTCTTTCAAGTGAGTCCCACTTTGATTTCTTAAATCCATCTGAAAGAAGCATTCTTCAGACTATTTCAAAGTCAAGCAATCATAATGTGCTGAAAGCTGAACATATTTGCTATACGGATACAAAGTTATGGTCTCTTATTATTGGAACGTTAAGTTTCTTTCACATAAAATCAAGGTGCTCACTTGTCCTGGATTGTATTCAATTTCATTTACCACTTTGTCATTTTACTGTTGGTTTTGGGTGGTGCATCTTAATTTTCTGTTGTGATTCTCCTCAGTTTGTGGTTATTATTCATTTGCTTCTATGCTCGTGCTCAGTCCTTAGCAGCTAAACCATCTAATGGGGCAGTCAATTTGCTTTCAAGTTGCAAAGAACCACATGCGTGTTTGTACTTTGGATTTTGAACCCTAAGGTGTTAGAGAAATCAGTCTTTCACCTTTCTGTTTTGGTCCTCCTCTGTTCTGTCTCTAGTTCCTTTCGCCCAAATATTGTTTACATATTTTCTTGTATGATATCAAACGATTGAGCTGACATTAAAGTTAAGGCAATTGGTAATTGTAAAAGGGCGTTGCACTGTAAAATATGTAAAATCTTCTGAATATATGCAGTTGAGCTTTGATTGTTATACTTAGGTTCTCAACTTGCTTCACATTGCTTGAGGGAACTGGTGTTATGATGAAGAATGTAATCAAGCCCATCTAATGTTGTCCCATTGAATTCCTTTGCATTTTGATGTATGCTTGTGTTACCAATTCTTATTTAAATATCACACTCTTTGTTGCTCAAGTTCTGACGTTTTCTGCTGCATTTGTTTATGTGAGCAGTGAGGACGAATTTCCTTGTGCTTTTGCATCTACTATGGGAGAGTTGGAGGCATTAATGGCACTAGATGATACAAAATTAAAAGTCACATTGGAGTCATACCAGCGTATGGATTCAGTTAGAAAAGGCCCTTTCCGAGCACTCCAAGTTGTTTCTGTACTAATCTTTACCATACAGAATCTAATTAAGACCCCAGAAATAAAAGAATCAAGAGACAAAAATGATGTGCAGCAGAAAGAGCTGACACAATGGGCATTGACTGCAACATTCATTTTCATGGGACGCTTTGTTGAAAGATGTTTGAAGGCTGGTGCAACAGAGACTTGCCCCCTTCTACCAGCTGTGCTTGTTTTTGTGGAGTGGTTGGTCATTATGCTTGATGGGGCAGAAATGCATGGGGTTGATGAAAAAAGCAGAAGTGCTATGTCTTACTTTTTCGGTGCATTTGTTGATCTTCTAAAGCGATTTAACGTCAATGAGGATGAGGCCAAGTATGCAGAAGTTACTCCTCTGTGGGAAGACTATGAGCTGAGGGGGTTTGCACCGGTAGCTTGTGCACATGCATCACTAGATTTCTCATCTCATTGGGAATATATAGACAAATTTGACACTGCAATTGATTGTCGTGCTCAGCGCATCATCAATGCTGCAATTAAAATTGCAGACAAATCAATTGGTTCTCAAAAGTGGATTGTTTATGACAAATCTGGAAGAGAATTTAGCAAAGTCTATAGGGCAGAGTCAAATGAATATCCAGAACTAGAAAGATTGGAGTCCAACAACTCTGATGTTAATCAGAAAGTGCCCAGTCAGCCTATTCATGAAGCACCAGAGGAATGTGAGAAACAGATGATTGCTGGGGACAATTCAAGTTCTAATGGAAAATCTGTTACTATCGAAGATGAAGAAGTTATTCTCTTCAGGCCTCTTACTAGACATAATTCAGCACCGCTCAAGATTTCCTCAGCTTTAAATGATCCAACCCCTACAAAAGATATGGGGGATCACAGTGTACCTTCTGATGAATGCTTGCGTCGTGCTACATCACTTCTTATCGCTCAAAACCAGGCTCGGATTGATCCTTTATCTTTTCATGCTGACATAACTAATTTTACGCGCAGCCAGCAGGAGCCTGGTGTACAGGATAGAGTTGCACAGCCATTTTTGGAAACTCCAATCACTGCTGGGCCTCCCTCGCTTAGTGCTTGGGTCCTTGATGGAGGAAATATGAGCAACAATAGGGAGAAAAGCACAAGTGGTAGTGGGAAACATGGCTCAAGGTTGAGCCCTATTGAGGAAATAGCTTCAGAATCTTTGGATGGTCTGTCCATCAGTGAAAATGGATTTGCAAGCATCCAACCCTCTTCATCTACTTATACAGCTCCTGTGCCTTCTGCCCCTATATTGCCAGATGATGCTGATTGGTTTAATGGTGGAATTCAATCTAGTTTTATCGACTGCGAAAGCTCTGGGGGGATTAGCATGACAGATAATGTCCGTGATGCATCGCATTCGCCCATAGGTAGCTATCCAAAATGGACTGCAACTCAAGGGCCTCCAGATTATAGTCCCAGCACTCCAGGCTTCATGGATAAATATCCACCTTGGCATCGAATGACTTCATCAGAATGGCTCCGTCAGTACAGAGAAAGTCTCAACCTTGGCCATCATGCATGGCCAAATTCTCTTCATCCTCCTGCCAACCCTGGAAACTTGTATGATTACGATACTTACAGGTTTCATCATATCAACCGTTGGGGAAATCATGCGGCTTCTAATCCGGCAATGCACACGAACAACCCTACATTGCGTCCGGCTTTTCCTCCAGATTATGGTGATGCAGATGGGCAAAGAAGGGAGAAGCTTTTTCCTGGTTACCAGAGGACAAGCCCCTACGGTTGTGGTGCTGTGACAGACCTAAAAAATGAGCAGAGGCCTCTTCTGCAGTACCTTAAGGAGATGGAAAGGCAACTGCAGCTGGATCCTACTGCCAGAGGTCCTACTTATATGAACAACTGAGATTTACATACGCATGATATATGCCTTTGTATATTAACTTGTTAACTAATTAGCGCTTAAGCGCTATTGTATTATAATTTATAATATATTCTGTAAGGGGATGAAGTTGTGAAATCATGCTGTTCACAATTTTATGAAATGAATTTGTGGAAAATGCAATATGCAATATGTTGTATCGTCTCAATATGGTAGACACATATGTAAAGGAAGCCCATTGCTCTGAAAACGGTGGGATGAACTTATCAGCAATGATCAGGTGAGATCATCCACCTACTAAGGGCTATGAGTTTTATGACTTGGATTCTTAATTGCTATTGACTGACGACCATCATGTAATCCATCAAGACCACTATTGCAACTACTCTCATATCACAAGGAAAAAAGAAGTCGTCGTCCAAGGAGGAGAGGAGATGGAAAGAAAGCAAAAGAGGGAGGAGGACAGAGGGGAACGGGATTGGATTGGAAGTATTAGCGCAAACTTGAAAAGCAAAAGGAAACGTAAAACAAAGGAAAAGCCACATTAATTAACTACATATTATCTTTTTTAATTCTAAAATAATTTTTAATTTTTTTTAAAAACCTCTCATAGGCGCGGAAGTACGCGTGCAGAGAGGCTAATTTATATTAATAATAACTCAGTGGAAAAGGGTTTGAAATTGCATCTCTTACAAATTTACGATAAATAAATACTAGCCTCTCCACATGCGCTTCTGCGCCTGCGAGGGGTTTTAAAAAAATAATAAATAATAAATAATAAATATATTTTAGAATTAAAAAAGATAATGGGTAATTGTGTTCCATAAAATAGGATTCATTATCTGATTTTTCTTTTAATTTTAATTTTTTTAATATGAAAAAGTGTGAATTTACCATATTATCCTCATTTAATTAATAATTTCAATTTTTAATGTTTGTATTAGTCAAGGCATTTTTTGGTATTTTGAATGTTTCATTCTGTATTTTGCTTTATATATATATATATATATATATATAAAATTAAAAATACGTCTCTGGGACAAATTGGATATCTAGTATTTGTCTCTTAAAAATTTTCCAGGGAAATAAACCGTTCCATCGAAGCAGAAAAAATCGGGACCAAGAGAAAACCTTTCCTAATTTTCCCGCCGGACTGGAATTGACTTCCACAACTTTTCCAACTTCTCACACAACTCCCCTGGACTCGGATCCTCTTAGGCTTTGCTCGCTAGTTTCAGATCCAAAGCGAGATACGATGGCAAAAAAACAATCGGAAGGAGAGCAAATATCATCGGCAAATGCAGTCTTTCTAGGAGCTTTAGCTCCCGGTGTTAACGTACGCTCAATTTCCGATTCTTTATATATGTTTCTGTATTTATATGATTCTGAGCAAAATCTTATGAAAAAGGTAAATTTTGCTTTGGCTGATTGAATTTGGTTCAGGCTCCCACATGGACAACGCTAAGATTTGCGTTTGTGATGTTGGGTCTGTGCCTTGCTGTGATGCTGGGCTTGGCATTCTCTTCCAGTGACTCTTGGTTGGTACTTCATGTTGCGTTCCTAGTTCTTATCACCATGACCCTCTTCTTGCTTCTTAGCTGGTACGCTTATTCTTCTCTCTGATACCCACAATTCCTTTTCCTTTTATAAGGTTTTCAGTTTGGTCAATCTGGATATGGGTTATTGTGGTTGCTCTGAAAATTGAAACTTCTTTTCTTTTCTGGATCAAAGTCTCTTTTTTATTGTTAATTTCTTCCCTCTGCTGTTATTGGGTGTGTAATGGCACGAGTATGTGTTGATAATTTTTGTAAAGAAGAAAGCTGCGTATGCAAATGGCTCATATTGCAACTTAATCTTTGTGTTTAATGACTTGTGCTGCTATGCTCATGTTTGAAAAAATCAAGTTACTTAGTGAGTACTCCAAAAAATGAATGTGCACTTGTTAGTGCTTCAGCTGTGAATAATAGTGGTACCTTGTTATGTTATTACTAGATTGCCTTCCTTGGGTCTGATGCATAAGTTAGTATTGCCTTTGAGTTATTTGGTTATAAATTCCAGTACACCAAAGGGGGATAACTTGTTTGATACATGAGTTGGTAGACATACTCTCTCATCTCTGTAGGCGTTACACATGGAACATCAATTAACTAAATCTTACCTCTATTTATAGGGCTGAATACCCCCACGTATTGTCTGTCCATGATTATGTGTTTTGTAAAATATAATGAAGACAGATATGTTGTATCGTTGTTGTTAGACCAGTAAAACTTTGCATTGTGTAAAACTGTGGATGAAATATTGTCTATGGAGTAGGTTTTATCTTGTCCAACCATTGTCTACTTGAGCCAGGCCCTTAATTTTCAATGATTCTAATAGAATTGACTGTAAGATTGTCATGAGGGTGGTTTGGGATGACTAGATTAAATTTTAGGAGCATGTGCTGATGTGGATGTGAACTATGGACAGTTGTTACACATATATCCAAATGGAATCAGGGGAAAAGGTAAGGGTATTAGAACGTTGTTATTTGTTGTTACAATAATGGAACCCCATTCAAGCCAGCACACTGATATATCTTGCAGACATTATTCTATTTTTTTGTTTGACTATAGTCTGAAAGATGGAGATGTATTGAGCTTTGAAAGTTTACCATCTTATGTTGGCCATTGTTCACATAAGGGATGAGGAGCATGCACTGTATGTGTTGAAATCTTTAAACTCTTTGCAGAAAAAGACCTTTTTAAGTGCTAGAGATTCATATGGCAATATTGGGTGGTCCACTCCATTTATGAGTCAACCTAAATCATTTAAGCAATTTAGATGATGATGGCAAGCTCTAATTACACAATTTTAGACAGCTGATGAGTCTTGAGTTTTATCAAGTTGTGTTTCTGAAGTGCTAATATATGGTAGACACTGGCATGCCTTCATTTTATCTTGACTAGGTTGAGCTAAGTTGTTTGAGGGATGCTTTATTTTTTTTCATTTTCTTTGAAAAATCATGAGTATGGATAAAACTTTCACGACTATCTGGAATTCGTTATTTTTCATTTGTGGGTTTTGAAGAAGAAAGAGACGAAAATAAACCCAAGTAGTTCAAGCTAAATTGTTTGAGGCATGTTTGATTTTGTCATTTTATTTCAAATTCATTTCATCTTGACTATATGGAATTGATTATTTCAAGGCTCGTTGATGACTTATGGATTGATTTTACGCTGCAGGTTTCTTGCGCAGACTGGTTTGGTTTCTGTTGAACATCAAATTCGTGAGATGGGCTTAGCGCCAAATGATCAAGAGGTGAGTAAAGAAGGCGTGAAGAAAACTGAGGAGAAATCCCTTTAAAAGGGCAACTTATAGTTCATGTAAAGACAATTACATTTGTGATACAATCCTTCCAAGAGGAATGAGAAGACAAAGGTTGTCAAAACAGCAAGCAGATTGCAGTAGTTCTGCGCTGTTTGATGAGAATATTGCCCAGAGGAATTCCATCTTTCAGTTAATCTTGACCTCTTTCTGCTTGTGTTCGCTCTTTTTGGGCTTGATGAAGCAGAAGCACGAGCAACACGGAAACTGAAGCAAGAACTTCATCTCTTTGATTTGATGTTGTGGGAATCATATTGTTTGGAGATCTTTATATACATGGTTTTGCTTTTGCTTTTTCTTTTGGTTCCTCTCTTAGGATCCTTCTCCTTAATTTTTTTTTTTTTTTTTTTTTTTTTTTTTTTTTCCATTTTAAAGATAAAAAGATGCCAAGCTTAGCTTCTCCATTTGTGTCATCATTGCCATTGGGTGTATTATGCTCCTTCCAATTTCTTCCTTCTGTAAGATGATAACGTGACTACATTTGTATTCCTTTCATGGAGGAAAGGAAAAGACTTCGCGTGATCGGACTTTGCCTTCTTTCCTCTTCGGTGTACACCAACTTCGGAGTTGCTTGAGAGTGCAGAGTAGAATTTGAGGATTTATTCTCGATTGAAAAAAAAAGAGACACCATATGCATTGCTCTCGATTGAACACGAGTGTGCGATAGATACCAAAAATGACCTTAAAACAGTTTCCATGTTAATATAAAAAGAGGGAGACCTAACCTAACTACCATCGAATTAACTATTGGTAGACAAACATGAACCGCCATTAATGTCTGATCGAGGCAAAGTTAAATGTTGGACTTTCATCTATTTCTCGCCCCCGTCGGCAGTTAATTATGGTAACCATGTTTAATTATGATTCATTTAGGTTGGTCAAATTTGAACCTGAATAGGATCCAACTTACAATTCAACTGTCATCTGTGGCCTACAATTCAATTTTCAAATTAGGCAAACGTTGCATATACCACTAAAGGACGTACATACCTCAAATGACTATGGAGCTTTTAAAAAATATTTATTTATTTAATAATTATCGTTCTCGAGATTCGAACTTAAAATTTCTAAAATGCAACATGAACATGTCATCAACAAGTTTCGTCATCAACAAGTTTCATTATCGCATCACCACGGAGAGAAATTTTAAGATATGATCGTCACACCGTGCTAAAAATATCGAGTAAAAATTCTAACTTGTTTCAACGGTGTAGATTATTGGGGGCAGGGCAGGACAGGTGACAACTCAGAGTGTAAAACGGGAGCGAAGGTCCATTGCATTGTGTACATAAAACCTCACGAGTCAGTGAGTCACCAAAAGCTCTCCTTTTTTCTCTCTCTCTAGAAAAAACCAAATTTGTTGTTTGTCCCTTTTCTTTGGGTTCCCTTTTTGCATGGCGCTGTTACACCGTTCTTAGCTCACTCAAAGTGCTCTCTTTCTCTCTCTATCTGGCCGTTTCCTCTTCTTCTTCTTCCTCCTTTAAACCCAACTGGGTTTATTTTACTGTAATTGCTCATACTCATTGATTTCCACCTTGGAATTCCTCTTGGATTGTTTTCTATCTCTGTGTTATGTGTTTTGCGGTAACTTAAAGTTTTTCGTGTTTGTGCAGTTCCTTTTTGGAGGGTGGTAAGAAGTGAAGGTCGTTTTGGGAGGTGATCATGGGTTCAGGTCAGCACTGGGATGCTGAAAAGATGTGAGTATATATTTTCTCTCAGTGCTTACTTGTCTTCACTTGGAAAAAATATTTTATATATATATATGGGTTTCGTTTTCGTTTTCGTTTTCTTTCTTTTGCCTTTTAGTTCGTAATCTGTGTGTATTTGATTTGAGGGTTATAGGCTTGATCTATATTTGCATGATTATATGGTGAAAAAGAATATGCACAAGACTGCTGCAGCTTTCAGGAAGGAGGCTAATGTCTGCGGCACCCCTGTTGGTAGTACTTTCGCTGATCAAATGCCTCTGCTTTACGCTTATTTGTTTTCATTGAATGAATGTACTGTTGCAATTGAAAATGAAATCTTGATGTGTGTAGCTAGAGAGTTGCTATCTCAATTTGGTTGGTTATATTGGTGAGCCTACATTCTTTTAAGAAAGAGAAAATCGAGGAAAATTGTTGTATATAGTCTCACAATTGTTTGGTTTTTGAATAGAATGAAAAATCAGAATTTTGTTATTAAATTATGCTCTTCGACTATGTTGAATGATCTTGACTTCTAAACTATATGATACTTTTTGGTCTTTTGGATTATGGATAGATGTTTATAGTTCTGCCATAACCCAAAAGTTGATTGATTACTGTTATAAATTATAACTGGGAGGCTCCTTTGTGTTTTCAGTCATTAATACTCCCGACGGATTCTTACATGAATGGTGGTCTTTATTTCACGACGTATATGCCGCCAGGGAATTGAAGCATCAAGAGGCGAAGGCAGAAGCATCTCTAGTTAAGGTGGTTATTTGCTGAACTGCTTTGCCAGGTTTTTGTTTTTTAGATGGTGCATCCTTTATTTATAGACCTATTTTTAATTTTATTTTCAGGCTATGCAAACGAGAGAGAATGAAGGACAAAATGAACGTCCAAGAGTGACACACATAGCAACAAACAAACAGAGGCCTCCACAATTTGATAAGGGTACTAGTTCAAGAAGGCAGTCTACTGGAGATTTTTATCCCAGTTTACATCCAGTTGATGTCAATAAATTGAATGTCTCAAAGCCGGTTACAATCAATTCAAGGTATTCATTAATATGTTTTCAACTCTGCATTACTTTATAACAGAGGCATGTCTCATTTTGAACTCATTTGGGTCCTCCTCCATACCCATGTCCTGTTTGATAACGTTTCGATTTCTTATTTTCTGTCTTTTAATTCAAGAGATAAAAGGGAAACAGAGAAAAGAAAAGATAGAAATGAAAGAAGAGAAAAAAAAAAAAGAGAGAGCTAAGGAAGAGAGTAAAAAGTATAGATAAATTAAAATGATAAACTTTTCTTTAGTTTTTTATTTTTAAATTAAGAAGTGTGGGAAGAGGAAGGAAAAGATTGAGGACATGGGTGATTACTGTTGATTGGCTTTGTCTAAATCCAGTGCTTTTTTTTTCTTCTTTTACTGACATTCTCCATTCCTGTGTCAGTCATGTGCTGCAACAATTTCCCAATCACCCTCAACAGCAGGTACTGAGAATTTTGTCTACTCTACCAATCCACTCTAATAAGAACCCCAAATTGATAAAGTTTGCATTGAAATTTTAAATACTCAGGCGGAGGACAACAGAAATGTCATTAGCTTGGGCAGGACCATCAGCATGGACCGTACGCTTTATGGATTGAGTAGTGCCATACGCCCAGTAACTGGAGCTCAGGATGCAGGTTTGTTAATGTTATTGGGGTTCAGCACTGTGAAATAGATATCAATCCACTCTATAGCATATGCTGTTATTACACTGACTAGAAGATAAACACTTTTAGGATTTCATTGTTCTCTTGATCACCATGATTCCCTTCTACATGTATGTACTACCTCCTGCTATGATTTGATCTGACACCAATGCTGCATATTCTTTGACCATCTGTCTTTATGATATTTGTGGGAGTGGTGAAACATATATATTTAAATCATGTTGCTTACTTTAAGTGTTTCTTAGAATACCAGTATTACGTTCTTTCTTTTTCACGGTTATCTTGAAGCAATCATTTGATCCTAGAATTCAATTTGGTTACATGATACAGTTCTTTTTCTTTCTTTTAATTTATTTATTTTAAAGTCATCAAATCTGGCACTTATGCTCTGTTTAACTGGGCATGAAGATTGAAAAAGTTTTAAAGTGGAAACGTAATCATAGAAAAAGAAATGCGTTATTTGATTTATATCATGTAGGTGCTTGATTTCGTTCTGTTTACGTTTTCAGGCATGGTTGTAGTCAATCCTGGAACATGGCATGTAAGGCCCTTAACAGTAAGCGGTCTATAAGTTCTTGTCCATTGGAACTATTTTAGCATCATTTTTAGGTTATATACCATTGCAGTTTTTAATTTCTGTCTTCCCTAATTCAATCTTTTGATTCAATAGTCTTAATACTTCATCTGAAGCTGATCATATCTCCCCTGGTCTGTTTCACCAGGTATTAAACTCAGCTTTGCAAGCCCCAAACCTTCAGCAGCAGATTCAGACATTGACAGCAGAACATCAGCATCCGGTTTTGGGTCAGGTATAATGTCACATGGAAAACTGATGTTTGATCCTGAAGTTATGCCAAAAGAGCATTAATGGGGAAGGATGGAAAGGTTACTAGAAACAGTGGCTAATAAATTTCAGTTTGAATTGCAATGTGACACTGTATGGAATAAGTATGTTGTACCATCACATGCAAAACAATCCTTCAAATACAATTAGTATATGCTTTTGGCATGTTGTCTTTGTACTTCTCAACCTGTCTGATGCTATTAACTAAAAGCTATGAAAAGGAACATTTTGGTAACTAATGTGCAAAGCTAATTTTCAAATATACAGTTAGTAGTTTTCAGTAGATGTTTTACTTGAAATGTTTACAATCCTTTTCCTGTTGAAAATGGATTGTCGATGACTCAGATGATTGGCCAATGGAGACCAACTGCTGCGTACCAACACCAACATGATTGGCCTCAGCAGCAGCAGTTACTAGAGGTTGGGCAGTAACCCTGATTGTGTCCCTTGCTTTGTAGGAAAATTCGTTGTTAGTACTTTTTCTTGACTTGGTTGAAGGTGTTCACATGCATTTTTTACTCTGAATTATCTCTCTCTATTATTATCGTTTCAAAATCAGAATGACAGAAAGAGGAGGACAGCACCATTTTTGAGAGCTGGAGGCATCCCTTTGGTAGGTCACACGCCTTAAAATACATAAATATGTTCCCTTTATCACACGACATCAATATTTGTGAAAATTTAATGAATACTTTGATTTTGGGGACTCTTCATCACTTTTTATGGATGCTTCTTTGAAACGTATTATTTCTTTGGGCTTTTGTTAGCCAATATTTTCCTTAATTTCTTAATGGAATCCTAAACAACAGGGTGATATGAATGCTAATGAAGAAATACCTGTGGAAGCAAATGCTGAATCTTTCTTGTCCTATGGTGATGACAATGCTGATGGTACAAACACTACTTTCAGATTTATAAAACGTAGAGCTACAGCTTGCAACAAAAATGAACAAAAAGGTACTTCATTTGGATTAGAAAAATAATAACACTTTGTACTTAGTATTATCCAATGCTATTCATGTTATGAAAATATTTTTGAGGTGAGATTTACAACATCTATATTTGTTATACCAAGTCTCAAACCAAAAATTCGTTTTTCTTTTATTGTTGCATAATACCATAGGGTTTGATTTAGAAATCCTCAGCTGCCAGTTCCAGTCCATGTATCTGCTCCCTCAATTTTCTTTTAGCTTCACACACTATTGCATTTTCATGAGGTTTTAGTACTCTTGTTCACACTTCATTAGATTACTGAATTGGCACTCTATTTAGTTGTCATCTGTTTATATGACTGTTTGCTTCTGCTTCTATTAATATTAATAAGATCATCTTTACTTAGAATAAATAGTTAGGAGAATTTAAAGAAAAGGAGACACAAACATTGATTATGACCTTTATATGTGTAAAACATTTAGTAAAGATACAACTTAGTGGAAGGTGATACCAAAAGCACAAATAGTTCTGCCTGTTAACTGACAAGAAATAGGTTGAGAATTTTTCATGAACATTACTTTTGTTACCAACTGCTAGGCTTCACATTTGAAGAAGTTGGTTCTCTCCACTCAAGCAAATCCAAGGTTCTATGCTGCCATTTTTCATCGGAAGGGAACTTGTTAGCTAGTGCAGGGCATGAAAAAAAGGTCACTTGATAAATCTATAATGTTCAGTTTATCATCTTCTTATTCAGTATTTTAGTAGTCTTTTTATGCGTTTGCTGCTGATTTCATCTGCTGGCAGGTTCTGATTTGGAACATGGAAACCTTTGATTTTGATAAAACTTCAGAAGGGCATTCTCTTCTCATTACAGATATACGGTTTCAACCAAATTCAACAATTTTTGCAACATCTTCATTTGATAAAACTGTGAAGATATGGGATGCAGCAAGAGTAAGTTTTTCATTATCATTATTATCTGAGTCTTCTTTTACCACTAATTTCTGTCTTATAGTGCAAAATTTCTTTGGCGGTTTTACCCTTTTTTTTTCTTTTCCCATTCCCTTTTAGTTCTCCTCTTTTGTCATATATTTTTCCTGTACAAGGAAACAGTCAAGACCCTACCCGAATATGGGTATTTGTGTAGTTATTCTACATTAACATCTTGCAACTGGATGAAAATTCTGTATGAAACACCTACAGACTGTTTCTAGCTGGTCATATTCTCATGTTTGGTATATGTCTTATAGTATTTGAGATATTTACCCTTCATATTGTAATTCATTGTTGCAGATTACATGCTTGATTTCATATGCATGACTGCTACTTGGTTTAAAAAGATATTTCGTTATGGCAACACTCTGACTGTATAGCTTAACTTGTCTCGGTTTGATTGGGGATCCATGCCTAGCATATGAGTTGAACATATGAGTGCCCCAAGCCTGTTAGGCCTGGCTAGTCTTTGTTCTCTCGCCACCTATGTCTTCTAGACTCACATGTCTTTATAATCCACCTTTCTTTTGAAGTAATGATTAACAAAATATCATTTGACATAGATCAATGATCTTTGGTACATCATTGTGTTTTGTAGTCGAGCAAATCATTATCCAAGCTTTTAGGGCACTCTGGACAAGTAATGTCATTGGATTTCCACCCACGGAAGGTCAATCTCCTTTGTTCATGTGATAATAATGATGAAGTCCGACTGTGGGATATCAACCAATGTACTTGCACAAGCATCTTTAAGGTAATAATATCTTGATCATTGCATTTGTTATAGTATAATTGTTGCATCTGAGTCATTTCCATGTTATGATCCACTGTATTCTAATTCTTAATTTGAAGATGATGGGGTAGACAAGTTTCTCTTGGACTTTCATCCATCAAGGCCTTACCCGAATCTCCTCATGGACTAACTGCAGGGAGCAACTAAACAAGTCAGATTCCAGCCTCAATTTGGAAAAAATTTGGCCACTTCATCAGGAAATGGTATCAATGTATTTGATGTTGAGACTGGGAGTCTCAAGTTTTCCTCGAAGGTAAGCCTCAAGATCATTCATGCGTTTTACATGCTCCTATAGCTACTGTCAATGCATCTAGATGCCAAGTTCTTGTACAGTTTACTTGATAGAAAGAAAACTTATTTCAGGGATCCGGACATGTCAAAGATGTTGTTTCACTTTGCTGGGATACCAGTGGGAAGTATCTTGCCTCTGTTAGTGAAGACAGTGCAAGAGTTTGGTCTGCTGCGTCAAACGGAAAATGGATACATGAACTGAAATCAAATGGCAATAAATTCCAATCATGTACATTTCATCCTGGATATCCACTACTCTTGATCATTGGTGGTTACCAGGTAACTATTAATACTTGATGTAAATTGCTGCTGGGGATTTGGTGAGGCTGTTTGTGCCTTGTGTCTGTACATGAAAACGGGGTTCTGCACTTTCATCGTTTAGTGGGATATTAGCATTGGATACGTTGAAGGAAAATGAAAACAAGGTTATTTATTTTGCTAGAATATGAAAGTATTAGGATGAAAATGTTTTTAAGAACATAACGGGTAGTGTTTATTAAGCTGAATTTTGACAAGTATTTGAGCCTTTGGTTTTTATAAGGATGTTAGGAAAATGAAGTTTGGAAATGTTAAATTATTGGTTTGTTCTTGGCAGTCCCTGGAGTTGTGGAATCCAAGTGAGAGCAGCAAAACATTGACAGTTCCAGCGCACAAGGGGCTAGTTGCCGCACTGGCAGAATCCCCAAAGACTGAAATGGTTGCCTCAGTGAGCCATGATCAGTGTGTCAAGCTATGGAAATGAGAGACCTACCTGTCAACGCCACAGCTCCTGCATGAGGAAAATATGGAGAATATGTAAATTGGGAATGGAAAACAAACCAAAGATACAACTTCTGTTAATGACCTGCCTTATTATAGGAGAGAACAGGTCAAGTCAATTATACCTTAATCTTTGATATAGGCACAGTTGCACTCTTGAATTTACAAAATTCAAACATGGCCAGCATTAAAAAAGAAGGCATGCAGCCATGGTTGTTTTCTGAAACAAAAAAACATATATATTATGTAGTTGAAGTTGAACAAGTATATTTCCAAAGAGTACTTTGATGTCTTTTTTTCCTTCATTTTTTGAGAGTTTATTGTCAATTTTTTTGGAAGCTTATGGATATTTTCTAACAAAGGATCACTGTAATTTCTGATGCACCATATAATCATCTTAAAGGTTCATTTCGTGAAAACAGTTTGCTAAGCTTCGGAGTAACATTTTTCTTTATCCTCCTCACCCACAGTTAATTTCTCATCTCTTGGTGAGATTAGGATTTTACCATGAAGCAGTATAGTATTTTGTGCACGCATTTTCAGGGCATGTTTCCACAAAAGACATCAAGCATTAGAAATTATGCCTCGAAATTCATATCAAGCTGAATGGGATTTTCTTAACCAAACCCAGGAAACATGTTACGGCTATGCCTGGTTTTAGATAAATCAAAAGCTTGTGATGGAAAACAAATCTAAAAGGAGAAGCCTGCACTACAAGAATTTAGATGTATTAAATCAATCTACAACGCAGAACTGCTTTTGCTAGTTCTATTCTATCACTTGATTCACTTCCATAGCTCTTCCATGGGGATACCACGTTCCCGAGCCACATCACTAAACTGCCGCATTTTCTGGATACCAACTACAGTCGCTCTGGCATTGTTCAGAGCATTCTTGCTTCCCAGTTGCTTTCCTAGAGCATTTTCTACCCCTGCCATTTCGAGCACGATTCTGACAGAACCTCCAGCAATAACTCCAGTACCGGGAGACGCAGGTCTAAGCATTACCTTGGCTGCTCCATAATCTCCCTCAGATCTGCGATTCATCAGGTCAACAAAATAGTGAATGCAAAAATTGACATGAGATGATGAGATGCTGCATTAAAAGGTATTGGCATTGTAAATTACAAGTGCTATGATGCCTATATAATAGATTTTGTAGCTCAAGTTTAAGACCATCTCATGCCATGGCTCTATTTCAAAAAGAAATTGGGAGCACAGGAGAGCACTCCCATTGACAATTATTACCTGTCAACTTTTAGGAGCAGAATATAATAAAAACAGGTCCTCCCAAAGAGGAGAATGAAGATAGCTTTCTCTACATAATGTTTTTCCATCTATGATCACATAAGGTATTGGCATTGTAGATACACGTGCTATGACTGTTGCAGGCAGCACAGCGCCCACACACAGCATGCCAGCATTTCATCAAACACTCCAGGCAATTGTCCGAGAGCATCCATACCTCCAAGGAGTCAATGCAGTCGATTCAATGATAAATTTTCGACCTTCAGGGTCAACTGACCCCCTTTGCCCCTTAACGCATCCACCAGTGCCTAAAACCTTTGAAATCTTGTACTTAAGTGATTCACCAAAATATCAACCATAAGACTACTCCAGAGAATACATACTACTTCAAGTATAGCTAGCATGCAATGTGAGCAAACTACAAATACCAACCAAATTCAGCTCCTCATATTATCTCAGACCTCAGACACCAAAATTTAATCAATTCTCATCCTGTCTAACATATTTCAAATTCTGATAGGCAGTCTCATACTAACAAGCAGGGCTCACCCACAAAAAAATGCAATTACATTCAATTCCAAGTTCTACAAAATCCTAAATGCAGAAGCGTCCAAACCACCAAATGACCAAGAGGATCAGTTTCACACAGTTCAAACACAAGGTCGTCAAAATAAATCCAACTCAGATGTAGTAATGACCATAAGTAGGCTGAAAGCCAAGTATTCGGTCATTGACACAGTGAATACTAGCAAGTTGGGCATTCATAAAAAATGAAATAACATTCAATTCCACTCTTACAATGAAGTGCAGTATTTTCAAAACCACCAAAGATCAAACACACAATTCAAACAAAATGTCAACCAAAACCCAGAAGTAGAAATGGCAATACCTATGAGGAAAAGTGAGGTACTTGGTCATGGGCACACTGATAATGTTCCTTCTAGCATTCACAGCAGACTTTTGAACCGCACCAATAACCTCCTTGGCTTTGCCAACACCAACACCCACTTGGCCCTGCTTGTCACCGACCACCACAATAGCTCTGAAATGCAACTGCTTGCCTCCTTTAACCACCTTGGTGACCCTCCTCACCTGAACCACCCTCTCCTCAAACCCATCTCTGATCTTCTCCTTCTTCAATTTCCCAAAAGCACCTGTCTTTTTTACGTTAGAGTCCATTACGTAGATGTCATTGCCCAGAACGCTCACGCCACTGTAGGCTGGACCGTACAGCTCCTCGTAAGCTGCGGCGATCTCGTCCTCGGTCTCAGACGACTCGTCGTCGAAGGAAGGTGGGGGGACGAAGCCTTCCGGGACCTCAGGGGGCTCGAAGACTCCGTCGAATTCGGGGTCTTCGTTGTCGAAGAAGGAGGTCTCGACGTCAGCTGCTGCGGCATTGAAGATAACAGTGGTGGGTCGTGACAAGGAGGTGGAAGAGAGGAGAAGAGAAATGGGTCTTTTGGGTTTGGTTATGGAGGTGGTGGCAGCTGTGAAAGGGGACAGAGAGAGGCGTGGAGAGGTGTGGAGAGAGAGAGAGGAGAGAGAAGAGAGAGATGAAGAGCTTGTGGACATTGCCATGGTGGAACTGTGAGAGTATGATTGGGTTTCAGAGAAGGCTTATCTCTAAAGGCCGCGGCTTGGAGGATGGAGGATGAGTCATCACCTCATCGCCAAGACGACGGTGAGATGTATATGATGTTGCAAATTGTCAGTGGCACGTTATACGGCTAGTCGTTTTTCCTCCAGACGACTTGTCTTTTCACAGCGAAAACTGTGATTGCAATTTTTCTTTTTGTTATTATTTATTTTCTGTAAGTGAGATGGAGTACTTTTATAGTGGGCTGGATAGACAATATGCCGGCCCAATCTCAGCTCAGCCCAACTCTCCAGATCAGCCCATTTCACAATCCTAAGCTTCTATAATAAAGGAATTTTTACGTTGAGGGGTGTGTTGAGGAGTTCAATTTTGTCGTTCAATAATAACTCTACAAGTGATTGGAACGGCTAATAAGAGGTGACAGTTGAAGAATTCTCTTTAATTTTATGGTAATTTTCATAAACTTCCGTAGTTTGTTTCTTTTATATATATATATAACAATTTCTTATTTGAAGTGAGAGTGGGTGTAGAACATGTCGTATTTTTAGTTTTCTTTTTCTTTTTTAAAGTCAACTTTTGAATTTTGAATAATTGACCATTCTATGCTTATATATGTAGACTAGTTTATTTTTGAACCTGGGTGTTTTACATGATTGTTGATTATTATACATATGCAATTACCTTGAACTTATGGAATTTAGCAACAACAAAAAAATTAATACGTAAAAGAGACTAATTTAAGATAAAATTAAATTTTATTCCACTGAGGATATAATTGACATCATATAAATAATTTGATTTTCCTATATCTTCTCCAACACATGAACACTTGGTAAAATCATGTGCCAGTAAAAGGAAAGTCAAAAAGTAACAAATTACTCAACCATGCAATGCAATGCAATCAAATGTTGTTCAGCTCCTCCACTACGACTTGTCGTCGTCCGTTGTTATGCTGCCGTTATAATCAAAAAGACAAAAGTCATCACAATACTTATAGCGATCAACTTCCGGGAGTGTCCCAAGGCCTTTGTAGCAGTCATCGGTCTCAAACTGATCATCGTTTGCCATCCTCGTCATTGCTCTCCTCTGTGACGGTGATGGTGATGGGGCAGGCTCAACCCCCGCCAATGTAGATGGTTGCATAGAGGTTTTGACATGTCCAGTGGCGTCGTTAGCTTCCTCACATTGTATGTGCGGCGAAGAAGCACACGTCATGGACAATGCAATTATGGTGTTAGCTTCTTTCTCTTTCTGAAGTTGTTGTACAAGTAGTGCTAGAGATGATGATGATGCATCTTCTTCATCCCTAGCTACATAGGTATACGCCGAAGGTGTAGGTATGTCAGCAGTAGCGTTGTGGTTGTTGCTATAGCTTTTGGCATTGGTGTTGGTGTTGGCGTCAGCGTAGTTAAGGTTGGAGTCCGGAGTGTTGCCTTCGGTGGTGGTGTTGCTGTTTGAGTTGTTGGCTTTATGGTTGGTTGTGTTGTTGTTGTTGTTGTTGTTGATGTGTGAGGGGGGCTTGGCATGTATTGATCCTGCTCTCGTTTCTGTGGAGATGTACTGTTTCCTCAGCATGGAAGTAAAAGAAGCTTAGTTAAGACAACATTAATTGAGATAAGCAACATGAATGAAATCTATATGCAACATGCAGAATTAAAAATACAGCAAACATTGACAGTTCAGATCTGTGTAAGATATGACTTCAGTTCATATTAATGGTCTTGCCATAAACTCTAGAGATTTTCTACTTTTGGGAATATCATTATTATTATTCTTTTTTCGTAAAAGGTTACATGAAGACGAGCCAAAACACCAGTTTTAGTCTTCTATTCTGTAGTATTAAAGATGCTCTTAGGCTGTCTTTTGTATAAGGCAGGTCCTGCCAACTAATTGGAAGCGTTTCTAAACTCTCAGGCCAGTCAGGTGCAAAATACTCGTGTTATTGCCAACACATCTCCATCAATAGCCTTCCTATTTTTTTTCATACATGGACCTTTCCATTTGGTCTTATAACATGTACCTTCACAAACTGTCCTCCTCAAGATATAGTCATCGTAATGGAAAAAGATAAGATCAAACAAGCTCTTCAAATTGTATTCAATTTTCAAAATCCCATTTTAAAATGCAACAGGTTTTGTTTTAAGGAAGAAAAGAAGAACTCACAAGGTTCTTGTCTTCATCCTCCAAAAGACAAATGCAATCTCCCACCTCCAACTTGTTTTGCTTAACAAAGTCGCCTGTTGCATTAAAAAAATGGAAACTCTGGTTAGTAAAGTGAACATATTTGCATGATTGTCAAAGAGAGTGACCCAAAAGCAATGAGATTTATTAGCAAGTGTGTCAGTTTTTTTTTACCTGTGTTCTCTAAGAGGTACATTCGACTTTTGTTATTTGACCAATACCTGTGTTAGTTCAACAGACAGAAAAAATGGCTTCAATTAAGTGGCAAAAAACTCTTGCTATAGATGGGCTTGCTTGCCATTAAAATATTAACTTATAGTATTGTCCATACACTTACTTATACTTCAAGCCCCACTCCTGGTCAGAATATACATCTCTGATCATCAGCTGGATGCCTTCTTTGTCAGAGAGCATTGGAAGGTTTTCCTCTGCTTCTTTCTGTGAATGAGATGGTAGAACACAGTATTAGGTCAGCTTGGACGATATCAGAGAGTTTCATTTCTTTTGATATAATGTTCATAAAAAGATGAGGAGAATCATTTTGCAGTAGTCAATAAGAGTAAATCAAATCAGAGTAAAGAAGTAGGTTGGTGGCCCTTTTACTTCTTTCTCTTTCCCTTAGAAAAACAAAAAACAAAAAAAAGGAGTAAAAGGAGTTAAAGCCAAACAAGCGGAAGATTTTACAGGCAAACAAACATCACCTTTGGAAGGACAATCCTGCCCAAAGATCCAACATCACTGTTCTTCAACTCCTTCTTAAACATCACTCTCAGTTTCTGTAAAAGAAAAAACAAAAGACACAGAATTAATAATGTAAAGAAACACATGCAAAATTCAGATTTGAGATCACAAAATCTACACCTTGTTATCTGGCGTGCAGAACGTGTAGAGATGTTTGTTGATGTTCTGCATATCAGCACCAGCACCAGACGATGACGTGGACATACTTCCCCGATGATCATCCTCATTCCACGGAAATGGAGCATGCCTCCTTGAAGATGGAGAAGAAGACTCAGAAGAAGCAGCAGCATTGGCATTGTTTCTGCTCAAACTGAGACTCCTCTGTCTGGCCATCCTTCTCTCCTTTCTTGCCGCCTTGGAGACTAATGCATCCAGAGTCCATCCTGATCTGGCCAGGCTGTCCTGCTCTGTGAACACCACATTTGGCTGGCCACCGACCAGGAATGGATACATGGACAGACCGGCCTGCTGATAAGGATATGCGTATTGGAATTGCAGGCCCGGATTTGGTGCTAGATACTGTGCCGGATAACAATAGTACTGAGTCGTTGAAGGACTACAAGTTGTTGAAGGGGAACAGCTCATTGGTTCACAAATGGACAACTGTGAATGTTGTTCTTGGGGAGCGGAGGTTATGGTTGATGTGGAGGGGATGGAAGGTGGGTGGAAGTTGTCCATTTCCAGATTTGTGAACACAAAGAGTGTTTGTTGACAGTGAGGGTGGTCTTTGGTTTGGTGTTGGTGATCAGAGAAGGTGGTGGTGTTATCCTGGCTTTATGTTAGTGTGTTAGTGTGTGTGTGTGTGTAAGCTGCAGGCTATGGGGAAGCTGGGAAGCTTGGGATGCTGCCAATGGAGAGAAGCCAGGTGTGGCAAGAGAGAGAGAAACACATAAGGGGGTGCGGGGGAGTGGGCAAGGAAAGAGAGAGAGATAAGAAAAAATAAAGATAAACATAAAGAAAAGGCCGAGGAGGAGGGCCAGCGAGTGAGAAAATTGGGGTGAAAGAAAGAGAGAGTATGGGATGGAAGAGTAGGAGCTGTCAGATGGGGTGGAGTGAGTGACAAGTGGCCGGAGGCTGGTGGTTTTGGAAAACCCATCTGACCAGTCTGTGAAAAGAGAACAGAATCAGAGAAATGGTAGACAGCAGAGAGGAGAGGCTTCAAACTTGGCGCCTCTTATGGTTCAAATGTGGCAGACTTTCCTTCTGCCATACCACGTTTCTTCCTTCCTCTGCTTCTCTGCCTCTCTGAAGACTCACTCTCACTCTCACTCACAGTCTTTCTCTCTCTAAAGCCAGCATCCCAAGCGCCTACCAGCCTTAACCTGCAACAAATTATAAGATGGAAAAGTTATTGGAGTGCTATTTTCAGGGATGATTTCCTCTCTTCGCAACCAGGCTTCACGGTGTCTCATATGACAAGTGCTATAAATGTCACATAAGACAAAATGAAGCCCAACATTGCAAATTAAGACCTTCCCCAGAAATACCACACCAAGAACTCAACCTCTTAGATTGTTATATTTTATTTTTATTTTTTATATAATAAGATTTTTTTGTTAGGGGGTTAGGTGTCGTTTTAATTTATTATATATGTTTTTATTTTATGTAATGTTAGGAATGTGAGTAAAAGATAGTTATAATGTTGGGAATGTGAGTAAAAAGGAGCAGCACAACCTGATGAACTCGAGGGATTTTGAGTTTTCATTTTCATCTTAACTTGAACCACTTCAAGTTCATGATCTGATACCATGTCTTGCCTGCTTGTCATTATATCACCCACAATGTGAGAAATGAAACCGCCTATGAGTCCATCCTGCATCAAAAACATTTCATCTTTACAATCTTATGGTCACAGAAGCATGATTCGTTCTATGCAGAAAATGCATACATATAGTGCCTTCCACTATTCTCTTAAACTGAAAATGGTGTCAAGCATTTATAAAATATAATGAATTGTAACTGATAATAATAATAATAATGGAAGTTCATATTTATCCCCACAAGTTTGTCATATCTGTATACGCTAAAGAGGAAACCATATATCCCTTTGGTTAAAAATGGAAGCAAATTAAACTTAAAATTTTGCCACTTCATGATCCTTCTTTCTTGGGTATGATTTTGATATCTTACCAACTCCAATCCATAAGGTGGTGTGAGGTAATAGAAAAAAAATTTGAAACAAGACCACGGGCAGAATCTATAGATAATAATCTAAGCATAGAAGGTAATCCAAACAACACATAAACAAACTGGGGATCCTAATAGAGGCCTGATAACTGTTATACAAAATTCACACACAGGTACCTGCTGAAGAAAAAAAAAATCATTTATAATATCATAGCAGCAATGCTGAGAGAAAATTAACAACCATGCCAGAAAAAAAAGCCATATGATGCAGTATTGCTACCTAGTACTTACAGGGTTAGCCACAGAATCACTGTGGTATTCACTTTGACTAGGAAGCTCCATGACAATGAATTGCTCCTATACTCATCACCAGAGTGAAAATTTCAACTGCTTCTGTTATAAATGAAGAGAAGGTTTGATAGCAACAACAGGGAAGAAAAACTTGAATACTGAATTGTGAAGAGACCCTAAGACAACTAGGATTTATATAGAGGTGATAAAGAGATTCGACAAAGCTTCATGCAATCCAAACATGCCTAGGTGATTACACCTGCCCCAGACGGTTATATAGATGTCGATCATGGAGAAAATCGTCAACCTGCAGAACGTGGAATCATATAGAGGTGACAGAGGTTCGACAAGCTGCATGCAAACCAACACCTGCCCCAGACGGTTATATAGATGGCAATCATGCATAAAAGCAAAACGCTCAACCTTTGAACATGGATTCATATAGAAGTGATAAAGAGATTCGACAAAGCTTCATGCAAATCAAACATGCCTAGGTGATTACACCTGCCCGAGGCGGTTATATAGATGTCGGTCATGGAGAAAAACGCTCAACCTGTTCAACGTGGAAAGAACTTATGGTCGAAAAAGACAAATTGGGTAAGTAGATCAATTTATCATTTATGTTCCGTCCTCTTTTAATTTTTTTCATAATAAAATTACGAAAGCATCGCATAAGAAAATGTACATGTACAAAGCTTACCTTAAAAACAAGCAACTGAATGTAGTTTGGCCACCCAATTGGCCTTCATTGGCTTAAAATACATAAACTTATCTGAAGTCTTAACCTGACATAATGATAGAGAACGAATACCAATATGGTTTAAGCGCATTAGTCAAGAACAGTTTCCAAAACTTAAGAGAAGGTAGGCTAAATATGCCATGAACAATTTAAAGCATGATTGAAGACATGTACAATCAATAATGGTGCTATATGGATTAGCATCTCATCAATCTCCTGAAAATCAGAGTTCAGACATGGAAAACATCCAAAAGCTACAACAAGCCTAATATCACAACACTACATAATGGTTTGAGAAAGTTATCAAATTAAATGAGGGTTGTTATCCAAACAAAAGAATAAGATTTCTAACTTGGTTCAACACTAATATTTGAACTTCTAGTTATTCTTCATTTCTTTGAGAAAATGAATTTGAGTTCAATTTCTTTCAGAGTGGAAAAGATCTGATATAATGTTACTTATGCTAGACACTCAACAGAGCTAACAATATGAGTAAGACATTTATGATAAATGGTAGCACAGAAATTAGCATTTCGTGAACTCCTGTAAATCAGATATTCATGACAGACGGAAGTGCAATATGAAGTGAGGCTTAATTCCTTTCAGAGGACAATGAAGAAGGAAAATGCAACATCATCCTTTATGTTATAAGGATATGTCCAAATGGTTTTTACTCAAAAGTGCTATTGATAAGACTTCTTTTATTTCATAAGGATATCTTTATTTCAATTTTTTTTTTTAATCATGCTGTAAGTTTCAGGCAAAATGCTAATCTTGGCGAGTGATGCTGATTGGTGCAATGCACATTTTGTTGGCTGTAGATTTTGAATTTCAAGTGCTACTCATTGTTCAACAATAACTACATCAAATCTTCAAAAGACAGAGATCTAGACCAACATGGCTACTTATTCAAATCCGCAGGGACAACAGAATCTGAAATCCCATAAGGGAAAAAGTGAGGATATTTTGATATTATTAAAGTTCATTACAAACTACCTACAAATTATCCTCCTGCAGTTAGATACTATACAGTTCTACCACATTCAGTGAACAAATAATGATAAATCAACGAGGACAAGGCATTAACTATCATGAATGGTAAAATGCTATAAATTTTAATCACACAACTATATGGAAACCTACATATATCGTTAGAATTCAATCCAGTTCAAATTAAGCAACTGATAACTGAAAACAGAAACAACATTGGTCAGAGTCTTGTTGGCACTTCCAATATAAAAACACAATGGGCAATGCTTCACAGATGTAAGTTTCCTTTACTGAACTAAGGTAGTCATGCCTCATACTGATGCATGTAAATATGATACTTGCAGGAGATGACATGAATGCTATGCAAAACTAATATGGAACTAATGAATACATAAATGAGTCAGGGAGGGGTAAGCAACAACTTTATCGCGAACAAACAATATGAACAATTTGAATGGCTGAAGATGGCTTCTCCTCTCCTAGATGCATTGCTTGTATCTGCAGCACATGCATGAATTCCAGCCACAAGCACTACTGTTTTTTTTACATATTTTCAATTTTTCTTTTAAAGACAGTACAATTGGAAATAAGCACTACTGCTCATCAAATGTCTTAATAAATACTAGATTTGTCATTGCCTGACATGAGCAGCCTGTGTTCATACACTTATTTCAGTAATGCAACAATAACAAAGATGAGATCAACTTAGAAAGCCAATGCTCTAGTTAACTGAATGTCACCATAGTTTTCCAAGCAGTGAAAGCTTTTGGCATGCAGGCAGGATAAGGGTTATAGTCAAAGATTTGTCTAGAAAACTAATACAGATGATGGAATCTATAAGAATAAGCCTGCAATTACTATGTTCATGCCAAGGTGCAATATTTGCATTCAGATTCTTCCAATCCAGGTAAACAATACAAGTTCAGAATTCCATTAAGCTTCACACACAGGCTAGTAGGTTAGCACATATAAGGCTAAACACGTCTCATAAATCAAGCTAACAAATCAATTTGAGCATGAGGCATAGGAGGTAAAGAAGTGAGAGCGTTAGCCCAAAGGGGTGATACTAGTGTGCGGGGTAATGAGTTAGGATTATGATAGGTACAGAGTTCGATTCCAGCCAATGTGAAAAACTAAATAAGATAAATTAGAGAAGCAACAATTTATATGACAGAGGAGTCTCTTTTTCCCAATTCAACCATCTAGGGATTAGAATATGACGAAATCGTAAATTGACATATTTGCACATATGTGATATTTGAGTAAAAGCAAGAGAGAATTTTGTCAGCACCTGAAGATTGCAATTCCCAAATTAACCTCGGTGGTAGGAGTCGTAACGGAAATCGGGAAGAATATGCCCCTATCCCGATTGGCATTTTGCCTGACGGACTGACTGAAACCGTCGCCCCAGTAAAAACAACTGGACAACAACCACGACACACACCCTCTTCAAAACGTGACATCATTTTGACCCTTCACTGAATTAATTGGTTCTAATTAATTTCCAACCTGTTCTCATCTCTACCTTCCAAAGCAATCTCAATTGGTTCCATGTCACTTTTGTCACCTAATATTGAAACGGATTGGATGACTCAACCCAATCTGATCATAGTGGCTTAATTAATTTGTGGATTAGAGACACCAAGTTCGAACCCCATAACATCCGTTGTGTGTATGAGAAACCTCTAACCCTCAAGTCCTGACCAGTTCTTGTACTCTTAAAAAAAAGGCCTAAAAGAATTTTCCAAAGCAAATCTTTTATTTTTGATAGCTTTCTACATGGATTGGATTGAAATGAATGCCCAAAAAGTTTGAAGAAAAAATAAATGGGCTTCAAAACTATAGCCCAAGCACAAACGGGGCCTGGAAGCACCACTGGCAACAGTAGCCAGAAATTATGTCGACAAGGGAGGCTGAAGAGGATGTAACTATCTCAGCTCCCCACCAACCGACTACTACACGTGTCGAGCAACACGGCTCCCACCTTACCCTCCCCAAACTCGTTATAACATGCAACCCCAGAAAGAGGTGAGATATTAACAGAAACCAACGTCGACACAGAAGAAAAGAAGAAAAGAAAAAAAAACAAAAGAGAAAACAGAGCAACCAAACATGGCAGTGATTTCCCTAGCCAATAATGTCGCAAGGCCTTTTCCTCAAGCCTCTTCCTCAATATCTCACGGAAATTCCTATCGCAAAGTCTCCCGGGTCTGCTTCACCTCTGCCTTCAAATTCTCCGGGGTAATTAATTTACACAAACACTCTGTTTCTTCATCTCATGTAGGCATGTTTAATTTCAATGGAACTTATATTTTGAATTTCAGGGTCGAAATGCGTCGGAAGAGAACAGGGGATATTATTCAAGGGTTGACAACAGGGGATATGCCGACAAGAACTGGAGCAAAAAGGAACGAGACGTGAGTAGGAAGGCAAAAGAAACCGTGGAAGATGGCCTGGACAAAAGCAAGCAAAAAGCAGAGGAAATCAAAGACGCAACCAAGGAGTATGCACAGGGCGTAGGGGAGACGGTGGCAGAGAATACAAAACAGGGAACAAACACAGCAGCCGAGACAGCAGAGAGCGCAAAGGAGAGAGCCAAAGAGTACGCGTACGAGACAAACAAGACCACCAAAGATTTGGCTGGGACTGTAGTGGATAACGTCAAAGAGGGGACTAACAAGGCCGCAGAGACGGCGGAGACGGCTGTAGACAATTTGAAGGAGGGGGCGAGCAAGGCGGCGGAGACGGTGGAAACGGTGGTGGAGAATGTGAAGGAGGGGACGAGCAAGGCGGCGAAGGCGGTGAATGATACGGTCAATCCTGATGGGAAGAAATATTGATGTTCTGCTCTGTGAATCTGGTTTTTGATGGATTTATTATATAAAAACTGCAAATTGGGTCTTTTCCTTCAACCTCTGTAATGGCATACACCTATTTCAGTAATGCAACATTAACAAAGATGATACTTATTTGTCAACTCAGATGGCCAACAATGCTAGTTAACTGAATGTCACCATAGTTTTCCAAGCAGTGAAAGTTTATGGCATGCAGGACCAGTAAGGATTATAATTTATAGTCAAATATTTGTGTAGAAAACTAATACAGATGATGGAGTCGATAAGAATAAGCCTGCAATTTCTGTGTTCATGACAAGGTGCAATATTTGCATTCAGATTCTTCCAATCCAGGTAAACAATACAAGTTCAGAATTCCATTAAGCTTCACAGCCTTGTAGGTTCGCACATATAAGGCAAACAGGTCTCCTAAATCAAGCTGACATCAATTAGAGCATGAGGTATAGGATTTAAAGAAGTGAGAGTGTTAGCCCAAACGAGTGATAGAGGCAGCGTAATGAGTTAGATTACGATAAATTAGATTACGATAGGCGGGGTAATGAGTTAGGATTACAATAATGTTTTAGATTACGATAACGATAAGAGATTACGATAAATGAGATAATGAGTTAGGATTACGATAATGTTTTAGATTACGACAATAAGCAGGGCAGAGCCAGCATGGGACCCGTGTGGTCCCAGGCCCCGACTCCATTTTTTACCTCTTTTATTTGTATATTATATATCATATATAATATTATATTATATTATATTAGTTTTAGGATAATTACCCTTAAATAAATTAATATATTGGGTTCTTTTTGTCTACAAATAAACCATAAAATATCTTGATCTCCCTTCTACTCATCTCCCTTAAATCTTCTAGGTTAGTTTATGATATTTGCAATATAAACTCCTAAAGTTTTAACCTTTTTTTCTCTTCCTCTTTTTTTTAAAGCTTTGTGAATTTTTTATTTTCCTAATTTTTTATTATTTATGAGTTGAGTACCTTAATATTGAGTTTTATGAACTCTTTTTTGTTTTTCATTTCTTTTCTCTGTTAGAATATAAATAATTAATTTTTAAGTCTTTAATAGTGTAGATGATGAAATTAGTATTTAACCAATTTAAAATATGAAATTCATGATAATTAATTTATGAAGAAAATACAAGTTTTATGAAGGGTCTCCTCTAATGTGAAATCTTGGCTCCACCACTGATAATGAGTTAGGATTATGATAGGTACATGTTTCAATTCCTACCCATGTAAGAAACTGAATAAAACCAAATAAGAGAAATAACCATTTATAAAGAATGATTTATCTTATATAAAAACCCCCATGAAAAGTAAAAGGAAAAACACAAATCTTGAATGCGGGTCTATTTTTCCCAATTCAATCATCTGATTAGAATATGATGAAATTGTAAATTGACATATATTTAACGCAACCCAATATAATGATATCGTTAATCTACGAAGTTATCCAATTTAATCCAATACTAGATACTAAAAATGACCTAAAAGAATTTTCCAAAGCAAATCTTTTAGTCTTTCTTTATTTCATCAGTGGTGTTGTTTATCAAATTTTTTTTAAGAAATAAATAAATGGGCTTCAAAAATAACTTGAGCTAGCGTTACAAATATAGCCCATAATACAAAGGACCTTACCATTTGGGGCTGTCCAAGATTTGATCTGGCCCATATTAAGATTTTATCATCGGACTATTTAAGAAAGAAGATGTTACATGTGTAACTACCTCAGCTCCCCGCTAATTGACTATCACACGTGTCGAACAGCACGGCTGCCACCTTAGTCTGGCCAAACTCGTTATAACATGCAACTCCAGAGGGTGGTGAGATATGATCAGCAACCAACGTTGACACAGAAGCAGAGAAAAGAGAAAGTAAAACAGAGCAACCAAACATGGCAGTGATTTCGCTAGCAAGAAATGTCGTCTTCAACCTCTCGAGGTCTTTTCCTCAAGCCTCTTCCTCAATATCTCTCAGATATTCCTCTCGGAAAGTCTCCCGGGTCTGCTTCACCTCTGCCTCCAAATTCTCCGAGGTAATTAATTAACGCTAACACTCTGTTCCTTCATCTCATGTGTATAGGCATGTTTAATTTCAATGGAACTTATATTTTGAATTTCAGGGTCTAAATGCTGGGGAAGAGAACGGGGGAGATTCAAGGGTTGACAGCAGGGGTTCTGCTGACAAGAACTGGAAGAACAAGGAACGAGAGTACGGGTCTGTTGACGTGAGTAGGAAGGCAAAAGAACCCATGGAAGAAGGCCTGGAAAAAAGCAAACAAAAAGCAGAGGAAGTGAAAGACACAACCAAGGAGTATGCACAGGAAGCGAAAGAGAAGACAAAGGGCGCAGCGGAGACGGTGGCAGAGAAGGCAAAACAGGGAACAAACAGAGCAGCCGAGACAGCAGAGAGCGCCAAGGAGAAAGCCAAAGACTACTCGTACGAGACAAAAAAGAAGACCAAAGATATGGCGGGGACTCTTGCGGATAAGGCAAAAGAGGGGACTTACAAGGCCGCAGAGACGGCGGAGACTGCAAAGAAGAAGGCGAAAGAGGGCGCGTGGGGGGTGAAGGAGAAAACAGAGGATGTGGCCGAAACGGCGGAGGAGAAGGTGAAGGAGGGGACAAGCAAGGCGGCGGAGACGGCGAAGGATACAGTGAAGGGGGCGTGGGGTGCGGTGAAGGAGACAGGGCAGAAGATTAAGGAGACGGTGGTTGGGGCGCCTGATGAGGAGGTTGGGGTTGGGGTTTTGGATGAGGACACTAGAGACAGTGAAGATGAAATTCATGTTGATGTTGATGGTGTGGCGGAAGGGAAGGTGGTGGGTGGGGATGTTGTGGAACGCAGGCGGCGTGCTGCCAATCCTGATGGGAAGAAATATTGATGCTCTGATCTGTGAATCTGGTTATTGATGGTGGTTTTAGGTTCTCTGCTTTTGCAGAACGTGCATTCTAATAAATCTTAACCGTTCAAACAATCCAGTTTTGACTTCTCCATATCATCAGCATAGTTCATCTTTTTGTAAAATCAGAAAGAACTGATAATGCCCCATTGAATCAGTTTCTTGTTCACAGTGACATGTGTTAGCCTTTACATGCATTTACAATATAAAAACAGCAAATTGGGTCTTTTCCTTCAACCTCTGCTACCACCTTTGAAGCACTCGAGATATTCTTAGACTAGTTGGCTGGTAAAGAGACATAAGACATTGTAATTGATTAAAGATGGGTTTGAAGTGCCAATGGAGGTTTTACGAAGCTTTCAAAGCTTTCCCCTTTCCCTTTAACGAAGGTTTTACAGAGCAACATAGATTGATGTGCAGTGCAGTGCAGCGCAGGGCAGAGTAAACATTTCATTTCTTGACATAAACCATCATCCTAAATAGAAAGACTATCTGTTGAATTGAAAGCAAACTCATCATAAACTCATTTTCTAATTACTAGTGTCCACTAAACATAATTAGTCACTAAAATATTTCAACTCATGCATTTATTTAATTAGTCTCTTGCGATGTCATCGCCTATGAAGATAACTTGAGCTCTCCAAACAGTCCAGACAAATGATCATTCCCACTGTAGATCACGTGAAGATATCCATCGTTATCCTTATTTTCTTCATCGATTGCAGACATCAGGACACCTGTAAGTTAACATTGGAAGAATTATGGGAGTAACACGCGCGCGCGCACATATATATATATATATATATATAAATTGATTTGCAGCTCACCAGTGGGAGGTTGAGTAGTGTTCTTGAAAAAGACAAACATGGGCCTTCTGATATTACCCCGTAAAAACTGAACAAATTTTCCAAGACGCATATCAGAAGGGATAAGGAATCTGCATCCAGAAAAAAAGGGCAATCACTAATAGTTTTTGGTACAACTGCTAACTCCAAATGAATGAACAATACATATGACACTTAAAAATACAATACTTAAACAAGAAAAGCATTATATATATATATATATATATATATCGAAAAGCATAAAAGAAAAGGGAACAATCACAGCAATACAAATAAAGATAATAAATAATGAGGGAGTGAGCAACTAACTTCTTCATGTTAATGTCCGGAATGTCACTTCCTGCATCCTTTTCTACACTCACCTGCATTGCATGCATGGAGGCTCAAATTAAAATTTAGAACAAAGCATATGAATGCAAAGGAGGAAGTAAACATATTGGTGAAATTCGTACAGGTATACAAAGTGGATACTTCTCCCTCAAATCGGCACCTTCCAAACTTTTTTTTCCGTTCCTCCTCCAGCCTCCCTTATACCAATTGTCTAAGCAAGCAATGGCCCATATGCGTTCATACTTTCGTTTTCTGCTTTTTTTCGCTAACGGAATATTTCTGAACATATATCAAACGCATAAATTAAAATGAATAATTTAATTGTACAAAGCAAGATAATCAAAGCACAAAGGGAACTAGCAACAAACTTCTTCTCGTCACTGTCAGTGCCATCAAACTCACTCCCTGTCCCTGCAGCATTCTCCACTTGGACCTGCTTAAAGCTCCACTGATCAATGCCTGCCTAGGAAACAAGTACACACACACACACACACACATATATATATATATATGATTCAGAGAAATTCTTACCGGCTTCTTCTCTTCAGCTTGCCTACTTTCTGAAGTATTATAGTCCATAACCATCAGTCACAAGAAAGAAAACATAAAAGTTAGACAAAAACTAATCATCCATTTAAAAGATAAACCATATTCAGTATCAGCCCTGCATCCATGATTCCATGATAATTTTAAATTACCTAACTACAGAGACCATCTTATCACAAAGAAGAAGAAAAACTACACACACTGTAAAAAAAAAAGAGAAACAAACCCTGAGAACAGTCATTCCTGGAAGAGCATTCTTCTGCCATGGCGAAATTACAACAACTGACTGTTCTCTGTGATAGGATAGGACCCAGCTCTATCTCAACCTTAACTCTATCCTTGAACAGAAAACCAATCTTGATATTACTCTAACAAATCCAAAATACAAGCCGTCTTGCTTTGCACAACTAATTAATCAGTATTTATACTGACTGACAAATTAGACTTTGTTAAGGACTTTAAACCAACTCACCTAAAAATTCTCCACTAATATCTGCCAACGGAGCCCATTGAAAAGGGCCTTAAAACAAACCTATACATCTGGCGCAATGAAACACACAACATCTAATAGTACTAAAGGGACTCTATCACTCTGGAAGTTGTGATTTTTGTTTTTTTTTTTAATTGGGCTAATAGTGTTGAAAAATTACAAAAAGGAAAGAGAATTGGAAATAGGCCCAAACTAGCCAAATTAAACCGTCTTAAATTGATTTCCTTTGGTTCGATTTCTTCCGTGATTTTTGTCAAAACCAAACCTATCCAAACCGTTATAAAGCAATGCACCATCAACTCACTCTATAACTATAGCATGCCTGCCTGCCTGTAAGCAGCAAGCAATTTACCTCTTACTTCACACTCACTCACTCTGATCTCGATCGTACGAGAAAGAATGAAGATTCAATCTTGATCATTACATTACATTACATGGTCATCCTAAATAGAAAGACTATCTGTTGAATTGAAAGCAAACTCATCATAAACTCATTTTCTAATTACTATAGTGTCCACTAAACATAATTAGTCACTAAAATATTTCAACTCCATGCATTTATTTAATTAGTCTCTTGCCATGTCATCACCTAGTTAGGTGAATTAAATGACTTCCAGCAGCAGAACGAACCATAATAAGCCCATGTGCCATTATAAAAACCCGTCGTTTTGTTCTGTCCATTAATTCAGACGACATGTTAAAATGGCCAAATAGTGTCGCTGGATTTCTATAACTAAGTCATGTGTTTTGATCTTCACCGTTGCTTGGAACTTGAAACCAACGATCAAGATGACTAAGTGATGTGTTTTAATCTTCACCGTTGGTTGGGACTTGAAACCAACGATCAAGATGTGCAACAGAATCCCACCTGTTTATAAACCACCTCTGGCTCTGACTTGAGGCGCCAAACCAGAACCATTTAACGAACTAAACAGTCGATTTTTCCCATTACACCGTAGAGTTGTAACTTCTTTCTCCACCACCTTCAGAGAATCCAAAATCAAGTATCGATTTCTTTTCAAGGGTTGATAGTTTTCTTGGTAAGAATTATCATGGAAAACGACAACAATTCTGATATGACAGAAGAAAGTGGAGTCACGAATCAAGATTCTATCAGTCTTTCGCTTGAAGCTCTCCAAGCGATATCAGACTTGAACAAATCAACCATGGAAGATGAGGGAAGCACATTGATCATGTCTGAAGAAATTGTGGGTCGTGACCACCGTACAGGATTGGCGGGTGAAGCAGAGCAAGAAGAAAGTCCAAATGTAAGCTGGGTTTTGCTGGGTAGGACGGAAGAAGAAGTTGATGTGAACTCAAAGTCCCTCAATCCTTCTGAAATTGCTGAAAAAGAACACGCTGATTCACAATTTCGGTTTATGGGCAGAAAGATGGCAACTTCGGTTTTGAGTGTTCTGGAATTGGTAAATTCAATGTCCCTCAATCCTCATCTTGATTCTGATATTTCTGATTCTGAAGGAGTTAAAAAAGATTTGGATTTTGAGTTTATAATCAGAAAATATGAAAAGCAGATGGTGGGTTTGGATCTTCATAATGTGAAATCAGTGTTCTTTAATGACAAAATGGTGGGTACGGATGAGATTTTGGGTTCATTGTCGGTGTGTGGAAAAGAAAAGACTGATCAACAAGACCTCAATAATCTTGTTCCTGAATTTGCAGAGAAAGAAAACATTGGTTTTGGTTCAGGGTCGAGTTCATGTTGTAGTGAAGGGGTTGAAGCTTTTGAGTTTATAATCAAAAGAAAAGATGTCATGAGAGCACATCATCTTGAACTGGAGGCTATTGGCCTGAAGAAAGAGGTTGCAACCCGTGGCATTCCATTCCGGTATGTTATACTTAAAGAGCATTTGTAAATTGAAACATATGTAGCTTGCTAATGGCTCTTTTACAGTCATCATACGTACATTGTAATGATGGATGAGTTAATTTGTTTGCAGTCATTATTATTTTCCATTGGTTTCGTGGATAACCTGCTACTTATAGTTAATTATTAATTTAATTTTTGGTTAATTTAATGTAGGCATGTGAATCATGTAATTAAGAGGAGTTGGAGCGTGAAGATATGGACATCATTGAATGGCATCATTGAAGGTGAAGATATGGATGTAGATGACCCTGATGCTACTGAAAGTGACAGTGACGATGACATGGATTTTGGTGACTACAATGGAAATGAAGGAGAAGATGCTATCGAGGATGAAGGAGGAGTTGATGGCCAGAGCAAAAAGGTGGCAGTTATTAGGTTATATCAGGAAGAAGAATTCATCTGTGGGAAACTAACGATCAATGATTACCATAACGCACATCAGTTGGAAGAGGCAGTTTACAATCTCGTTCTGGAAACAAGGGCAATATTTCGCCAGCGATACCTCGCGCCATTGACCACCGAGTATATCCTGAGGTATCGAAGAAAGAATAGTCCACAAAATTGGACAGACCTTGCTATATTTGAAATGGACTGGGAGGAAGTTGCTGCGTGCCTATTTGTAGTTAATGCCATAGATAACACTGAAGATCATTTACGCCATTACTTTTTACCGGTGTTTAGGAGGTCAGTTGATGGAGCATCCGAAAAAATTGGGCATTTGTACCCTTGGGACTATAGGGGTGCAGGGGAGTTGGAGCGTGCTAGTAAACATGTCCTCAGCAAACATGGTGTTTTAGATATAACGGAGTACAGTTTCCAGTATTATGGAGAAGGGAATGAAGAACTCCACATATTTGAATTGGATTGGCAGCAGGTTCTTCAACTTGACCTCCTATCACGTGTGTACGCCACACATAACGTTCCAAACGAAGGAGATGGAGATGATGGTGTGTAATGCTTATGGTAGGCTAGTGCCATCTCTAATCATCCTGTGGTGTGAAGGACTTGTGTTTCATTGAAATGCCTCATGTGGAGGAATTAAAATACATGTAAAGTGATGTACTGGTGCTTAATGTGCTCACTATTGGTGCAAAGATTATGTGTTTTTCAGCGTAGTGGTGGCCTTTTGTACAATTTCTATACTCGTTTTGCAAAGAAAATAATGTGATCTCCATTTAACCATGGGGCAGAACGGGTACATAGTCTGATTTCGTATTTGGGTCAGGGTCAGTGTAATATTCAGCCCTCAATTCAAGGAGAGATTATTCAAAGTTGCCATTCTATTAGAGAATGAGTCGTTGTCCTTCATGGCTTATTTGCAACATAAGCAAAAGCTTTGTGGCTTATTATGTGATATAACCCCTGCTTTCTGCTTTGAGGCTTTGAGCTGACGCATTCACATGCACATTGCAATGCAAGTGTGGTCTCCAACACCAACAAAAGGGTAAGCAATTTACAGCTTAAATTTGGAAGGGTGTGTGCAGCATGTCAATTCATACTTGCTTACCAAAAAAATAATAAACATAGCTTAAATTTATAATACTGTTCTGATCCAGCATACATGAAAAAGGGGATCCAGGACTTATTATATCTACTATTATGTAACTTGGAGGGAGCACAAATTATCTGAGTCCAATCGAACGATTTCTGTCACTTCACTTAGCCTTTGGTAATGCCACATATATTGCTTGTAAGTTTAGGAAAATTCCCCTGAAAAGGCCAGCCAGTTTGTTAATGAATCGGGATAAGATATCAGGAACCAAAAAACAACATGTATATTATAGAGAAAAAAGGAGAGTAAGCTTATAGCTTGTACCAGCCAAAAGCGACCAAGCTGTGGAAGACGACACGGAGATGGAGTGGCACATACAGGTGATTTATCCAAACCCAGAACAGGCCAGAACTGCATTTTCATTCATCAAGGTTTAAAATGTGTTATGTTTCCTGATAATGTCTTAGTATAAAAAAAATACAATGGAGATAGAATTATACCGTCCACGATGTGTATTGCACTGACGGGTAGTACTTCTTAATTTTATTCTTCACATGCATCCAGGGTCTTCCTGTGTTTCACTCAATAAGCAGCAAAGTGCACATGCTAACATGCCTCTTTCAGGCTGACTCTCTCTGAAACTTTCAGAGTTGTTTGACTAATAACATTATAATCTGATATACAAATCATGCAATGCTTAGATGTTAATCAAATTTAAGGGCTGATAGGAATTACTGTATTTCTCACATGCCAACTTGTCAAACATAAACAATTGATGATCACAAGTTTTGACATATTATATACTTACCTTCCACAACCAAGACTTAGTAATTTGATTAGGAATTTTAGAACGAGCAATGAATTCTTCTTTATGAGCACAACCTTTTTGGTTTAAGAAGAGGAAGAGATCAGAAGTTATGGCACTTAAATAACGATGGCTATAATTAATATCAAGTGTAGGATGGATTTCTCAACAAAAACCAGAGTGTGAAGGCAAATAGAGTAGCCTTACCTTCTTGGCTACTGTTTTTGAATCCGTCTTCCCCTTGAAAATCTTATCAAGTAGTAAATGCAGGAAATGCCCAAATGGTCCAAGATAAACAGCTCCAAAAAGCTGCATGCAGAAATGCAAGGTTATAATGGAAAACACATGTAATATTTACCTGTACACATCAAAATTGACATATTATATTAGCAATAGACAATTGTGCTTGTAGCAAAAATTATAAAGTCTTCTTTCTTTCAGCACATTAATACTTTTAGGGCCAAGCTAATAGAGTCCTGAAGATCCACCCAAACTTCTTACAGAATCTTCTCACAAAAACAAAAATGTACAAATCATCCAATAATGATTGTAATTATGATGCATAATGAGTTTAGTCATCATCCCTGACAACAATGCTGTATATTTTGCATTTTATCATGTTACTGGAATATTTTATGTTCGCTACACTAGTTTGTAAAAAGGGGTCGTGATATTATCTTCTTTAAGTGCATGCCTTAATCCAAAAACCCAGGTCAGGGGTGTGATATGCAGGGTGAGGTTTTAGGCATCCACCTAATTGAAATGCACTGTGTTATGTTGGTCTTTCAGACCAAATCTAGCTGAGAACGTATTCTAATTAAGGTCGAACAATGGCTATGAGTTTAGGCAAATGAAATGCGTGTGTGTGTGACAATGATCTAACAGAAAGAGCATCAGTAAGCTACAGTTGGGAATTGGGATTTTTCCATTCATTTAGCTTAACTGCTTAGTACCCAATTATACAGAATAGAAGAAAGGAAAACACAGTTGCGAGCGCGCACATACACAAATCAAATATGCAAAATCTTCTGTGTAGTTGGAAAACCAAGAAACCAAAATAAAATGAGGACCTTACCACTTCGAGAAGCAGACGTCTTAACTGACGTTTCTGAATCCCGGTGAGCTTCCGAGACACTATGTCACTGATCGCTGACAAAACCCCACTGTAATTGCCAGTTGGAATAAGAAAAGAAGGTATCACCAAAAATTCCCAATTAACAGCATTTGATGGCTAGGACCTCAGAGTAACTAAATTATCACAAGCACAGGTCATAATTGAGTTTAAAAGATAATATCTTTGAAAACCCAAGTGAGATTAACAGAGACATGGGATTTGACCTTAGTTATGAGACGATGATGCTGATGCTGACGCTGAAGCAAGTCCTGCTGCAACCCCTTCTTTTCAATCGAACCCATGCTTTCCTTGTTACAACAAAGTCTTCCAATGGCAATTCTTGAGAGGAACTAAAACTGTTTGCGCTTTTCAGTTTATAGTTTGGATTGAAATATCTGAGGCATTTAACTGTTAAACTCAAGACTGCGAGTTAGAGACGTTTGTATTGTAATTTCTAATTTGTATGGTCTTGCATTGAAACCTTCCCCCAAGCTTAATGTAGATTGATGTTTTGTTTTGAATTTCATATGCAGAGTAGAGAGACTATGGATCGTGTCATGTTAATGTTAGTATCATATGGTTTAGGGTTTACATGTCAAGAATGCTCAAAGTTGACCCATTTAACAAACGTGTAGTGTTGAGTTGATTCATTAATTTTTCTTGTGGGTTTAGGGTCGTATATCGGATTGACCCGCTAAGTAATAACATCAAGTAACTAGTGAGGTAAAAATGTAAAACAAAAAAAGTACATAAAGAGATGACTATTCAAAGAATTTTGATAATTTAATCAAGTAATTATTATTAATTTTTTTATATATATACAGGTTTCAAGTCATATCGGAAATTACCACCCCTAAGAGATATATACAACTTACAACAAGACATCATATATATATACATATACATATACATATACATACCAAATATCATTTATTTTACTTCCCACTCACTTTGCAGTCACCTAATATTAGAACGAAGATATTCATTCCTTTTATGTTGCTTAAATTCTGAACAATTAATTATAGATACAATATAATGTAATATTAATGTAGACGTGGCAAATTACCATTGGTACGGGTCGGAATGTCAATCTATCAGCAATTGGGTGGGTGAGGATAGCTTACAAAACTTTTGAAGCACCGCTAAAAAAACAAATTTTGAAGCAATTATGAGGAATTGAATTGAAAATGGGTTGAATTAAGGAGAGTTAGATTTCTATTGAAATTATTTACTAAACTATGTGGAATTGGGGGTAGGAGTGTACGAATTCCTTATAAGTTGTTTACTAAAGGGTTAAATACTTTTTCGGTCACTGAGTTTTACATAAAAATTCAATTTGTTCACTCAGTTACAAAAATGTAGCCAAATTAATCACCGTATTTTCCACTATTTATAATTAATAGATTTTTTGTTATCTTCAATTAAGTGCAGTTTTTTTTTGTTAGGAAGGAGAAAAGAGGGGGAAGATGAGGTCAAGGGGAAGAAAGGGGGGGAATAGAGGTGGCGACTCATCCTCTTAGATGGCCAGCAGTGCTGATAACCCTAGAGAGAAAAGAGAGGGGCATGGAGAGAAAAGGGTATCGTACGCGTGAGTCGTGACCATGTAAAACTCAATATTCAATCATCATATACCATCCTAAAGGACGGTATGTAGGAAGCAAAAACATACACTCATTCGCTAATTAGCGTCCATTAAACGTAAAAGATAACTAGAAAGTCACTAAAATATTTCAACTCCATGCATTTCTTTCAGTAGTCCCATCCAGCAGATTACCATGCATTCTGAGGTCACCTATGAAGATAACTTGAGCTCTCCAAACAATCCACTCAAATGATCATTCCCACTGTAGATCACGTGAAGATATCCATCGTTATCCTTATTTTCCTCATCGATTGCAGACATCAAGACACCTGTAAGTGAACATTGGAAGAATTATTATAACTGCAACTTTGGGAGTAACACACACACACACACATATATATATATATATATATATATATGAAGCGCAAACAAAAAAAATTGATTTGCAGCTCACCAGTGGGAGGTTGAGTAGTGTTCTTGAAAAAGACAAACATGGGCCTTCTGATATTACCCCGTAAAAACTGAACAAATTTTCCAAGACGCATATCAGAAGGGATAAGGAATCTGCATCCAGAAAAAAAGGGCAATCACTAATAGTTTTTGGTACAACTGCTAACTCCAAATGAATGAACAATACATATGACACTTAAAAATACAATACTTAAACAATAAAAGCATTATAACTATTTGGTTTTTATTTTGAACATAAATATATCGAAAAGCATAAAAGAAAAGGGAACAATCACAGCAATACAAATAAAGATAATAAAAAATGAGGGAGTGGGCAACTAACTTCTTCATGTTAATGTCCGGAATATCACTCCCTGCATCCTTCTCTACACTCACCTGCATTGCATGCATGGAGGCTCAAATTAAAATTTAGAACAAAGCATATGAATGCAAAGGAGGAAGTAAACATATTGGTGAAATTCGTACAGGTATACAAAGTGGATACTTCTCCCTCAAATCGGCACCTTCCAAACTTTTTTTTCCGTTCCTCCTCCAGCCTCCCTTATACCAATTGTCTAAGCAAGCAATGGCCCATATGCGTTCATACTTTCGTTTTCTGCTTTTTTTCGCTAACGGAATATTTCTGAACATATATCAAACGCATAAATTAAAATGAATAATTTAATTGTACAAAGCAAGATAATCAAAGCACAAAGGGAACTAGCAACAAACTTCTTCTCGTCACTGTCGGTGCCATCAAACTCACTCCCTGTCCCTGCAGCATTCTCCACTTGGACCTGCTTAAAGCTCCACTGATCAATGCCTGCCTAGGAAACAAGTACACACACACACACACACACATATATATATATATGATTCAGAGAAATTCTTACCGGCTTCTTCTCTTCAGCTTGCCTACTTTCTGAAGTATTATAGTCCATAACCATCAGTCACAAGAAAGAAAACATAAAAGTTAGACAAAAACTAATCATCCATTTAAAAGATAAACCATATTCAGTATCAGCCCTGCATCCATGATTCCATGATAATTTTAAATTACCTAACTACAGAGACCATCTTATCACAAAGAAGAAGAAAAACTACACACACTGTAAAAAAAAAAAGAGAAACAAACCCTGAGAACAGTCATTCCTGGAAGAGCATTCTTCTGCCATGGCGAAATTACAACAACTGACTGTTCTCTGTGATAGGATAGGACCCAGCTCTATCTCAACCTTAACTCTATCCTTGAACAGAAAACCAATCTTGATATTACTCTAACAAATCCAAAATACAAGCCGTCTTGCTTTGCACAACTAATTAATCAGTATTTATACTGACTGACAAATTAGACTTTGTTAAGGACTTTAAACCAACTCACCTAAAAATTCTCCACTAATATCTGCCAACGGAGCCCATTGAAAAGGGCCTTAAAACAAACCTATACATCTGGCGCAATGAAACACACAACATCTAATAGTACTAAAGGGACTCTATCACTCTGGAAGTTGTGATTTTTCGTTTTTTTTTTTTAATTGGGCTAATAGTGTTGAAAAATTACAAAAAGGAAAGAGAATTGGAAATAGGCCCAAACTAGCCAAATTAAACCGTCTTAAATGATTTTCTTTGGTTCGATTTCTTCCGTGATTTTTGTCAAAACCAAACCTATCCAAACCGTTATAAAGCAATGCACCATCAACTCACTCTATAACTATAACATGCCTGCCTGCCTGTCAGCAGCAAGCAATTTACCTCTTACTTCACACTCACTCACTCTGATCTCGATCGTACGAGAAAGAATGAAGATTCAATCTTGACCATTACATTACATTACACATTCATCTTCAAAATCTTCTTTCGTAGTTTATCTAAACCGTTCAAATAATCCAGTTTTGACTTATCCATATCATCAGCATAGTTCATCTTTTTGTAAAATCAGAAAGAACTGATAATACCCCATTGAATCAGTTTCTTGATCACAGTGACATGTGTTAGCCTTTATATGCATTTACAAAATAAAAACAGCAAATTGGGTCTTTTCCTTCAACCTCTGCTACCACCTTTGAAGCACTCAAGAGATATTCTTAGACTAGTTGGCTGGTAAAGAGACATTGTAATTGTTTAAAGATGGGATTTGAAGTGCCAATGGTGTTTCTCCGTAAACATGGAATTTGTTTGTGTTTCTTTTATAGTAAATTTGGCTTACACCCTTCAAATTCAATTTGCCGTACCTAAAACCCTTCACTTTTTGTTCATATAAATAATACCCAATTTGTATAAGTAAAAACCCATGACTAGGATCCAACTCAGCAAGTTACCTAATTAAGCATAAAATATGATTTATTGTACTTTTCAGATTCCAAAAATACCCCCAATTAAGCCATTATTGCATTTTGTATATTAATGTAGGAATCAATATGGAAACAGTTTTTAATTGGATTGTATATAATGACAGATGTTGAATTTGGAAAGATCTCCAAATGGTTGTAATGGATGTAGGAATTAATTTTGAAACATTTAAAAAAAAATTAACAATAAATTCAAATTTAGGTAATCGGTTTGTTTAATAAAATGTTTATGTTATTTTCTTTTTATGAATTATACATGACTAATAATCCACTTTATAATTGTTTATGAATAAAACTGTACATACTAATTATGTTGAAAAAATAATGTACCTATTACTTGTTTGTTTTATGAAAAACATAATTTACCTAGTATGAAAAGTGTACATAATTATCTATTCCAAATAATGTACCTATACACATTTACAGGTATATTGTAAAATAATTTACCTGTGGGTAAATAATGTACCTATATTTTATATAAATTATTGTGTACCTATTTTTAATTATGAAAAATATACGCAATTACAAAGTAACTTTGTTTTTTTTTTTTTTTTTTTTTTTTTTTTTTTTTAATATACCTATATTTTATATGTATATATTTATATTATATTTTTCATAGGTACATTATTGGATATGTAATTTACAGATTTATTTATTTTTTTTGTAATTTTAGGGGGCGAGATGTGAGAGGGAATGACAACTAAAAGAAATGGGGTAATTGATATGCTATTAATAGGGAGTATATTAATTACAATTATGGCAGTTAATGAAATGCTTGAAATAAATTATAAATAAAATATGAAGTTTGGTGGCAATGATGTAAAAACATAGAAATTCTACGACCTCTTATATCATACTAGTCATTTAAATTTGAAATTGGGTTTTACACATAGATTTATAGAGTGATGGGTATATGTCTAGGAAATAGAAAATGTAGGGATCTATATTGGACAAGCGCTTCTTTTAAATTTAAAGGTTGCAACTCTGGTGAATATAATTGAGGTTAGAAGGATACCTTGTCCCATAAGTGGGTGCTTGCTTTTTAAGCTTTGTCCAATCAGGTATCGTGGAATTTTGGATATATCCCATGCACGTTCACCACTGACTTCAAGAAAAATTACTGGGTTTTAGAAGTGCAGAGTATTTCTTCAACTGAAGAGTATATGTATGTACTTCTGAATTCTGATGTTATAAAAGAAAAGAAGAAGAAAAAATTGGATGAGTGAGAGGGTCGATGGACCTGTTGAGAAATACATATTGAAAGAAAAGGGCTTTATCAATGGGATGAAAAATAATCTGCAGACTTCAGAAAAAGTTTCCAGCTTCGTCAGGGAGGGCAACTAAGAAAGAACACGTGTAACTATGGAAACCCCCCACCAATTGACTAGTACGCGTGTCAAGGTGAAGGGGGAGTGGGGGGCGGCGAAGGAGACGGGGAAGAAGATTAAGGAGACTGTGGTGGGGAGTACTTCATCTGATTCTGATGATGAGGTGGAGGTGGTGCACGAGAAGGTTGTGGAAGTTTTGGATGAGAAGGGGAATGTTGTGGATGTTAGGAGGCGAATTAGCAAGCCTGAAGATGATGATGTGAAGAAATGTTGATGTGTTTGTGAGTCTGCTCAAACATGATAGAAGAAGTTCATGTGTTTGATAGTTTCATTTTGAAGTGGTGATGGGGATGTTTAGGCAGCTTGCTGCTATCTGTTTGTAGTCTTTATTGGGGTCTCCCCGCCATATCAATGAAGGCAACCTTTGGATAAAATAAAAATATAGCAAGGCTTAGGCCATCTCCAGTCATAGGGCTAAATGTAGTCCAGGACTACAAATTTAGCCCCCCAAAATATTAATTTTTTAAAGAATAGTGCATGGCTAAATTTTTCCATCTCCAGCCATGCAGGGTTATATTTTAGGGTCATTTATATTTTAGTATTTTGAGAAAGGGAAGTGGGGAGTGCTTTAATGTTTTGTGGTTGAAAAGCACATGGTACCCACTATGAATTTGTCTTAGGCCAAAGCTGGGCTACATTTGGCCAGGTTGGAGGGCTAAATGGCCAAATGTGGCCTTCCAAATTTGGCCAAAATTTTATTTAGCCCATGGCTGAAGATGAGTTTTGCATTATTATAGGGCTATATTTGGGATATAGCCCATGACTGGAGATGGCCTTACATCTTTCAAATTCAATTTGTCATACCTACAGCCCTTCACTTTTTGTTCTTATAAATAATACTCAATTTGTATAAGTAAAAACCCATGATTAGGATCCAACTCAGCAAGTTACCTAATTAAGCATAAAATCTGATTTATTATACTTTTCAGATTCTAAAAATATCCCCAACTAAGTTATTATTGCATTTTATATATTAATGTAGGAATCAATATGAAAATAGTTTTTAATTGGATTGTATATAATGACCGATGTTGAATTTGGAAAGATCTCCAAATGGTTGTAATGGATGTAAGAATTAATTTGGAATTTTTTTTAAAAAAATTTAACAATAAATTCAGATTTAGGTAATCGGTTTGTTTAATAAAAATGTTTATGTTATTTTCTTTTTATGAATTATACATGACTAATAATCTACTTTATAATAGTTTATGAATAATACTGTACATACTAATTATGTCGAAAAAATAATGTACCTATTACTTGTTTGTTTTATGAAAAATATAATTTACCTAGTATGAAAAGTGTTTTTAATTTATAAAAAGTGTACATAATTATCTATTCCAATAGACCTACATTATACGACATCCAATATACCTACATTAATTTTAATGTACTTACGATTAGGATTTAGGTAATATATACCTACCATCTGAATAATATACCTACTATGAAATATGTATAGGTAAATTACTAGCCCCTTGTGACTCGTGAGCATGTGCCAATTGGTTTTCTTCTTCTTCTTTTTTTCTTTTTTTTTAAAAAAAATTAAGAAAAGATAACATGGGTAGTTATGTTCCATAAAAGTAAGACCTATTATATGATTTTATTTTTATTTATATATTTTTAATATGAAAAAAATAAATTTATCATATTATCCTCATTTAATTAATAATTTCAATTCTTAATGTTTAAATTAACCAAGGGTATTTTCTGGTATTTTGAATGTTTCACCATTCTCTACCTTTTGCTTTATATATATATATATATATATATAGATTATATGTAATTATGGTTTATATGTATTGCTATATATATATATTATTTATGAACGAACATATATTAAATGTATTATGGGAATGTTTTGATTTGTTGAGTCCAAGCAACACCATAACAATGGAAAGGCTAGATATTAGGGATTGTTTAGGAAAAATCGTTGGATAACAAAAATGGCAAGGTTTTGTAAAATAAGTAATAAGAAATCGGCAACTTTTATCCTTCATGGCATCCGTTTTCAAAATTGGGGATGTTTTCTATTTTGAAATGTGCTCCTTTTTTTTCTTTTTTCTTTTTGTGTGGGGAATGTTGCAACTCTCCTTGAGTATAATATAAAATAATTTTTTTTTTTTTTTTTTTTTTTTTTTTTTTATTAGTCATGTAGTATAACTTGTAATACGCATACACGAATAATATGGGTATGGTTATGATTATAATATGAATGTTTACAATGAACTATAAACAATATAGTTGATATCTTATTTTTAAGGTATAATATCGGAGACAAAGATCTTAACACATAATTTGACAAGGATCTTACCACATGTCACGAATTCAATTTGGATTATGTTGTAGGATTGCCAAATAAACAACACGGTGGAGATATTCGATGTGGACAATGTTGTAGGATTGCCGAGTAAACGACATAGTTGATATCTCCGGGTTTTAAAGGAAATGAGATTAGGATCCTCCTACATAGTAAAAAATGGATCCGAACCTTGCCCTACCCAAGAACTGACCCGGACCATGGGGTAGGATTGCTCCCGGAAATGCTATGATTGTGGGAGGGGTTCAATCTCACTCCTCAACAAGAGAGAGAAAATAATGATTGAATAGTTTGATTGATTGCTCCACCGTTTGAGTTCGACTGTTTGAGAGGAGATGGAAACTCAAATCAATGAACTTGGGCCGAATTGATTCAATATCAATATTGTTGTGCATAATTTAGGGCCAATGAGGGGACCTCGTAGAATTTAGATTTAGACATGCAGGCCCAAAAGAATAATATATATATATATATATATATATATAAAAGACCCCCGAACCTTAAAAGAGTGGGCCCACTTTGACACCCATAAAGTGGAAGTGGAAGTGCAGGGAGCAGTTGTAACCCCCAACGGACGCCACGCCAGCATCATCACCATCTACAACTGGTCCATCTCTGTTTGTGCTAACTCCGCTTCTTCGGTTAAGTTGGTTTGGGGCACGTGCCACTCGTCTCCTTCACTCACTCTCATCCTAATCCAATTTACACTCTCACACTTCAATCCTAGTCTCAGCAAATGGGAATCTCACCAGTCAGCATCCACTTTCATATATAGCTTCATTTGAATTGCCGGAATTGCCCCTCCTTAAACATGAACAAAATACTCCAATTGATAGATAATTAGCCGAATCTCTCACACATTAATAGGTAATTCATTTTCATATAAAGCATGTTGCGTTCAATATACATATTGCTTATATACGTTGACACACACATTCTTTAGTCAATGGCAAAAGGGAGATTCGAATATCAATGAACACATTCTTTGATTACCGACAAAAATGCTGATTAATAAGAGAAATTCAAATATCATTAAGCATTTTTTAGCAACATAAGAAAAATTCAAATACGAATGAGAACACGTTATTTGATCAACTACAAAAAAAGATATTTGAAAATGTAAAGTGAGATTCGAATTTTAGATTCTTAAATATAAATTGTCAAACTAATTAAAATTAAACATATTATGATTGTCCGTGTTTTTTCCTTAGTGTCATCGTACACATTGTATGGGAGTCCTTTTATAATGTTTTCCTCGGATCGAATGTCATCATAAGTTTGACACGCGCTGGACAAAATTGGTTTGCCGAAGAATGAGAAGGAAATTTGACTAATCCAATCCAACATGTGAGTAAGTAGACAGAAAACGAAGGAGTTATAGAAAAGTCGGCATGGAAATGCTTGGAAGAACGGGGACACAATTGTCTTTCTGAGTAAATGATGTCACAGAGACGAGAACGAAACCCACCAAACAGAAAATCAAAAAAGGAAAAAAAAATTGTGAATTAGAAGACTCAAGAGCGAGTTATGAGTATAATTGTAGTAGGCAGACAGAGATGAAAGTGGAATGAAAGAGAAAAAAAAATAAAGAGTAGTTGCTGCTGCTGAGGTCTGACAGGCACACACACAGCCAAAAACAAACACAGGGACGACCGCCAAGCCACCCTCCTGAGCCTGCTCTGACCCGCCGCCTCTGCTCTCTCTTATTCACCTGTCCAGTTTTGAGTGTGGTCCATCCCCTACCCTCCCCTCCCAATATATCTAAATTCAATAGCTAAAGCTCTCATCCTTCTTCAGTTCTCAGAGACTTTTCTTTGTTTTATTTTGTTGGGTTTGGTTTTGCTTCTTGGGGGGCTCTGAATTGCAGCATATCTGAATGAAAAGGTAAAGGTTGAAGCTTGGTGTTCTGGGTTGTTGATATTATGATCAAACAAAAGCAATGGATTGGGATGTTTTTTATTTGTAGGTTTTTTGAGTTAATGAATTAACACCAAGTCTGGTGGTATCTCTCTAGCTCCCACAGATTATTGAAACCTCTCCTATCTGGGTTTTGTGCTCATCCGACACCCCGTTTTCGGTCCTCTGTTCAAATTACAGTAAAACAAAGAACAAACAAGAAAGCAGGTCAACAATCTAATCTCTTCACACCTTCTGACACCTTGTGTATAGAAGGAGCAAAAAAATCTTGTCGGATATTGTTCAATTCAGGGAGATATTGGGCCATCGGATTTTCATAATTTCTTTTCCCATTTGGTTTCATGCTTATTACATTCATTGTGATTGATGAAATGAGTGAATGGCCTCTGGTTTTTTGTGGTGGGTAGGTAGGTTAGTGGGAACGAGAAAGAGGCATGCCTATGCACAAGGATAACGACCGCCCTTTGTTTTGCAGTGAGAGTCTTTAGATTCTCAAGGCTCAGCGAGACACGTTGAGCCTCTTATCCCACAAAAACGCTCTAATTTAGCCTTCCCCTTATAACCTGCGTGTTCCATAAAGCTGCACATCCCATCCAGCAAGAGCACAGCAGCAAAAGAAAGAAAAGTTTATAGGGAGATCATCATCAAACACCAGAAGGGCTTGTTCAGAGGATGGATCAGCAAAATCCAGATCAGAGGTTGAAGCCAACTTTACAGACTGAGAACCAGCAGCAGCAGCAGCAAAACCAGCAACCTCAGAAGTGTCCTCGCTGTGAGTCTCTGAACACCAAGTTTTGCTATTACAACAATTACAGCCTCTCTCAGCCGCGCTACTTCTGCAAGACTTGTAGAAGGTATTGGACCCAAGGCGGGACCCTCAGGAACGTCCCTGTCGGCGGAGGCTGCCGGAAGGGGAAGCGTCCCAAGACTAATTCATCATCATCATCATCTCCCTCTCTGCAGCCACAGGCGCAGGCGCAGGCACCACAACAAGACCAGCAAACAGTGAAAAACTTGGCCACAACAAGCCCAAGTTCTAATCTTGGGGCTATAGAGAGCACTGGTAATTTGGCTTCTCACCATCAGTACTATCCTGGTGGTACTGGGTATTTGTCATCTTATGCAGCAATTCAATCTCTGAATCAGTCACAGCCCTTCAACGTTGAGGGCCATGATCAACTGGGAGGAGGTGCATCCTCAAATATGAGCCTGCTGCAGGGGTTCAATGTTTCAGCTCCTTTTGGCCAATTTTATCAAGCTGGCAACACTAAGAGCAGCATGGTGGACCAAACGGCTCTGTATCGATCTGATCAAGAGGGCTTATTGATTCAACCAACCAGGCCTTCTGCTGCTAGTGACCATGACTGGCCTCATCAGAGCTTCAACATCAACAGATCATCTGCTAATGCTTCTTCTGCAGCTTCTGAAAGCGCTTTGTGGGCCACCACCACCTCTGGTAACATGAACACCAGCACCACCACCAGCGCTGGGCCTTCTCTGAACCCAAGCCAGTGGCCTGATCTACCTGGATCATATGGCCCTCCTAATTGAGACTTTTCAAGCATGCATTTCTTGCAGCAGCTCCCTCAACCTCCAGAGACCGTACAGCATATGGCAATTAATTATCTATCTGCATATGGATGGATCTCATCTCAGCCCATGTTCAGTTCTCATTTCCTGTACTGTGCTAAATTGGTTCATTTAACTTGGTGGTTTAAGTAGGTTATGTATAATCTTTGTTTTTCATGGAGCATAGATATATATATTTAGAGAGAATTTGGTGATATGAGTTTTCATTGTAAATGAAAGGAGGAGCGTATAGCGGTCGTAATCATATATAGCCTTTTGTTTCCATGGGTTGGGTTGATCCATGATTAGGTTGTTTGTTTTGAACTTAAATTTCATCAAAAGTTAATGAGTTAAATATGCTTTAATTGTGACTTTAATTGTTGTTTCATTGCTTTAATTGTTTGCATATTCATCTATACTATTTAGATAGTTCAAAGTGATGGCTTTCTGAGCAATCTCAAAGTATGATGCATGGATAAGGGAAGCTTAGTTGAATGTGTAGAAAAGTTGATGAACCAAGATATATGGTTAGGTTTGTTGCATGTGGTGGGTGACTGCACTGACTGTGCTACAAATGCTTTTAAATGAATCACTACTTGAGACTCAGAGTTCCAAATTGCTTTATGATTTATTGTCATCAGGGCGCTTTGGCAGGCTTTAGCCTGCCTGCCTGCTACAGGCTCTTTTTCTTGCTAGTGTGGAACGGGGATAGCAAAACAAGGTTATTTATGGCCTGCCAATCACGGTACGTCGAGTGAAAAGGTTTCACATAAGTGTTTCTCTATATAATATTAATCATTCTTATCAATAAATATATAATCCAAAAAACTGTTGGCTGCGAATGCAGGCATAGCTGTTGTAGATGTACAACAATATCGAATGGATGGTAGAAATTAATAGAAGAGGTAAAAAACAAAAGCCTGCATGGCTGATCCCATTTGAAACAACACTTACACGTTCTATAGGCACAGTCCAGCAGTAGTGAATCTTACTATGCAAGGACCACTGGCTCTGGCTGGCACAGTTAATTAGCACTACGTTTAATTTTTTAAAGATTAATTAATGAATAGATTGCAATGGGGATTCTTCTGCAATATATACAGAGGATTGGTGGGAGGGCGTGAAGGTGGGTATATTGTGGTTTCCCAGTAAAGCAAATCTTTGGTCTGCCATAGAGAGATCTCTGTCGCACTACAAAAAGCAGTGTGAGACCTCTTGGGATGCAATATAAGCCGTACATATTATTACATTTGGATTTTCAGTTTTCATATGGTTGGCAGCTGATGATTTTCAATTCCTTGTGTTTAATGTTGATGCATCTTATTATGTGAAAAGTAATATCTGCTATGGTTATTTTAGTTAATTGAACAATTAATTGGTCTTAATTAACCAATAGAACCATCCATAGGTGCATATATGCATGCATTATTAAGCTTGTAATTGCTACCTTATTATATAGTGTTAGAGTGGTACCAGCAGCTAATCATGAATAATGGTGTGGTACCACTTAGTAATGAATGAATTATGTCCAAAAAAAAGCAGCACTTACAATCAAAATAAATGGATGTAATAATATGCTCTTGGAATTGATCAATGAAATATAAATAATAAATAAAAAGATAAACAAATTGGATAAATGTTCCATTGAAATTTATCACTATCATCCTACCATAACTTGTTTGTAACGGAGATAGTATTGTTTTACTATTCTCGGCTAAAAACATAATGACACGTGGAAAAGTTATCCAACATGTCATTATATTCTTGATTAAGAATAACAAAAAATGTTATCCCCGTTGCATGATAGTTTCTCTCCAACTGCACATATTGGGGAAGGAAACAAAGTTAGAGAATCCAATCCCCATCTTTGGTTGCTTGTACCCCAAGAGAGGTCTATAAATAATGGGAAATATTGGAGTGAAATTTCAACTCAAAATGTTTCACTTCAAACTTGAAAGGGGGTTGTTGGAGGTAAATATTGGAGCTTTGAGGACAAAAGTGTATAATGAGTCTCTACATTAGTGGGGAACCTTCCCCATCTATTTACATGCCTTTCTCTTGTTGAAGTCCTTTCAAAGCTTGAAAGCTCCCTTTGGTGGTGGTGACAAATGCATGGAGGAACAATCCAGTGTCTGGCTTTAGCACCACGTCTACATTTTCATGATTTTGATGTGTGAGGGGCCCTTCTCGTATTTCTTATATCTCTATAATATTTAAGCAAAATGCAGAAGTGGTGGGCCCACTTGGCCGAAGAGACAAAGACTCCTATATGGAAGAAGTGGACTTTCCATCAAATTCACATCCCATCGATGTGGGACTCAAGCCTTCTCAGTGCACCATCATTTGGTCAGCTTGCAGGTCTTTCGGTTCCTTGGACAGTTTTGTGGACTCGGCCACTTGACCATATGATGTGTTTGAGACATTAAAGTGTGTCAATATACCCCAAATAGTATGTGAAACTAAATCATAGAAAGTTCATTTGTAACTAGGCTCTCAATCAAAACGGTCTGTGCAATGACTTTGTAACTTAAGTAATTAAAAGCGAAATTTTTTTTTGGCTAAAATTTAAATTTATTTAATTAAAAATAGTTATTTATGGATTTGAGATTATGCGTTCGAATCAATGTTGTATCCTTATTTCAAAAGATAAGAGAAATAATAGTTTTTTTTTCTTGCTGTTGTTGTTGTCGTCTTAGTGGGAGTGAAAGATCGAAGGACATCCGAGATCATGTATAAGATGGGGTTGACTAGCAAGAAAGAAAGTAGCAAATTTCTTTTGTCTTGGCAACAATGGCACTAAAGGGGTTGCTTTGGAGCAAAGGCTTGACGTCATAATCAAAATTGTAAAGAGCGTCCACACCACACATGCTTCTTTTCTTGTTGTTGTCTTGTTGTTTTGGATTGAAGATAGCGTGGAGAAGGGGTACTTGAACCACTGCTCTACTGTGCTGGATATATATATATATATATTTTGCACATTTGAACGTTATTATTGTGCAGACGTCATGTATTTTGTATTACATATCTCTGCTTTCCTGCATATTTACAATAACATCCGCATGATAATAAGTTACGAAAATCCAGATAATAGAATATATATAGGTTGTGCTTGAGAAGGAGTTTGCCAAAATCAGTCATCACCAATCTAATTATTAATCTCTCCACATGCAACTGCTCATGTCTGCACCTATGTTTCCTCGCATTGGTCGACTTGTTGTCTTCTTGTTGGCTCTTTCAGTTGGCTGTCGTAAGAGGCTTGTGACAGAATGTTTAAAGAAAACATAATGTATTTGGTAGGGGAATTAGGAATGTACTTAAATTAGATTTATAAGATTACTTCAACTTCTTGTGTGTTTCTCTCTCTCTCTCTCTCTCTCTCTCTATATATATATATATATATATATAACATTTAAAAACTAATGTACATATGATCTCCTACTCGATCGTTAACAAATGCTGGCCTTGTTAATGTTAATAAAGTGGGAAGAGTACTCGTTTCAATCTTGTATGATTATGATGTTTGATCGTGAAGGTTGAAAAACAATGATGTTGAAGCTGAACTATTCAAAGGTCAACACACACACAGACACGAGATTTATATAAATGAAAACGATTAAGCTAGAATGAGGCAGCAGCAGGAGAGGGCCCCTGCATTCCAAAACAATTGGATTTGTTGGGCATAGGCACCACCACTGGACATCTGGACATGAACACTCACCCACTGGGCTAGTTGGTCATTGGGGGCCCTTACCTAAGTGAACACTAGAAAACACAACTTACATACAACTCTGTCTGGCACTGCATCATTAATTTCTGAATATATTTCTGTTTGGACCAGAAATGGAAATAGGGCCATTAACGACTGTTGAAGGCTTTAATAAAGCGTTGGGTCAAATGCGATTTGAGCTTTGGAAACCTACTGAAATAAAAGGACCATGCTGAAACTTATTCTCAATGTCAACGCAAGGATCAAAGCTCTCGAGTTTACCAGCTCACCCACAAAAGGAGGACAAACAGCATGCTCATCTTCATCAAGCAAGTTGGAAAAACACATGACACAACTTTTCTTTCAGAAAAATGCTTCAAACTCGACCAATAATTGATCTCATTGAACTCAAATAGATTTCTCTTGTATAAAGATTCCCAATTAACAACTGCTGGGATATCTTTTAATTTATTTGCTCTGCCAATACTTGGTATGATTCCTAGTTGCTAGGCTAAGTATCTTAAAGTTCATCAGTTTATATTTAAATCCTTATGTACTGGGCTGAATAGAGAAATCTTTAGTTTCAAGTTGCATTTTCACTTATTTTAAGTTTATAAATCGTTTGTTTATCATCATATATTTTACAAAACCCAAAATAGAATATTGAAATCAATCTTTCTATATCAGCGCACAAAATAGAATATTGAAATCAAGGCATTAAAAAGAACCAAACTGAACCAACTTGGAGCACAATGTGGCTTGATTAGCAGTTAAAAGATTGAGCTTGAATCCTAAGCATTTCAAACTGCAAAACAGTTAAACATCTTTCTATTGGGCTTAACTAAGCTCCAATAGTGGCACGCCTATTCATCAAGATACTAAAAGATCACTCTAAGATCCCTTGCCTAGGCCTAAGAGCAGTTCCACCGCAGCCCGCCAACCCGGGCAAGGGGGGCCTAGGCCCAAGAAGCAATTTCCAACGATACAAAACAACCTAGGCAAGGCGTGGGCTCCATAAGCTTTGGCAGGCCTGAAGGCAAGAGCATCCTGAGTTGTTGCCTTAGGGCTGTGACGTCATTAATGACCTCAACAACGAAAAAATTTAAAAATAAAATAAAATCTAAAAAAAACCAAAATTTTCTTCTTTTTATTTTATTTTATTATTTTTGTAAATAACTTGCCATATTCTTCATTTCCCACACCAAAACTTTATACAAATTCCTCTCCTCATATCTTATGTGAATAGTGGCTGCCCTTATGTTGCCATGGCAATGGGTGGAAAACCAACAAAAAAATTGCTAGGGCAAACACTATTCATGTGAATAGAACCAACCATTTCCTTCCTTCGCTTTTTACCATGACAAATAGGTGGAAATGCTCTAAGTAAGTTCTTACCTTAGCTTCATCTAACACACAAGGGCTACACTGCAAAGATACAATGCACCTGCCCATTCTAGGGCCAACAATTTCAATCAAAACTATTGGTGGGATGAAGTCATATATATCTGAATATGTATGGCTTTTGTGTGGACACACACACACATATATGGATTTCATTAGCAATATATAATATGGTCGTCTTTGATTTTGATTCTTGATATATTGGTTACATCATCAATATCAATGCATGCCCTCATCACGGAATTGGTTACATCATCAATATCAATGTATGCCCTCATCACGGAATTTCAATCCAGAAAACATATCACCTCACCATGTTGCCATCAGTTGGCTGCTTTTTTCAAATACATGGAGGCTCATAATTAATGAGCCTTCTCCATAGTACCATTCTTGGAACCAAGCCTTGATCGGGACCAGTAAAGTACTTATTACTTGCCTCAGCCAATGTTGGGACCAGGACCAGAAGCACTTCCCACCACAGAAACCCACACTTTTTACCTCTTCCATACAATCCTATCTTATACAAGTTCAAAATCACAACTACATCATGCCTCATTTTAATTACTTCTATCAACTTGCCTAGACTAAACCCACGTACAAAGCTTGCAATAAGGACCCAAAAACACGCGTATAATTCAGGCAGAAATTTCATCCTAATTATAAGCACATTATTTATCTATCTACTCAAATCTCTAACATATCTCTTTAGGGTTTTTGTGTAACGAGAAAGAACAATTGGCAACATAAAGTTTAGAGTTCTTTGCCTACACAAAATCTAATTAATAAGGCCCTCCTCCCTCTTTTTCATGATTTTGGTCTCATAGGATTTTTGAAGTCTAAAAGGGCAGAAAAACTTACATGAACGGGTATAGCATTGTTTTATCATTTCCGACCAATCACGCTATACCAAATAAAAAAAATTATCACTCGTGTCATAACTCGATTGACCAGTACTATCCCTCTTCCTTGTTTCTCCTAAAAGGGAGAAAGAGAGCAATTAATGCCGAGAGAAGAGATCATGAATTGGCAGCTTTTTGAAGGAGTGCACTACCAGTTGTCTACCACTCACGAAGGGTACGTAATATATCATATCATAGTGAATAATCATATTACCGTGATAGACATAAAACTGCATCTAATTATTAGCTTATCAAAAATTTCAACCTAAGTTTTTTCGTACCAATATTCAACCTCAGCCAATCCTTTTAAATCTGCATACACGAAGTCAAGAACTCTCTCTCTCTCTCTCTCTCTCTCTCTCTCTCATATAGATATACTTTATTTTGTTACTACTCTAATGTACTGGGGATCGAACTCGAGCATAAAAAGATGAGTACATTGTCTTGTTTTGACCAACAGCTCTAACTCAGAAGAGGTAATTTCATAGACATACTAGTTAGCTAAATAGAATGAGGCAGCATATACCCTGTGTCGAATTCAATATACATTTATTCACCTTATCTTAGTTATTGCCATGTGAAATATTCATCATGTACGTGCATAAAGAATCTCCACCACTCCATGATCCATATGCGTCTACTAGCTATAGTACTATATATACGGGGAGAATAAAGAGTTCCACTAGAGCCAGCATACTATAGTCCAAGGAACGTACCTTCAAAATCAATATATATTTGTCTCCATAGAATAATTCCCATGAATGAAATCCAACATACTTTTCTTGAGGTTCACATTGCTAGGCTATACAATGTGAGCTACAATTTATATACATACATATCATGCAATAGTACAGTACTATTGACAGATCTTTAATTGTTTTGGTTTGAAAATATCAGCAATTATTCTTTCTCATAATCCAAAATTCAAAACCAGTAACATCAACTACAATGAAATAGCAGAAACTAATCAAGTCGAAGAAAAGACATATAATTTAAACAAAACCAACATATATATATATAGATAGATATATATAAATTAATTACGTACCCACATTGCAATGACAATTGTCTCCCATCTCTTCTCTTGTATACCATTATACCCAATTAACCACATTTCCCCACTCCCTCTAAACACACCCATCCCATCCCCAAGAACAAAGTAAGAAATTAAAAATAAATTATTAGTTCCTTCCTCTCCTTCCTGATCATATAGATCATCACCATTGACATTAACACAAGTAAACCCACCACCCCAACCTAGCTAATAACAAATACATACGAGAATTAGGAAACAGTGTCATGCATATTATATATACATATACAAAACAAACACACCAACTTACTGCACTAGAAGAAGCTCTCTAGTCATGATCATCTTGATGATATATAGTTGATATTCGAGGCAGTGAGACGAAGAAGATCCGAGGTTCCTCTCAGCGCAATTTTGGTGGGGGACTCTCAACCTTGATTAATAAAACTGATCAAGAGGCTGATTAATTCTCTAATTGCTGCTGACATGAACACTCCGATCCCAGCTCCTGCCGTCCTCGCTTCAATAATATTATGAAGCTATACCCTTGACTTCTATTTTTGTTTCTTTTTCTTCAACTTTTTTGAAACCCACACCCAGTAATAAAAACCAATTACCAACCAACTAAGAAAACCTAAAGCTAAGAAAGAACCAAAATCACTTGAGATAATGATGAAATTGAAAAATGATGATGTTGATGAATTTGGCTTTTGCTAGATCAGAGAAGAGACTGAGGACCCAAGATTTGATGGATCATGCCAATTAGCACCAAGAGTCGTTGAGCTCCAGTAGAGACTGGGATCCGAGAGCCCCATTTGCTCTGTCATCTGATTCTGGCAATTCATATTACCATTCACATTATTGTTGTTGCTATTATTATTCCACTCCAACCTGTTCTGCCCAGCCTGATCTTCAACTTTCACATCTTTTGCGGCACCACCAGCCTCACCGGTATTGCCGGCTGCTATATGAAGGTCTTCAAAGGGTAGTAAGGACTGGAAATACTGGTTATGACTAGGCCCTCTAGCTTGAATATCTTTAAAACTACCCCCATTGAGGAACTTAGAAGCAAGCACAGAAGCCATAGTTGGAGTGGCGGTGGTAGTAGATGGACAAGTACTAAAAATGGAGCTATAATTGGAAGAAGGAAGTGATGAATTCGATGTGGGATTAAACCTGTTTCGATAATTATCACCAGACATGAAAGTACCTGCTGATGAAAACCCTAACCCCAGCTGAGCATGATGATGATTCAACTGATGAAGATCAAACCCAGAAGCGGAACTTGGACTGTCCATAAAAGGGTTACTAGGCACCCCATAAAACAGTGGGTTGATCTGATCTATCTGGGATGGTTGTGAAGGAGGGTTTGAATTACAATTATTATTGTTAGCAGTGTTGCTTGGAACTGAAGAAGAAGAAGAAGAAGCTCCATCCATGGCTGACGACGATGATGAGCCAGGCCTCTTCACACGCTTGTTCTTTCTACACCCACCGCCGACCGGAACGTTCCTGAGAGTCCCCCCTCTGGTCCAGTAGCGCTTGCAGGCCTTGCAGAAATGCCTTGGCTGAGACAAGCTGTAGTTGTTATAGTAGCAGAACTTGGTGTTTGACGAATCGCAGCGTGGACACTTGAGGGCTTGTTGCTGTAGTTGGAGCTGCTCTTGGCCTGGTTTCTCCATTATCCGAGTAGCTGGTGATGATGTTGATGAAGACATGTTATTGTTCAAGCCCTTTTGATGGTGATCATCGATTTGAATATTATCTTGCTGCTGCATCTACAGAATTTTTTTGTGAAAGGAAAAAGGAAAGAAAGAGGGTTTAGGCGGTGGTGTTAGGGTAAAAAGAACAACACAGGAGAAATATTCTCTTCCAAGAGCTAAGCAACAAAAGTTGTGTCATGTTTTGTCTAATAATTGAAATTGTGTGTGTGTAGAGAGAGAGAGAGAGAGAGAGAGAGAGAGAGAGAGGTGAACCTGTGGCCATTCGTTAGTAGTTGAAGAGATGAGTACCATCTTCTCATGATCACAGTTGCTCAACATGTTTCTGTTTGAGAAGGAATCGTTGAAACAAAGAGTAAGCAGACAAAGAGCAGGTGGCGACGTGAGTCTTTCTTGATGGGGTTGAAATAATATTATGACTATGAGAGAGAGAGAGAGAGAGAGGGAATGACCAAGTCGTGTGATTACATGAGAGAAGAAATTAATTAACGAGTTAATTACTTTGAATCTAATTTTCACGTGATGGGGTTGTGGAGGTCTAAAATCGATTTTGAGAAGGCCGATTATTTTAATGGGGAAGAATATTGAGGGCATTCGAAATCCGAGAAGCGGACAGGGAGATAATGTAGCATTAGAGATGAATCTTTGGGAGGTTCAAGAAAGAAAGAGAGAGAGAGAGAAAGGGGGAGACTAGCTACGACTAGTACACATTCCTATATGATTAACAACATAACATACATTCCTTAATTTTGCATAGAGATAGTAGCAGCAAGTAAATTAGATAAGTGTAGAGGGAATCCCTAGAGCCCAATATTCGATGCAGTCTTCACAGCAAATCCCACTTCCTCTTTTTTGTTTTCTTTTACTTTACTTATTTAATTATGGGGTCGTCACCACCATGTTGATTGTTGTGTGGCTGTGGCACCTAATTAATATATATATATATATATATATAGTACATATGGCTGGCCCTCAGCTCCCATGTATCAACATGTTACATATCCCCATTTCCACAACAATATCTAATCATCCAAATTGAATCATGTAATTATTAATTTGACGGGACACCATATTGTGGAAAATGATTTCTCAACAACATGAAAACGAGCTTGTAAATATGTTAATGATTTTCTAAGACGCATGTTTTTGCAATTAGGTATTTGCATATATAATCAAAAGAAAATTACAAGATATATGTATGTATGAAGGAGGGAAATATTCATTTGAAATAGGGAAGGGTGAAAATTCCAAAGAGAAAGAGACAAGAGGGCACCATGTGGCTGTCTACATCCCAGACTACTCAAAGCACACAACAAAGAAAGACCACCACGCTTTATTCTCGAGGGCTCTTGCTGTACCTCGCACTTCTTGTTCCTCTCTCTACCACCCCCCCTCCCAGTTTGGCAATATATTACAAAGACCAAAAAAAACGAAAAAAAAAACCGTTAATGGTGTCAAAAAGAGAGAGAGAGAGAGAGAGAGAGAGAGAGAGAGTGGAAAACCAAAGCATAGTGCAGGCAGAAGCAGAAGCAGAAGCATGTGGTGGGCAGCTCATGAGCTGGTAAAGAGAAAAAGAGAGAAATGGAAAATAAAAAAAGTAACACACAAAAGCATAGACGTTCGGGGAACAAACGGATTTTGTAGTGCCCCGAGGGATCTTCTCCTCCTTCCCTACAACCCATCATTATTCTTCCCTCTCTCTCTCTCTCTCTCTCTGCCCGTTACACTGTTAAACCTTTAATTTGGTCATTAAAAAATATTACTATCTATCATGCATGTTGGTCTTTACTAGATTGAGATCAGATATTATTAATTCTATCAGCAGCAGGTGTAAGACTATTGACTACTGAGCAGCAGAATTAAAGTAATTTGGGAAACCAATATCTATCTATATATATATATATGTAGGTATAGCATGTTATGGTGATTTAGATAGATCCTACAACTTGAGTTTAATTTATTTATTAACACCCTATATTATGTAGGTTTCTAAAGGGAATGTGCAACTTAAACTAATTAGCCAAATTTGAACCCACCCAGACCACCCAATGGTTATCCAAAACTGAACATTATCTTAATTAATTTGGTATTGTTTGTTAATAGTGTGAATCATGATGATGATGATGATGATGATGATGAGGGTGGTGGTGGTAGCTGGACCTCATGGACAATTGGAGGGCCACTCATATAGGTCAATTGTATAGATATATAAATATATATATGTATGTATACATAGGACTGGGAGGAAAGAGGAGAGTGGGTTTGATTTGAGTAGTCAAAGTAGGGGGAGAGACGTGGAGGGTGAGGGTGGGGCCTACACAGGCATTGTCACTGAGCAGTGATGAGGCAGTGACCACCACCACCACCACCACCATCGGACAACACAAGAGATTCCAATTTGGAAAAACATGAAAGAAACCCAACGCGCACGTTAAAAAGTCAAGAAAAGGAAGGCCTCCCTCCCTCCCTCCCTCCTCTAATTTCAATTTTCATGAATTTCTAATAATGTAGTGAGGAGAGAAAGCAATAGAAGAGAAAGAGATTGGGGATTACGGGGACCATCTCTGATCCAAGCCAACCCAACTGTACCCATCACCATTGCTAATTTTCCATATACCATGACCATGTCCAGACAAACATCTCACTCCCCATGCATTTTCTTTTCCTTTTGGTCAAGCCATTTATATATATATATATATATGAGCACTTGGGGTACTCCGAACATATAAAAATTTCTCCCTATACCATTCATGGAATGGAATCTTATGTTGTGTGGCACTGGCAGGAGGAAGAATGTGAATGGAGGCTTTCTAGAACGACGTATTCCATTTGGTGACTTATCCATCATGCATGCATGGACCCGCTGTAATGAAAATGTGAGGAAATGAAGAGGCAGGCAAAGTTATAACAAAGTCGGCATATTCTTTGGCTGACCGAATCACAATCGGAATTCCAATATTCCAGTAATTAAATTAGTGATAAAAAAAAGGATCGGTGCCCAAATTAAATAAATAATGCTCATGCCGCAGCATGTGGTTCTATATTTGTACTCATAAAGTTGGTGATTATGGGATATAATTATTCCCATTAAGACGTTAAGCATCTCACTCATTCATTCATTCAGCTAGATTTTACCCATCCTGTTGATTTGGAATTTTGGTATGTCAATAATGTTCTGCGGTTCTAAATGGGCCATAACCCCACAAGCAAGCGGCTGCCGTAGCATAAAATTCTGGTTAATTGAACCATATCATTAGAGAATCTAATACCAAGCTTATGTTATAATTTAATACAGCTGAGGAAGGACTTAATTGAGTATGGAAGTTTCATGCCGCCCGTCCTGTGGGGCCTTGAGAATGTTGGGGATTAATAAGGACAATTGTCTAATTGGGTGTGCCCTTAAAACATTTTTTTTATTTTTTTTATTTTTTTTAGTACAAGCGAGAGTCTAAATTAAAGGGGAGGGAGAATTTCACACAAATACACACAACTATGATGCCGTCGGGGTTTGAACACGAGACCTCTAATATGCAAATCAAAGCCCTTTTTTATTGGGCTAAATCCCGTTGACACTAATTTATTGTCTAAAAAGAGATACTAAAATTTCACATGTTGCACGTTGGTAGCCTCAAATCCATGTAAATGGACATGGGATTAGGGGGAGAGAGCGATGTTGATGGAGGTTGCTTCCACTTTCTGAAAATATAAATTAGTTGAGATAATGATAATTTATAGTATAATTGTCGGAATGAAAAAAATACTAATTAAGAGCTAGCATATATAATGGTAGTGAGAAGGGTGAATCACTCATTCTATAACAAGCTGTCAACAGGTCATGTTTCTCATCCTATATATATTTATTCGAGCATGCACATAAATTATCATTCCTTCATAATTATAATATGGTTTGGTAATCTTACACTGATTTGATTACGCTGTTGCTTAAACTCTTATGTCCATTATCAATAGTGCTTGTTAAGGAACTTGAACGACAAAACATTTATTTTTAGCGCCTATGAATATTTTTTTATTTTTAATATAAGCGATTATCACAACTACCCATTATCTTTTTTAATTCTAAAATAAATTAAAATAAAAAAACCTCAGCTAAGGTGCTGAATATGATACAACTTCTCCAATGACCAAATGCAACAACAAGTTGAATTGATCTGAATTCATTGGGTGTTTGGAGTTTCGAACATCTGCCCACATGAGTAGCAGTTGAATATCTCAACCAACTAAGCTATACCAAATAACTTTTGGTGACTACAATTCAACCTACTTTTAGGGCTGGTTTTGGGAATTTATAAACCCATATTGGGTTTGGCCCGATATATGATTACGCATGTGTTTGTTCGGCTATTTAGCCTATACTTTGATTTCATTATTATTGTGGCTTGACTTTGTTCTAAAATGGGGAAATAATTAGTGACATATGATTTTGATAAGTACTTCAAAGTGTTTCACCCCACCCATCCCTCAAATTTTTTTCCTCAATTGATGGGCATTGGTGATATTTAATTAATATGTGGTGTAATGTAATTAGTGGATATGTGCTGTGCTGCATGGCTTTGAAAGTAATTATGATTAGAGAGAGGTGCCAACCCTAGACCTAGGTTTAGTCGATCTACTGATTAACCCTCTCTTCAATCTTCAATCTTCATGATATGCAAAGTTTTGGATCTTAATTTAGTCGTATATGGTGAGGTGTCAAATAATATTATGTCTACTTAAAACTCCAATCACTCTAAGAAAAGCCAATAATCAAGCCATGTAATTAGTTGTTATGACTCTACCATTGTAGTCCATATTGGTGGTCCCCCCCTCCCATCCCTAAGTAGAAGCAATCAATAGGTGTGTCCCAACGACTCAACGAGCATAAAAACTTCATTTTCCTTATAACGGGAATTACACTGTTTTGTTATTTCCGATAAATAATATAATGACACATAAAAAAGTTATTCCGCACATCGCTATTGGCTGAGAATAACAAAAAATACCATTCCTGTTACATTAAAGTCTCTCTCTCCTATAAGACCCCTAATGATAAGGGTCCAGTTCTTGTTTATTGCTTCTTCTTTTCTCCTTAACGACCAAAAAACTTATTTTGGTAAGAAGAGTGAGCAAGGCCCAACACGTAAAACAAAACAATTAGCCCATCGGGCCATTACGAATGACTATGGGCCTGAAATAAGTGAAGGCAAAGGGTCTCCAAAGAACACGGCAGCCACGGTCCAACTTAAATAAAACCCAGCCTAGCTAAAAGCTAGATGCACAGACCCAAAACTTGGAACAATGCTTAAAAACCTCTCGCGTGTTTATTTATTTGGATTGAGGAGGAAGTCGTGAATTGATAGAGTGAGAATAGGAGAGAGAATGAATGGATACTGTCATGATGATCAATCTAATTTTTAGTTTTTCAGATATTAGATTACATATTATAATGTAAAACTCTTAGGGCCCATTCGGTAACGTTTTCGGAGAATGTTTTCTTAGAATATTTTCAGAGAATGAAATCAAGAAAACGAATTTGCATTTTCAGGAAATGAAAATGCATCTGATAGATTAATTAGAAAATATCTTCAGAAAACAAAAACAATGAAAACGTGTCTGGTAGTACAATTTAAAATAATAATATGTGAGTTATTTTTATGAAAACATTTCCCATGAGAATGAAAACAACTTTTTTCATGAAAACATTCTCAATGTTTTATGTTTTTGGGCCACCGAATGTGTTTTTGCCTCATTTTTGTTCTCTGAAAATGAAAACAACCCCTTAAAACGTTATCAAACGGGCCCTTATATTCTTTTGTTCTGTTTATGTTAGGAAATGCATAAGGAGTCTAGAATTGGAAAAATTCAAGGCATATAAATGATCACAAAGATTTCATGGCGCGCACACACAAATACACGCAAACTAATATATAAGTGAAAATGATTTTTGCTAGTATTGTTGCAAGGCTTTGGTCATGTATCTAGTGGATTAGCTGGTCAATATTAGGGCTTCAAGTTTCTTCTAGTGCAGGAGTGCTAGTATATACATGAATGAGACCAAAACCAAAATCAAATTCTGGGATGAGCCGAGCCAGATCAAATGCCAAAGTTCTTAAGTTTGGGTCAAATGATTTTTTCAAGCTCGAACTCAGCTCGGCTTATTTGTAGACCAAACAAGCCAAATGCGAGTCGTACTCAAACTCCAACTATCGTATAGAACCAATTTACCGTCTTAAACAGGAGTAATTTTGGTATAGAATATTTCCACATGTCCCATCTCGAAACATAGAAAAAATTTTCCCTAGATAGAAAGTTGTGGCCTCCTGATGAGATGCGTGAAACCATGATGCATGCTGTCCTTTCTTCAAAAGGCTCCTCCACTAGATTCTACTCAATTACACCTTATGGCAACAACTTTTTCCCGACTCGATAACTTCACTGACTTTTATTACACATCCCACTTTTAGAGTTTTCAAATTCCAAACTCTGTTTATACATACATTGAACTTTCATACTAATTAGTAATTAAAACTTGGGATAATAGTTGATTAATTGGTAATTAAACCATGCATCCTTTCCATGTTGCAGAAAAAAACATGCTAGCGGTAGCTCTTGTCTTGGGTTGTACATATGGGGACCAATATTTATAAATTGCAACGTATGAAAGTGTGGTCCAAGCTGCTTGCTAGCAACAATTGACATAAATTGGTAACAGAAATTGGCCACTTTGTTTGCTGCAAACCAGTTGGCTAACACTATAATGTTAGTGTAAAAACAAAGGAAAGGAAAGAAGGGCCAACAAATATGAGATTCAAGGACATGAAATAATAGATAATAGTACCATATGTGTCAAAGCATGATAGGGCTCTCTCCTTACATCATTGGACCATATAGGTAGGGTTTTCTTTTCACCTTTCACTTTCCAATAATACATTGTGGATGAAGGAATAGTCGCGCTCTCAAGAAAAGGACTGTCAACTATTATAAGGACAAAGCCTCAACTGCATTTCTTTCTTGCCTTGGAAATATATATATATATATATAATCTATATACTTAAACCTAACCCCATATATTTATATGATTCACTGACTGACTGGCTTATCCGGTTTCAGGTTTCTAGCAAAATGACAGATATGTAAATCAAGGAAAATTCTCCGATAAGTATTTTAGGTTAAGGATATTGGTTACATATTTCTAATCTTGATTGTTGGATTGCATGTATGTATGTTACATATTAAATCTATCAACACATCTAATGAATGCAATCCGACAACTGAGATTAGAAATATGTAAAAAATCATTAACTTAAATACTTATTGAATCTCCCTGTAAATCAAATCCCATTTGTACAACAATATTGGACAAGTGTTAATTCCCTTTGCTCCATGATTGGATTAGACAAAAAACCTATCCTAAAAACGAATTAGATAGTGCAATAGCCACCATGTGAATATGTCTATGTGAATTAAAGTTACAGTAAAAGAGTTGGTGCCTGTTGTTGTGTTGTTGTAGCTGTACACATCATGTACATGATGATGTGGTTTTGTTGGAGGAAATGAGCTTAGCTTTGGCTTTTGTAGGCTTCTAGCTACCATTCACTGTTATCCTTGTGGTGACAAGAGAACATTTGGAACTTGTGGTCCTCACACATAAATCTCTTTCTTTTCCAAAACCCTTTATATCAATGTTTTAGTCTTAGTCTTCTTCTTCTTTGACTCTTCCATCTCTCTTTCTCTCTCATTATTTCTTGCCTTCTCTCCTAATTTTCTCCAAAATGGAATCAAACAGAGCTCATGGGAAGAGGAGCTTGAACTACAAGATGGAGGAAGAGGAGGAGGAGGAGGAGGATGAAGAAGAAGAACAGGATGAAGAGGAGGATGATGAAGATACTAACAGATCATCACTAGTGTACGGTGAGGATGAGAGGAGGAAAAGAGTGTTGATGGTGAATAGTGCAACTACTACTCCTAACAAGAGAGGATCTGGTGCAGGAGGGTCTATGGCAAGGCCATCTTGTCAAGCAGATGATTGCAATGCTGACTTGAGTGATGCAAAGCAATACTATCGCCGCCATAAGGTCTGCGGTGTTCATGCCAAGGCTCCGGCGGTGCGTGTGGGTGGAGTTCAACAGCGCTTCTGCCAGCAATGTAGCAGGTCGGTCAATTAACAAACCCTAAACTTTACACTCATTAATTTCTTACCACATATCTTTTCTTGTAGAGCGAACTTCTTGCTTCATGCTCATAGAACAAAAGATATCTAGTGCTTAAGTGAAATTGCATTTTAATTGAACATTTAGAAAACCCATCAAACCATTTTTGCAAGTTTCATCGTATTGAGTTATTGCATTAATTGGTGCATGACTCATCGAGCAAAATAGATTAATCTCTTTTTTGATGGGTAAAATGTTTGGTAATTTTTTCCCTCATCTTGATAATTCATTTTTCGTACGTCCTTCCATATCTTACCCTAAAGTCTTTTCAAAACAAAAGGTGTGATAGTTGGGTTTTTCCAAAAGGATATATAGTTGATGTGAGCTATAATAAATCACGCAATTAGTATGAAAACTGGTTGAATGGCGTTGAGAAGGGGGCACACCATGAACCCCATACTTACAATTTCATGTCATGTCTCACTAGCTCTAAGCCTTTTTCTTTTCTCTCTCCCTTTCTGCCTTACTTTCTTTTGTTTTTTCTGTTTTGATTTCTTGCCTTGGTTTCTATCAATGTAGCTTATCTTTTTTGTACCATTCTTATACTTCATCGGTATATAGATCATATCATATAAAGGGTCCATCTAACTGCATAATTACTTATATACAGAATCATGTAGTTTAGTATGTGTGTGTATATATATATATATGCAGTGCAGAGAAAATAGCTAAAGAAAAAGAGAAAAACAAGATGAAGGAGAGAAAACCATTTACCCCAAAAAAGAAAGAGAGAGAGGAAGAAGAAGAAGAAAAATAAGTGGTTTAATTACCATATATTGTGACTCATAAATCCACTGAATTAATGGTGCGTTTACAGGTTCCATAGCCTATCAGAGTTTGATGATAATAAAAGGAGTTGTCGGAGGCGTTTAGCTGGACACAATGAGCGGCGTCGGAAAACCTCCTCTGAATGTCATGGAGAATGAACAAAACCCCAGAGCAGGCATGGTTATTAAAAAGCGAGGATTGCTACATATCTCTCTCATATAAAATGCCTCTTTTGTACCTCTAGCCTAGCGTGCTCTCTCTCTTCTGTCAATCCTCAACCTTCATTATCCACCATTGAATTCTCTTTCTTAATTTTATGTACTTGAAAATTTGCATCTAAAATCCAACAATTATGCATATATAGCTAAGCTAGCTAGTACAACTCCCATCCTCTTGTGTTTCGTATGTGTGGCTGTGATTGATCAGGACAGTTGCTGATCATTCTTGTTCATGCATTAGTTTACTTTTCATGAAATGCTCTCTCTCTCTCTCTCTCTCTCTCTCTCTCTCTCTCTCTCTCTCTCCATGTACGTACTCAAATATGTTTATCATGAATCAGTGCATCACTCCAACAAAAAAAAATGCGTGGATTGCGCTGGGTTTGGATATAAGTTTGTAAAGTGAAATGACTTTAAATGATAAACCACCGCTCATGTTCATCCATCCATTTTATAACATGTGAATTTAGTAACACCACCTGTTTTCCTGAATGTTAAGAGTGCTCCTTACCCTTAATACAATGTTTGGTCGGAGAGGCTAAGTAGACATAGACTTGGAACGAACATTTTACTTCACTGTGTGGAGAAATTTTTTTAAAGCTGATCAAATTTACCATATCGAGTGAGCCAAGTTCAGACCCTCTGTCTTTCTCCTTTCATTTAAATGAAAAATGAATACAAAAATAAGAAAACAAAACAGAGAAGCATACCCATCGAGCTAAGTTCATACCCTCTTCTATTTCATTTATTGTTAGTTTGAAAGAAATTACAAATAATTTGAAATCCGGCAGTAATTTTCCACCATCAGTAAAATTGGGCACTCTTCATATGGTGCTTATGTTACGACCAAGCGCAACTAAACTAAACATAAGAGCAATACAAAAAATAGGCTCTAACAAAACACTCTCCAATCTCTAATATTTTCTTGTGGAAACATATAGTAACATCCCTAGAGTTCGTCCAAGTGAACAATTTTATTTGGCTGGATTTAAGAGGAGTTGACAAATAGGTTAGAAGCATTTGGTATCCTTAGTCACGTTTGATGCCTAATAGCTTTACGGCTACCTCCCAGGCGACAATTGCCGTTGCATTAGCAGGAAAAGCCCGAACGATAGTAGGACCCAAGCCAACATAGCATCCTTTCAATCCAGCCCTTCTGTAAATCTAGAGAGAGAGAGAGAGAGAGAGAGAGAGAGAGAGAGAGAGTAAAAACGGCCCATTCAGTCTTTTTTAAATACTGGATTTGGGGAGGGCGGAGGAGAGAGAGGGAAAGGTGTTCTTACCGAGCTCAAGACTTGAAATGGGTTTCTTGAAGAATTATTATCTGGAGCAGTCTGAATTATGGTTTTTGCCACATCCAAGGGTAGAACAGCAGACCAAAACTGGAAGAACGTTAAGAAGAAAATCACAATTTAGAAGTCTAGTGTCTAGTGTAATAGTAATGTGAACATGCATATTAGAGAAGGCCAAATAGTGGAGATACCGCTATACCACCAAGGCCACCACTAGCAATCCCAACTCCCACATCAATCAAGTTTCTGTGGTCAGGTGAAGCAGATTTCAGATGTAAATGCATGTGATAACGGACATGCTCATAAATGCTAAAGAAGACTGCATTTCCAATAGATTCTCTTAACAATGTTGTAAAACCTCCTCGAAAAATTCCTCTAACCTGAAAATCTTTCCGTCAGCTAAAAAGATCATCACAAATTATATGTTTGCCAGAAGGCACGGTATTTTCTTCCCTTTTTCAGTCATGAAAGAACAGTATTTTCTCACCCCATCATTTTTTACAGTTTTAAGGGCACAATCAAGAGAACTATCGTATCTTCTGGACATTGGGACCAAAGAGTCTGTGCCTTGAACTTGCATCCTACACTGGAAAAGCTCAGTGTAATAAGCATACCACGAGAAAAAACTGCACAATCTAAAACCCCTTGAGCTCCTCTTACCTTCACCAGCTCCGACGGGCATAATATAAAACTGATGATTGCTCCACTATAAGCCGCAGATGGAATTATGACTTGGAGCTGAGGCCCTGCACCTTGTGCGCTTCCCTAGAAGTGTCATTATGGTTAAGAAGAATGTTACATTACAACCATATAACAGATAAACAATTTCTCTACAGAAATCATGCATCTAACAGAAGCGATTATAAAGTTCATTGCCAAATAAAAGCAGCAAAGTTTACATTTCATTTTCATTCAAACCTGCAGTGACTGTTTGATTTGCGAATACATGCCAAAAAGAAGTGAACTCTCGAAAGCCATCCCCACAAAAGATGATGTTGCACCTCTGTAAAGTCCTTTAATCTGTCAAGGACCCAATATCAGTCAGCTTTCCTGGAAAAGATGATGAGAAAATTCAATTTCTATAACATCGTTCCTTTTTCAAAAGAAAAAAGGTGATTGTAATGCAAGAGATATCTAGCTAGAGAAAGTGCAGGATCATACCCCTTCAGTCTTTAGTATCCTCGCAGTACAATGAAAACTATTCCTGTACGTAATCCCATGTGCTACAGTGTTGTGTTTTTGCATCTTCACCTAATTAAACAAGTATTACATACATAAGAAATTCACATTCGGAGAAAAGCACAATTTTACACACAAGAAAAATGGTCCGCTCATTCTCAGTTCATAGAAATATCTCAAAGGCAAACAGCATCCTGAAATCATCAACTATAATGTGACAACGATACAGAAGTGATTGAAAGATTACAGCCTGGTAGTGGGAAAAGTTACAAAACGTTAAGCTAATGCATATCTAACTAAGGAAAATTAAGCTTGCTTTCTGTAACATTACTAACTTTGTAAAATCAAAATGATCCAATGTTGTTCAGCCAAAATTTAAACTACCCAGACGCCAAAACCTAAAATTTGGCGTTAGTTCATACATTCTACTTCCAAGTCCTATCAATCACACTTAAAAAAAAAGAGGTTTTTAAAACATACCCATGAAATAAAGTTCACAATTAAACCACTGAAAGTTCAACAAATTGAAATTAATATGAATTTACCTTGATGGTGTCAAAGGGATGGCCAATGGCAACAGTGGCAACGCCGGCGAGCAAGCCTGCCACGTACTCCTTGTAACCGGAACTATCCGCCATCTGCCTCTCCCTCTCTCTCTTTTCTCTCTCTCGTTTTGTTATTTCTGCTTTCTGGGCTTTTATCATGGTGTCCTTATACGTACTTCGTCTCCCTCACTCTCTCTGAGATTTTAGTGAAACATCTAAGACGTTTAGACCAGAGCAGAGAGGAGGCGAAAAGCGAGTCTTCAGGTCAGGACCGCCCCCATACAAATTCTTATTGGGTTCTTGCGGCCTGCATTTGTACTTAGGAAGGGTCTCAAATTTGATTTACCATCCCTCTCCTTACGTCTTTTAGCTTGGTAAGTGCGATGTGAGTCACTGAGGCCCACTCTCAAAATATTGCCTTGTCCAGTCCAGGAATTGCTCTGGTTTTTTATTTTTTAAATTATTTTTTATAACGAACAAAATTAAAAAACTTTAAGCCGTGCTCCTACGCATGCGGATAGACTAGTATATATCAATGTTATATTCAGATTGTATGAGTAACTGGCAAAAAGTAAAAACAATCAGGTCGTCTTCGTTTTTTGTTCTAAAAATCGAAAGGTTTTCATTTCTTTGGAAACCTGCAACAAATTAATGTCACATATGCGATATACAACAGTAGAAGACAATGTTGTCCGGAACGAAGGAACATTATTGGGCATTGCACACGGCTTTCCTATGAAGTTGCAAACTTCTTCTGCCCATGGAATTTTGGCCCAGTCTGTGAAGTCAGTGAAGCAGCAGAGTAACACTATGAAACCTAGCTGATGCCTTTCAGTTTGGTACAAGTAAATTGCTGGATGCTCATAAGTCATAACTTGCTAGGAACAGCATCGTTAGAAAGTCTTCCTGCCTTGCCAAGTTGAGTTGGCTTTGTAAACGCATCTTGTCTTTCAGCTATAAATTTTGCAAAACGGGAACCTTTCCCTTCTTTGTTGTTCTCTTGTCGTAGTGACACTGGCATATGAGGCAAAGGAGGGGGCTTGGGAGACAGAGGTGGCATCAATGCCCATACGGAAGAAATATATTTGTTTGGTTGGTCAAGAACTTGGAGAAGTGAAATATCCTGCATGTCTGTCGGAAGAAAAACCACAGTTGTCAGATCTCCCCATTGCTTACCCTTTTGTTACTCCCCTTTTTCGATAATCAGGAAAAACATGTCAAACTAAACCACACATCTTGATACCGTATACCAACACCAAAAACAAAACAAGTTCAAGCCCCTACAAACAATGACTTTGAACCATCAAAACAAGTGAAATAAAAAGTTAACAGAATGTATGAATAAATAACCTTTTGCGAACTTGAAGATGGGGAGGAGGGCCGCACATGGAATGCTGAAATTCAGATGCGGTATAACAGTTCCTCCACCATGCCTTGCATTGCTGTTTCAAAAAATATATCTCATTAAACGTGGAAGTTCTATCAGCAAAGAGTGAGGGACATATAAATAAAATGAACACATCTAAGATTTGAAGTGATGATGCTGATGACACAGAAAGCAGCCTTAACAACAATGTAACAGAGAATGATATGATTTCCACCAAATTATCCTTATTTTAGTGCTTTATTTGATTTCAATAGCATCACAGCCAACATCGCGGTAGAAATCACAAAATTTAGAGTCTTCATATCATGGCCATGCATAATGCAAGAATACAATCAACCCACAAAAATTTAGTTTCTTCATACCTTGTAACAAGTCCAATCATATGACCATCTGAATTAATGACAGCGCCACCACTACCACCAGGATGGACAGCAGCTGTTGTTTCAAGCATCACAGGAAAATGTCCTTGAGTATTTCCTGGTTGGTCGGGTTGATATGAGAGTGGAAACTTTGCTTTCACAACTTTTGCGACCACACCAGAACAAATTGATGGGGAGAAGCCTAATGGAATTAATCTCAATCAGGACATGAAACATAAGTGGACTGTCTAAATCAAGCAAACAAACAAGAAGCCAATTATTGGAAACACATTCCATAACAAAGATAAGCGCATGTGTACAATTAGTCCTCCTTAGTCATGTCATGGCACTAAGATTCAACATCCATTCTTTAGAACTATTGCATCAGTACTAGTGCCAAGTAATGCAGCACAGGCGAAGAAGAAAAGTTCAAGGATCAGCATAACTGGGCATACATCTAATCAAATTGCAATGCACATAGATGCTAAGAATAGTAAAGTGTAAAAAAAAATTACATCCAATAAATCGGACCACGTATGTCACTTACTTCTGTACAGTACATCTTTATTAAGATTGTACAAAATCTAAAGAAAGATTTCTAACAGTACCATATCAGAACTCTTTAACACTTGATAATGTCAAAATTCAAGTCTGAAACAGAAACTTGCACTAGGCAGAAACTCTTGATAATTGTCCGCCAAAAGAGTTTAAAACTATATATGAGATGTTAAATGACTTGGTAAATTATTTGATTAAATAACTACACCAACTGGACTAACAATCACAAGCATCATCAACAACAAAGATAGGTGTGACTTGTGAGATCTTCTATCAAGGTGGCAAGTAGACAAAAGCAAATGATACATTTCCAGGGGGAATCCAAATTCAAACAATCAAAAACAAGAGGATGAAAAGAAGCTATAAGCAAGGATATACCGCATCTTGGTCCAAATAGTCCATGTCCAACAACATATGCCTTTGATCCTACAGATGGCGATGAAAAATCCTTGGCAATTGGGGAAAGATGATCTGCAATGTGCTTGAGCTGCAACAGGGAAACATCCAAAGGTCCTTTACAAATATACACTACTTTAGCATCACACCAAGTCCAAGGGTCTGTATGATCCAGGCGGACACGTATGTTTCTATGACCTCTGTAAGAAGAACTCAATTTATGTCCTCCATATTCATCACCCACAAAGAGATCTGCATTATTGCGAATCCTTGGCAGAAAACCTTCACTCTTTTGTTTGCCATATAGTTCACTATGCCCTGGAGATACAGGTCCATCAGACAGTGCCTCAGAATTGGATCCATGCTTTCCATCACTTGCGGTTCTTTTACCAAATCTCCATGGTTCCAACAAGTGAGCATTTGTGAGTATGAGACCTTGCTTGTTAAGAAAGACACCAGATGCCCATACTCCATCATCCATGGTTATAAGACAAACAGAACCAATTGCCTTCTCAATGTGTGATGGGGATGAGCAATTAGAATAAAGATGCTCCTGAATATGCGTTATGGGTCCATTTGAGTTGTGGCTGTCGGCTAAAAATGTCTTCCCTACAGCATTTAAGTTTCTCTTGTCATAATAAATCCCTTTTTCTGCATAACGGGGCTCCTTCTGCAGCAAGTCACTGCAAGCAGTTGCAATGGCTTCCCATGAAATCACCAGCTGTTACCCAAGACTAGAATTTTGGATGACATGTTAAGAAAAATAAATTTCAGACTGTCACACAGGCAAATGCTCTCAAGTTACCTGAATCTCAGCCCCACTAGTCTTCTGCCTCAATGGTCTAATCAAAATACCAACAAGTTGTGCATGCTCATTCAAAACTGGACCACCTTCCCCTCCTGGTAGAAATTAATATGGAATCAGAGACCAATAGCATGAAAAGAACAATAGATACTATTTCAGGTTATGCTCGTACCAGGAAGACACCGTATGTCTGCCATCAGCAATGAACTATAAGATGAATTAGGAGGATAGCAGTTGGAAATGGATCCCACTGATATACTGAGGTAGGAAGCCAAAGAATTAAATCAGGCATCAATAGGATGAAACAATTAGACTTCAGATAAAACCAGAGCGAGAGTGAGAGATAGAGCATAGATAATATCAGACAGGACCAGAAACATAACATATTTTTATACAGAGAAGATAAAATACCTGTTAAAGAAGTGCACAGGTGAGAGGACACCAAAAGGAGAACCCACAACCACAAGAAAGTCCCCCTTTTTAGTGGAGGATGATATGGTTATGTTTGGCACGTCCTGAACAGAAACAATTAATTATCACTCTCACCAATGGACTCATATTCAGTATCTTGAGTTATGAATCTTCACCAAAACTGTATGCTAAACTAAATTTAAGAGCATAAATTCACCTTGGAAATTAAGGATACTCCAAGAATGGCAATTCTTGTAGTTGACTTGCCTGTAAGACTTGAATTCCCCAATTGTCTGACAGCCGAGTCCACCTGGTTATCCATGACAGATGATGTACTGTCACAGTCCAGATTAACAAAAAATCTCTTTCACATTACATGAAAAACATTAAAACGGATCTCTTTATCATGTTAGCTTCTGCAGCATTCTCCCAACCAACCAGATAAGGAAGAACTGCTCAATTCATCAGTGAGGGTTGTTATGGATTTCTCAATTAGTTGCTTTCCACGTCACATGACACAATTATCTCTACAAGAGATCTGCACAGGATGATAACTTTTGCATTAATTCCCAAAACAGAAACACCTCATACCTGGGTCTGAGGAGCATTACCATGTGAGGCTAAAGACCAACCGACCTCCCATCCATGATCTGGGGAGCTTAAAGAAGCTTCAATAACTGATTGGAGAGCAACAGCAGAAGCAGGAACATCAATCTATAAGGTACATTAGTTTGATCAATGTCAGAAGCCATGTATGGTTTAGAATGAGTATCAAGCATACAGTAAATACAAGCAAATATGAGAAATGAAAGATATATCATTCACTTTATTTATTGAATCAGTGACCAACCATTAAAATTGACTTTGAGATTGCAGTCTCGTCTTATTTCATATAATAATCAAGCTATTGACACGTTTTTAAGAACATAATTCAGGTCAATTTTATTTTTCCACTACCAGTTAATACTTCATTTCCCTTTGATAGGTGACTGCATGACGGTCATGAATATGTTTATAACATTAGATAAAATAAAATAAAATACTTTCATTTTTTTTACACAAATGAACCAAAAGTGCTAATGATCACATGAACGGTTGTCAACTAGGCACAAAAGAAATAAATGGTTGAAATCCTCCGACAGAGAGCTGCTATTGTTGCAAGCTCCTTCTACATCAATTCTACACTCAAATGTATAGTGTTAGTCAATTAAACAACTGGATAAGCAAAATCCTACTAGCATTAACAGCTGTGCTGCAAACCAGCACGGAGGCCCTTTATCCAAATCTTCAGAATCTTTGTGGAACCTCATTTCATCCTGTCAAAGAAAACACCTCAAATAGTCAGAAGCTTATATCTAACCCCATAAAGTAACGTATACAAAAATCTTCAGTTAAAATTTGTCAATATGTATGAAATAATTAAATAAAATAAAAAATTTGGGTTTGTGCTATATTGCTATACCTCTACCATTATATCAATCTGAACCCCAGGAATCAACTGAGGCCTGCCCTGCAAGGTACCAAAATAATTAATAAATATAAAATATAAAAAATATAAAAAAGCAAATCAAATGCATTACATATCAACCCCAGTACAAAATTTAGCAAAAAAGGTAAATCATCGCATGCTAATTTCAACCTGGGTAAGGCCCTCTCTGTGTTGCAGAGAGAGAAAAGGCTCAACAATGGAGGCAACAGTCACAACCAGAGCAGGAGACCGTTCACTGTCGCCACCAAAGAGTTGCTGAGCAACATCAAAGTCGTAAAGGGTGTTCGGCAATAGCATTCCAGACGCTGATATAGTCGTCGTCCCAGAGCTACACATACGCAAATCAATACATACAAATCAGAAAAGAAAACAAAATGAAATTAGGAAATTACATAAATATATATATAGGTTAATTATGAACAGAAACTTGGCTTACTGGTAGTGATGGAAAGCGTGGTTTCGCATTTTGAGGCCCTTTGGGTCCTATGTGGAGAAGGTTTGCATAATCAGATAGCAGAAGCTCAGAGAAAAATTAGAAGAGGTATAAAGACTAAAGAGAAACTTACAGGGCCTTTGACTCGGACCATGACGGCTAAATTACGAGCGAAATCGACGATCTCCGGTAAACCCATAATAAGGAAGAGAATATGGTGTTCTTGTTCTGAGTGCCCGATTCTGATTACAGAGTGGGGTTCACATAAATATATACCTTTAATGAAAACCAACAACAACAAAATAGAAAAAAAGGAAGACGAAAAAGTGACTCTCCCCTATTTTACCGCTCTAAAATTTTACTTACCCGCCCTATCAATAATATTATATTTCAGTTTCGTAACTTATTAAGTTATTTAGTTAGTGGAGACTATTTGGGCTATTTTGCTTTACACCAAAAATGTCTTTATTATTGGTTATAAGAAAGTCCTGTGTGGCTATTGAATTGTATTATTGATCATCTTATTGTAACTAATGCTTCGAAATTTACTTCATTTTATCCCCCGAACTATGACCATTGTAATTTAATCCCATTAACTAAAAAATCAACCAATTTACCCCCTCGAATAACTTTTATCGTCAATTTCACACTTGTTGTTAGATGTTATGAGATTTCATCCAATATTCTGTCAAATCCAACCACATGAGACGTTTCTTGTAAAAGCAACTTAGCACTCCAAGGATGCGATCATACCAACTCACATGCACCGGATCCCATAAGAACTCCGAAGTTAAGCGAGTTTAGGCGAGAGTAGTACTATGATGGGTGACCTCCTGGGAAGTCCTCGTGTTGCATCCCTTCTTTTGTTGACCAAAAAAAAAAACTTAGCACTCCAAAATACTCTCTGTTAATATATAAATCTTCATGCATATTATTTAGGTTTACATTAGTATTATCAATTATGTGTCGATAACACATCGATTCCATATTGACAACACATGTTTTAGTAAGACAACGTCGTATATATGTATATGTAATATAAAACCTGCGAAGCAAAAACAAAAGACTACAATGAAATGGCCCTATCCTTTACCATTTCCTGTGAGATCGATAGTAGCATTATTCATTTCTTAAGAATCTGTAAAGCTTGTTGCTTTGAAGGGCATGCAATACTTACTATATTTGATTCTTTGACCATTTGACAAGTCAAGGAAAACACCCCAAAGATGGATGCAGAAAACACACTGCCTGCCTGCCTCACACAAAAATGATCAAAAGGTAGAAAAAGGCACATACTCATCCTTTATCCTTTAAAATAGCTTGAAGGTAAACTATACCTTTTTTTTTTCTTCAGAAATATGGAACCCTAAACCCGATTATGTATAATCATTCTAATCAATACACAATACACTCTCTATTAGACCTGGCAAACGGGTCGTATTAACGGGTTTCGGGTCGTGTTCGTGTCAACCCATTAAGTTAACGGGTTAACACGACACGACCCGTTAAGTTAACGGATAACAAATACTAGACCCAAACACGACCCGTTACAATTCGCGAATATCCGACAACCCGACCCGTTAAAAACTATCACAGCTTCTCTACCCGACACACCTTCTCTGTCTTTTTTCCCCCAAACCCCAACCCTAATTTTTCTTCCCTCTTTCCCTCTTTATTTCAGTCTTCTCACCCCAAAATAGTATATCTCTCTCACACAGATATATTTAAAACTCAACAACTACATAAACTGAGGAAGAAAGAAAATTCAAAATTGACTGAGAGAACCAAAACCAACAACCTCCTTCTTGATCCGTGATGGATGGGCTGCCGGAGTCTATTGAGTGGAGAAAAGAAGAGCATAAGAGAATCTTGACCAAAAAAGAGCAAAGAAGCAGAGAAGCAAAGAAGAAGAGAAGAAGAGAAGAACGGGAGGAAGAAGAAAAGGAAAAGGGAAAAGAGGAAAAAGACAAAAAAGAAAGAAGAAACAGACATGAGAAGAAGAGAAGAACGGGAGGAAGAAGAAAAGGAAAAGGGGAAAGAGGAAAAAGACAAAAAAGAAAGAAGAAACAGACATGGAAAGAAGGAAACTAAAGAGGAAAAGGGGAAGAAGAAAAGAAAAGAAAAAATATTTTGCAAAACTACCAAATTACCCTCCTTAACGGGTGGATGCGAATATTCGCGAATTGACCCAACCCAACCCGTTAGCTTAACGGGTAGCTAACGGGTTCACCCGTTTTCAACCCAACCCATTAAGCTCAACCTAAATACTGATAATTTCGTGCGAATTCGTGTCGTGTTAACGGGTCGTGTGCAATATTGCCAGGTCTACTCTCTATATATGTATCTTTTGATGATTGTTTAAGAGACTATTAATTGTGGTTAAGCCAATTATTTATATGAAATGTATGTTTTAGATAATTGATTAGTTATATTTTCAACATGCATGTATCATCGCTCCTAATTGACAAATAAGCATGTACAAACGTCACACGTGCGAATATAATTCGAAATTTACTTATTTGGAGATTTTGACAGTTCATTTTGTAGATAAAAAGGACAACTTTTTACAAACAATGCTTACACGGATTAATAGCTGGACAAATTTTAATATATTTACGGCGCATTGCATTAAGTTAGTAAATTACAAACAAACAAGTCTCCCTCTCGTCATATGTTCATTGCGTTCGGCACAATAGGCAAAGCTTAAGTATTAATTATCTATACAAGGTTGAAACTTGGATAATGAAAACTAAAAATTAAAATGTTCAGAAGTATTTCAAACCAAATTTAATACAATTAGTGGTGGACTTATTATTCGTTAGGGATAGTTTGGTAATAACGAATTAAACAAAAACAACTATTTAAAGGTAAAAAGTAAAAACTAAAACACAAGGCCGTCCAGCAAGTGAATGGCAATCGAGAAAAAAGTACAGAAAATTCAGTTACCAATTAATCTATATGCTTCTTTTTACAGTGTGTTTTTCTTTTTATTATCATGTTTTTAATTTTATTTTTTCTCAAGAAATCCAGGCATTTCCTGCCAGTAACCCAACGTAAACGCAGAAAGAGGAAAAAGCAAAACCAAAAAGGCAAAGCAAAATAGGACAGTAGATTTACTATAACACCCCTGTATCTTACACGTGTTGACCAAAAACCCAGCTTGAATTGTCCCCTGCACGCAGCAGCTGGGCATATTTTATTTATTGGCAATTTTATTGTTTTTTTTATATATATAAATTGAAGAAATTTTGGTAAGACCACGAGCCTCTCAGAGCCTCTACCCCTCCGCCTCTCTCTCTCTGGTCAGCCACACTCCACCACCACCTTCATCGTTTTCTCTCTCTCTGTTCCTCAGAGAGCACCGCAATCAAGTAACAATTGCATACTCTTACATACAAGCCTTCCGTTCCGTGCTAAATTTTCGCTAGAAACCAGAGCAATGCCGGCACAGAAGCGCACCCCAGAGCCTATGGAAGATGATCCTCTGCAGAACCACCATGAAAACAGCCACGACAATCCACAAGACGAAGAGGGTACGTCTTATTTTGCTCAATACCCAAACCCAACTCCAAATTTTTCAACCCACCGCAAACAAAACCATACACGCATGTTCGTTCCTGCACATGGTTTTGGATTTTTTTTTCTTTTCCCTTCTCTGATTCTGTTTTGTTTCTTCATGTGTTCCTTCTTGGTCCTTTTGCCCCTCAGAGTCCGATCGAAGCCTTTCCCCGAGTAACGAAGAGAAAGACGAGTGAGCTTTTCTGGTTCTTCATAGCTTTCTCATTCTTCTATTTTTCTTTTTGTTTATTGGTATTGGTTCTGTTGATTGTGCAAGTGTTTGATTTTGAATGCTGGACTTGATTTGGGATCTGCATGGTTTGCTTCGTGCTACTCTTTGTTTATGTTTTGTTAATCGAGCGGCTACTGGGATGAGCTATGTGGATTAACGTCTATGCGACTGTGAAAGCAATGACTTCTGGTTGATGGGGGTTTTCTCTTTTATTTTCCTGGTTTTGGTTGCTCTGCTAGTGCGGGGAAGAAGGTTGGTGAAGTTGGGTTTTGGATCTTCTGAGCTGTGGCTTTTGCTCTGCTGATTTCGGGCTTCAATTTCTTTGCGTGCATGGGTGGTTCAAGCATGTTGCCCAATCTGGTGGATGGTCATTAGCTACAGCAACGCCTGCCCATGTGCTAAGCTGAATAAAACTTGCATAGAGATGCTGATCCAAATTTTCATGTGGCTTTCGTCGATTGTGTTTGTGATTGTTGGGTCATTTTGAGCGAAAATTCTCACTCAAGTCTTGCTCGATAGTTTATTAGATGGAGGGATCATGGTGCTTCGTTGAAAGGGATAAATTTGGAATTTTCTGACCAATCCGCTTCATACAAACTCCTACTCAGCTTCTGAACTCTATAACTCTACTGGGCTCTCATTATTCTGCTAAACGCTTTCCACAAAGTAGTGTTTTGCATACAGGATATCTCTGGGATTGAAGCAGTCTCGGTTATGGCAGTGATATTCTTGTTGCACCATCTGCTATATTTTCAACGCCAAGCTTTGTTAGTTTACTGCCATATTTATAGAAGAAAGCGACTAACGTTTTTATTTTCATTTTTGGATATTTTAAATAGTGACAATAACGTCAATATGCATGATGAATTGGGCATATGTATGCTTGCAAAATGCAAACCCACAATATGCAGCAGCTTATGGTTCGGTTACAATATGGATGCCCAGGATGGGACACTGATATGGAAAGTTCCATGTAATGAGAAGTTTAGGCGTAAGGGTGAAATCAGTATTTTGAAGACGTTTATAATTAGTTTTATGATATATGATCTTGGTTGGAGGTGGGGTAGGCTCTACTTAAGAAATTCTTACAGATACTCTTTCTGCATAGAATTATACTTGATAGTTTTCTCTTCTTTTGTGCTGGGTTCTGTATTTCCCATCCAAAAAATTATAAGAATTTGTATTTTTTTTTCATTCTTCATATATCAGTGTGTGCCAAAAAAAAAAGAAAAAAAAGTTGCACATAGAGCAACCTACATATCAAATATTACATCTGCTATATGCTAATTCTTATTTTTTTGTTGGTATTATGCACAGATATATCATAGTGAAATTGGCAGAAATTCGGAAAGAAGTCCAATGCCCTATCTGTTTAGGTATGTTTTGGGATGCTAAATTATGGATAATAACTAAATATAGATTGGAAGGAAGCATTTTTATGTATTCTAGTTTTATTTGTTTGAAGAGATAGTATTGTCTGGTACCAGCAAAAAGTAAATCTCATTATCTTTTATCAAGGAAGATTGATAGTTTAATTCTAGAACATCATAGTCACTTGCATGCTAATGTTTTGTTGTATTGCAGCGTTGAGCTTAGTATATCTTGAAATGCCACTGTTTTAAGCGTTTCGTTGCATACAAGTCAGAAATAATGCGTTCTATCTGTCAAACACCACTTTTAGTTTTAGCTTAGAGGCCAATATATTGATTTGCAAAATTATGTGGTAACCACGAATTAGTAATTATAATTTTTCTCCCAAAATTGCGGTTGTTAGTTCTGCTTGCAATTGGTATGATTAAGTTATGGATTACATTCTTCAACTGAATTACTCTGTTTACATGCAGGGTCAACTTTTCATGATAAGAGCTCATAACCTGTTATTTACTAAATGAAAATACTGTCATCTCAGCTCAAGAAAGCATCAAAATCATCAAACTTCGAATTGATTTATCTCTTTTACGGGGCCATTCCTCCATTAACACAATTACATAAGTTTCTACATTAGGGTAAATTCATTGGAAGAAATAGAATTATATTAACAGGTCTTGAATATAAAGCCTTAAGAAATTTTATCTCCCTTTTTTTTTTCAGATACCTGCAATGAACATGAACTGCCTTATTGATGGGCCAATTCGCTTATTTTTTTCTTGTTTATGTTACTGTTGTGTGCTTGCACAGGTGCCTGCAGTTGCTTGTTCTGTATATTTTTGTTACAAAACATTGCTTACCTTAAAACCATTGACAGCTTCATGTAGACACCATGTTCAGACGGTGTTTATTATGCATGCCTAAATTAAAGTTCAAAGGTTGAGAGTTTTCACATCCAAGAGTCCTTCATATTAGAATTTAACATAATATTTTGCTAAATATTAAGATAGTGAATCATACTATATAGATCCAAGTACTCATTGGTCCCTTTTACACTCATACAGTTTATGGGGACCTCACCCTCTGATAGTATACTTGTAGTAAATTGTGGGTGCAGGCTAGTCCTTTTAGGCGTCTTAACTCATTTCTGGAATCCATGCCCACATATTTTCCTTTCCATTTTCATGCAATAAGTATAAACTCTTGTAACACACCTCTCCTCTCTCCCCAAACAAAGAAAAAGAAAAGAATAAATTCATTTACTCCCTTGTATCTATAGGGATCATTCGGAAAACAAGAACAGTGATGGAATGCCTGCATCGCTTCTGCAGGGAATGCATCGACAAGTCCATGCGCCTGGGGTATGTCTTCAGACGATTACCTTCTCCTTTTTTTATTCAAATGGAACATTCAAGTTAAATTTGCTTATATAGATTTTGTTTGGAGATGTCTCAAAATATTAGAGAGCTTGAACTTGTGACCTGATATGTCTATTTCATATTTAGACACGCAATCGGCCCAGTTGGAGTTCTGACTACTAGTAACTGGCTCTCACTGCAGGAACAATGAATGCCCTGCATGCCGCACCCATTGTGCTAGTCGTCGCTCTTTGAGAGATGACCCAAACTACGATGCCTTAATTGCAGCCATCTATCCAGATATTGACAAGTATGAGGAAGAGGTATGATGCTGATTTACAACAATCTTAGACTGTAAATTTTATTTTCTCAGTTACATTTTAAATTATTGCGCTGATTGTTGATTATCTCCTTTAGGAACTGGCTTTTCATGAAGAGGAGAAGGCTCGCAATAAGCAGGTGACATATTTCAATTTTCAAGTTTGTGTTAGGCATGCAAGTATTTTATTCAGGAACAGTAATTCTTTAAAAATTTAGTTAAGACTCGATTATATTTTTGTATGTGGATCTCATCTGTGTGCTATTACTGAAAGAATGCAACTTCCACATAAATTGTGATATGGCTTTTAATAAGCACTTATACTAGAATCTTTGCCCTTTCATCATTCAGGTGTTACACGTCACTATGAATTTAGTGGCAAAACTGTACAGATATTTCTTTTTGTTCCCAATTTGTTGCTCCAGGGCCTTGATCTTTAAACTTATTTTCACAGATCCAAGCTTCCATTGCCCAGACATTTCGACGACAATCTGAGGCACTAGGAAGGAAACGAACAACAGCTAAAGCAACTGCAGCTGCATTTATGAGGAGATCACAGGGTAGCTATCGAAATGCTCATTTGAGGGGGAGAAGAAACTATAGAAATGTTGCTGAACATCAAGGTTCCGATGATAACGAGGATGCAAATGGTAATGATGGAGGTAAAGACTCAACTTCTGGTGACGAGCGCACAGAACCAAGACCAAAGAGATGCAAAAGATGGGGAGGAGGTCGATCAGGATCTGCTAATGCAGATGGTGGTGATGAAAATGATTATGAATTGAACAGAGAAATTATGGGTGCATCTGCGGGGCTTGTTGGCAGCTCAGAAAGGCTTGCCTGGGGTAAAGGTGGCATGCGGAGCCATACACGGTATGGCAGTACAAGTGGTGGCAATGGCAAAAATGCCAGGAACATCCGCCTCTCTAAGTTAGTGGAGTATCTTCGGAACTCAGAAAACCACGATGATGAGGTAAGTTAGAGTTTAGACTGACGATCTTCTCATGACTCCCCTGTGATAGGGACTAAGTACCCTTTTGAGATTTCAAATTGGCAGAGATATTTGACTCTCTGAAATCCCATTATCCCATACTAATATTTCAACACACACTGCGGTCCTGGTTTCACATAAGGTTTATGAGATCATTTCATACACACACCATGTAATATGCGTAATTGGAATTTTATCTGGAACTCTGCTTCTGTATTGAGATGGTTGAATCAACGATTTCTCATATTTTCAGTTGGACATCCACCTCCTGCTTGTTTCTTTTGATGAGCAAAGAATACCCAGTTTGCAGCGGCCATATCTTTGCTGCAGGCCTACCCTGTCAGTTGGACAACTATGTCACGTAATTCTTCCACTCACTGCATTTTTCTTTTGATAGAACTTCATTATATTTCCAAATCTTCTGTCACCATATACTGAAATTGGTTTTATTTGTGTACAGTATGTAGCTCTCCGAACTGCACTGCAAGCTGATGAAGTTGAATTGTACTTGGTGAAAGAGCTGCATGCCAAATTCAGTCATTCAACTGCCACAAATGTCCTAATTTCCAAGTCTGTTGTTTTAGACTCAACCAAAGATAACCTGCAACTATTAAGAGAACAAGAAACGTTGGCAGACCTTAGAACACACAATCTCATTCCTGGTCATCTGGTGAGAACCTTTTCTAGAGTTTAAACTAGTGAAAAGAGCTAGGGGGAACTTGCGTTAAAAAAACATTTAAGTTTTGATACTTAGATATATACACATTCCCAGATTGATCTCGTTGCATGTGTTGTTCTGCAGCTTTTGGCATATCAGAAGAAATGGAACTCGAGCTGATGATGATGACAAATTGGAACGAGTGGTTCAATTCAACTTCTTTCGTTCTTTTGTTCTTTTCACTAGAATATATAGTGACCGCTCTTAATAAAGAGTGTCAGGTAGGTTTCATATTTAGAGCTGCGTTCTCTGGCATATGCTGCATACAGCGAGCAATTTAGAAGCAGATGAAAATTATCATGTCATGCGTACGAGCTTGTTACAACTGTTACATGTATTTATAGAATATGAATTTCCCTTTGTGTCTGGAAAATAATCTCTTTAATCTTGTGGTCGTCGTGTTTGATTGGTTTTGAATTTCCTGATCACCTCCCTCCTCTCTTCTCCCCACCCCTCCTTCCTACATGAAGACATGCATCCGTGTGCGGCCGGCTCCGGTTTGGGGACCTACTTTACTTGGTGCATATATATATATATATATATATATACATATATATGTCGCAGGCCACTCATCTCTTCTCTCACCCCTCCAAAATATTTAACAGCACAGCACAGCACCCATATTCAGCTCATGTCATTGACCTAACTCTAACTGTACATTAATTAAACAAGCACAAATGAAAACTCTCATTTCAAACCTGGGTTGTAGGGATCATGCTACACGTGGCAGTCACGTTACATTCACAGAACGGAATTATGGATATTGTGAGAGATAAAGAGAATCTTATAGCATCTCCAAGAGAGATGTCAAATACCAAACATCAAATTTAAATTTGATGGCTGATGTTGCAATTTGACATCTTATACAGCTTTACACTCCACCCGATATGTCAAATTAAATTATTATTTTATTACGTTTTAGTGTTGATTTATTTTTAATATTCATTTGACATCTTACTTTTGAGATGTCAAAAATAACATCTCAATCTCTAGCCTTCATTCCACATCAACTTTGACACATCGGTTAGAGTGATGTGAGACGTTAATTATAACTGTTAAATGTCTATGTAGCACATTTGACACATAGATTGAAGATGCTCTTATGTAGATGTTTTACAGTGAGTTTAAGCCTTCTTTGGTGGCCGGCTTGAATTGAATATTAGACAGACAGACTCCACCTAATTTTGTTTTTATTTATTATTATAGCTAATTGGTTCCCTCTCTCCTTGGCTTGCACAAAAAATCAGATGAAGTGGGTGAACCTCCATTCCAATGATTCCACTTGATTTTGATTTAGCCAATACAACGGTGATCACTTGAGTGAGTGAGATGGCCAAATATAATAACACACAAGGAAGAGGAGTAGGAGCCACTCAACACATTCATTATTGATTATGTCATTGTTTATGATGAAGAAGATAATGTTTTGTATCTTTCCAGGTGTGACCCCACTCACCAACTGCCACGCAGCCTCTCCCTTTCATCCTTTTCTTCTTTCTTATCCATTCACATGTAGGTCCTACCATACCATGGGACATGGTCATGGACCCCTCCTCCCAAATTCCAATGCGATTCTGATGCTCGTTTTAGAATGTACTAATGTAAATAAACAAATAATCACAAGATACACCCACACAAACTTAAACGGATCATTAGTAAATTAGCAGAAATATATTTTTATTTATTTGATGATAAAATTGGAAAGCAACTCACGGTTAGATCTGACTAAACAAAGAGTCGTCCACCGTGCCAGTTTTTTACTTAAACAACGCTACACACACATTATACATACGTAATTAATAATGCTTAAAGACAGTGAGTGAGTGATTGAGCTCTCTCTCTCTCTCTCACTCTCTCTCACACAGAAAGCCAAACAAGGCCTTACATTACTTACAAAAATTAAAACGACACAACCTAATCACAGAACAATCCAGTCCAGTCCAAACCACCACCAAGGCACGTGACAAACGCAGAAATGGAAAAACGACACTATTTACAAGCAACCCCCGGTAGCTACTAGCTGGTGTTTGCTCTCATCAGTTGCTTGCTTGTCACCTTAGCGATGCTTGCTCCTGGTCTCCCCACTGTAGAGCCTGTTATATGATCACGTATATCAGATAATATATAAGATCTAATTGAGTACATAGATCTGTGATCAACAGATAGATCTATGACGAACGTACGGCTCGGATTGATTTGTGTAGAGATTAAGAAGTTACGTACCAATCATAGACAGTGGGAGAGTTGGGCTGTGGCTTGTCAAAGACCTGGTTGCCCATGGTTCTGGTGGCAAGGTTGCTGCCTGGGTGGAAAACACTCCTCCAAACGTTGTCCTTAGCACGAGCTGAAGCTGGTGTTACTGGTGTTCCTGGGGTTACTGGTGTTCCTGGGCTCATAGGCATCGCCAACTTGCTGCTGCTGCTTGTCTCTCCCTCCACATCTAAAACAAAATATATATGTATATATATCAAATTTAATCTAAACCCAAAAAACCATATGATATATGGAAACTACAATTAAAAAAGAGACAAACTTTATGTCACATATATATGTAGCACCTTTGATGTTCAAGGGTTTTGGGGTGACCTTCCTAAGCTTCCCAAGCCCGCGTTCAGGCTGAGGTCCAGCAACAATGTCATCCCAAAGCTTTTCAAGCAGAACCATTTTTTGCTCACTCTTTTCTTTCTTTTCCTTCTCTGTCTCTGTCTCTGTCTCTCTTTCTCTCTCTAATAGCTCATGGTCTAGAGGCTTCTATTCTATATATAATGCAACTGGAAACCTAAAATATCTCATCTCTCATTAAAAATTTGCTAATTGGGGCTTTCTTTCTTTTTTCTACCACCAGGCAAGTGGCATTGATTTTTTAACGAGGGATTACAGTGGACAGTGCAAAAGAGGGGCACTAACGACAATTGTGGGTGAAATTGACTATAGGAAACCCGAGAGTGGAGAAAGGAGGGATGAGAGACGGATAAGAATGAAGGACTTGGTAAAACTGGGCCCCGCTAAATAATATCCTCCATCCATCAAACACCTAATATAATATCTATTGGCTTGGCTTCACAAAGTGTACTCGTCTTACTTACTATACGAATACTTGTCCTATTCATCAGAGCAATGTGGGGTCCACAGTGATCAATGATCATGGGAGACAGACAAGAATTTGGAGATGACACGTGTCCTGTAATTTGGTCTCACTTTCCGGGTTAAATGTCCATGCACTAGTTTTGGCTTTTAGGAGAATGTTTCAACGTGAATGTTACGTGGTGTTATTTAGTTCCTCATATTACAATGATATTTTTTATCTATTGATACTGTACCATGATTCATGAAATATCAACTCTCTCATCAGACAACATATAACCTAACACCACGACGCGACGGCTTGACTCTTACACCCAAATCTCAAGGGGGCTAGAATGAGGGATTATAGTGAGGGGTCCCGAAGTTGGATTGAACACCTCATTATATTAAGCTTCCCCAAATTCTTCTCTTTTTATTTTTATGTGATGGTAATCTGTTTTCTTAATATTATAAATAAATATATATAAAAATCTGTCCTTATGATATGCAACAGAGCCCACATTTCATGTTGGGCTACTTCAGAAAACTGAGCCGAAAGAAGTTAAAAGAATTCGGTCCGCCGATTCACTAATAGAGAGACACATTTTTTAGCCCTAGTTTTCTGTGCAGTTGCCTTGCCCATTTAAGACCTTCTCTATGGACCGACACCTGGGCTAGTAATAATAAGCTGGTGCACCAGTATAAGCCCACAGATTTCTTCAAATAACCAAATTAAAAAAAAAGAAAAAAAGAACAAAAAGAAATCATTTTATTTTTTTTCCTTTGAAGAGGAACTCAAGAAATTAAAATGAATAAATAAATAAACATGACACTAATTAACTGATTTAATTAACATGCCAATGCCATCCTCGATAACATCAGCTACCTAAAGCAAAGTTTTGTAAGCATGCATTAAAAAGATCAAAAGCATCAGAAGAGACAAAAGTTCAATTTTTAAGGCTTTTTGGTGAACAAACACACAGCAGATTCAATGGTCGGCATTCGGCTAACACTACAACATTTAACCCAAGCCAAGCCAACCCTATTATTTTACCTTTTTAACAGCAGGCAATTCCTTGGTATTATCCGCGGCCCTACAAAAGATCACCTGCAAGCCTACAAGCTGCCTGCCTGCATATCTTCAAGCATTTTAAAATTTGCCGCAAAAAGTATCTCACACTTCCACATTTTACACATTTTTAATGAATCACAAATACATGTAATGAATATTCTGCATTGTTTCTTCATCATCTCGTTATTTCCAAGCTGCCTATATACCATCCAAAACAATAGAAAATGAGAACAATAAATCATAGCTACTAACATGGCAAACGAAGCAGAGATGAAAAACAAACAAACAAGACAGAACAAATAGTTAAATCCACACTCAGCCCCCTTATCCAGAACTCTATATATATAACCCTGGAAGCTTGGAACCAGAATGCATCCTAGAAACAATGGCAGCCCGCCTGCAAAACAAGATTTCAATGGATGCTGCAGCTGATAGCTGTTCACTTAACTCTTTTTCGTTTTCTGGCCTCCTGTGTGTTCAGGATCAGCAATCCAAGTCCCTCCCTACTAACAGAGCCAATCAAATTCACAAACAAGGCACAGAGTTTGAGTTTGGTCACACTACATCACAGTCCATTGTGACCGATCCCATCAAGCATTACCCAGCAGACCTGTTAATCTCAAATGGTCAGATCATACCAAAAGCAATTGTACTTCAATCAACACAGCATGTGCCAACTAACCAGCCCTGCATCAAAGATTCAGCAAGAGCAGCCCGTACCAGTAGCAAGAGATCAACTGACAACACCAGTGGCACAGAAACTGCTAAACCAAATCCAGAATTTGGAAACCAAGCGAAAAAAGAAAACCCTGCGCCAAGATCATGGTTTGGCCAGAAAATATTCAAGTCATTTCTCTTCCCTTGCAAGGAATGCCGAGTTTCTAAGCCAACGCAGAGAGGACACAGAATCCCAGAAGAAAATGGGAAGTTACATTGACATGAGGCTCCTTTTTCTTTTCAATTCTTTCTATTTCAGCTAAATCAAAAGTCCATTTCAATTAGTTGCGATGAACAATTTAGATTTGGAAGTGAGGCTTCAATATAACCTGTTGTTTCAGTTACCAACATTTAATAAAATCTAAGACATGAATCTTTACTCAAGTATGATCACTGAACGACTAGATGATTGATCACACAGTTGTTACACAACTGCATCTAGAGTCTCAACAGTCTGAGGTCACTTAAAAGTCACTAATACAAGTCTGCATACAGCAGTTAATGCCATATACTGAGAAACCAGCCCCAACTTCCGCTTCCTCATATGACCCAACTCATTTTATAGAGAGTATACTTACGAGCTACCAGAACCACCTGAAATTAATAGAAAATGTTCTAAATTATCTGATATCTTACAGGAAATGTGGGATTTGTATATAGATTTCTAAGGTCCTACAGTCATTCATCACATAGAGCTGCCTTTCAAGCCTCTATTTCCCCCCTCTCTCTTTCACTCAATTCTGAATCTTGACCATGTCAGGGCTATTTGCTGAAACTTGTTAGGCCCTTGATGCCATAAAAAATTACTTTGATTTGGGTTGAGAAACCATACATCAAGTCAAATCTAACTCGTTCTTGAGATGGGAAAATGGCAAAGAATTACAACATGATTGATTTACAGTTTTCGCAAATTGCCCTGATTTAGTAGCAACTATCGTACCTCAACAGCAATCCCATGCGTAAGTAGATTTCAGGGTTGAGGACTTTGAGGGGTTTTCAGGTGCAAAGTGTGGACATTCACACTTGAAAGTTTACCAGTGAAATTTTACTAGCGAGCTATCCTCATAGCCTCATAGGGACTTTAGTTACAGAATTTCTAACTTTTATAATTCATCCGTTTCTATTATTTCCACATTGATAAACTAGTTTCATGTACATAATATTTGCAGGAGCCTCAATTTCTTACGGAGGTTCTATATTTTTAGATATGGAAAATGAAAGGAGGAAAGTGAATAACTAGGTGCCCAAGAATCTAAGTACTAGAATTTCCATAGTTTTAACACAGAAATCCTTATGTACTAAATTATAGCTACTTCAGTTTTGACTTGAATAACTGAAATGCCATCAGCTTATAAGCTAGACACCTGTAAAACCTATAATATTGCAATCAAAATCCAATCCTCTGTTGTCAGACAATTAATGAAACTTCCGAACATTTTAGATCAAACACCAAAATAAAATTCACAGCACAAGAATTAACGACATGTCGTAGAAAAATTAGCATGTACCTCAACAATGAAACATATTATCCATAGAAGAATCTGAAAGCCACAATTACAGATCATGATGACCAGAAAAGAGGATGGAGGAACAGTAAAACTTCAAATTCCGATGCTAGCAATATTATAAGTCAACTTTGACTTCAGAAATTCAAAATAAACATCTTTTGATATCTACACTATCAGACCATACAGCTTATTTTTATTTTTCATTATCCTAATGAAAATCTGCCGCACTATGCCAAATTCTTTGTAGCCAGTAAAATAAGGTATATGCAAATTATACCCAAGATACTGCAGAAGTGATCAATTACATATCATATCCATCCTAACTCAGGGAAGACTGATATGGAAACTGTAATTTCAACTTCATGGGTCCCATACAGGTATCCTTAGTTCCCAAACCAAAAGGATTCATTTTACCGTGTCACTTCACGGCAGAATTCAAGCAGTGAAAGAATTAAAGACTGACCATAGATAGACTAAAACCCAGCATTTGGGAACTTGCTAAAATTTGGAAAGACCCTCAATCTGGGTTAATTCAAGCCATAAGGCAATTTTACTTGCATAAAAATGAAACGAATTATGACCCTTTTTTTTTCTTTTTCTTTTTTTTTTCTATATACAGACTAAGACAAATTCTAGTCATGACACCTATTATCTCCAAATAGATGAACTGAGAGTAACAGAAATAATTTTTGAAGCAACACATCTTATAAGAAAATTAACAACTCTACAAAAACTCTGTTCTAATTATGTAAAAGAAAAGGGTTATCGAACAAACTGTCCATGACCTCCAATTAGTAAACTGTGTAGGAAATTCTGCAAAAGAACAATATCTTGGCCTAACATCTCAAGATTTGCCATATTTCTCAACATATCCCTGCAAATGAAAGACGTAGCAGTCAGATTCCAGGAACAATTTCACATTCAACCCAATACCTGTGTCCTCACATTATCACTAAAATGATAAAATAAAAAGCTAACCTCAACAAGCTTTGAGATTTTTGGACGGCATGAAGACAGGTATTGGACAACTGTTTCTACGGTAGGTGGGATTTGTTGGGGCTGAAAAGCACTGAGAACCTTCTCTACTGCTTTCTTAACTATCTTGTTATGTGCATCTTTGCTGAGACAACCTTCACGCCATTTTGGTTTTAACAATTCTTTTACTAACTCTACAAGAGCCGCACGGAAATGCCTCAGAGCTTTTGATTCTTGCTGTACATCCCCATCTGTCACATGTTCACCATCCACTTCATTGTTTTCTCTAAATCTATCTACTGTTATGTCTTTTTGTGTCTAGAACTGTCACTCTGAGGTCTAGAATCACCATATGAACTGGTTTTATGTGGTTTTGTACTACCTTTGAGATGAGAGGGCCCCGAGAGATTTTCTTCTATAGTCATGGTTCCATTTTGGCAGACAACAGAAGCCCCCACTGTCTCTGCTTCAGTTACAGGCGAATTATGTTCGCGTGTATAGCAGCTATTATCTAATACCTTTTCATGACATGTATTATGTGAAGACATAGAGTTTGTATCACCATCACAAACCGGACGCATAGTCCCACTAACAGATTCACCATGTATTTGATGATGCAACTTGTTCCCAATGGCAGCCTCTTCAGAATAGAAAGAAGCCTCAAAGGAGATGTTTGCTAACTTAGGTAACTCAATGCTGTCACGAAGAGGGTCATACTGGCTCCCTGAAGATGATAGAAATGCAGGAGGAAGAATAAAAGATGGCCGGAAGGGTACAGATGGCTCCCAATCATTTGAAGAAATTTTTGTTTGAAGTTTATCAGAGCGCAATGACACACTGGTAGAAGGCAACTTCTTCAATTCAGAACTAGAGAAGGGAGAAGAGCTTTTCAGTAAGGGAGATGATCTAGTAGAATAACGGTAATCTCTATTTCGGTCTAAAAGCTTTTGAGTACCATGAGGACTTGCATCTAAACAGGAATAACTAGAAGGCAATGAAAATCCGGTCCAAGATGAAATACGGCTAGCTGGAAACGAGCCATTAGTTAAAAGATTACTTGAGTTTGAATTCAAGGAAAGGCTCACAAGTGGGGAGTTATGATCATTGTGCATACGCTGGCTCCAAATTCCAGCTGGTTCCTCCATACAATTCGACTGAGAAGTGGGATTCCCTCTAGAGTACTTGCCTGATGACGCAGTAGATCCATTAGAAAAAAATCCAGGCTCAGGATGCAAACCACTCATATATCTAGAATTATCTTTATGAATTGGTGAGTTGGTATAACCATCAACGGGCCAGTTACGTGCATGACCATCCCTTCCTGCATCCTTAAACGAGGAGAGAAAGACTTGATCATCTTTGGATGAATGCAATTTCTGTGCATCAGTGGACTCACCCATATCTGATTCCCCTCCTGGAACAGATGGAAACTTATGGTTTTCAAGAGACTGATGCTGTCTCTGAATTCCTTTGTGTTCCGAAAATCGGATCTTTTCAGAAGAGAGATGTGAAGAAGTCAGAGGGTCAGGAAAACCAGGTGACCTTGATCTCTCAGTTATGTCTCTTAGACCTGTCACAGTAGAAGGTTGTTAATAAGAACATCACAGGAGAGTACTTTCTTGACATGCAAACCCAAGAAGATACATTATACCTTCATCAGGCTGGACTTCTCTAGTACAATTTGCAGCAGCAACATCTCTTTGTGGATGAGTACTATTCGGACTGCCTTTTATATGGACAAACTTACATGAAGTACCTCTAATGCACCAACCTTTAGCAAAGAAGTCACAGATAATAGCTGGGCGTTTGTTTCGATCACTAGTCTCAGCAACAGGAGACATAATTCTGGTCACTTTCTCAGAAGCAGCTGATCTGAAAAACTTGATGGTTAGTGGGATTTGTACACGTTTGATTGGAAAAAGTTAATAATTAGCTACCAGAAAAACAGGGAGTGGCCAACACTTTGACCCTGTGACAAGTAAATTTCGAAAGTGCACTTGCTTTGGCTCTATAAAAATAAAATTTTGAAAGTATATAGGTCCGGCATATCACCTCACCTTGAATCCATTTGCTTTCTATCATTCCTTGGATGTATGTCCCCTTGTTTCATCTCATCCTCTGGATTCATAACACTCTTAACCTCCTTACCTAAGTGATCCCTCATCAGATTTACATTAGCCATCTCTTCCCCAGCAACACCAGATGAGTTGGAGGCTTTAGCATCCATAACCTCACTATGACGCAAATATGCTTTTCCATCATCATGCGATTCATTTGAGTGTATACCATCAAGTCCCTCGGGCTTATAATCTTGTCTAACATCTACACAAAACAAAAATAAAATCAAGTATTGCCGCCTTGACAGAGAGAAAGAAGGCTGATAGATATTCATAACAATCAAGTAAATCAAGTTGGCCTTTAGCTAAATTTGGGCAATAGTTTCAATGAGATTGGACCAATTCATCATTCTAGATTAGAGAGATAGGGTTTAACCAAATAACCGGTTGAAACTGGAAGGCTCAAAGTGAAATGCGCAAGACAAAACCTTACTTTACCAATTTTCACAAGTATTGGCGGCTCTTTCCAAACTCCTCAAAACAGTGGCCCGCATATCAGAGTTCCGAGTTTATAACAATTCTTCATAATCAAATTACATTACTTTATCTCACCTAAAGAATTTCCAATTGCTCTGAAAGCACTACATTAGCACGAATTGCTCCAATCAAGCCACAATGAACAGTATGAATCTAAATGCAAACCTAAAATTGAAGTGGAAAAGGAGCAAACGTATGCATATGAGCAACAGCATCGAAATTCAAACAATCAAAGATTAAACAAAAAGAGTTTGGAAAACAAGTAGGTTAATCAAAGAGGTAAATAACCGTTATGATGATCACGAGCTTGAACCGGTGAATCAGAAATATCCATATCCACATCCACTTCAATCCTTTCTTCTTCCATTATCTCTTCCTGTTCTCCCTCCACCTCTTCTTCTTCTTCTTCTTCTTCCTCCTCCTCCTCCTCCTCCTCTTCTTCTTCTTCTTCTTCTACTATTTCGGGGTCTTCTTCGTCGTCGTCATCTTCTTCTTCTTCAATTTCTGGGTCTTCTTCTTCTTCTTCTTCAATATCGGCGGAGTCGGAGACTTCGCCTGGGGGCGGAGATTGGTCATCGTGAGGCATTCTGGGTGCGGCTTCTTAGGTTGGTACGGTACGCCTTCGTTGAGCTTTGTTGTGGGGACGCTAAGACTGAGCTTGCTTCACTGATCTCCGTTGGCCAGGCAAATGGGATACGTGTAGTGCTGTGATTATTCCCGGGTACATATTGATCGCTGCAGTGTGATACATATAATTCAAAAAATATATATACATGTTAAATATAGTTTAAAACTTTATATGATCTCTGTTGAAATAACGTCCGACTCAAATATTAATCATTAGGAGTTTTGCATGACTCCGAATGATTGTCCAGTCGGACCATGAAAATTAACCTTAACTCAAATTCGTGCTAATGAATCACAAAAGTTCTCAAGTAATGGTGAGATGTCACCAATAACTTATTTTCCAAGATTACAATGCCATCACCTCTTATTTTTCCATTGTAAATAGACCGGAAATAAGGGTGAGCAAAAAACCATAAAATCAGTGAACCGGGTTCATGACAACAACAAAAAACCAATGTTGACTAAAAAAGAGAGTCAACTCCAAAGAAAACAACACAAGTTAACCCACAATGCGGAAAAAAAACAAAAAAACAAAAAAAAGGAATATAAGATTTCTATACACATAATATATACATTTTTACGAATTTGCAAATAGGGATACTTGAATACTTAGCATATTAACAATTAGCTACCCATCTAACGAACGAAGACACAATTGATTGATTGTAACAACTACACATACAATGAATTTTTTATTTTTTTTTGAGAGGCACATACAGTGTATTTTAGCAAAATGTAAAACAAAAAATTATATTCCTAATTATCTTTAGCTTAATTTGGTATTTCTTTTTATTTTATTTTTTGTCTTATAATTTGGTCTTTATTGTTTCCTGAAAAAAAAAATTGAAAAAAAAGTCTTTATTGTGGACCCGGCCTTTCAACGTCGGACAATCTTTAACTCCACTTGCCCAAAATGATATCCTAAGCAAGACCCAAAACTAATACTAGGAGGAGTCAGCCTCGGAGCCCAATCAGCCATTGTATTTCTTTTCCAATAAATGTGATTTATTTTGCAGTCCATAATATGCCCAGTATATCAAGGACAGAGTTAGGATTTCAAAATAAATTGAGTTGGATTTATACATACGTTATGTGACTCAGTAGGTTCTGTCCGTGCAGCACAATAACTTGCAAGCACACTGTGTTGCACGAACAACGAATCCCAACATACAAATTAGGAGAATGAAAATGAGTCTACATGCATGTATAGTATACAAAAGAATTATACTAATTGAAGCAATATGAATGCTCAAAGGTCCTACCTAACTACAAAATGATATCAAGTCGTCCCCAGAAAATGAAATTTCATTCTGGCATGTTAATGAACCTTAAACTGGTCCATGATCAATGGAGACAGCAAGACGTCTGTATCTCATCAGTTTAAGGATGACCTACACTAATAATGCAGCCATTCATATTTTATTTAGAGCATTATGTAATTTTGTTCATAAAAAAAGAAAAAGAAAGTGGAGTGGCACATAGGGTTGCGAAGTTGGTATTGCATATTAGCTCACATGGATTATGGTTGAGTTGATTTCTGGTGATTAGTTGGCCTACTGCCTTAATCACAAAAGCGTCTCCGAAGATTGCGCACCAAGTCATGCTTAAAGGAGTCAAAGTTCAGAACTTGGGGTCCTCCCGGACCATCCCTCAACCTCAACCGTCGGATCCATTCAACCTCACACATCCAGAATCCAATCTTCTCTAAGTAGAAATTGGAATAAATTTGTTTACCAAAATATAAATCCCATCCATATAAGCAAAAGTCACCAAAATTGAATAAAACTTGCATATAAAAACCAACTGTCCTCGTCTCTCCTTTGTGTTTTTCCAAAGTCTCCCTAATTATAATTCCTAATCGGGATTGTCAATTTGATAATTGCACTTTGGCAACAGAAAAAATAAATAATAAAAAAGTCCACCCCGTGAACTCTCTCCACGCTTAGCGTTGTCACGTGTTTTGTCGTCTACACGAGAGTGTGGCGTGCGGTGTGGGCTCCAACCCAACCATCGAACCATTAAGAATCTGTGTTTACTAGACCCAACTATCCATCTGCACCGTCCATTAATGAAAGAAAAGGAGATCATTAAAATATCGCCAGCACATTAATATCTCCTCTTTTCACGAGTCAACAAAATCAAGAAAAAAAAGGAAATTAGACACCAACTCCAACTTTAATTCAGCACTAGTGACTAGTTGCACACACGTCCAATCCAATTTTACTCTCTCTCGCTCTCTCTGTCTTTCTTTCTCCTTCTGTGTGGAAATCGGAAAGCAAATACAGTATATATGAGAATGAGATTTTGCATAGTGGAGAAAGAAAAGGCCAACGGCACATGCGCGTAGCGGTGTTTCACAGCTAAAACAATGCTTAGGTTTATTCTTCGTCTTCTTCTTCTGCCATGGCTTCTTCTCCTGCTCAGCTCAGTCTTCTCTTCGGCTTCGGCTAAACCTGGTGAGTGCTCACTGGCATCTTTTACTTATTCGCTTCAGTTCGATTACATTGCCGTTTCTTGATTCCCTGTATATCTTGATTCTTGAGTTCTTAACAATTCGGAGTCAAATTCAGTGGCATTGGAGTGAATTTAGCCACTGAATTTAGAGAGAGAACAATGAGTTTATAGCGTAGTGGTGCTAATTCATCGTTTTTGGTTTTTGGTGTAAATTTTAGCGTTTGCTTTGGTGGAGATCTTGTTCTTATGCTCGATTCTTTTTGGCATTGATGATTCAAAGAATGGAAATGAATCAGAGAGTAAAAATGGAAATAAGTAGTACTTTTTTACTCTTTCTGGAAAAAAAAATATTTGTTTGTTTGATGTTGAAGGAAAGTCAATGAGTTTGAATTCCTTTTGGAAAAGGAAATGAATCTGCGTTTCAGTTGTGCCAATTGCAAACACAGAACGGCATAAAACAAGGCTTAAAGTAGGTTATGTTTCTTATGTATGATGATAACCAATTTTACCGAGTTATAGAGAAAGCAGGAGCATTGGCGTATTAATGGCGGATGGTGCATTATGCTCTTTGGCCTCTCAACATTTTAGATGAATTTTCTATTTTTGTCTAATTTTTTTGTTTTTTTATAAATTGAATAAGGTGGTTGCAGTTCAATTACAGAATCTAGAAAATTATACATAACAAAGAAAAACACTATAGTAATAGGATTTTCATGAAAGTAGCATTTTTGTATAAGTTGCTGCTTTCACATCAGTGCTTATAAAATGAATACTCAAATTTAAGAGAAGATTAATTCTCTAGTAGTTGTTGTTTAGTGAAGTTGGTATTATTATTCACACACCATCATGCAGACAACACATGCTTATAAGATTAGAGAATATTACTCAGTTCTTTATTTTATCTTCCTGTGCTTATTCCGGTTAAAATTTTGGTTTTAACTTGTGTGTTATGCTTCTGAGAACAGCACCATTTGCTATGCGCATAAGCTGTGGAGCTCGTCAGAATGTTCATACAAAGCCAACCAATACACTGTGGTTTAAGGATTTTGCATATACAGGAGGCATACCTTTTAATGCAACACGCCCAAGTTATATCAGTCCTCCACTTCAGTCACTTCGGTATTTTCCCCTGTCTGAAGGCCCTGAAAATTGTTACATCATCAATAGAGTTCCCCGGGGACACTACTCAGTAAGGATCTTCTTTGGATTGCTTGCACAACAGAACTATGACAGTGAACCTTTATTTGATATTTCTGTCGAAGGCACTCAGGTTACTTCATTAAAATCTGGTTGGAGTAGCCACGATGATGAAACATTTGCTGAAGCACTAGTGTTTCTTAAAGATAGCTCTGTGTCTATCTGCTTCCATAGCACTGGTCATGGGGATCCAGCAATTCTTTCCCTTGAAATTCTCCAAGTTGATGATAAAGCATACCAACTTAGCCAGCAATCGGGTCAAGGAATAATCCTTAGAACAGTAACAAGATTGAGCTGTGGTACTGGGAAGCCAAAGTTTGACGTAGATTATGGCGGGGATCATTGGGGCGGGGACAGATTTTGGAATTACATAAAGACCTTTGGTCAGAGTACTGATACAGCCCGATCTACTGAAGCCAACATTAAGCAGGCTTCAAATCCACCAAACTTTTATCCAGCAGCTCTTTATAAAAATGCAATTGTTGGTACTTCTAGTCAGCCCGATTTAGAATATACAATGGATGTGGATCCCAATAGGAACTACTCAATTTGGTTACACTTTGCTGAGATTGATTCTACAGTCACTGGTGTAGGGCAAAGGGTATTTGATATCCTGATAAATGGTGACACTGAATTTCAAGATGTGGATGTTATCAAAATGAGTGGGGACCGTTATGCTGCTCTTGTACTTAACACAACTGTCGCTGTAAGCGGGAGGACTTTAGCAATAACCTTGCGCCCTAAAGAAGGTGATCATGCCATAATCAATGCCATTGAGATCTTTGAGGTTATAATGGCCGAGTCGAAAACTGTACCAGAAGAAGGTACATATGCACCCCTGTTTGTTCTTTTATATCCAAGTTTCTTGCAACCCTCACTAACACCTAGCAATATATACATAGTGTACACATACTCATTTCATTAAATAATAGTTAGACATGTAGAATTGCAGTCTTACGAATGTACTCTTTGGTCTTGTCACATATCACTTAATATCTTCTTCACTTATACAATTGCTTTGAAAACATTCTTAACTTGTGTTACCTATTGGAGATTGCTTTTATTGCGTCTTATTTTTCACTAAAAGCTATTGAATGTCTCTAGTGGTAGTCAAACACTATGGAAACCGTCGTTACTAATTCATCACCCTTTTCTCTTTCCACACACCAAAAAAAAAACAGTTAAGGCGTTACAGACTTTAAAGAAAACATTGGGGCTTCCTGTTCGGTTGGGGTGGAATGGTGATCCATGTGTTCCTCAACAACATCCATGGAGTGGAGCAGACTGCCAATTTGATAGAACTAGCAGCAAATGGGTCATTGATGGACTGTAATTTCTTGAGCCTTCACCTCATTTTTTTTAATTTCCTTTTCCTTTTCAATCTTATTTCTAATTTGTCTTTCCAATTTGTATGTTCTTTATACTGCTCATGTGCTTCAATGGCTACCCTCTTCATTTTCTCACTGCAAGAATTTCACTCTTGAATATGTAAAGAACTTAGTTATCTGTTTTTGTTCAGAAAATACTGTGATGAAGGTATTAAAATAATAATGTAAGTTTGAGTAGTGTGCCTTGAGACAACTATAGGACATGGACAGCTGGTATACCAGTTGAGATATTTCGTTAATTTTTTGTGATTCATGTATAAGGAAGTTGTAATGTTTGAAGTTTTCTTTTGAATTGAAAGTACACAACAGAAGGTGTCAAAACAAGCGACTGAACCCACCAAGAATCAAATTTATCTTTCTTTCTTTGGTGTGAATGATCAGTTTTCTTTTGGAAGTGGAGGAGAAAAAATAGGAAAGCTTTAGTTGCAATATCAAATACTTATTTGCTTATTTGACAGGGAAAGTATTCGCCCAACTATGGCATCATGTCCACATTTTCCACTGTATACTGACATTGTCTGGCTCCTTCATTATTTAGCCTTCATCTGTACCCCAAATTTGAGTCCTGAATTTCTGATGGCCTCTTGCCAGCTCAGTTACTCTTTGATTCTATAGAGATGAGCTATTGCTGTAGAGGAGTTCTTTTGAGCTGTTGAATACAATTAGCAATTTTTTTAGAAGACCTTCTAGTCTTGGAAGTGAATACAAATATCAATTGATACCTGACCAAGGGTTAGTCTTCACAAAATGTAGTCCTAATATGCCTGAGCCACTTGAATTGCTTCCATTTTGGCGTAATAGTTGGTCTTGTTTCTTTTTCCCCGAGTTTTATTCATTTCACTGAATCTGAATTCTAGCACCTTTTATGTTCCAGCTTTATTTCCTACTACATAAAGTCCAGTTGTTATTCTGTGCACGGTTGAGTGATTTGCATTTCAGATTACCTTCCAGCGTAGTCTTGAGAATTACTCTTATGATGTCTGAAGAAGGCCCCTCGGCATTTGTGTGTTCCATTGTAATATGAACATTTTTGGTAATTAATGTTTACCTCTGCATGCACAGGGGTCTTGACAATCAAGGTCTGAAGGGATTTTTGCCAGATGGCATATCAAAATTACATCATCTTCAGAGCCTGTGAGTTTCTTTCTAAGATGTGGTAGCTTCTATTTGTCATGTTAACTTAATTCACAATATATATATATACACACACACCTGATGCCAGACTTCAATGGAATAATAGCTCGGCATTGCTTTTGTTTATTTATTTATAAAATGCAACATCTAGCTAGTCAAATGTTTTACAGCCGTTTCAACCCATGTTTGTTTACCTTGTGGATTTACAGAAATTTGAGCGGAAATAACATTCATGGAACAATTCCATACTCCCTTGGAACAATAACAAGCTTAGAAGTACTGTAAGTGCAGCTTATATTCTCTTTTCATAAAGTGTTGATGATGTTTTATTATTTTGTTTTTTTCTGGACGGCATATCCAATGAACTCAATTATTATTATTACTATTATTTTTTGGACGAAACCAATGAACTCAATTATTGTTGTGATTTGCGTGTTCAATTCCATTTCGAGAAAGTTTCCTCAAGTTTTATTTTTTGTTTTTGAATCAACGTAATCATTGAAGAATACACATGCTCCTTCCTTGGCAGGGACCTCTCCTTAAATTCCTTCAATGGATCAATTCCTGAATCCCTCGGACAGTTGACATCATTACAAAGACTGTAAGATATATCATCACGCATCTTATAAACCTATGGAATTAAAATGTAATAGAAAGAAGACTCTAACCTATGTTGTCATTGTGTAGTAATCTCAATAGCAATTCTCTGTCCGGAAGGGTCCCAGCTGCTCTAGGAGGAAGGCTTTTACACAGAGCTAGCTTCAAGTATGATTTAGTCAGTAATAATCTGTACATATTGTTGGCTTTTATGCACAATGACATAAATAGAAATGTATCGATACGAATTCTGAACTCCATATCTGGCTTGCATGCAGCTTCACTGACAATCATGGTCTTTGTGGTATACCTGGACTGCCTACATGCGGGCCACACCTTACTGCTGCGGCAAAGATTGGAATTGCATTTGGTGCGTTGTTGTTGTTCCTACTTCTTGTCATCTGTTCAATATGCTGTTGGAAAAGGCGGCAGAATATCCTCCGAACGCAGCAACTTGCTGGTAAGGATACAATGGTGCTGATAATAAAAAAGACTGAAAATCAGCCATATTAGCATAAGTAGACATTATGAATGCAAACTATGATCTACTTTTATTTGTGCAGCAAGAGAAGCTCCATATGCAAAGGCAAGGACCCATTTATCACAAAACATTCAGATGAACCGGCAGCATAATCATCATGCCCAATCTCGAACGGCAGCTGAGACTGGGCCCATCTTGCTTTCATGATCAGACAGCTTTCAGCCCAAAGCCCAATATAGTTGGAAGTTTGATCCAAAGCACTTGGTCTCTTGGCAATACTGCTTGCATTGGCCCTCTCACTTACACAATATCACATCCCTCATTGGGTGCCCGTATATGCTACACAGAAAGAAAAGAAAAAAAAATACTGTACATTGCTCCAATTCTTTCCTCTTCTTTTCAAATTTGCCCAAGTTTTGTAAAACCTAAAGGAAGTGATGCATGTAGAAATCAAAATGTTCCCATCCCATCCTTCCACAACTTTAAACATATGGAGTGTAGAATACTAATTAAAACTAGTCTGTATGAGAAGTCTTTTAAGAAATTGTTTGAAATTTGATTCAGAAAACATAGAAGGGGCATGATGAGTTGGAGGGAAAATTTCAGACATGCCCCATTCAGATTCTGACGATCGATGTGTACAAATCATGAGGACCCAAATTATGATATTGTACTACATAGCGCTCCCATACTAAAGTGAAAGAGAGCATTTATATGAGAAAAAGTTACGAAGTGTCCGAATCTAAGGGTAAATGCCAAGGGAGTCTAAAAGTGGAAATTACATTAACAGCTTGTTCCTGCTAATGGGTAAGGTAAGAGATTCCAGTAAAATTGCAAAGGTGGAAAACTGAGAGCCTGGTCAAAAAGCACAATCCCCTAACTCTATATACGTGTCACAAGGACAAAATTCAGAGATCCAATTTGATAAAATTGAATAAAATATGATAGTTGTCAGGCTCTCGTGAGTCTGCTTAGATCACCGTACGTTTATTTCCATCATAGTGGTCAGTGGTCAGTGGTCAGTGGTCACACCCACACCCAAACCCAAACCCCAGTCAAACACGGCATTGACGCCAAAGGCATTCAGACGCAGCAGCAGAAGCAGCAGCCCATCTAACCCAAACCCGACCCAACCCAACCCAATTCAACTTAACTCGCCCCTTGTCTCCTGCAACTCGGACACCGCCTCTCTGTTCGCCACGTGGACTCCGTCCTCACTACCAAACAATCTGCTTTCCATCCAACTCACTACCCGATACGCCACCCCTGCCCCCACTTCCTTAATTTTATTTTCTTAAATTAAATTTCAAAAATAGAAAAAATAAAATAAAAAACGAATTAAGTGGCAGGCGCCGCTGAGCCTGACCACAGCGCCGTACAAAATGGGTAGGGCTTACATCACCCTTTGCGCAGAGACCACTCCACCCCACACACAAACCCACACGTCTACTCAGGCGGCGGCTCTTTTCTTTTTCCCCACTGGGCCCCGCCACACCCTCCTCACGTGCACCTTCCTCCCTCTTCTTCCCTACGACCGTCCGATCACACCTGAGGCCAACTCTCTGATCCTCATCACAATCCAACGGCGCCGAATAATTTACACGTAAATAAAACCCATAATCAGATCCATATATAAGCAAATAGAGAGAGCCGTGCCGTCCAGCCGACGATTACGGGTGTCTGAGTGGGACCCTTTCACTTTCCACACCCAATACATCTCTCCATTTCTTCAGTCTCTCTCTTTCTCCCTTTCTCTCTTTCTCTCTCACTCACTCAAACCTTTTTCTTTTGTTCTCTCTCTCTGTCTTTTCATGGCGACTGCTTCTTCATCTCGCGAGGGCCACTACAGAGGCGTGAGGAAGAGGCCGTGGGGCCGATACGCCGCCGAAATCCGAGACCCTTGGAAGAAGACCAGGGTTTGGTTGGGTACATTCGACACGCCCGAAGAAGCTGCTCTCGCCTACGATGGCGCAGCCAGATCACTTCGCGGCGCCAAGGCCAAGACCAACTTCCCGGCCCCGGTTCCCGGCGGTCTCTCTCTGGACCTCAACATCCCCTCCGCCGCCCACTGGGCCTCTCACTCCGGCCGCTTGGTCGAGTTCCTCCACACAGGCGTCTTGAACGACATGAGCTGCGGCGATGCAACACCCGATACGACGACGTTGGCGAGCAAGAGGGAACAACCTCAACCTCCTGTTGGTGTTGTGGGAAATGTTGGCGGCGTCGCTGGCGGTACGGTCGCAGAGGGTTCGAGTACGGCGTCGTATTTAGGGCTTGTACGACGTGGCCTGCCTATTGACCTCAATGAGCCCCCACCCTTGTGGCTGTGAAAAAGAACAAAGTAGTACTCATCTGACGGCGTCGTTTTGGGTTTTCCTCTCATCTCATCTCATGTCATGATCCCTCCATATTTTTCTTTTTGTTTTTAGTATTTCGCCATTATCTAAAGAAAAAAATCTTCACTTCCGTTTGAAGGTTTGAGAATTTGAGGGAGGGAAAAAGAAAACAATGTTATTATTGAAAGTAAAAATATTAGAGAGAGGCTTTCTGTATATAAATTTATGTGCTTTTTTTTTAATGAGACTCTTTCCATTTCGATAAAGTTTGAAGCTTTTCATTCATGTCGAAGTGGGGAAGGAAGCTCTGCAGCAAAGCAAGCGTGCGTGCGTGCGGTGTGTGTTTTGATCATCTGTTTCCGATAGTTTCAGCATCCCATAAATTTGAAGTACTTGACCCACTCTCAGCCCATGGCGCGTGTCAATTCAGAGTGTCCATGTCTGCTCCGACATGGAGATATGCAGTGTCCTTAATCTTTAATTAAACCAGCTTAATATTGTTTAATTATTCATCTTACCTCGTGAATTAAACCCTTACCTCTCTCTTGTTTTTTCTTATAACAATAACCAACCAAGCGTATAATTAGCTGTTAATTTAATTTTAATAGAATTGTTTTAGGTGGTAGGTCTGTTTTACAAAATTTGGATTTTCGGATAAGCAAAAAGTTGCTTTCTTGGTGGGGGACGTAGCTTTTCCTTGTTATGGAAAAGCAAATTAGGAAGGAAAAAAAAAATGGCCGCGTTGTTCATGTGTGTTGATGTTGTTGCTTGCTTGCTGCCGGCTTTGGGTCCCTTTCTCTTTTTTTTCTTTCCATCCTGTGGGAATCTGCTGTCCATTTCTCTCTTTCCTCTTTCTCTTTCAAGCCAACCAATACTTGAAAACTACATGTTTATTTATCTATATACAAAACCTTGGTTAGAATATTGATAATAAAAAATTTATCATGCAATCAATTTCAAGCCTAGTGAGTGACAACCTTTGCCCTTTTGTTCTTTTCTTCAGATGATTCTTCACCAGCCGGGAAAAGACACATTTATAACATGCCACCCCCACCACCTAGTGATTTTGATGGGTGGTGGCTATTTCATTTCAATTTTGTTTTGTTATAACACACAATTGTACATGTGATGTGATGAGCTATCGGTTATTGGATTTTATTACACGGTGTATGTTTAGACGATAATGAACCGTCTACAATTTAAGCGCGTAAATATTTTGTTTATATGTATAAATAGGTTCAAAACTCGGAATAAAACGCATTCCAAAATTTATAATAGGTTACCGTCATATGTGGCGTTGTCATACATACATGTATAATACAAGGATCGGGAATTATATACAAAATCTTAGTAGTTATCAATCATATAAACAAGAAAGTGTATGGATGGAGTCTCATGTGGGCACCGAGTAAATTTCATTCATTAGTGGTTCAAACGCTTGTCTGAGTATTTTGTGCAGCAGTAGCATCAGCTGGCTTTCATTATAAAAGTAAACAAAAGATTGCAATCTAATTAAAAGCTAACCCAATCCATTTTCTGTCTGCCTCGATTGGTTTTCGTACGAATTCTTTAATTGCATTCTTAATTTTATAATTTTATAATGCAATAAATAATACGGGCACAAAGAAAATGAGAAAGATGGTTTGGATTGGATTTGAGTGACGAAAGTAGATGAGAAAAATCTCTTGGTCAATATTTTACTTTGCTTTTTTTTTCTTTTTTTTTCCTTTTCTTTTCCAAAGTCCCTTTTAGGCTTCTAGGTCGGCGGCTTTGGTCGCTAAATATATACAAATATCATATCATGTAGGCCAATAGGTACCACCAGCCCATAGTGTGTTGTGTTCCTCAGGTCCCATTCAAAATGTTATGTCATTTTCATGTGTAGCACAAGAAAACTCTTTTGCCTTTTATTTGGTATTGCATTTAATTTGAATTTACCACTTCATTCCATACACTACTATTGTCCTAGACTAGTCCCACCCCTATAGCATTCATGAGTGGATGTGGATATATTATTCCTCATCCACAGTACAAGTTTGAATTTTAGGTACGTGATAAGAACGCTATTATCATCTTATCACCAGTATAATGCAATCTAATCGTTGTTATTGAAATTAGAATCCAAAACGTATCAAAGACTAAAAATCGTTCATGTATGCATGATCAACCGACACAATTTGAGTTGATGTGAGAAATGTTACGAGAGAATATGAGATTTTATTTAATAATAAATATGAGTTATCTATATATATAAAACAAAAGATAGAGAATAGTGAAACATTTAAAATACAAGAAAATGTCATTGTTTAATTCAAATATTAAGAATTGAAATGAGTAATTAAATGAGGATGATATGGTAAATTCACTTTTTTTCATATTAAAAAAAATTAAAATTAAAAGCAAATCAGATAATAAGTCTTACTTTTATAGAACATAACTACTCATATTATCTTTTCTTAATTCTAAAACTAAAATCAATTAGAACATGCGTGAGCATGTGCCAAGTGGCTAGTCAATATTACTAGTGGATAAAAGGTCTTTATATACATACGGAATATGTGTATAGACGCAAAGAATAAGACAGCGAAAAAAATAAGGGAAAAAGAAGAACAATGACACGCAAAGGCGAGAGAGAGAGAGAGAGAGAGAGAGGTAAGTGTAGGTGGTGCAGTGCAGTGAGCAGCAGACGAGACGACCTCTCCAGTCTTTACTTTAGACTTTACATACTCAGAGATTCACCTAACTTCAACGTCAGCACCATCAGCATGCATCAGCGCTGCTGCGTCTGCAGGCAGCTCTTGCTTTTGCTTGCTGCTTCTGCTCTGCTAGTAGCAGCTGCAGACTTGTTGTATCTAAACTTAACCTAACCCCGGCCGTCAATTCAAAGACTGATCGATTTGACCCTCCCACTGCCCTTTGGGTCCCCACCTCCCTTTCTGTGCCCCCCTCCCTTCCACTCTGCTTTGGTTTTTTAATAAAATAAAAAAAATAAATAATACTTTGAGATTTTTGTTTTGAAAAATCTTTCTTCGTTGTGGGACCCGCTTATTTTACGTGTCACCCTCAGGCACGCTGGCCGGTCCCATACCCAAGCGAATCTGTCGGCACCAGAGGCATCACGGCCGTCTCTCTCTCCCCAACGCTGCTGTTTTGCTTTACGTAGCGCACCCCACACCACACCCACAAACTGAAACAAAAGAGTAAACAACAATTTTAAAATAAAACCCAAACCCAACAATAAATAAATAATTCATTAATTAATTAAATAATGAAATTGTGTTTTGTCGTTGACGGCGCGGGTGCGCCTTCTCTTTTCCTGGTTGCTTGACCAGACGAGCCACCGGTTAAGATATTTACGGGAGATTCGTTTGGTCAAGCAACAACAATATTGTCTTTTATATTCTAATTAAGTAACTAATTTTGTAAAATAATGTTAGTGTTTATATTTAATGTTGGGTTGGCGAAAGTACTACCAGCCCTTGTAAATTCTAAAATTACTTTCCTTTGTAATGTATATATAATAATATTCTTCCAGGATTATAATTTATAATTTATATATAGAGAGAGAGAGAGAGAGGCATGGCCTATATACTACATTCTTGGGGGACATGACATGACATGAGCATGGATACAGATGGTCATCATACATACATGATGATAATGATGATGTTATCAAGGACGTGAAGAAGAAAAAAGAGAAAATAAAAAAAGCAAATGAAATCCCATCATCATGGTCTTCTTCTCTGGTGGTGAGGTGTCCGTGTCGCCCAAGTTATTTAAATAAAAAATAAATAAATAAAGATAATTTGTCTTTGGCCTGTCGTTTTCTACTTTCCTCTTAACATTTGTTTGTGTATGTAAAAACAATAAATAGTGGATTGATGAGTGACAACTCAGGAGGAAAATAAAAATTCAAAATATAGAATAGAGAATGATGAAAATAGAAAAAAAGAAGGAAACGGAGGAGGAGGAGGAGGAAGGCGGTGGGGTGGTGGCTGGGCTGGCTTTGACTCAATCTCTCTCGTGCATCACGTGGGGGTAGAGAAGAGACAAGAGAGAGAAGAGGCGCATGCATGGCCGTGCGGTTCCATTAATAACAACACAAGAGTTAAAAGATGATCTCACATATCATATCATATATACACCACCTTCGTCGTCGTCGTCCTCCTCCTCCTCCTCCTGACATATTTATTTCTCTCTTTCACCCATTTATTCTGCGGGCCCCATCTCTACTTTATCTCTATGTCTGGTATGCCCCTCACTCAACTCAACTCAGTCAAACAAACACTCAAAAAGAACCAAAACCAAATCTAAATGCTTTCTGGCTCACATTCTTTTTACATTAATCTAAATCATCAAGAACTTCAAAATAATAAAAATAATAAATAGTTAATTTCATATGCCATGCATGCACTGCACCCCACTTAATATTTAACTTAGGGCAATTTATTTTTAATTATTTGGGACGGCAGAACACCTCCTAGACCTGAACAGTCACTGAGATGGCTCCAAAGGAGAAACCAAAGGGGGCCCCAGGAAAATGATACCCTTGACAAAGGCGCACAACTTCAAATGATGGCTAAAGCCCACCATCACCATGCAGAAACATTACTAGCTTTTCAGGTCTGCAATCATATTTATCTGCTCACATCTGAATTCAAAGAAGACGAAAAACAATTTAATCCAACATGCGTTGCTTACAGAAAAATGCATCTTCCTCATACTCATAATAGTTACAAATGGCTGTTCAAATTGTATATATGATTAACATGTATAGTATAGCATCCAGATCTTATTAACTATATGATTAGTGATAACTTCCTAAGGAATTTCTGTGTCACTTGAACCGGGCGGAGCGTCTAAATTGAATTCCTCAGCAACATCCACTTCTATCCTCCATCTGTTTACAGACACAGACGCGCTATAGTTCAATCTGAAACAGTAAATACAAACAACAGTAAAGCTAGTGAGTGAGTACCTTTCGAGCACAAACTTTCCTTCCTTGTATATTTGGTTTTTGTCATGTGCAATTACCTAATAAGATTCAACATCAGTATAACTCATTGGTGAATTGACATCAAAGACTACACGCATAAATATGCCTTCTCCACATATAAGCTGCATGCCCATCTTTTACAAGAGGTAGGATACCCTTAAGAAAATTGAATATTTTTCAGGAGACACTTCATTCAATTAAGCTCTACCATAAAATAAAAAACTGGCCGTGCAAAGTCCGATAGAACCGCATTTTATCATTGGCGTATGCAATTTTTAGTGATGGTTACATCTCCCCTTGGTGCCGTTTGGTTTGATTATAGATGACCAACTTTACATCTTAAAAGAATAATAATTCAACAAACAATTACACTCAGACACAAGTTTAATAATGTATAAAGAATTTGTTTAGCATATTAATTCATTAAAGATGACATTATCTCCTTGAGTCCACAATATTTTTAAAACAAAAAAATTTCTTCTGTTCGTGAGAAAGCGTTCATTTATGTTTGTGTGTCTGTTTTTCTCCTTTTGTTTACTAGTTTCACTCTCTGGTCCTGCTCCTACCTACCCATCCATCCCAACAACTAAACCAGAGAGATAAAGAAACCATACATATTTCCATCCAAGAATCTGTCCGCAGCAGCAGCAAAAAATATCTTCTACAGTATGCAAACCAGAAAGCATCAGCCTCTCTTCCTCGGGACCAAGCGTTATGTTCACACTGGATAAAATTTTCATAGGTCAGATGAGAAGAAAAGGGACAAAACAAAAACCAATTCACATTTCTCATGGCCTGTCAAAGGAAAAATAGCATCCTTATTTCTTTGAACAAGAACAAATGCAATTGCATCAAATTTCATATCATTGTGACCAGCATGTTGAAAATAGCTCGTTTGTGTTCAACAGTGGCATCCTTAAAATGTACTGGCCACAAAGTTTAGGACTTGGTGATTATCAATTAAAACACAGGTTTCATTGAAGAAAAACATCCATTTAGAAAGAGAGACTGGCAGCTGATGAATTTTAAGGATCAGTAAATTTACAGTTTAGAGAAGGGACTGTTCCATTCATAAAACTGACGCAATATGGCTAATTCGCTCTACGATCTTTGTTTATTGGCCCCCAAAAGAACAAATAATAATAAATACCGACTACGGTATGTCAGCCAGAAAATGACATTAAAAAAGTCAACTAAAAGCAAAGGCAATAATAATAGGAAGAACTTACACAGTGCTGAACAGATATGCCCCTCCTCGACGGCAGCTGAAAGACTAATCAAATTACAACAAACTAGAGTCAAATTGTTGAGCACTAAAGCATATTAGATTAGATCTAGGTGAGCATAAAATAAAATAGCAAGGATAAAAAAAAATTATATATATATATATATATATATAAAAGAGTAGTGCATATAAAAATAACTTCCAAAAGATTGAGAATGAGCTACATGGCTTAGAAATAAACTATAAAAGTTTGGCTGCAGCGTCAGTAGCCAAAAGTTTTTTTTTTTATCAACCACTTCAGCAGGGGGAACACTCCTCATAGAATTTTATCCAAACTAAGAATGAATCTTTGGGGCATTTGTGCAATTTATGTATGTATGTATATATTTTCCAATCGTATTCAAAGCACTAAGTAATTATCTCCTCCCAACGGAACCATCCCATTGAACCTAGCTAGCGTTTTATAGCCCTTACAATCTGGTTGAATGCTGCCATGTATTTCAAACAAGAACCATTTAAAGTGCACAAGCAAACCAGTCCTTGTACATCCGTCTATTTTCAGCTTCCTAAAGCTTCCTCACCAAGAAATACCCCTGTTCTATGAAATCCCAATTCCCAACTCAGAAAAACAATGCTACACATAATCTAGTCCATACGTGACCTGAAAAACCTTCCAGCACACCCGTAAACATAACAGCAAACAAAAGGGTAAAATGCTAAAATGCTTCACTCATGCTCATATCAACCTTTACCGACCACTATGCACTGAATAAAAAGTACCCAATTGCTAAAACCCTTCAGATCAATATAAACCCATCCCTAGTTTCAATTCTTAACCCATTTAAAAATCCAAGTAACAAAAGGGAACAAAGTTTCAATCTTTCCTTGATTCAATAAAAAATTAAGCATATACTGCTTGTAATTATGCTTATGACATCGACATAATCTTTATAAATGGAAAAAAATAAAAATAAAATAAAACTTGATAAAGTGAGAGAGACAGTACCCGAGAGATGATATCATCGGCAAGGGCAAGAGGGCTGTCACAGAATCTGCATCTATAAGCTCTGCCATCTAATTCAACCAGGAAAATTCTCCCCATTCGAGTTTTGATCTTAACCTAACCCAAACCTAGAACTCCAACAGTGTCTCTCTGGCACTCTGCTCTCTCTCACCCAAATTCATTTACCGATTTACCATTTCCAAATTTGAAGTCCTCTTCACTGAATAAATCCGAAAACGGGAAAACATGGTGTGCTTTTGCTCTCCCACCCAATCTGTGCTACCGGAACCGGCAAATCCCGGTGCATCATCCATCTTGTGCTTTCGTCCTCCTGTTTCAGTTTTCAAACACGTGGCTGTGTTCGTCAGTCATTGCACATGCAATAAGGCGACGTGTCGTTGTATTATGAATGACATGCCGTTCTCACCCACAACCACATTTATATCACTTAACAAGACAAGACGGCATGTTGGGTCCTACAGAAATTTACTGTATTTTATTGTCTTCGTTCACATCCAGTCCAAAAGGCAAAAGGTGATATTACTTTGAATTTTGATGACAAAACCACTCGTTTTTTATTTAGTGGTTTCGAGACAAAGAAGCTACTCTCATACAAAAAGTCATAGATAGGCATCTGATATTCTTCTTCCTAGAGTTGGCTCTGTATTCATTCATGACAATAACATTACGTGTGAACCAAGCTGCTCACATCTGTCAAAATTACTAGACAAAATACCTTTGGCTTTCTCCACTCTCTTGCGATTAATTAATTTTGATTTGATACCCATGTTAACTTAATAATCGACATTATTTGTAATCTTATCTACATCACAGTTACAAATAATAATAATATTCATTCACCAAATTGATATTTTTTGGAACAATTAAGATACTCGCGATGAACTCGTTTTGTTAATACATATAGACGATTAAACGATTCCATTTCGAACGAAACTTTATCAATCCCAATTATGATTTATAAGATGAACAGTGAGGTGGATGAGATGATACCTAAAATATTTATCTTTTATTTATTGCCCCGGCCAAACAACAACAACAACATACTCCAAGCGCACACTACACGCTGACCTGCTGCTTAGTAACTTCATCACAAAGCTAAGCAGTCGAGTCGACGATGCGCTCCTCTCACGCAACTTACTACCAATAAACTTTTGCTAGCTACTGTTCATTCATTGGTTGAGGTCAAATCTGTCTCTCCACTCCACTCCAACGGATTTTATTCTTTTCTTCCTTTCTTCCCTTTTGTTTTTTTATAAAAAATTTGACAAGAATTGGTCATATGGGATTTTAACAGCTAAGTGTCACGAGTCCATTCACTGACTGATTGTCTTAGAACCTCATCTTAGAATATATTTATAACCCCACCTATCCCAAATCACCATCACAAACACTTTGATACTTCAAAGAATATTAATGTAGGGATTTCATTCCAATCTCACAACATTATCATACTTTTTTTAATTTTATTTTTTCTTTAAACAAACACACTTAGCATATACGTGTGAACGATTGACGTTAATTATTGATTTTTTAAAAATAAATAGACATCCGGCAAATTTAAAAAGCAAAACTGGAAGGACAATGACGTGGTGCGATACAATAGAAGGCAAGCATTGTTCAAGATGTAGCTACTTGAGGTAAAAAAATATACATGGACTGCACACATTTTTGTGGGAAATGGGGAAAGCCAACGCTTTCACACCTTGGTTGGGTTGGGCCCAACAGAAGCACGTAAGAGTGCGGTCTGGTTGATTCTCCAAAGCGCACGTACCAAGACACCTCACACGTGCACGCCCCCCCTTCTTCTCACGTACGGCTCATCCTTATCCTATAAATTCAATTTCATCCTTTGTGGAACGACGTCGTACTTTATTCATATGATCTAGAATTCTCCGGCTGAAATGCGCTGCTAAATTACGCCACGTATAGAGAGAGAGAGAGAGAGAGGTGAAGAAGGTGTCACCTCAGGAGGCAACAAAGTCCACTATACAGAAAAAGGCAACACAGCCGCCCACACCTATACCACCTTTATTATATTCATTTCTTGCAATGCCTTGTCTTTCTTTTCTTTTTCCAATTCTTTTTTTTTGGATGCGATACGTGGCGTATCATGAGGCGTCCCAGTCTCTCTCTCTTTCTGTTGGCGGGACAAAACCCAGTGGGTCCCGCGCAGAAACAGCTTTGAACAAAAACACGCCGACCCGCCGGCGTAACTGTCTGTCCCTCCCCGACACGTCACCCTCTCTCACGGCTTCGTACTCTTTCTTATGTTTTTATTTTATTTAAAATTATTCTCGCTCCTTCCACGTTGCTACATAAATAATCGTAAATTTAAATTCACGAAAATTTGATGCCATGCCATGAAAATATTAAATAAAATGTAAATTTATATTCACGCATGCTCCAACAACTTTGAATCCTTGCGCATACCACCTATACCCTATATAAAAAGCCAACCCAATATCCTAGCCTTTGCTTTTGCCTTTAATATTAAAAAAAATATATATCAAATAGCTAATTCGGTAATCTAAAGAGACAATTAAAATGAGCAATTAAAATTTAGATGGGGGAGGGAGAGACGGAGCAATATTCTTGAGAAAAAAGGACGGGTGGGCTCCACTAAAAGCGGCAGCCGCGCTTTCCCACTTTCACTCCCAGCGCCCGCCTCCACGCGGGACCCGCCTCTGTCTGCTACTTTCCACCTTTTTCGCATTGCTAAGCAACTCATCTCTTTAATTAAATTACTTTGTAAAATAAATAAATTTAATAGGTACGCGAGATCGGACGGCCGTATATCACGTGCAATCTTAACTCCAATCTCGAGACCTACCCAGTCAACACAGAATTAACTTTCGGTCTCAAAACTACAACACCGCTCTCTTACCCGATACGCGCGCCGATTCTCATTGACCCATCATACGCGCCTAATAATTTCGATTTCGTTTTCGTTTTTGTTTTTGTTTTTCCTTTTAATCCCCAAATTCCGCCAGAAATTAATAAAATATTTGTAATTAAATGTAAAAGTACTCGTTTTCCGAAATAATAGAGGCAAGAGCAACGAAAGCGAAGAAAGCAAAGAAACTCGACTCGCCGTCCTACTCATCTCACCGTCCCAGTCAATTGAGGGCCGCCGACGCGTGGGACAGACCCGGCCACGCGGCAGCTAGCCAGCACTCCAGGAATGGGGCAAGCTATCGTCAACCACACCAAACCACAAAATTCGTCCTACTTACATGGATCGCCGATTTTATCATAGTTAACTCATAGGCTTATTAGCAAAAACAAATAAATAAATGAAATAATACTGGAGATTTAGAAACTATCAGTATGGTTCGGTTGGCGGAAAAAATTATTGCTGAAATGAAAGATTACAACTGAAAATTGATGACAAGAAAGGTCTGTAAAATTTAGAACAACAGATTGAAACTTACAATTTCGCTGCTGCAAAAAAGGATGCTACGTATTCACATGGAGCTTCTTACATTGGTTGCTCTCAACGTATTTTTTTTCGTTTTCTATCTTAGAAAATTAGAAAATTTCAATAAAAGAAAAAGGAACTGAAATTAAAGATCCCTAATAAGTATTTTAACTCAGGCCATCGCGCTTTTTTCTCTAAAAACAAAATCAAGCGAGCTCCGGAGGTGGAGGGAGGTTGAGATCGAGCAATCCTCCGCGAGGCAGATCGTGGTTGTTCAGATCGACGACCGAGGACGAGTCCGAGTCGCTCTGGGCCCCACATGCGAAAACCCCACCGCCTCCGTAGGCGTGGAAGTCATGCTGCTGGAGATTACGATGATCGAATCTCAGCCGTTGATGAAACTGATGACTCTTCACCATCCCGGCTCGGAACACCGAGTCGAAGTAGAGCACGTGATTCGCCGCCGCCGCAGCAGAAGCCGGAACTCCGATGACGGCTCCGACGCTCGGAACCTGGTGTTGCTGGAAGGGGAACCGCATCGGGCCGGAACCGAATCCACCGGAACTAACACCCTGAGAGAGATTTAGATCCAACGGCGAGGAATCGACCATCAGAGCCGGCGGCTCACGGCTGGACGACTCCACGGTGCTGCTCTGGCTCGGGCTCTGATTGTTGCTACCGCTACTATTTTTATTTATATTATTATTTATATTTATGTTATTATTTTTTGTCATATTGAGGCTAATATTCTCAGAAGGGAGAGGGAAATTGGTCTTGGCCTTGGCGCCGCGGAACTCTCTGGCAGCGGCGTCGTAGGCTCGAGCAGCTTCCTCAGCCGTGTCGAAGGTACCGAGCCAGACCCGGCTCTTCTTGCCGGGGTCTCTGATCTCGGCGGCGTACCGGCCCCATGGCCTCTTCCTCACTCCCCTAAAATGCACCTCCTTCACGTTTCCGTTGCCGTTAGCTCTGACGGCGGTGGCCGTCTTCTCTCTCGGCGCCATATTACACTGGAAACTGGAGAAACAAAAGATAAAAACGGCAGCGTTTTTGTTTTTTGTGCGTCTGTGTTCGGGTGATGAAGAGTGTTTGGTTGCAGTGAAAATATGTGAGAGAAAAGAGAAATGAAAAAGGAGGGTGTGATGAGATTGCAATGGAGGAGTTGGAGGGGAGGGCTGTGGTTTATATATAGAGGGGAGAGCGTGTAATTAAATAGAGAGGAGAGAGAAAGAGAGGGGCACACAGTCAACGAGGGATTTGACTGAGATGGGGTTGAGGTTAGGGGCGGCTCTGGGACAGAAGAGAGAGAGAGAGAGAGTGCATGTATCATGGTACCATGGTATGTGTGTGGTGTGGGTGGTATTTAAGTAATTTAGCACTGTTAGTTCCCGTATTACGTGGCATGTGGATTGTCGAGAGAGCACACCCATCATTATTTTCATTATCTAACGGCTGCAAACGCACTCTTGATTGCGTGCGGTGCTTCTTTCCCGAAACCCCACGCTCCTTCCCGCGTGTTACCGTACCGCGCCATTTACTGCCTTGGGTCAAGTCAAGATATCTCTCGTCTCGGGGGATGGTGTAAAATTATAAATGAGGGAGCGTGGGAATATTTCAATATTAGCATTTGCGCCGGTTGAACAAGTTGTCGACATAATCTGCTATCTCGCCGCGTGACTTGGATTATTTTTTGTTTTAATTTTTTACTTAACTGCGATTTTTAATTAATTAACCGGAGACTGCCCTTCCTTGGCTTTTATCCTCCCTTTGAACCGCTCGCGCGCTTGGACCAACAGCTGCTTGCCTCTCTCGCCCAATGGAACTCCAACAAGTGGCGGTTTCTTACGCGTGTTCAATGAAAGCGGAGGATCCTCAAGCCACCGGGCCCATCGATTCTGATGGAACACATGGGTGTGGTTTCTGACAGCGGTATCGTTTTTATCCGACATCTACTCCTCCCCACGCTTCATATTGGAGTCGTGGTTTACACGCGCAACGAAATTTACTAGTTGCTCCGAGTTCGTCACCGAGCTGTCTGGTCAATGTAGACAGATTTAGGAAGCTCGGAAATGGGGGGCGTATCACTATTGACACTGGATTTCGGTTTATATTTATTCCTAACATGGAAACCAAGTAAAGTTATTTAAACCGATGCGTTCTTTAATGTGTTGGTAACGCATCAATTACTTGGAATAGAAAATTTGCCGAGGGTAATTTAGTCTTATTCATATATGTGCAAGAACATTACTCGTTTCAGTCGTTGTCAGACATTAATTTTGAAAGAGCTTACGAATACTGGGGTTAGTTTTCCTAAGCTAAGTAGCAAGTATTATTCATGCATGATTCGTTCTCGATTTTTGCATTTATTGTGAATGCAATGCGTATTTGATTCATGTGTGCGGATAGTAGGACCGCGAGTGGCAATAGTTGTTTTCAGAGATTTTAGCCTAGGGAGCGATGGGACGATGTCGAATAATCGAAAGAATAAATAAATAAATAAATAAATAAATAATCTTCTTCATTTATTGGTAAATAACATATATAAATTAAAACCCAACCTTTTTCCTTATTCCCTGTGTGAGGGGGCATATACGTCATTTTCAGGGCAGTTACTTTGTCCTATTTCCATTGGACGTTGGCATTTCAACTTTGTATGGCTTCGATTCAAACATGATGGTGACGAAAAAGATGCCGGCTCTATGAGGTTGGCCAGAGCCACAAGAGAATTTTGTGGACCAGGAAAATACCCTCTTTTTTTTTGCTTTTGTAAGATGCATTTAAAAATATTATTTGGGCAATTAAAAGAAAATGATCTTTTCATTCTCATAACCCTTTTAAAAAAATTAAAAATTATCATTAAAATGATAACGTACTGAGGATTTTTCATTTTAATACGAGCCCTCATTATGGGACACACTGTCTAGTTGTATATTTTTGAACTTGAAACTTTTGATCCGCAAGTTAAAGATCATTTTCAATTGGGACAGATCTCGTTGGCCATCGGGGGTTATAAATTTAGTTAAAGTAATATAATGAGGGTGAAATATTTTCCTTTCTTATTGGGATTCTTTTATTTCCTAATTGTTTCTTATTTGATTATGAAAAAATATATATATAATATAAGGGATATGAGTATTATAATGGTTGGATTTGGGAAACAAGAAAGAAACAGGCAGGCACCTTATCCTCCACCGCCAACATACACATCTAGAAAAAGACATAATCCCTAAAAAGGCGATTATAAAATTTAGTTTTTATGTTTCCTAGAACAACCACCATACACACAGTGAATATGCACCACCTAATCCTGGCCGCCAATATTAAAAAAGAAAAAAATCAGCCACAAAATAATTTGCTGGATGAGGACCCACCAAATATCAGCCTCAGATTGATTGGATTTTATCCTGTAAGTTGTATGTATCCATCTTCTGCATTATTATTAAAAAGATAAAGCATATCTTAAAGCAGCATATTTTAAGGCCTCATCATCCTTCGTGAAACACATTTTCTAATACGTGGCCTATTCTACTTGTTCACAAACCTGCACCTACTTTATTAATTGCGACCCATAATTATATATGTATAGGCATCATCAGCTATTAGCAGCTGAATTAAGCACGTTAATTAATGTGACAGTAAATTATGAATATTTTTTGTTTATGATATAATCGATATAGGTAGGAGGGAATCGAATCTAGAAATAGGACGTTGAATGCATGAGGAAATGCTCTTAATCAGTTTAATTGCAAATCTATTGTAAACATTGTGTAATATTAAAACATGAAACACAACACTTATTCATATACCACGTGACAGCATTTCAGTACTACTCTATAACAAGTCGATAGGAAGTGATCAAAGTAGAGAGATTTGGGGTATGCATGATGAATTGAGTGTTGAGTGCATGATGACATGCGGTGGTAGATAGGGTTTTGTTTTGCTTTATAGAGCAGTGAGGTGAATATGATACAAAAAAGCAGACAAATAATTCAATGGAGGGTGTGAAGTGTGAACTGCGAGTATGAAAGGGAGAGAGAGAGAGAGAGAGAGAGAGAGAGAGAGAGAGAGAGAGAGAGAGAACATGTGGTGATGGTGGTGTCAAGTTTTGCATTTTGCATGTTGGCAAATTAATGAAAGGGGACCAATTTTTATGGCGTGTTGACTTGTAGTGTCATGAAATTGTCAATGTGTTAATCATGCTTTGGAGCCCCTGTACTTGTTCCCTAACTTCCCTTGGTTTTCCTTGTTAGTCAAAATTTCAAGATGAGCTCGTCCACAACATTATAAATTAACAAAGAAACTGTGTGATTAATGGTGGTTTTAATTATTATAATCAGTGTTATTGTATTGACGAGGAGGAGTCAAGTTGTAGCCACAAATAATAAGAATCGTTTAGAAGGAAAGATGTCACCTATACAGGTGCTGCCAATTACTCTTAATAGCCCAACTACTGGATCATCATGCATTGATTCGTCAAGAAAATAAGGAAAAACATTATTGACTTCACCAATTCTTACTTTATAGTATAATTGTATATGCCAACAACCAAGTACTAATGAAATGAAAATGTCACTCTATTTGAGAGCGATTTTCCTTTTTCTATTTTTTTTCTTACTCATGGAAAGAAGGTGAGAACGAGTTGAATTACTATTTTTATCGAATAATTTAAGGACATTAGATATTATCATGTATGACTTAGAATTTATGATGAGAGATATTTCGTTCACACTTTGTCCCTTGTGAATGACCGTCATAAAGAAAACACGTGAATCAACTATATTGAGTGACACAGTGGATTATCTCTTCCCATACCTTATAAAATTAGTATCCAAATTAATCCAATTGATGAAAGGTTAAAAGGGTTATGCTATAAAAGCTTACAATTTTCCATGTTGATATTCTATTATTTCACCACCCACAAAACCTAAAAGGAAGGGTTCATTTACCTAATTACTAGATGGGAATAACCAAATGGCATAAATTTATAATAATTTTTTAACCAATGAGGGTTGGGGATGCAACCTTGGGTTCGCTTTTGGGAAGAGAAATAAACACAAGATCAAAAGATAATTATAAAAAAATATATTTTGAGTTATATAACTCATATTACCTACCTGTAAACATCCACGAAACTCATAAGAAGGACTGGTTGGGCCCTTGGCTACTCTCATAGCAAGCGTTCAAGTCAAGTCCAGCCCCATATGAAAGAAGAAAGATAGTAAATAAATAACTTAATACGTATAGGAAGGAAGCACCGAAGAAAAAAAGGGTCAAAAAGAAATCTGCGAAAAAGAACACAAAAACAATAACGCGCTGGCACGTGGCGGGAAAAGAAGGGCGGCCCCCAGCCGCCTCCCCCTCGCTTTGGAAGTCTACGTTCCCACTTAGGCTTTTAGACTTCCGGTGAAGTCGCTCCGCAGGAGGCTTTAAACAAACAAAACAAAACCCATTGTAGCAGGAAGTCGCTTTCAGCAAATGCATTAAAACCAAAACAATATTCAAACTGTTTGTTAAAATTAAATTCTTTTAAATTCTTTTAATTAAAAAAGAAAATCAAAGAAAACATCTTTGTCCCGGTCTCAACGCATCGTTGAAAGCTCAAAACCAGAGACCCAAAACCCACTTCAATGGGTCTTCGCCTAAATCAACCAGACCCCATAAGCACTCACAAGCCTCGCGAGCTCTCTCTTGCTACTTATTCGCCGTCCAATTGGTTTCGAACTCAATGGCTCTCAATGCGTTTCGCTCCGACCCCCAGTCTGCAGCCCAGAAGGCCGTCTCCGTAATCGGGTCCGGGTACGATCTCCGCAACGATATCCGGTTGACCGCATGCAAGTCCATGCTCATCGAGCTCGACCCGACCCGGACCCGGGACCTCGTGGTGCCGGGCGGGGCTGTCGTGCCCGACGTGTCCACCTCCATCAAGTGCGATAAAGGCGAGCGCACCCGGTTTCGCTCGGACGTCGTCTCTTTTAATCAGGTTTTTTCTCTTTCTTAAGAAGGAAAGTTCTTTAATTTTTGCTTTTGGCGCGAAGTGGTTTCTGGGTTTTGATTGTGGTTGGTTTTGCGACTGGTTGGTGGGGAATGAATTTGGGGAATATTTTGGTCACATTTGGTGAAGTGGGTTTTGGTTAGGGTTACTATTTATGGCTGTTTTGATTACGGTGCTGGGAAATTCTGGATGAAACGTGCTGAATTTGTGACATTCTAATTCTATTGCTAGCGGCAGAAATTGAGCTCTTCTCTTGATTGAGTGATGGTGAATGGTTCATGCCTAAATAATTTCATTTGGCACTAACACAGAACACAAATTTGAAACTTCAGTTTCTTTTTAATTGTTAAAAAAATATGATTCTGCTACTACTAAGGTCGAGCTTTGGGCACAAGTATTTCTCCATTGCTCTTTTTTGATCCATCTGAGAATTCTAGTCTTCTTACTCATTACTAAAGTGGAACAATTGGCCTATGTTGGTTATAAGGAGGCTCTCTTTTCTTCTTACTTTGTCTACATTGGTTGTATTCCAGATGTCAGAGCAATACAATAAGGAGCTGTCTTTATCAGGCAAAATTCCGTCCGGCTTGTTTAATACTATGTTTAACTTCAGCGGCTGCTGGCAGAAGGATGCAGCTCCCACAAAAACTCTTGCTTTTGATGGTTGGTTAATAACGTTGTATAACATTGAGTTAGCAAGATCCCATATAACACTATCCCAGAATGTGAGACGAGAAGTGCCTTCTACATGGGAACCTGCTGCCCTTGCTGCGTAAGATTTCTTTAATCAAAAAACTTTTTTATGCCATTAATTGTGGTTTCAGCTGAGCTTATTAATGTAAAGCCCCTCAATCTCTATATAGTCTGAAAGGAAAAAAAAGAAAGGTAAAAGAAGAGTGTTTTTTAAGTTTGGAAGACAACTGAATGTTCTTCAATGTTTGCTTTTCATTGTTAAATGCACACGAAAGTTCTGCAGAGTAGACGCTTGAAACTGGATACACGTTCTGCAAACAAGCACAGATAAACCTAATATAAATTACAAAGAAGCTTATGCAATGCGATTCAAGTTTTTTGAAATAAGCCAAGTGTAGATATAGGTACTTGCAATATTATGAACAAGTAAGTTCAGAATGTATATCGTTTGCACTGAGGTATATACCACAGCCTTGTTCCAATTTGCACTGATGTTTTAAGTAATTTGATTTTCAGGTTCATTGAAAAATATGGTACTCATATTGTTGTTGGGGTGAGGATGGGTGGAAAGGATATAGTTCACATAAAGCAGTCGCAAAATTCAACTCTTCAACCCACTGAAGTGCAGAATTTGTTAAAGCAGTTAGCTGATGAGAGATTTTATGAAGATGTAACTGGATCGAACTCTGATGATTTATCAGGAAAAATGAAGGTAAGCAGGGTTTTATGATTGAATCGTGATTAACTTCACATTGGTCTTATTATTGAATATGTGAACTGTAAAGTACATTACTGTGGTGTTATGACTTGTGAGAATGAAGGAGAGAACTCAACAAAATGACTGGAAGCGGGAAGTTTTCTGATTAAGAAAAGTCCATAAAATAAGAGAAGGTCCTTAATTACAGCCATTTTCAGAACTGCCGATATCGACAATTGACATTTCCTCTTTTTCTTGGAGTCTTATGGGCTCTGTTTTATCTTGATACACGTAGTATGTAATGGAAGTTGTGGAAGTTGATGATTTAACTTATTCTTACTTTAATGTCTATGTCCATTGTTTCAGGATGACCATTCTATGCCCCGGAGTGTTCAGAGAACAATAAGGCAACCTATCATCACTCCAAGGAATGATGTAAGCTTTTTTCTGTCCGTGTGAAACAATCAACCTACATTGAATGGATTGAGATATCTATATTTTCTTATCTAATGCAGGGTACAGTGACCATTTGTGTTCGAAGGGGAGGTGTTGATGTTGGTCAAAGTCATAACAAGTGGCTTTCAACTGTATCACAGTCTCCTAATGTCATATCGATGTCCTTTGTCCCCATAACTTCACTTTTGGGTGGCGTCCAAGGAAATGGATTTCTAAGCCATGCAGTGAACCTCTACCTTAGATGTCAGTATGCAACTTTTTGTCCAAGTTAGCTACATTACTTTTCCATAAAAAAGTTTGAATAATCTCATATTTCTGTGATAAATATTGCAGACAAACCGCCAATAGAGGAACTCCATCAATTTTTAGAATTTCAATTACCACGTCAATGGGCTCCAGTGTATGGTGATCTGCCTCTTGGTCTCAGGCGCAGAAAACATGTGTCCCCGTCACTCCAGTTCACTTTTATGGGCCCCAAGCTATATGTTAACACCATGAAGGTAATATCTTGTGATGTAAAATATTGACACAGTAATTGCTTATAGAATGCTGGAGATCCCTCTTCCTTGGAGGACTTCCATTATATATATATGTATTTTAGGACTTCCATTATATATATATGTATTTTATTATGCATTGAAGTTCTTTAGAAAAAATTTATAACTGGAGAAAGTTGTGTCAACGGGTATTGTGCACCTATTTATTTGCCTTTATAAAATTTGTATGTCCTCTTAAAACACTCAATGTCTTTGATCACAGTACTTGGGCATATCATTACATACATTAGTTTCTCTTTACTTTGTGGTTCCTAATTTTACAATTTTCAGGTTGATACTGGAAATCGACCGGTGACAGGAATGCGTTTGTATCTTGAAGGTAAGAAAAGTGACCATCTGGCAATGCATCTCCAGCATCTTTCAACAGTTCCGGATACCCTCCAACTCTCAGATGATCACAGTTATGAGCCCATTGACGAGCCAGAGGAACGAGGCTACTTTGAACCTGTCAAGTGGAGCATATTTTCACATGTATGCACGGCCCCAGTACAGTACAATGGTGCCTGCATTGATGACTCTGCTTCAATTGTGACGAAGGCCTGGTTTGAAGCCAAGGCTGTTGGAATGAGGAAAGTTTTATTCCTGAGGCTTGGATTTTCAACGGTGGCATCTGCAAGAATCCGTAGATCAGAGTGGGAAGGACCCTCAAGCTGTTCTCGAAAATCAGGATTCATCTCAACCTTGATCAGCACAAGGTTTAGTACTGCATTGAATCAACCCGTGACACCAAAAAAAGTGGATTTGAATTCAGCAATTTACCCTGGTGGACCACCTTTACCTACGAAGGCACCAAAAATGGCGACGTTTGTAGATACCGAGGAAATGTTGAGAGGTCCTGAGGACTCGCCAGGTTATTGGGTGGTAACTGGAGCCAAGCTTTGTGTAGAGGGTGGCCGAATCTCAGTCAAAGTGAAGTATTCATTGTTGACAATAATGTCAGAGGATTCTATGATGTTGATGTAAGAAATCAAATAGGAAAGAAACACAACGTTATTTTGTTGTAAATGTTATCTTACCATGTACATTATCCATTCTTAAAATCGGGTTAAACTGATTGTATATGGCCCAAAGCCATCCTGAGTTGGAAATGTTGATTTTTTCGAGGAATTAAACACCTATTTTCCTCTATATGTGAGTTTTTTTGGTGGCAGAGCCTCTTCTTGATGAGCCTTATAGGTGTGTGAGAGACTTTGAATGTTTTTATATGATGGGAGCTTATTAGCTTTTAAGCTGTTAAGAACAAACTCCTCATCTCAAAAGAAAAACAACTCTTCATTTATAACAAATGACACTTTAGTACATGAAAATGGCACACAAAATTTTGATTTGAGTTAGTAGGGCAGAAAGTGTAGCTTCTTTTATAGGCCCGTGCCTACCAACTTTAACACTTCCCCGGTAAAATCACCAGTAATCCCCACAAGAGCATGAACCATCTTTGAAATGATGGAACCTATTGATGTCCCTCACGATAATCTCCCTTGAGACGATTTTGCAGATGAACTTGAATGCTGTGTGACAGTCCACACATACTCGAAGATTCTTCTTCACCCTAATGGGTGCCCCTGGTGGAGTGGCAATTAACCCGAAAGCCACTGCAAGCTTCTCACTGTGGTAACGTAGGAGCCGCTGCTTTTCACTTTGTTCCACATCATGGAGGTCAATCTCCACCATTGGAGCATATCCAGCTTTATACATAAGGTCAAACAGCTCATCAAGTTTAGCATATATTTCCCTGCTTCTTGAATGACTTCTATCTCCTACTATAAAGGTATGTACCTGGTCTTTGACCTCAATCCAACTCATCCCCGGTTCCTTCTTTACCTGGCCATCTCTCATAAGTCTTCTCATTTTCGCTACATTATCCCACATGCCAGCTGATGCGTAAATATTTGCAAGAAGTACATGGGTACCAGATTTTTCGGGCTCAAGAGCTAAGAGCATTTCAGCGGCACGCTGGCCAAGCTCAACATTTTTATGGATTCTCGCAGCACCAAGAAGTGCCCCCCAAACAGAGGCGTTCGCCTGAAATGGCATCGTGTTGACAAGCTCCATTGCCTCATTTATCTTCCCTGCTCTGCCAAGGAGATCAATCATGCAAGCATAATGCTCTTGCCTTGGCACAACTCCAAACAATTCTTTCATGGATTCAAAGTACTTTCTGGCTTCAGTTACCAAACCTGCATGATTGCATGCACAGAGAACACTGACTAAAGTAATATGATTGGGGGAAACACCATATTTGAGCATCTGATTGAATAAGTTGAGAGCCCGTTTTCCATGCCCGTGTTGAGCAAGTCCTCCAATCATTGCAGACCAGGAAACTATTCCTCTCTGAGGTACCTCAGAGAAAGCACGATCCGCATCATCTATGCTTCCACATTTTGCATACATATTAACAAGAGAATTCCCGGCAAAAGCATCGGACATGAATCCAAACTTCAGAATGTGAACGTGGATCTGTTTCCCTTGCCCATATGCGGATAAATTTGCACAAGCATTCAAAAGAGAGCTGCATACAAATGAATCAGGTTTGTTCCCTCTCCGTTGCATTTGCAAATAGAGTTTTAGAGCTTCTTCTCCTTGTTCATATTGAGAATAGGCTGTGATCATGGATGTGAAAGCCACCACATCCTCAGTTGAGCATCCTTCAAAAATTTTTGCCGCGTGTTCTACTTTGCCACATTTTCCATATGTATCAAGAAGGCTATTTATAACATACATGTCAGACTGAAAACCTGATTTGACAGAAAGTGCATGAATTTGTTCACAAAACTTTATGGCCTGCACGCTTGCTGTGGATTTGAGAACTGTGGATAAGGTAGTCTGGTTGAATTCTATTCCCTCCTTGTACATTTCAGAAAATAGGGATACAGCTTCTATATCTTCCCCATTCTGCGAATGTCCAGAGATCACAGCATTCCATGCGATCATCTCCTTCTTTGGCATCATATTAAAAAGCACCCTTGCATCATCTATCATCTCACACTTGCAATACATATCTATCAGTCCCACATTGACAAATGAATCTGATTCTGTATCCATCTTTAGCAAGAAAGAGTGCAACTGTCTACCCAATTTCTCAAACCCCAATCCGGCACAAGCTTTAAGTGCACTTGATAATGTAAACATATTTGGACAGATTCCTGATCCGTTCATTTGTCCAAAAAATTGTAGAGCCCAATCATGGTACTCGTGAAGAACACACCCAGCAATAACAGCATTCCAGGAAACAATATCGGGTTGTGCAATTTTCTCAAAAACTGAAATCGCATCTTCAAGACCTTTGACTTTTGCATACATGTCAACAAGTGCATTTGCTGAGAACGAGTCGGACTCATATCCAAGCTTAACCATATATCCATGAATTTTCCTTCCTCGAGTACCATCCCCCAACCCGGTACATGCATTTATTATACAAGAAAGACTATACTCATTAGGTCTTACGCCACTCAGAATCATTTCCTGAAATAAATCCATTGCTTCTCCATAGGAATCAATCTGCACATAACAAGAAAACAATGCATTCCACGAAACGACATTCCGTTCTGGAATTGCATCAAACAGTCTCCTAGAATCCCCAAACTCCCCACACTTTGCATACATAACAACCAAAGTATTAGCAACAAACTCATCGGACTCAAATCCCGTAAGCAGCGCAATCCCATGAATCTGCTTTCCCAGCACCGAATCTCTAGTAATAGAGCACGCCTTAAGAACACTGGGAAATGTAAACTCGTTACACTTAACCCCCAACGAGTGCATTTCACGAAAGGCTGAAAGGGCTTCTTTACCAAGCCCATTTTGGGCATACCCTGATATCAAAGCAGACCAAGAAACCAAATCCGGTTCAGTACTTTCATCAACCAGTTTCCGGGCGTGCCTGAAAAACCGGCACTTGGAGTACAAATTGATCAAATGGTTCCGAAGACTTTGGTCTCCGGAACATCCACATCTAATTATGTGGGCATGGACTTCCATGCCCACACCAACAGACTTGGAAGCAGCGCATTGTGACAAAAGCTTAGAGTAGGATATGGAAGTGGGTGAGAAATTGCCCCTTTGGACTGAGCTTAGAACAGGGGTAGTTTGAGCGTCTGTGGTGACTTGAGCTGAGGTTTGGATACGTTTGGCAGAATCTGGAAAATGGGTTGGGAGGGTTTTGGGTTTAAATGGCAGGTAAAGTCGTTGGGGAAGAGGGTTTTGGAGGGAATGGATGAAGCAAAGCTTCATGGTCCATTTGATCATTGACTAACCGTTCAACGCCTGGTAACGTCACGCAGTAAAACGTTTTATGGCGAAATCAATTATGCATAAAAAAAATAGATGTTTCTCGTTTGTTTGGGTACGATTTAGAAAGAAAGAGTGCTATTTTATTCTTTTAATAAATTTTTTATAAATTACAAATGAAAAATAAACAAAAAAAGGCCTATAATTTTTAAGTTTTTTCTTGTATTTAGTTGGTTCAGAAACTCTTTGTGGGTATTCTCTCTACAAATAATCTAAACATAAAAAAAAAAAAAAAAAAAAAAAAAAAAAAAAAAAAAAAAAAAAAAAAAAAAAATTATATATGTAATATTTTTCAATACTTTTCTCAACTAGCCCACATGTGATGGATCTTGCATGGTCTCACCTAATGCAAGAGTTTGGAAAAAAAGAGAGTAAGAATTATGGGGTTCTTTGTAATTACATTACCTGAATTGCATGCTTGCATGCCAACATGTTTCCCCAAAAACTACATCCCCTTACTTGAATTGCATTAAGCCCTTGAGTTCATTGTAATTTATGGGGTTCAAATTTGAGAAGGTTGGCCTAAAGTTTTTTTCTTCACTGAACTAGACCTCCGTTGGCTCAAGTAACTCTTCTTTTTAGTGGATTTCATGAAGAGATTTCTTGAAGTCTGATATCTTGTTTAACAGGTTAACCATTAGTCAATGCTTTTGGTCGTTGATGAAATTGCTTGCACAGTGTTTTTCAAACATGCGAGTTTGGATAAACTCACATAATTAATTTTATCCATGACAACGATATGATCTTGAAAGTCTACCAAATATTAACAAAGTTAATTTCTTGGGGGGTTGGGCGAAAAAGACCCCTTATATATCCTGTTGACACTTGATTAAGGTGCAAATTACAAATTTGGCAACACGTGTTATATCAAAATTGGAAGCAACCTGTGTTAGTGTGTGTTGCAACTTGCATTAGCTTAGAAGGATATCAAAATTGACAAGATGGTTTAGCTCAGAAGCTAGCACTCAATGAAAAGGCTTTACCTTTCTTGAGCTTTATTATCATTTGGCATTAATTACAACTTACAAGATGATCATATCATCATATGCTAATTAAACTAAACTAAAAGATAATTAACCACTGCTTGGAAATATTGGGGGTGTTCTCCTACACTTCATAAACAAAACAACATGCGGGGCGGCGACCAATCTATCATCTCTGGCAGCTCTTATACTTTTGTTTGCTTATCTACCACCCAACAAATCCCAGAAAACTGATGAAACCAAACAAAACAATTCAGACAGTTTTACAGTTAGGAGATTAACAATTATATTCAGAGAGAGAGAGAGAGAGAGAGAGAGAGAGGAGAGATAATTCCAAAAATATGGGAAATGAGAGTCAGATGACTAGCTAGATCAAACTGAGAGAGAGAGAGAGAGAGAGAGAGAGAGAGAGAGAGATGATTAGTTATTTGATTACCTGAGAGATCGAAGAGCAAGGTGTTGGGTAAGGAGGTGGAAGAAGAAACTGGCGCCGTGAAGGAACACCACAACTCCCGTGCACCCCAACACAAATAGCTCCACCATCATCTGTAAACGGATCTTCTTCTTCTCTATCCTTTACCACTATTGTCTATTCTCTATTGGACTTAAAACACAGACAGAGACAGTATATATATCAACGTCGTCCTTTTTATTAGACGTAGCTGGATTTTTCCACACCAACAGAACAGCCAGTTTCTTGTTTTTTGTTTTTGTTTTTTATTTAAAAGAACCAACCAAACAGTCAACTGCGCAATAAGAACATAATGGAGTGCCGACGTATGATATATCATTGATTGTTATTTTATTTATCTTATTAACAATATATTCCATGTGCATGAAATATGAACTGTGTCATCTACTCATTTCATACTACTTAGATTACTCATTTCATGCTACTTAGATTGATAACAAATATGAACCGTGTCATCTACTTATATCGTACTACTTAGATTACTCATTTCATGCTACTTAGATTGATAAAATCATATGACGGTATTAAGCATGGCAAGTATGTGGAGAAGAGCTCTACTTAAAGCCTTAATTAATTCAATCGGGATATTCATCGTCCATGGGATACTGCCATTGGCCACTCATGCGTACTTTTTTCACAATATCATCCTATGATCTAAACCGTTCAATTGTTACATCATACGATCATTGCAACAATGTGATTGCACTTGTGTAAAGGAATGCGAGAGAGTGCAAATGGAAGGCGACTACTAGCTCTCTCTAGAAAATTTCAGTCCCAAATAGGAAAAAGCATATCGGAATACCAAATTCTGAATGCTTCAATGCTTAATGATTTTGATCGACTTGCACAAACGAAACGATTGTGGTCTAAATCTTTCAATTTGGTCGTTTAGAGATACAAGATAACTTCCATAGGAATAGCAATGGTTCTTCAATATTAATTTTTTTTTTTGGGGGGTCCTCTTTAATTTCAATTTAGGAATAGCAATGGTTCTTCAATAAAAGTTTCCTTTGATCATCAGAATTCAATTCATCTGCTTCAACTGGAACCAATTGAGACTTTTGCTATGCTGGAAACTGGCACATTCACCCGTTTGTTTATCATGTACACGCTAACTATCATAAAATTAAGGTTCTCCATAAACTAAAGAAATCAACGTTTCTTCAGACTGCATTACATTCTGAATCTGAAGGAAAGGTGCTTGGTAAAAGACAGGTTATTTTAATCAAGCACTCATACTGCTGCTGCTGAAATACTCATATGAGGCAGGTATTGTATTGGGTTGTTTTAGAAGGTAAAACCATTAGAATCCCACCCAACAAGAACCCCCATCATAAGATTTTGAATAACTCATTTTTATTTTTATTGAAACAAACTTACTGTCTCCATTAGTCACCTAACAGTGTCGAGAGAAACAGATCTTGCATAAAACCAGCTCTTCCAGTAGCTTGTCGAATCCTTTTCTCCCTCTCTTCATAACTCAATGAAGGATCAAAACTGCAAAAGAGAGATAGACGGAGAGAGACGGAGAAAGAGAGAGAGACAGAGAGCCATATTTCAGATTCAAAGAACAGCTTTAGAGGCGCTTGGGCATGTATTAACCTTAAAGATGGGGCATCAGCTTCTTCAACATTAACGGTACTTTGTTTTGGGGTCAGATTATTACTTCTATGGTCTAGGAAATACTGGATGCTTAATAAAAACTAAGTATCGTCTAGGAAAATAAATTGACACCAATTCAAGCATTGACTTGGCACCACCTTGGCTACTAATAGTTATACCTTGGAGAGGTCTGACCACACCGATCCAAACAAAAGTTTGCCAGTGTATACTCCATTCTGTATGACCAAGGTTGATGATTTTATCTACCATACTTTTGATGCACCAAGAACACGCACAACAAATTTTAGAAAGTAAAGAGAGATAAGTTGAAACAAGTACTTCCACTATACACGGGAATGAGGTAACAAGGTAATAACCACCATTCAAAATATTGAGTGATGGTGACAATTATGTGATGCATATAATTGAACAATTAATAGGCTATAGAAAGGGCTGAAAAAGTCAATGAAAGCACAGTTTCTAATATGAAACAGTACCTTGATTTCCAAATATGTGCTGGCGCCACATTCTTTGCAGAAATGTCCTCAGCAGTGGTTACCACAGATTTTGAAATTTCATCTGCTCCTGATGCAGGGAAATTCAAAATAAGTGATGACAGGAACGGATCGGTAGCGGCATTAGACACATTAGCATTGTCTGATCGATATCCACCACTCCCTAGAAGCACCTGAAGATGAGCCTCACGAAGATCCCGGCCAAGGAGGGACAGTGCCTGACTGTTAGGAATAGCAACTCTACGTAACCTGCGACGTCTCTGCAAGTGATATTCAGTTAAGGAAAGTACAAAAGACAACAATCAAACTTTGTTCATGGATACATTATCAGGAATCCAATTTGATAAAATTCCAATTTAAAGGATATCTTGAACAAATGTCCATGTTGCAGTGTGATATGACTTAACATGTCCCGTGCAACTTTAACAGAGCAAATGGGACAAACCTACAAAAGAGAGTAATTTTTTTGCATGAAGCATCAATCAGAAATTAAGGGTAAAAGTAACTAGCACAAAATGAAGGAAAGTTGATTACTTTTTGTTTAGTTACTACAAAGTTTTATCATTGCAAGGATAATGGTGGAAGTACAGAAGAAGAAAACCAAAAGAATAGAAGTAACAACCACACCATTTCATCGCTCAAATAAAAAAGAAGCTTAATGTGGCTTAGAGTTGAACAGAAGGGTGAGAATTGGAGGCGTTCTATATAAGCGGACATATCATGAAAGACGAAGGGCGACAATTGGAAGCGTTCTATATAAAGAACAGAAGATACCATGATGAAGAGTCATATTCCAAGTCATCATAGAAATAACTTGTTAAATGGGTCCAAGAAGAGACATTTCCCAGCTTGTGTTGAGGTTTTGTGTATGAAAATAACTACTTAAGCCCTCTTATACGTTTTCTAACAAAAAAATCATCATTATGTCACACATTAACCATCTAAATCTATCCTTAGCTTAAACATGCATCATATGGGCAATTCCTGGAAATTCCTTTGTATTAATTCCTCCCTTCCTTATCAAAAAAACCAAACGGAAAAAACAACAAAATTAAATCATTTCACTAACATATGAACCATTTCAAATATTTCAGGAAAAAAGAAAGATACTTGGGCGCATTCCTACCCGTCTTTTTCCTCTTTCTTTCTATAAGAGGAAAAAACTACGATTTTATTTTTAAACCAATACAGGACTGCATGCTCAAAAGAAGAAAGCAATGACAAGATAGCAGTTATAGTTATACGCCTTTGATAAAATCAAAATATCAATCGCAGATTTCCAGATTAGGCAATAACATTTGACCAACACCAAAAACAAAGATCATAGCTTTTTCTTCTTCCAGGAACCAAATCAACAACTTTATTTATGTAACAAATATTATGCATATAAAAAAAAAGAAAAAGAGATAAATAAGCACATACGGTGACTTTAGATTCGCACGAGTGCTCGTCTTCGAGGTGCGAGCACAAGGACGCGATGTCGAAGTCCTCGTAACAATACGGGCACGGGAAGTCGGGTCGGACCTCGTCTTCAACCTCGAAATCATCGATGCTTAACCGATCTTTTTTTTAATATTATTATTATTATTTTTTTACAGAATAAGAAAAAGGAGAAATGATATATCGGATTCAATAATTGATGAACAGAGATGAAATGAGAAATGAACAAAAAAACAGAGCAAGAGGGGGTACGGACCAAAGTGGGAGCTCTGGTGATGGTGCTGCAACGTGTACTGGCGCTTGGCGGCGGCGAGGCGGGAGGTCCAGAACTCAGAGTCCATCGAAGAAGAAAGAAAGATACGATTCGATCCGATTCAGCTCAGGCTGTCAAGCTCTCTCTTTGATGATTGAATAAATAAACAAAAATTAACTTTCAATTTTAAATTAAAAAAAAACAAAAAAAAAAAAAAAAAAAAAAAAAAAAAAAAAAAAAAAAAAAAATCTTTATCCTCCAAAGTCGGTGTTTATATTTGTGTGGCTTAATTTTCAGTTTTCTGTTTTCTCTGAAATATTATGGAAGTTGATTCTTCAAAAATGAAGAGAGAAAGAGAGACCGAGAGATATTTGAGGAGGAAGCTGGATTATTTGACATGTATAAATAGAAATAGAAATAGAAATGTAAAATATAAAATATTCAGATTGTGGAATGAAGCATAAATAAATAAAATTTCGGAGAAATTTGACTTTTTCTTAAATATGAGTATGACTATGAGGACGCTGAGGGAAGCATCATAAATAACGATAAGGATAATTAAGGCGGTAAGAGAAGAATAAAATGATTGACGACATATTATATAGGATAGGATTCATTTCATTAATTAATTTTTAGTTAAATTCTGTTTTCAGGTTTAATTGTAGGATTTCGGACCCTAAAAAAGGTTTAATGGTAGGATTTGTGGTCAGCACTGAGTATCGGAGTCGACATAAAGCAAATATGGAAAGATATGTCGGTTTTTTCGTCGTATTTTATTGGTGGTCTAAATTTGTGTTATGTTTTTGTTTTTAAGTTTTGAATTTTGTGGACTCAGATCACGGAGGAAATTTTGCCCACATTCGCCTCACCACATTGTCTCGTTTTGCTCTTAATATTAGTGCCTTCATCACTTGGTTTGAGGAATCTCCATATTTTATTTGTGATTTTTTATTTGAGGATGTAACATATAGTTTTAGGGGCATGTTTTGAGGGGGATTGGGGCACACTCTATTAGAGATAAAGTTCCTGCTCCCACTTGCAGTTAAGCGGATAAAGTTATCCAGTTAGATTGACAACCGAGCTCATTGATATAAAGACACTTAGTTTTTGTATTAGTTACCCATATTTTCCTCAATAAAAAGCTATCGCTTTTCTCTCCAAAATTATTATTATTTTTTTAATTTTCCATTTCGAGTTTCGACCATATATTTATAACTTCCATGTTTCTTTTCTTCCTTGGGTGGAATGTGAATGGAAGCTGACAATAATAATAAACCACCAATGAGACGACAAAAAAGAATTATTCGACATCAAACCCTATACATATAACTTTTCAATAAATAAATACATATAACTTTGCTTTTGTTTATTTTTCCTTTTCGAGTATCGAGTCTCAGCGATGAATTTTTATATATTTTTTTAAGTGTAAGATGCCAATGATATAAACTGCTTAGGGATTTTTCTGTGTCTGAATAGGTACCATTAGACTAAGAAGGCTATAGCATTCATCTTGTTTGTTTGTTTTCTGAATAATGATGGATCTTTTCCTCTTTGGATTCAAGAATCAAACAGAGTGCTTCGATTTGTGAGTGTTCAAGTCTTAGCCTTGACTGAAATAGTTCTAGTCAAACTGCTTTCAACCGGCTTTCAGGCCATCTTTAACGCCTCATGGCTCATGGACGATGAGCAATTTGGCTCTTCATAGAGTCAAATTTCTCATCCTATAACAAGGTCTAAGCAGGTCGACTTGGTCAACTTACTCTGGGCCTGTTTCCAACTAGATGTATTTACTTCTTTCATATAAAAATTAAATAAAAAATTAAGTAAAAGATATATTTACTTATTAGGCTCAGAATCATGAGAATTGAGGAGAAGGGAAGATGATCCATAGCTTGGATCAATAAGTTCAACCTCAACCTCATCATGATCAGGATTTAGAAATTGGAAAATTATATAAAAACAATATAAATCATCATGACATCTACTTCCTCAAAATGATTGTAGAGCCAAAAACATTTCTGTGAATTATCACAGCCAACTATGATGAAGCATGCCTCAAGCAAAGTCCTACAAAGTCGATTGAAATCCAATGAAAACTACGATCAATGCACCGCATCCCAACAGATAATAATCATCCATCTACAATAAAAGAACAAGAAGTAAACTTTTTATGAAGACTGAGAAATTTGGAACCATTTTAACCATAATTTGCAGTTCAGATGAAAATGTAATGTATAATGAGACAAAAGCATGAGTCAGTTTAGACATTAGTTTCTAAGTAAATAACAACAACATTCACAACTGAACTTTATAAGCAAGGTAAACAGAATCGAAACATGGTAAGTCTCCAAGCCAAAGTCTGAAGTCTGCTAATGAGGAATCATCACAGCCCTAAACAAAGAAACACCCACAGTCAAAAGAAGAAGAAGAAGCTTATAAGGGATTTGGAAGTGGGTGGCAGAAAGGGAACTATAACATTTTATCTTCTAGGTCCGGAGTCACAGATACGAGATAGAATGAAATTTGCGGCAAAGTTATTATCATCCTTACAACTGATTTCAGCAAGTATAAGAATCTAGTGCAACTGTGCAACTATTGCCTAAGAAACTTGATACAAAAAGGGACAAGTTATTAGCAACATCAGAATCATATGCCTACACTTGTTAACTTTTCTGCTCATTCAATCAAGTTATAACAGCTTTCTTGGCATTTCCCAAATTATTCTATGAACATGAAGTGCAAGTGCTAGACTACCATATCCTCTATCCAAATAAAGAAGTTTCAACACTAAAGACAAATCTTTGCTGAGGAAGAAACTAGATTAGAAACATTGAGTGTTTCCTCCAGAGATGAAAATAGAATGAAGTCATTAGTTGAAAGTGAAACAAGATGTGCACGAGTGCAATCCTTAAACTAATTTATAAGGAACCATGATCATCATTGTAATTGTCATTATCATCACACTACAAACAGATTCAAATTGTTTTAAACCAAAAGACCATTAGGAAGCACCCAGACATAATTTTAGTTCCTTTCTGCATCAAGAACTACATTAATTTTTTTCACCACCTTGTCCAGCTATATAAAAAGAATCATCTATTAACCCTACCAAAAAGCTGTATTTAACCACCTTGTCTTAGGGCGCAAGTACATAAAACTTTGCTCGAACCCTCTGATATTCATCATACATCATCATTGCAATCTGAGTGAATACAACAAATCAGGATTATTATTATTATTGTAACTATCCTTGTATGACCATGGTGACACAAATAACAAAGAAAAAAGAAAAGCAGTTCCGCCAGAATTTTCATGTTGACTAAATTTTTGCATTTCCATTCAAAGTTTCAACGTTCATATCAGCAGAAACCATCAGATATTCAATTCACCATTGTTGAAAGAATTGCACAAAAGCACATTTATGCAAAGGAATACAACTGTTATATGAATGAAAAACCCAATTTTACACATAAAAGTCAACACTTTGCTAGATAATTGTAGACTGATGGTCTTCTCATCTATTCTACTGAAGATAACAGTCCAATGAACACTTTCAAAAGTCGACAACAAAAACAAATCCAAGTCACTCCATATTTGATGCTTGATCCTCATCTAGTCTTGTCTTGCCCTACAAAAGAAAAAGCATATGCATTCTTTCATTGTGCAAGACAGGGGATAGATAGAGAGAAAGATGGGATAACCCAAAGAAAATAAGAGATTTTGGAAGAAAATAGGCAAAAAAAATGGCTCACTGATTCAATGTCATGGCCACACTTCCATCCATCATCATCTAACATCACCCCCCTCCTCAGACAAAGAAAAAGAAAAAGAAAATTGAAGAACTTTTAGAAAGAACAATTAGGCCATCTGGAATGTAGGTAAATTACTATACTTCCTTTGCATGTAAAGTTGTCCACTTTTTACTACACCTTGTACAAAAAAAAGAAAAGAACTGAAATTGAACAAATTAAAACATAGATTCAAAGTAATGCTCAATAATTCTAATTTAGGGAGGTCCCTCATTGGAACCCCAAACTTAGCTTTTAGATCTTTTATAAGGACCGGCCAAAAAACAGATCTTTTATAGAGGTTTCCTAGATACCATGAAACTGACCATGGGAGCCAATCATATTCCCTCAGCAAAGAAGATCATATATTCAGTTAATTATTCTGACCCATGTGAGCCAATCATTTCTTTAAACATTCTCTTATGGGGGTAGATTTCTAAATTTAACTTCTTCATATTACTGGGTTCAGAACAAACAGAAAAAAAAGAAAAAAAAGAAGAAGAAGAAAGTCTACATAATAGCAAATGAATCACTAAAGGACCCCCGACTTCACTTCAGGGATGAAATAGAAAATACTGTGCAATTAAAAGTAACCACAGTGCTCAAACCTCAGACCATAAACTAGCAATCGTCGACCAATTCACAGAAAAACTACAATGCAAAAGTTGGCCTTGCTTATCACAATTAGCTTGCCTATTGGCTCCAACATCCCAGATATCACAACTTGTAATGTACACACAAAGAACATAAATTGAACACAACCACAAGTAAATGAGCTGATAAGCAATTTCCAGTTGCAATGCCACAAATAACTCAAAACAGCAAATACCCATCACGAAACATGAAGCTATAACTCAAAAGGAAAAGAGGGAATACCTTCAGGGGTCCAACCGTAGGAGCGCTGAGAGACAGAGAGCATCGAAGTGAGCAATGCAGAGGCAGTGGCTGTGTGGTACGGAAGCATCGTCTCCACACAGCAGCTCAACTCCACAGGCGACCTTCACAAGCTCAACACAACATATCACACATGTTAATGAAAATGAAAAAATGAATATGAACAAACAAAAATAGCAATAAGATTTAGGGTTTGATGTGCATTTGCTTTACCTGAAAATGCGAGGAGGGGTGGAGCTTTGGTTTAGTTTGGGGATGCGAAAAGGCGAGGAGGCTGGTTTGGGTCTGGCGGCGGAAGCGAGCCTCGAGCCGACGGTGGCTCGAGCCGCGGTGGAGCGGAGGACAGACCTGGCGGCGAAGGAAGCCATGGCAGATGGTGTGGTTTTTGGGGTTTTAGGATTTGACGAGGACTTGGGTGAAGGTTTTGGGACTTTAGAGTGGCGGTCTCATGTATGTGTGTGTATGTCTACTCCAATGGATGAGGGGCGTGGCATATGATGATTGGGAGATATATAGACGGCTATGATTGGGGGATATAGATTAGTTTAGTCAAGATCCAACGGTTTGTAGTTATTTGTAAGTCAACTACAAGTAATACTCATAAATTTAAGTATAATTTATTCAAACCCATGTATATATTTCACATGAATATGGTTATAAAACATAAGTATTCATGGTGACATACGAAATCCCATGTTTGATTCCCCTCCTTCCCAACACCAACATGGCAACATCATTACTAAAAACATACAAAACATAAGTAGGAAATCTTGTTTCCAATTGATCTGCTCCACCTATCACAATTATTAGAAGAAATGGGGAAACTTTATGTTATTTTTGTTCTTTGTTACTTGTTAAGGCTGTATTGTTTTTGATCTATATGATATTAACATCTCTTGGAATATGATGCTTGCTTAGTCAATTTGCACACAAGATGCTCTTATTGCTATCAATCCTTTATCTTTCTCTTTCATAATCAATTTGAAGAAGGCAACCAATAAATACCACACTGTCTGGGGACCCTGGGGTCCTGTCCTGAACCAAGCTATCAATGACCTCTTGAATTTTTATCACATCCAAACTTTTATCAAGTCCTTAGAGCTTTAGAGTAAAAATTTTAATGAAACAAACAAATGCAATGCTCTAAATCAACATGTCAACTCAGTTCTCAGTACACAAAATGGCTGAAGAAATTAGACACAATGTTGTGAAAATTTTATTTCCCTTGTGTGGCAATGTAGATGATGTGGTTTAGCCTTTGCCATCAAACACTGCCTTCTTTGACTTGCTCTTGCTCTTACTCTTACTGCGGCTTATCTTTACGAGAGCACCAAGCATCAATGGTATGCAAATTCGTCGAGACGCTACTTGATGCCTCGTAGAGACATCAGAATGTGAACCCTTAATGGAATTCCTGTCATGTTCTTCGAAGCAAATTGAATTTGGGTAGTACAAGCGTCCTCTATCCCCCGTTCGAAACCCTATTAGTCGGCCTAGTGACATGCTGTGGTCTTGGAAGAAGGATGCTGTGGACTGCTGATTCCAGAATATATAGCAGCAACACCAATACATCAGAACTATATAAAAGTTACAACAAATGCAGACCATATTTCATGAGAAGGGAACAATTTTGCAATGTGGGCAACCAAGCACTTGAGATCAAGTCAGTTAAAAGTTCAAATTACCTCAGTGTCAAGGTTGGAGGATGAAAAAGAGGTGAAACTAGCAGAGGGTATGTGCAAAGGACGGTGTCCTACAACAGCAGCCGGTAAGCTCTCCACCACTCTAAGTCTCATGTTCATGATCTCAAGCCCAAGGGGCCATCCATGGGGCATTTCATGATCCTGGGGAGTTACCAATTCAAACATCACCACATAAAATCTTAAATTCATCAATGTTTTTTAGCCAATCACGTCTTACTAGTATTATAACATATCTGCGCTCAGTCAATATATAGGAAAAAATACAACAGAAAATGCAGGTCTTGGTTTAAAAAATATTAAAGCTAATTCATAGGGCGTTGACATTTAAGTGTAAAAGTGACCTTGTTTAGGTCTACCTGCTCACTCTGTCTGCAGCTCAACCAATTTCTAATGAAATGATTGTAAAAATGCACATCCAGTCTTTCTATATAATTCATTTCTCCACTGAGAGAATGACAATGATGCATATTTTATTCTCCTAAAAATGACTTTGCATCTAATTTGCTACTTTGAACTTTGAATCGGTGCTAAAAACTATGCTTCTTTGACAATTTCTAACTAATCATCTTGCAGATTCCAACTAGACGAAATCTTAGTATCAACATAACATACAACCAATAATTTTGTCAAATTACATGTTAGGAAGAAAGACGCAGATGTAATCGCAATTATGTTTCAGAAAGAACATTCTAAGTCATGGAGCCATTGATTTATGGCAACTTAAAGTCTTAAATCATGACCTAAAAAGCTGAGAGCCAGAGAAGAACACTTTTTTCTTCAATAAAACAAAGTTCTTAGATTGTCCACAATAAATTTTCTTCTTCCTCCTTTTCCTGATATTGAAGTGACAGATCAAAGCAGCCTTTGTCTGAGACAAAAGGTGATCATGAAGGATTTTGTCATTGATTAAGGATGAATACTTACACATCCATGACACCAAAAATATGATACTACAAGCATGCATGTTCCATTTCCGCTCTCTTAAGAACCCCATAAGCCAAAACAAAAGAAATTGTTTTAAACATTGAAAATTAAAAAGAGGCAGTGAAGCTGAGGTAACTATGAGGTAACTATGAGCATGATCATAACCAGAGCCAGAGGCAAAGCAAGTTTCAATTCTCATAAATCCTATAAAATCCTATTCAAACACTGAAAACCCAGAAACAGAGAAGAAACCAGACCATCATTCAGAAAACAATGGAACAACAAACACACACTAAGAAATCCTAGAGAATTATAAGTCCTTCAGTTATAAGAGTTCCAAATGTAAGGCTGAAAATGTTACCTCCGTGGCCATGGCGTGAACAGCCTGAGTAAAAGAAGAAAAGAGAAGCAGAAGATTATCACAGGAAGTCCACACACTGGGAAAACGTTATGGAGAAAACAAGGGTTGTTTATATTCTTCCTTAAAAAAGATTACATCAGGAGATTAAATGAGCTTGGGTCCCATCTCGATGTCTAGTTCAAATCAATTGATGATATAACTGCAAATTTACACAACCTCAGCCTGTTGTGTTTTTAATTAACATTTGATAGTTACCATGGCTCAGACAAACGTCAACAGTTTAACCACTAATTCAATTCCTTAATTAAAAATCTTATCTGTGCCACATAACCACCTATTTAAGTAAAGGCTTAACATCATAAATGACTGGTCTTTTTAGTCTGTTCTTGGTGCAGCCGTGCAGTAATTGAAGTTGAATGTTGTAAACCAAGTGGAAATCAAAAGGGTTAGGTGGGTTCATTTAGAAATGAGAAAATATATATTTATTAGGAAACATTAGGAGGTTGAAGCTGTTGAGCAATCTCTGCTGCCTTTTCAAGAGCTGACTGTGATTGTTGAGGTACACTTGGACCTGATGTGAAATTACACTTGTAAAATGGATTATACAACAGAACAGAAAGGGTTGTTTTTTGCAGTTTCCTTTTTGCTGCTTAATTATCCTTAAGTTTGAAACAACATTAGTGATCATGACATCTTAACCTTAACGTGGAATTGCACTGTAGATGTGACAACAGCTATCAGATAATTAATCATGATCAAGGTAGAATTCAATTTTGTGTTTATGGTGCTGTTGTGAAATTCATGAATTTCTGATGCAGTATCATTGACATTTCCAAGAGCTTTCTAACAGGTTGGCATTTGTAGCCTTGTGGTGTATAATATATATTGGATCAAATCATGAATAGTATGGGATGGGTGGGACAAGGCTCGTACTTGAATGGGGTTTTCACATATGAAGCTGCAAGGCCTGTAATTGCTTTACATATTGTCTGTTTAACAGTACATTTTGAGTTTCAGTTCTTTCTTATCCACAAAGACACGCCATTGATTTCATCATGTGCATAATGTTATGTGCATGTATTCAGAAATTGCAGCTTGGGAAGCTCTAAAATGAAATCACTGAAAACGCATTAATAACAGGTGAAAACAGCAAACTAAAGCAGGCAGCTGTAAATTGTAATCGGACAAAGCTAGCTTAGCTGTGTTTCTTGGCCTGCAGTGCAGCTGCTTTTCCCCTCCGCTTTTACTACAAGCACTGTCCATCAATACCAGAAATGGATCTTTGGGGTTGAAACTTTTAGTGGGTCCAGTTTCTGGGTTGCCAAACTCATTCACTTCATACCCTTTTTTGCTATATATATGTCATTCATTTCATGTCCTTGAATTACATTTCAAGTTAATTACTTGAATCAACAATTGGAAGAAGAAGGAAAAAGATTGAAACTTTGAATCTTTGATCAATCAATTTGAACCAACGATTTAACCTTTTTCAAATGTCAACAGTGACATGCAACTATGCAAGACAGAGAGCAATTTCTGTGCCCATATTCATTATTCACCAAGAACTCACGGCACAGAAAGTAGAAAGAGAAAAGTTATGACGTGGGCACATCTGAGAGGCTGAGGGAGGAAAGGAAGGAAAATTTTCAAGTGAGAGATTAAAGACCCCATGGATGCTGGCAAGCAGCTTGAGTTGAGATGAGACAATGAAGGTGAAGGTTGAAAGTGAATGGTCGCAAGGAATGATTAGCTGGGTAGGTCAGGTAGGGACCAAAAAGGTCAGGATCAATTTTCCAAAACGTGCCCAACACAGTTGCACGCATAAAATTATTGTTTTGGTCGCTAGCAACTGGCAAAACACCAGCCAAAGCTCGAGTGCCAAGACCCTCCACCCTCCTAGGAAATTGAATGCCGACACCGTCCATTTTCCCATATGTTATCCCAACCCACACGGCACACTTCTAATATACTGATAAGCCCTGCAAATTTGGCAGTTTTTCATTAAAGAAAATGCTAATCACAATCGCAAATTGTTAATTAAAATGAACCTCATTCTTAAGAGTGAGACATAACATAGTACATTTACAAATGCATGCATTGAAAGGTTGTATAGCAAACCTCTAAATTGATTACGGATTTTGTGTAAGTAATTTCTTATCATTGAGGAAATGCCAACTCCGCATGCATCAATGGTCTGAAATCACTTACAAGATCGGAAGTGACTCACCGTAGCACAGCTCGTTGACCTTTTCTTTCTTCTTGTCAAAGTTCAAACTTTTTTATAATGGGTTTGTCAGCCCCTCCAGATTGTTTGGTTTTTCTTCGGGCTTATGCTTCAAGAAAGTTGGGCCATATTTTGGTATTTCTGAGAAATGTTAAACCACAACGTATGGGCAACAACCCATAACCTATTACAAACATGGGCTTATTTTCTTCTGGTGGACCTCTAAAGCAAGTGGACTCTTAAGTTTAATTGTAAGTCAACCTCATTAACTAGGAATTACAACGTTAGAGCATCTCCATGAGAGTTTCCAAATTTTGGTCAAATTATAGTTAAAATAGCTAAAAAGCTATTATAGCAAACCACTTAAAAGGTGTTTCCTCCTCCCTCTTTCTCTTGCAAATCAAATATATTTATAAAAAAAGTAGAAACCCAACCCCACCAACCTACCAAATGTCTCTTTTTCTCTCTCCCTTTTTCTCTCTCCTCCTAGCCAAATTCTCTCTCCTCCTCTCTACATGTAGAGAGCCAAAAGTTGGTTTTCCAAAATACATAGCCAAGTAGGGAGTGTGCTGGAGGATGATTTTCCTTCTTTTTAGCCAAAGTAACTAGAGAAGAAATGATAGAGAGTATGTTGGAGATGCTCTCAATCAAACTGAGGTTGGTGGCCATTAATTCCGGCCTATATTTGCAATGCAATGCATAAAGTAAAGCTGTTCACAAAGTTGGTAGAATATATGTTATTGCCTTGCCTCTCATATGATAGTGATGCTGGGGAGAAAAAAAAAGAAAAAGAGGGAGAGGGGGTCCAAACTGAGCAAATTCTATCTACGCAATTACATACAATTGTTAATTTTATTCCTCCTCTTCCCTACATGATGCTTGTTCTGTTCCAAAGTGGCTTGCTATATTCCTAATTTTATTGTTTCTAATCATTCATTATATCTAAATCAAGAATTTTGTGACTGGTTATTGTTAGAGAGTGTAGAGCAATAGAAAATTCTGAATTATATCTTGAAGCTGGAAATTACATGCCATGTTCTGCTGGAATATTCTATATTTAGTAGATAGTTGAATCAATCCAAGAAAAAGCAACCTAAAAGTCCATGTAATAACTCGTTTTATGTAAATATTCATTTAAGATTCATGAGTAAGGACGGCAAGTTGTAGATCTAAGTCTTAATCAAGTACTAAACTAGCTCAACAACGTTACATCAATCAAACTGAGCAATGCATAAAGTAAAGATGCCGCGTGCATGCCTAAAAATTGAATTACCTTCGAGACCGTTTCCTGGGCCGCCTAGAAGAAGAAGAAGCGTCAGCAGCAATCTCTTTTCGTCCATTTTCTCTTGACCTCTTTGATGATAATAGTGTATGTGTATGTGTACTCTGCTGCTCTTCCGCTTCATGATGATGATTTGAACGACTGGTAAGTATTGGCGTCGGCCACCATGGGAGCACAAAAGGAAAGACTGGGAAGACAGATCTCCCTCCCCATCTTAAACTGAAAGGTGTGAATTGAGTGGTCCAAGTGGTCTCCTTTAACGTTCTTGCACCAATGTTGTACATGACAATGCGACCAAACAATTGTAGATACAAGACATCCTCATTATTTGGATCCAAAGCTAGCACCAAAACCCTTTTTGTCCTCCCGTGGTGCTCATCGTTCCACTTTTTGGTGAGAGGATTTGCCGAGATTAAGTCGAAAATGCGAGCTGTGTCTACCAAACACCATTTTGCAGTCTCCTTGACTTGACCATGACCTTTCCAATCCCAATCCCAAACACCATGACCATCGTCTTTCAACTCCCAAACACTCACAGCACCTAGAGTGTGAGCAGGATCATCATGATCTAAATTGGTAGAGGAGAAGACGCACATCCGCAGACACCCTTCTCCTCCTCCTCCTCCACACTCACTTAGGAAGTCAAACCTTCCAGATTCGATTTCAGGCTTATCAATGTAACGAAAGACATATATACTATCACCAAGCTGGTCACGAGGAGAGTAGAGATCCAACCCAACGGTAAAGCCCTCAACATCACTCCACCAATACAAGCTTCCATTGTGAGCAACCCCGGGCTAGGGAGCCATTTGCTAAAACAATACCTCCGTGGGCTATTTACAAGTCCTTGCGTCCATTGACCAGTCTCAGAAGAGAAGATCTCCATGTAGAATTCGCTGGAAACCTCCGGAAAGTCCAATTTATCGTCATTTATTCGCACAACCTTGTACCTATACTCAACATTAATAAGATTATGATTAAGTTGAATATTAACACTCCTCCTACTAGATCTTTCTAGATCTGCTGCTTGCTTTCGATAGTAAGGATCGCATATGAATCCAACCATTACGCGCTTGTGGCGTCCTCCTGATCCACGTCGTGGGGGGAGGGAGAGCATCCCATTGCTTGGTGTATGGATTGCAGATGTAGTAATCACGTTGATAATACGTGGTTGCACAACACAAAATTAAATCATTGTATGCTCCTACCACAACCGGCTCACCTTTATAAGGATCAACAATATCAGCTTGGAAACAAGGGAGGAAACTCAGAGACAACTCATGTTCATGTGGTTGATGATCAGGCTCCGATGACATGGAAAAAAAATTCCTCTCACATGGTTCATCTTCATCAGGCTGCTCCAATGATGATGTGGAAAGAAATTTACTTCTTCTTCTTGTTGTACGCCTTCTATCCGAGATGATTATAGCACGTGCAATGATGGGGTTTTGGTTATCACTTTGGATTTAGAAATAGTGTTGAAAAAAATAAGGATCAAATATGAGACTGAACCAACGTTTGGACACACACATGCATCGAGCATTACACTTAGGAGGGAGTCGGGAAAGAATTTCTAGCAATACAAACTCAGGGAGATCGTCAAGACTAATATTCATGGGCATGGCTAACTCTTTCGATATTGGTTTTTCGGGTGCCCACCTTTTTGATCTTTTTAATGGAGATTGATGATGATCAGAGGCTTCTCCAATAGGTTTGGATTGGGATGTTCTACTGCTCCAACTCCTTTTGGTAGCACGAGGTCTCATATTGGCGCCGATCGATCCGTGCAGTTTGATTGACTATTGCAATTTGCAGAGAGGATTTGAGTCTTGAAACATATATAGCTACTTACCCTACTTTTAATCACTATATATAGGAATATATATATATATATATATATATATATATACACACATTGAGGGATTCCTCAAATAATTTTATTTGAGAGATGCCCTCTAGGGTACCCTACCATTTTTTTTTCCTAATAATTCAAATCATCTATTTTTTAGGTCTTCATTCATAGATCATCCTTAAAAAAAATTAGACAAATCGGAAACCGTTTCGACATCAATTGTGTCTTACAAAATCAAAGAACATGATGTTTTAAGAAAGTACTAAAATTTCAATAACTCAAATGAGTGGTCAAATGATATCGGATTCAAGTAATTTTTTGTAGAGATGATCTTTGAATGAGTATCTACAAAATAGACAGTTTTGATTAATGAAATAAAATCAGGAGTAAGACCTACAAAGGGTGTCTCTTAAATAAACTTATTTGAAGGATCCCTCAATGGAAGCTCTTTATATATAATATATATATATATATATATATTTATATTTTGGGGTCGAAAATAGGAAAAGATATCCACACACAAAAAAAAAGGCAAGCAATCACTAATTATTAATTTATAAATAGGAAAGAAATCCCCATACGAATAGGAATTAATTTATAAAGGAAATATATATATTTATAAGCCCTGCAAATTTTGCAAGTTTTTCAATAAAGAAAATGCTAATCACAATCGCAAACCGTTGATTAAAATGAACCTCATTATCGCAGTTTTTATTGATGCATGCATTGAAAGCTGTATATCGAATTTTTATAAATTAATTAATTACGGACCACACGTAAGTAATTTCTGATCGTTGATAAAATGCTAGCCCCTCACGCATCAATGGTCTAAAATCACATACTCGGGTGGAAGTGACTGACCGTACACACCCCATTGACCTTTTCCTTCTCCTTATCCAAGTTCGAACTCAAACTGTTTATAGTGGGTTACATAATGGGCTGCACAACCCCTCCAGATTGTTTAGTATTTCTTCGGGCTTGTACTTTCAGAATGGTATTTCTGAGAAATGTCAAACCACAAGGTATGGGCAACCACCCATTGCCCATTACAAAGAAAAGTCCATTGGGCTTAATTGTGGGGTTCATACTTTACATTGAAGGGAATCAAAATTGAAGTTTAAGATCATGACCTACACTTGCCCTCCACTTTCTTTACTGCTTGTGCTTGATCAGGCAGGCTGGTGTGTAAGTAGATTTTTATTTATTTATAGGTCACTTTACACTAAGATGCTAAATAAGTTGAGGATAGATATGATGAAACTGAAAATTTTAATGGGGTGGGGATGATTATTAGTCCTACATGCTCTCATGAGTACTAGTACTGCAATTATATACCCTTTTGGTGAAATGGGCCTCTATATTCATAAAGACTGGGTCACAATTAACTGGGTTAGTTAGTTCATAATATAAATGCACGTGAGTGCATTACTTGGATGGACGAGGAAGATGGCAAGAAAACACACTCAGCTCACTTCTGATGAAACGGAATTTAAAGAAAAGAAAGTTTTGGTGAGGTTTTAAAATGTCTTGATTTGGCAAAGGACTCACTAGTATAGTGGTTTGGAGTAATTGCTCTTGAGGCAAGGTTCTGGGTTCAAATCCTAACATCCGTGTTGTGTGTGAGTTTAGTATATTATTGTCTCTCTGAACAAGAAAGGTCCTTGAAAAAAAAAAGTCTTGATTTGTAGCTAGCTTTGCTCTTTATTGAATGAATAGGTAATGAAGCTTTAAAACTGGACCAAACTTAACGCGGAAATTGCAAGATAGCTTTTGCTCCTAGAGGCCCTTCTACCCTCTATCTGGTCCCAATTAAGTTGGTTAGTTTATATAATATAAATGCTTATTAATAATATACATGCATTGGGTGGATGGTTAAAAAAAACAGAGTTACTCTGTTACTCAAACTTTGATAGTTCAATTCCATGGCATACTGGGATTAATTGGAGACGACAAAACTACAGTTAATATACCTTCTAGCTTCACAAACGACATAGAAATGGTACATTTTGAGGTTAAAGGTTGATGCGCGTTGGCAGCTCAGATCATGACAATCAAATATCAAATCAGGAAGTTGATTTTGTTCTTTTTGCTCCACTTTCTTTTGTGCAATGTACAGTATAAGATGGGCGCAAAGGAAACCCACATAGCTGTAGTTTTGTGTATAACCATCCAAGGAAGGGAAAAAAGAAAAAGTTATTGGTCAAAAAGATTGAGACCCCAGCTTCCCCGCAATTGAAGTTGAATGATATTTTGCTTTTTACCAACTAATTACTCTTGTGGAAAATGCCGCCTGGCCTGGCCATATTGAATACTTGAAAGCAACCTTGATCTCAGTCTCCTTCCTTTGTCTTTTACAATATGACTATGAGCCTGCTAGGAGCTAGCCTAGGGCTCAAGGCTTAGGTGATGACCTTGTTATGAACGAGCCTGGATGAACAAATATGAACTGTTTTGCAGAAATAAGACCAACCAACTTAGCAAATTAAAGAGTTAAAATAAGACAAATGCTCTTATAAGCAGAAGCTACCATCATATATACTTTATTGACTGTTTGTTTCAACTCGAGTCCACAAACTTCAGCTTTTTCAAAGCATGAACATTAAGCACTTATGAAAAACCAGAGACAACAGATACATAATTAAATAAACATTACAAAAACCCTTCATAAAATATTCTATTTTTCTTGTGTTTTTAACTCCCACTTGAATATGTGATCTGAGGATAAATATATCAAACATAGCAAAGCGGTACTAATCAAAACAAGTCTCGGCTTATGGCATGAACTCTTCTTCACTCTCTTGGAACTGATCCTCGTTCTGGTTCACATTGTTGTTGCCATTGTTACCCCTGTTGTACCAATTTCTTGAATCCACCACCCTAGAATTTTCATACTGGTTCTGATTGTAGTTGTTCTCTCTCGTACTGTCATAGTAGTACCTTCCGTTCTCCAAAAACCTTGTGTCACTCATGCCCTGCCTCTCAGCAGTGTTGTAGTTGTTGCTTTGGTAATTGGTTGGGGTTGTATAGCTGCTCTGTGTAAGCCTTGCATCATTCAAGCCCTGATTCTCAGCATTGTAGTTGTTGTGGGTGTTTTGGTAATTGGTTGGGGTTGTGGTTGTGGTGTAGCTGCTCTGTGTGAACCTTGTGTCACTTGGGTTGCTCTCAAAATTGCCACTGTAGTAAAAGTTGTTCTTGTTGGGGCGGTATTGGGTGCTGTAGGTCTCAGGGTACTTGTTGGTGTGCTGCTGCTCTTTCTCTGACTCAGCTGTATATGGCAGGTTGTTGTTGTTGGTGGTGAATTGTGCACCATTGGTAGTGGTGTAGGGTGCACCGGTGGTTGTGGTGGTGTAAGGTGCACCGGTGTTTGTGGTGGTGTAGGGTGCACCAGTGGTTGTGGTGGTGGGAGGCAGCTGGCCAGACTCATGGCCATAGAGACCATATCCACTTTGGGTCTCTGGAATGAAGGCTGGCTCTTGGTCTTGCTTTTTCACAGGGGTTTCTGTTTTGGTGACCTCTGTCTCCTTCTCATAGTTGTTGTTGCCATTGGGCACTTTGCTAAAGAATTGGCTTTCTCTAGCTTGAGCTTGTTGAAAGAAGAGGAGAGATGTAAGGAAGAAGAGGAAAGAGAACAATTTTGCAGCAGAAGCCATAGTGGCAAGTGAACTTGTTGGGAGGCAGCTGCTGTAAACTGAGTGTATATTGTGGGGGAGAGCTAGTGGTAGTCCATTCTTTATATAGAGGACACTTTTTCTTTTCTCACCCAAAATTTTCAACTGATTAGGTGCAAATGGGCTGGAGGACGGGTGATGGTTTGTGGTCCCCAGTGGGAGCAGAACAACAACAATATTGAGCACCCTTTTTTTTTACCTTTTTCTAGTTAATTAGTTTTTTTTGTTTTGTTTTTTTTTAAAAGATATGTATATACACATTACTTATTCCCCTTGGATGCACTTCACGCTTTCCATGGAGGAAAACAACATAATTATCTGCCATTTTTCTCTACTAAAAGCCAGCCACTCAGCTCATTCTGAACTTGCTTAACATTTAGCTTAGATGACCCATGATTTTTCTTTTCTTCTAAGCAAATCAAAATATGATAAGATAAATTAGAGTAAAACCCAGCTAGCAGAATTCATAAGGAATATGGAACTTTAATTGTGGGTGTTGATGGTGTTCCCTAAAGTTGAGGGAAAAAAAATTAAAATAAAGAGGCAGCAACCACAAAGGATAATTTGGAAATTAACTACATGGTGCCAAAGATGAACCAAGACATTGCCGTGGCCGTGTAATTATGCGTGGATTGTGGAGTGGGTGGGGCATGCATATATGATATCATATGGTGCACGCAGCACGCAGCATGTGCCCTCTTTGCTCGGTCAAATTTAAGATACATGTCTAACCTCTACTGAAAAAGATAGAGTACTCAAGACTGAAAGACTCATGTTCTTAGTCCCTGTCATGTTTTAGAGTTATGCTACCGTCAGTTGCGTGTGAGTGCTTGACGCGTTCTCAGTTGTTGATGAGTGCAGTGAAAGCCGAAACTTTAACCTTGTTCTGGTTCAGCTCATTTACTGCTTTCCTGCGATTTAAACCAGTACTAGCAGTGTCTTCTTCTGTTAGTTGGACTATTAAAGTTGCATAACCAAAACCTAGTAGATGGACAGATAGATAAATACTTGATACCAATCTCATTCGACATAGGGGTCCAATTGATGAATAGTAGATAGATACGTCACAAAAATCTCATCTGCTAATATGTAGATCCCAACCACTGGGTTGGTCCACTACTAAATTATGAAATTTGTCAGCTGAGGAGAGAAATAATAAAGATGATATTGAAATTTCCTGTTGGTTAGATTTTGTTAAATTTCCCGACTTCTGTCACATTTAATTTTTCTAAAGGTCATTTTTAAAGGAAAAGAGAGGAAGGTTAAAGAAGCTTCGATGCCTACATGCGCCACTAGCTCCTGTCCTCCCACAAAAAACTCAAAGCATTACTTCTAGTTGCATCATGAAAGCCAAAGCAAGGGAGGAAAGAACAGGTACATGCCATCATTGAAGTTGATTTTGGAAAGCAAAAGCGTGTTAGCACCTTCCTCTGAAAAAGAGCTTAGTCTTAAAGCAGTAAAAAAAAAAACCCCTTTGAAAAAGCAGCCCTTTAGGTTAACTTATAAATCTCACATTATGTAAGTTGTTTTTTTACTTCTAATTATCTTAAACCAAGTTTTTTTTTGTTACATTGGAAGGAAAAAAACCACTATGGGGTTTCGATCTTGAGTGCCAAGGGAGGGCCACAACCACTGTGGTAACTCCACTCGACATTTTAAAACCAAGTTTACTTAAGCCTTGGTGAGATTTTCAACAGTCTCAGTGAGTGGTTAACTTACCCAAACAAAACAACCAACAAAGTGAGACTTTTAAAAGATAAACAAAACATATAGAAGTCTCAAGGCATCCAAGAGGCAAGAGGTCCAAGATCCAATTTCACATCAAGCTTTCATGTGGCATTTGGTGATTGAAGTTTGCATGTGGCAAGTAAGTCTTCAATGTTTGGTTATAGCAGTTGCAGAATTAAAGCACTTGATTGATAGAAAGGGTGGGGGCCATTGTCCTTTTCTGTTCTCTCCTCAACCTCCTTCCTCAATGGAAAATGGGGTTCACCCACCAACATCCCTCCCTTCCTCACTCAAAGCAACAGACAAAGGAAGATGCTTTTGTCAACGTTTCTGCTTGACAAAGCAGCTAGAGCCTTTTCTTTATATTTCTTTTCACTTTTCTTTTTATTGAATTATGTGAAATTTGTTGCGCGATTAGCGGAAGGAATAGTTTCAGCCTTTCAAATGCGTTTTTTCTTCTCTTTTTCTTCTCTGTCCTTTCCTTTCCTTTTGTTTCTCTTGCAGACTTGAGTTTTGAACAAAAATTAGTGGGAGCTCAAAATTAATAATACATTTATCTGCAAAAGACTACTGATTTCAGCTGAAAGCTAGCTAGTATAAAAAGTTATAAACTCATTCTTTTATATATATATATATATATATATATATATATAGAGAGAGAGAGAGAGAGAGAGAGAGAGAAAAGAAGCATTAATAATAAAACATAGATTTCTCAAAGACCCAGATACAAGAAGAGTAGGATAAGATGTTAACAACAGGAACCACTTTTAATTTAAAGAAATGGGTTCCAAAACAGAAGAGAAAGCAACAAGAGATTGGGAACCAAAATAGGAAGCACAGGATTAACATCACCCCCAAGGCGTTTTCTTCTCATCCTCTTCCTAAAATTCTCTCTCCTCTGCTCATCACCCCACTGAGCTTCCTCTATTCCTTTTGCAAGAATCAATGGCGGGGGCAGGTGATAAGGGCATTTGGACCTCCAAGAAGTCTCAGGAAACCCAAATCTGGAGACCCTTTTGAGGAAGAGAGAGAGGCCCCATCGTAGATGGATAGGAGGGAAGGTGGATTTGGTGCAGAGGACTGGTGGGTAGTCCCAGTTTAGGTAGCATGGGATTTGGGTGGAGATGAAGAACTGAGAGTGAAGAGGTGGTGTGGTTGTTGGGTTGATTAGGACATGAGTTAAGGCATGGAGCCTTTGCTCCCATGTCGTGTCTTCCATTTTTTTCTTACTCATCTCTCTATCGCAAGAATCAAGATGAGGTTGGTTGACTTGAGAGGACGTAGGCGCTAGGCGGCCGCCTAGGCGGTCCTCTTTTATTTTTTCGAAATATATTTAAAACGTATAGCCGGGCGGCTATACTCTTTAAATATGTTGACATGTCGTTGAAATAGTATCGCCGAGTGGCTATACGTTCTAAATATGTTCGACATGTCGTTGAAATAGTATAGCCGATCTACTCTTTAAATATGTTCGAAATTTCGTTGAAATAGTATAGCCGCTCGGCTATACAGTTATACATTTGAAACGTATAGCCGCCCGGCTATAATGTTAGTATGTATATACAAAATTACAATTATTACAAATTTATAAATAAACTCAATCCTAGACATGTATTTATAAAAAAACCCAAGCACTATTTAAACATAGAAACACACCCAAAATCAACCTCAAAGTCAACTTTTTGGGTGTGTTTATAAATGGGTTTTGAGTGTGTGTAATGATAGGTTTTGGGTGTGTTTATTTGTTTAAATAGTGCTTGGGTTTTTTTTATAATTTCAACCCTCATTTTGGGTGTTTTAGTGAAACTCCCTTATTTTTTTGGTTTGAAAATATGTCGACATGTCGTTGCGGTTATACTCTTTAAATATGTTCGATATGTCGTATTTTGAAACAGTATAGCCAGTCGGCTATACCCTTTAAATATGTTTGACATGTCGTGTTTGGAAACAGTATAGCCGCTCGGTTAGACTCTTTAAATATTCGAATATATTTGAAAAGTATAGCCGCGCGGCTAGACCTTTAATATGTATATACAGAGTCTCACATTTTATTTTTTTGGGTTTGAAAAGATGTTTTAAAGGTTAAGCTCAATTCTTTTTCTTTTAAGTACATAACCTGTTAGATAAGTTCAATTTATAATAACACTAGTATTCAAACTTAAGAAAAATATAAAGTTAATACCTTGGTCCTTATTTAGAAAATAAAATTAATAAATACATTTTTGCGAGATGATTTGAATTTTATGAAATGTGGCCAATAAGAAGAAAAGAATTTTATTGATTATAAAATCAGTAGTCTTTTTTCTCTTGGTTTGAAAGTAGAATCAGTGTTCTTCTAACTGAAGGCACCCTCAAAGAACACGTTACATCCCTTGGTCGTTCTTGTAAAACTCAATAAATTGTAAACGTGCAATTTACAGCTTAAAGTCTTTACTTGAGGCTATAGGTATATAGCCTATAGTTATTACACTTTGAATTGCAATAGAACTACATATACACAAGTAGTGGTGGCTGTCTCTTTAGTACCCTCTCATTGCCACAGGCTCACAGCTCCTTATCTGGAACAGTTATGTTATTAGAAAGCTTATTGACCATTGATTCAAATCTGTAAAATGTTGCTACTGGGGTGTGGATGAGGGTGAGCTAGCCATCAGAAGGGAATCTGCATGGTTCAATTCCCCAAGTCTTCTCAGCGTAGTCTCGGATTGTTCTGTCGCTGCTAAATCTCCCTGACCCGGCTGTGCTAAGGATGCTCATCTGAGTCCACTTATTTGGATCCGCAAATGCTTTATCAGCAGCAGCCTGTAGTCATATAGATTCAAATCCCACGCGCATAGTAAGTTATACAACACCAAACTCAAACTGCATATATATGCTTTGGGTTGGGACTGCCAAGTAAACAGAGATAATTACCTGAGCCTCTAAATAGCTTTCAAAATCAGAACCAAGCAAATAGAAGTCTTTACCACCATCCACAGTATCACATAGAGATTCAAAATAGTCTTTAAAGCCGAAATAGCCATCTCGAACCATCCTACACATAATAAATATCACAGCAGAATTAGAACCTGAGGAAACAGTTTGCTCAGAACAACATCACACAATGGTCAAAAACGACATCAAACACATGCCCTCTAAAGAATCTGAAAATTCTAGACTGGTCATCCCAATCACTAACTGGCTAAGTGAGTATGATTGATTGAAGTGACTGTAATTGCATACCTTATAACACGTGCACATTGCAGTGGCATTTTAGGAGATCCTTCCTCACGCAATTTGGGAACTTCATGAATCTTTGCCCCGAACAAAAACTGGAGAAAGCAAGTTCTAAGAGAATTATCTCTGCTATACTACAAACAAGTATATACCAATCTAAAATCTTGAAATAGTCAATACACAGATTCCATCTTGCAGAAGTTACAGCAAAAGCAAATTTCAGTTGGTCAACAATACATGACATCACAATCAGCTAATCTTTAAGTTGGCTACATAAATCTCACTCGGACCTTCCATTCTCTACGGAAGCTCATGTTATGTCCAGTCACAAGTCATCTATCTTTGGAGAAGGACAAAGATCAATGCATATCACAGTGGTATGCTTGTATAACTTTATATAAAATTTACCAGGTTGTCTGCTCCTATTTCTTCAACAATTTCAACAGTAGACCCATCTTCTGTAGCTAAGAGTAAACATCCATTCATAAGAAATTTCATGCTTCCAGTTCCGGAGGCCTCGTGTCCTGCGGTGCTGCAATCATCACAAGTTGAGATATCAAATATGAAAACCGCAATAACATTGAAGTTTGGCCAAGAAACTCCAATAAGTATATGGAAGGATTGTGTTTTTTGGGCTTTCATCAAATTTAGATGCTGCAAAGTTTACAAACCTTATATGCTGTGAAAGGTCAGCCCCAGGTATTACCAATTCAGCAACAGACACATTATAATCAGGAATAAAAACCTGGAATAACAGAGAAATTACATCAAATAGAAGATAATTGTATCCATATGTAGAGTGAAAAACCTTCTCATGCTAGTTCCTCTCAATATTTGTACAAAACCAGATAGGAAGAACGCATGGAAGGATACATAATTCTTTCTCTTACCAACTTCAGAAGATCTCCGACATCAGTGTCATTATTTATTTTTTCTGCTACAGCATGACAAAGTTTGATAATCTTCTTGGCAATCTCATAACCGGGAGCAGCTTTTCCTCCAATAATGCAGACACGAGGTACAACCTTACTCCTTTGACTTTTCTCCATGTTCTGCAGCAAAGTGCTCATCTTATAAGTGGGGGCAAAAAGGAAAGAAAGCTCTTACCAAAAAAGAAAAACACATAAGAAGAAAGCTCCAACTCCACATCATATCTCATTGAAAAATCAACAAATTACTGTCCAACAACTTCTTAAATTACTGTGACAAGAAGATGAAAAAGGTATGCACAATACTGGAGGATGGTGATAGCTCTTTTAAGAAGGTATAAGGTAGTTCTTTGCTAATAAGTTATAAAAATATAGAATGCAAAGTTCTTCACCATATAAAATCAGATTCACCTTGATACAGTCATATCGATGGATAATGCCAAGTATATTAAGCAGCTGTCTTTTGTACTCGTGTATTCGCTTTGTCTGCACATCAAACATTGCATCTAAACTAACCTGCAGTTGAAAGTGATAAATTTCAGTGTAATCTATTAGACATATCTTCTAGACAAAAGAAAAAAGATGAACAGGATAGAAGTTTTAAGAACTAGTGACCCAACCTTCACACCACTCATTGCTTCAATGTACTCAGCGAGCCTCATTTTGTTAACCTTCTTAACCTACCACATGAGCATATATACAATAATAAACATACAAACGAGGCCAAAAGCATAATATATTTTTGGTTCCTAAGCAGCTGTACAAATATCAAGCATAAGGAGTACCATCATCCATTCTTGTTGAAGGTCAGGATCTGCTGCATATGCTCGCAAGCCAGTTAGAAGGTCAACATCACGAATCCAAGCTTCTGTTCCAAGCCATTTTGAGATAAGAGCACACAGGCTAGGATTACTCACCACAATCCAGCGACGCTGAGAAATAAAATGTCAGTACATTATCACATACATGCATATAAACTGTATACTGCTAAGAATAATGATGAATCCCTGATTCATCGATACATCATAAGAACAACCTTTGAATATGTTATGAGCCATATAATAACAATAATAGTAAAACTATACACACGTGTATGTATGCATGTATATGCACAAATAGAAAACCTCTCAGACCAAGATTACAGATTGTACAGGAATCTATTCTAAGTTCCACAGCATCATGCATCCAATTAAGAGTTCACCAACAGACAGCATCAGAGTCAAACATTAATTAAGACATATTAAAGAAAACTGCAGGAAAGGTTGATGCATCCCAATTTACTGCTCAACTGGGATGGTTTAAAAACTTAAACTATGTCGAACACTCTGCTCCATAAGCCCTATTTGATAACTATAACAGAACAAACTACAAAGGCCGTTTTCAAAACCCATCTTTGGAGGTGTGTATCTCACCATCCTTCTTCAACCACATAAACAGATTGAAAAGTCTAATGAAACTAGCAAGTACTTTATAAAAGATGCTATGAACTTTATACCTGGGTAACACCATTTGTCTTGCATTGAAATTTCTGAGGCCACAGCTCATAGAAGTCCTGTGAAAGAGGAGGTGTCAGATGACCTAATTTAAGGTATCATAAGAATTTGGATATCTTCAACTTTGTCATAAGACAAGGGAAAAGACAACGATGCAAGGAACACATAGTACCTTGAATAATTTTGCTTTTAGCAATTCTGAATGTACTTTGGAAACACCATTCACGGTATGGGAGCATACAATCGCCAGGTTTGCCATTCGGATACTCTGTCAAATCAAATGGTAATTAAAGGTAAAATTGCTAAGCAAACGTTTTCTCATCAAGAAGACCAAAGAATCCTTAATAAACACCTTAAGAATATACTTTTGAAAGGGGGAAAAGAAGCCAAAAACTCATTTAAGTACAAAAGACTCCCTTGCAGAGATTTCCAAATGCCCCTTTTTCTATGCTCTTCTTTTGTTATGTCATCATTTAAGAGAGGATTATGCATAGGAGACATAATATGATTGCAAGAATAAGCACAATGGTGTACGGATTAACTGTAGAGTTTACAAAATACTACAGATAATACCAGACGCCAACCACAATTGTAAGCCCAGAATCATATATCTATCAAGAATACAACCAAATATATCATCAAATACAATATGGTTTTAAACATACCTTCACCGCGCCTTCCTCAATAATTGACATTCGGGATAGCCGATTGTAATCTAAACCAATCCTCTTCTTCAACTCTTCCACAAACTTAAAGTTTATTTCATATATAATCTGGAGCAATAAAACCTTACCACAATGATTTGAGTGCCAAAATAATAATCTCATAAAATAATGGTTATTGAACAGATAATTCTATTATAATTAGTTTATAAGGTTGCTTCAGTATAAAGGAAAGCATAACAATCTGATGGAAATAGAACTCTAGGAGTAAAGATGAACTGATGCACAAATTGATAAAAATTTCCAAAAACCTAGTAGACCACTATCTTGATGTAAATTTGTAATATATATGACAATTAAATCAATATTTCTTCATGTCGAAAAAGAGTCTTTAGAATCTCACTTGTAAATGGCGTGGGAGAAGACTGCCCAGTAAATCAACAGGGATTTTCTCCAACCCTTCAGCAATTACTGCGTGTATTGTGAACGAAAAGATTTTGCAAGCAATGTCCCATGCTTTATTCCAACCCAAATGCTCTTTATCAACAAGCACTCTCATGACCTCAGCTATCGCAAGAGAAGGATGAGTATCATTGAGCTGCAGAGCAACCTAATTAAGACAAGGAAAAATGAGCCGAGGAAAAAAGGAAAAACAGAAAAGCAAACCTGAACGACTATCAGAGGAAAGTAATATATATAAGTTCATTGTAGCTAAAACAAGCTGCCATATAGGGTAATATTCCCTAGAAATCAACATATGATAAAAAGCATATTATTAAGACTTGGACCTTCTCTGGAAATTCATCAAAGTTACTGTGAGCCTCTTTAAATCTCCGAATTATGTCTTGTATGGATGCTGAGACAAAGAAATATTGTTGCTTCAATCGCAGTTCCTTCCCCTGTAATACAAAATAAAGTGAAAAGGGAAACATACTAAGCAACAAAATGAGAATATATATGAGTCATCCCCATGGAAACCACGTAACTGAGTTCATGACTTTTCTCCAAACTTCTAAGAAGGTACATTTTCTCAGAAACATGCAGATAAAAGAAAAGAACAATAATGATAAAACCATCTTTCTTTTCTTCAAATTAGTAAACATGATTTACAACATAATGCTGGAAAAGAAAGAAACTATCATGTACTCAAGACCTCAAAGATGTTTAATGTTTACAAGGTGGATAGAAACGCAGGGAAATAACAGCACGATTATTGTACTCCAAAATCCTAAAGTTTGAGAGTTCAAGCTATCCATACAGTTCTTATACAGAATGCTAGATAACAATATGTTGATAAACTGTCCCAGCATCTATAAAAACCTTAATGATAGGCATAATGGAAAATCTTCATCTCATTGAAGTAGCCAGTTTCTGCATGAACATATCATCTTTTGCTACAATACAATACATATTCAAAATATATTATAAATAAGCAATAAATAACGGCATTAAGAAGAAACAAGCAAACCTGAAATGAACGGTCATCAGGGTACAATACACTACTTATATTTTCTGCTTTCTGTCTGCAAACAACAGCATTGATGTAATCTCCAGTATTATAAGCTTCCTGCATGTGCGGATCATTGCATAGAAAAATTAGTCTCACCTAAAATTTATAGGAGGCAAGAGATGGATTCTATTGAAACATGAACAATTGGAGGGGAGAATACTGTAGCTACTCTTTCATTTGGGATTTCCGTGGGATAGTGATTAAAAATGCATTTCTGGAAATGCATAATGTTTAATGTTATTAAAAATTACCATATCATGTTGATCACTTGGTTTTCCGGCCCATAAACGAAGAGTAATAGTATTCCTTGTTCCATAACCAGGTATGGGATTATCATAAGCCACAGCTTCTACCTAGCAGTGTGGAGACAAACCACTAAGCTGAAATAACCAATTATATTCATCATGTTTACAAGATGCAATCCATCTTGCATATATGAATTAAACAATATCAAGGGATTTGTAGAACGAATGCAGCCTTAATAAATGGAAAAAGAGTTTATTGTCTTACCACTTCTCCAGGGATCCAAACATTGCATTTTTCTCCATTCAAATTTTCCTCTTCAACGACCCCATAGAACTTATCCATGTATATAATAATAAAAAACAGAAGTTAGCAAAAGGTTTTGAAGTTTTAGGAGATATAATGAATATCAAAACAATCTCGATTATTCAATGAGCACTTTAAAAATAGAAGTATTTGCATACCTTCACTGGATACGTTACATGAACCCGCTCTGTTTCCCAAGGATTTCCAAAGTTCAACCAGAAATCGGGTTGTTCATGTTGGAAGCCATCCAGTATAACCTGGCGGAATAATCCATATTCGTAACGTAGTCCATAACTGCAAATTGAAGATGCAACATCACCAAATTACATCCCATGTAAGAAATTGTTGGCAAAAAACTAGTACCATAATAAAAATGGTGCGGAGTTTTCATATTGATTTATAAGTTTAGTACTCAAAGCCATTAAGCATGCACATTATTATAACGCATAAGATAAGTGAGGCACATCAAAGCATTTCCTATGGGATCACTAGCCTATTTGAGTTTTGAGTTCTCTCCAGAAAATGCTTCTATTCTAATTTCTAAAGTGTAAAGAATCATGTCTGCCGCATTTTTTTATCAAGCGGGAATAATATGCTATACATTAGGGGTAACCCTTGCTTGCCTAGACTTCACTGTCTTGGAGGAGGAAAGAGACCAAAGAGCTAAAAGGGAATGTTATCCTAGTATTAAAGACAAAAATTTGATGGGGGTATAATGAATTAGATTATTATATGCTAACAGAGAGTCGGCATACCCCCATGCAGGATAGTCCAAAGTTGCCATAGAATCCATTTGGCAAGCTGAAAGACGGGCTAGGCCACCATTACCAAGGGCAGCATCTCCTTCCTTGAAACATCAGGAAAACACTTACCATAGCAGAATAAATTGCTAAATTAAGTATATATACCATGGTGTGCATGGTATATATAAGAGATCATAATGGGGGAATGACATCAGCAAAAGAAAAAGGTGTGCATACTAACTTGCTCTGCCAAAACTTCAAACTCAAAACCAAGCTGGCTTAAAGCATCTGCATATTGATCCCGAATGCCAAGGTTGATGACACTATTTGACAAGGAACGACCTGACAGCTCAATAACAAATAGCATTTCAGCGGCAAGCCAGCAATACATCAGGGAAATATATACGGCACTAAATTTGGAACTCATGGAAAACAAGCAGTCACTTCAATACAAGATCAAAATGAAACATTATCAATTAGTCTAGAGAGGCTTGAGATTAACAGACACTAGCATCATCAAAAGTCCATAGATTGTATAAAACAACTCTGATGGAAGTACATAAATACCCATTAGATACTCAAACGAGAGGAAGTATACGCGCTTAGGGTCTTTCCTCTTGAAGTAAAGCTGAGTATCATGCGAACGTTCAATCAACCGGTCTCTTACACTATGCGCCAAGGCCTGCAAAATAATCATAGCAAGTGTAAATAAATATGCAAACACTTGATAACTACAATAAAACTCAGGGAACCCAGAATAATGATAAATGACGAAAATGAAGAACATTTCCCGCCAAATTTGAGAACATTCAACTGTGCCCTGTTATGCCAATTTTGGAAACCACAAAATCAAACTATTCAAAAACATAAGCCCAAAGATTACTATAAGAAAACCAAATTACCTGATAAGCTTCAAAATCATCGAAGTTAAAGCGGGACCTGGCCACCGTGTACTCAACGTGACGAAGAATATCCTGCTGCAGACTAATGGAGTCATTTTTCAAAAACCCATCCATTAGCCTGAACATCCTTTCAGCCTTGGCACTATCGGAGCCCAAGCTCATGCCCAAACCCGACCCGGGCCTGCGGACCATCACACCTCTCGTGGTGGGACTGGTGGGACCCATCGAGACCGTACCACCGTCTTCGATGGCGTCCGTCAGGGCCTTCTTGATCCTATCGAGGCTATCCGGGTCGGCGATTTGCGCGCCATGAGAATCGGTGACGAAGAATCTTTTGACGAAGAAGTCGCCTTCGAACTCGACGGTAGCTTTTTCAACGTGGAGGCCGAGGACTTTGAAGACGCCGGTGATGACCTGGAGAAGGCCGATGCGGTTTCGGGCTCGGATCACGAAGAGCGTGCCGGACGGGTCGGATTCGGACTCTGAGTTCTCGACAGTGACAGATGAAGCGGCGGAGGGCAGCTGGCTAGCGGAGGCGCGTATGGGTTTGGCAACATGAGTGCGGCCGTAGAGGATCGATGATCGCGATGACCGTGAGAAGCTTCGAGAATGTGAGGGAAATAGAGGGAACAGGAAGGTGGAGGATGAAGATGCGAGCTTTGATTGGTCAGTGATGGTGAAAAGCCGTGAAGATAGCGTCGACATTGTAGAATGCGGGGATTTGGAGGGATCACATTCGCATGTGGAGAGAGACTCTAGTAGAGAGAGCTTCGGAGTTTGGAGGTGGAAGAAGAAGAAGGAGGAGCTTTGAGTGCAATCACAGTGAGTCTGTGAGTGACTGACCGTGATAGTAGGAAAAAGGGACTTTCTGGACTTTTCACTTTTGGAGGGGACAGGGTGAGGATACCAAGTGGACAGCCTCATGTTCATACGGTGAGGCTTCGTATTCTTTCTCGCCACACCTATATTGATTTTTGTTTTTATGTATGTGAATAAAAATGCAATATATATTAGGCAATGGAATTCGTTCCTACAGAAAAGATGAAGGATGGGAGAAGTCATAAATTGGAGAATTTAAATGGGGTAATCAAGATATGAGAATTGGATTAATTGCTTCTTTTATGAGTGCGGGCGAAGTTGATTTCATTCTCAATTTTGAGGGTATTTGATTACGGATTATAGTTGATTTATTTTGAGAGTATTTGATTACGGATTTTTTTGTGGAACTCACATAATTTTTTATTCCTTATGCGTTAGTAGATACATGAAAAGTCAAGAATTAGAATCATTTTAATTCACATATGCTAATAAACACGTAAAATTTGAATGATCTCAATACCCATTCATGATCGCAGCACCGCATGTGTCACAATTGCATTGGATCTAAGAGCATGTCCAGCGCAATGAAGTAACCCGGGCAAAAGGCCCCCCAAAGCCCAGTTTTGCACTCCAGCGCAGCAACTGCAGCCCGGGCAAGCCCTGGGTCCCACCAGCCCAGGCAGGCCCAAGGGCAAGTTCTGCCTGGGCTTCAGCCCGAGTTTGTGACGTCAGCGCTGATGTCATGCTGACGTCAGCGCGCGGAAATTCAAATTTTTTTTACTGTTGTGCCACGTGTCGCGACAGGGACACTCCGATCGTTTTTTTTTTCCAGAAATCCGACGGTCCTCGTTTTTTTTGCTTAAAAAATTGCAAAAAAATTCGAAAAAATTCTGAAATTTTTTTTAAAAAATACCAAAAAATTCTGTATTTTTTCCCTATAAAATACCTAACCATTTTATTTTCTTTCCACACCAAATCTTCATACAATTCTTCTTTATCCAATATTTTTTAGTCTCCACTCACATTATTCACTTTCCACACCAAATCTTCATTCAATTCTTCTACATCCAATATTTTTTTATCCAAAAATTTAATTACAAAAGATTATCAAAATTAATGTTTTAAAGTATAAAAAAATAGGAAATGAAGTACAATGAATAGTATTTGCCTTTGACTTGCCCTAGACCTTGCCCTCATGGGTGGAGTTGCAAATGGCAAGGCTGACACTATTCACATGAATAGTGGCAGCCCTTGCTTGCCCTTGCCTTAGACTTAGCCCTTGTGGGTGGAGATGCTCTAATGAGAAGAGCAATGGGGTTGAACGTGGGCGATGAATACGTGCAAAAGAAGGGTCGTCCCATTGGTTTTGGCAGCAAAAGGCAAGAAAGATGAACAGCAAGCACGCCCCTCCCTCCCACCGTTGTACTAGCATAATTGCATTGCACCCTCCACAGTCACGAGCCTCAAAGCCCAAAATTATTCACAGCACAGCAACACACGAAGCCACCTCTCCACCTCCCGCCAGCCGTCACACTCACACGTGCCTTTTATTGGGCTCAAGCATTTGCCACCTCGTTATGCCCTTTTACCATACTGTAAATTTTAGATGCCACGTCACTACAAAACCACACAGTAAAGTAAACTCTCTATCTGGAAACTTCCACACCGTTCTGGTTCTTTCGACATATTGTTTCTCTTTCCTTCGAATTCCAGTGCCACTTTCCTTAATAAGAGCAAAGCATCAGTTTTCGAGCATACCCAATTATAAATTTTGATAGCCTTGAAGAATTTGAGCAATTCATTGAGTTTTAAAAACACTAGCAGCTGTCTGAAGAGCAAGAAGATATGGGTGTGGATTACTACAAGCTTTTGCAGGTTGACAAGAACGCCACAGATGACGATTTGAAGAAAGCTTACAGAAAGCTGGCCATGAAATGGCACCCTGATAAGAACCCCACCAACAAGAAAGAAGCTGAAGCGAAATTCAAACAGATCTCTGAGGCCTATGAGGTTGGTCTTGCCTTCACCCTTGTCTTCCTTTTCTTCGTTCACCTATTTTCTTTTGGTTATTGTTGTTGTTGTTGTTGTTGTTGTTGTTGTTGTTTTTTTTTGTTTTTTTATTTTTTATCATCTGGGTTTTATACCTCTAAACAAATCCCACATGTTCCTCACCTCCTTTTCTATTTAAGTCTCATTGTATAAGTTAAATTTTCCATTTTTACATTTAAAATTCCTCAAATGACAGAAAGACTCCATCTTTTTTCGTTTTCTAGATGGTGTACGAATGCCAGAGCTTGGAATCTGATATTGTGTCTTTTGAATTTATAGGTTCTGAGTGATCCCCAGAAAAGAGCAATTTATGATCAATATGGAGAAGAAGGCCTAAAAGGCCAGGTGCCGCCACCAGATGCTGGTGGTCCTGGTGGAGCTACCTACTTCCAAACTGGGGATGGTCCAAATGTCTTTAGATTCAACCCCAGAAATGCCGACGACATTTTCGCTGAGATTTTCGGGTTCTCAAGCCCCATGGGTGGAATGGGAGGTGGAATGGGAGGTGGAGGTGGTGCTGGTAGTGGCATGAGGGGTACAAGGTCCTTTGGTGGACTGTTTGGAGATGATATGTTTAGCTCATTCGGAGAAGGCCGGCCCATGACTCAGGCTCCACGAAAAGCTTCACCGATAGAGAAGAGGTTGCCATGTAGCCTTGAGGAGCTCTATAGGGGGACTACCAAGAAGATGAAAATATCAAGGGAAATTGCGGATGCAAGTGGGTAAGTTCCTGCTTATCACTCAGTTTTATAGAACATACTTGTGTTTTTTGCTTTTGTACTTGTTTAATTTATTTTATGACTTGTGCATAATCAGTTATTCATGCATTTGACAATTTCAGAAGTTTCTGTAAAAAGGATGTCAGCAGTTTTCTGCTTTCCAATTTTAGTTGGACTTGATTTGAGTTGATCTGTTTATTGTGTTCTTATCTTTTGAAAAGAAAAGGAAAAAGGAATATAAGTGTTGCTACCATCCCATTTCCCTGCTGTTGATTGAATGATTCGTTATTCATATTGCAAGTCATGTGACCAATCTATCTATTTTCTGGGTTAGTGACCTTACTTATCATGTGATGCAGGAAGACCTTGCCAGTGGAGGAAATCCTAACCATAGAAATCAAGCCTGGCTGGAAAAAGGGAACAAAAATCACCTTCCCAGAGAAAGGGAATGAGCAAGGAAACGTAATTCCTGCAGATCTTGTGTTCATAATTGATGAGAAACCACACAGCACATTCACAAGGGATGGCAACGACCTTGTTGTCACACAGAAGATCTCCCTAGCAGAAGCTCTCACGGGCTACACAGTCCATCTGACCACGCTAGATGGAAGGACCCTTACCATCCCCATCAACAATGTCATTCATCCAGACTATGAGGAGGTTGTCCCTAAAGAGGGTATGCCCACACCTAAAGACCCATCCAAGAAGGGCAACCTTAGAATCAAATTCAATATCAAGTTTCCGACTAGGTTGAATTCTGAACAGAAGGCTGGAATTAAGAAACTTTTGGCGGGATGATTTGATTCGGGGCATGAGTTGATTCATTCGATCCACCATGCGCCATGCGAATCTTCTGGGATCTTCTGGGACGCTTGTGAATATGTTTTTTGAGATGGCCTGGATTTGTATAACTAGTTAGTCTTTGTAAGGTTAAACATTTGTTTGCCCCACAGATGTAAGCTGGTCAACTCTAGCTTGGAAGAAGCATCAAATAAAGCTTAGTTATGTGTTCTAGAATTTAATCTTGTTCAGTGATCGCATCACACGATTGTCTCCAATATAAATGACCCTTTCTCCAAAATTGAGTTGCTTGTTTAAAAATGGGAAAATAAAAATGAGAAAAAACTCTTACATATCTTCAAATACTATCTTTCATGAATATAACTGAAATATAAAAGATAGGATCTTTGCAGTATAACTTGCTCACCTTTTTCATTAGGTAAAGGTTTGTTACACGCTTAAAATGACTTACATGTTACACTGCATAACTACTGCAGGACCTCTATCCAGTACTTCTATCCAGACTACTGCTAAAAATGTAATCCATAAAGAGGGAAAGTTTAAAATAAAAGGGAGGCTAATAATAATAACAACAATAAAAAGAAGATTTGGTGGGGCAATATTGATTCCATCACCAGGATAGGATGAGCCGCTAGTGAAGCTGCAATATCAAAAATTATATTGCAGCCAGTATATCTGGGATGCTTGCACAAAGGCAGTTCAGGTTTCAAACTTCAATCACTATAGTCATCTGAAACTGCAGAATCTGAGCCATCATCATTTGTAATCTTGTTTTGTATTTCATCCGAGGCATCACTCATATCTACATCCCCCTCTGAATCTTCATCTCTCACTTCTTCAATGCCATTATTGTCATCTTCAGAAGCATCAATATCCTCATCACTTGCTTCCAGTAAGCCCTCGTGCCATCCGCTGGAAGTCCCATCAAATCCAGTTTCCCAGTTTCCTTGTTCATATCCCACTGCTTGGTCATCGTCTTCAGATTCCAATGCCTCTGCTTGTTCATATCCCTCTCCTTGTTCATCACCTTTCATATGGATCATATCTATCTTTTCATCATCCCATTCCTCACCCAAGTTTCTTGGGGACTCACCTCCACTTTCAGGGCTACTGTGTACGTCAGTCATGCGGCCCAGAGGTGTCCCCCCAACAGCCCTGTCCTTTGTTCTCCTCTTTCTAACAGTTCTGCGACCCCGTGCACTCCCTTGTCCTTGTGTTCTTTTCCCAACCGGTCTAAACCCTTGACTCAGATTCCCACCACCCTTTTGCCGACTTGCACCAGATTTGGAATTATTCACTTTTCTCTGCCACTTTTTACCACGCCCTTGCTCACGACCTCCTCTACCACGTCTAAAGCTGTTTCGTGCACTTTTCAGGTGAGTATTGTTCTCTTCCCGAATGTATTCATTGTGGCCTACTTCTGTTTGTTCAGACTCTTTCAGTGGGGCAAGTCTCATAGGGAGCTTCTGTGGACAAGAAAAGCAAATGTAAGATCACTCATTCATGGCACATTGAAAGTTGTATAAACACCACCAACATAAATTCAACATATTCTATAAGGGAGGTCCCATGCAGATAGACTCATATGTAAGACCACTTGTTCATTGACACAGTGAAAGCTGTATAAACACCAACATCAATTACATATATGGCTAGCATATTCAATATTGGGGGGTTCCATCCAGCTAGACTAGAACCGACAAATCTTCATAATATCACAAGAGTTGTATTTTTCTAAAAGAATTGCAAGCATTTGTGTCAGTAATCATACACCTGATTCTCTTTCAATGAGAGCAGAGAGAAGAGCAGGAACACTCACCAGATATTCTTTGACTTCTTTGTCTCCGTTGGGCTCAGCTTTCTCAAGCTGTATATGTGTAATCGATGAATCCATCTCATGAAGCCTCAGAGCCACAGCTGCAGTGGTATGTGGTATCCAAGGAAGTAGGGGAACTGATCCACTGTCTAGAAAGTCAGGAACAAAAACCTCTGATTGTTTGCCGGTGCCAAGTAATTCCTCCGTCGCTGCAAAGTTTGATGACAGAAAGTCTCGCTTCACGGCAGTCTCAAGCAGAGTCAATATCTGCAACAAAGTTTGTCCAAAATTGAGCAACTCAATATATAAATTATGTATCACGAATTGACACAACATGAGCCATGGTCATACTGGTCCGAAGCTCACCGGTGAATAGAATACCATAACACGTAAAAAAATGCATGCGGAATTGATGGATAAACATTTCCACATGATATTTTCATATTGTTTGTGAAAAAAAATCAGGAAATTAATTTACATTATGACAAAGGTTGAATCATAAGAATGAAACTAGAAAAAGGTAAGACAACCTGTAGAAGTTCTTCCGTTGATGATGATGCATTCAGTTTCCCACCCCAGGTCTTTCGACGGTCTTCAGTCCAAAACGATTGAAGAGCTTCTGGTGGAATAGATACCTGTCAAACAGAATGTCAGTGATGTATAGACTCAATAAAATAAAATAAACAAGTGCAGATGCATTAGATGCCACGTTCTTAGGCAAGCAAAACTCAAGATTATAGTAAAGCCATTAGCATCTCACCTCAACATGAGCTATTAATGCCTTGAGCAATCTTCTGGCCAAGGGAAGAGAAGTACATGGAATATGGGAATCCCAAGGTTCCAACTTCCTTTTTTCTTTACATTGAATCACGTGTTCGCTAAAGTTAAAATTTGCATAGAAAGCACTGAAAGTCTGATGGCAAAAAGCACAGTGGGAATCTTCAAAGTAGTAACAACTGAGGCAGAAATCGCAAACATCAAACAGTGATCTGCACCTCTTCTTCGCATACTTCATGGCACAAAATGTAGATGAGCTAAAGCATTCTTTCCACATCCACTTCTGAAAATCTTGATACCTTCTCAAGGCAGCCCTTTTTTCAGCTTCATTTCTGTCAAGCTCAATTCTGAAAGAAGAGGATGTCTCTGCTGTATCAGAATTCAAAGCACAAACAGTACTGCCAGGGCTGTCGAAACCAGAAGCGCAATCAGGGCTAGAATCCATGTCGGCTTCATTTTTAACACGGTTTTTACTTGGGCCTGCATTGTTAGGACAATGTGCAGTTTTCCGAAAATTCTCCTTGAAGGATGCCTCAATCTTTTGCAACATTAAGCGTAGATGGGATTCCCTAATCCCACGTGTGTCCAGAGATGTCAATAGAGCATCAAAGGCCTACACAGAGAATGGATTCAACAAATTAAAATAATGAAGAAAAAAAAAGCAAGGTTAAAACCAAATACAAGTCTAAAAGAATTGAACCAGAAAAGTATTTATTGACATTTAGCATCAGGAAAAGGTTGAAAGCACAAGAAGCCACCATTATTGGGATACCAAGACCAAAGCATCTTAATCTTAACTTTGCAGAAAAAGGAATATAAGAAACTCTTAAAAGGAAAATTGAAACAGCATGTCAAATCTAACAAACATAAAATTTGATTCAACCAAGCAAGCAGACAAAACCTATTACAAATGTTTTGTAAAGACGTGCTGCCAACATCAATCACAAGACCCAAATCTTGATGATCAGATATTTTATTCCAATTGGTAACAAGGCCAGCAAACAGATAATAAAGAATCAATTTTGCTAAGAAGCAAATGATGCCTAGCCCAACCTCAATTTACTCAAAAGGGCTGGAAGGGTCAATATGCAGTTTCTCCTAAGGAGGATGAAATGCAGTCATAACCAACAAAAATATTCACCAGTACTAAAATATTCTCATGTCATACACAAGCCCTGAAACAGATTATTAAACCCGTAAGCATTTAAGTACCTCTTCAGTGTCAATAAGCCTCCAACTTCCATTATTCAATTCAATAAAAATCCTGCCTGAACCAGGATCATTGCTTGATGCAGATGCAACAAATTGCCAGTATCGATTATGCCTGCGATCTTGACCAAGAGGCAGGGACCTATATGCATACATCTCTTCTGCTCTATGTGCAATATATGATTTTAACTGTGAGCGCGACCTTTTTGATGCATATGCAAGTTGCTGACTCAAGAAGTTGTCAGGACCCATGGAAATATCTTGGGCTCCTAAAGTCCTTTCAACAGGCAAACCATTAAGCTGATTCTGAACACCTTGTGAACCATGGATTGACTTTTGATTTTCTGCAGTGCCTGGAGATGCTTCATTATTTCTATTATCAACATCCCGTACCGGGCTTTGTCCATCCTCCACTCCGATAACTTGTGTTTCAGATTTGCCTCCCACAAAAGATGGAAAATCTAATTTACCGACATTCTCTTCTTTTAGGCGACTTTTATCAAGCTGTGCTTCTGCCCACATTTGCTTCTTAAGAGCATTTGCAGCTTCTAAGCGATCCTGTTGAACTCGTGGTGTCAAATTTAACACAGAAAACACAACAATTCATTGATTTTCACAAAATTGAAAAAAAATGTTTACCTCAAGAACAACACGGATGGAGTTTCCTTCATTTGCAACACCAATTAAGGTAACCAGACCATTAAGACGCTCTTCCACACTGAGATCAGAATATTCCCCTTCTGTAAGTCCTTGAACCCATGACTCACCTGATTTGCTTTCATCAATCTCCATATTTTCTTGGTCAAGATTACTAGCACTAATATCCGCACCCGAAACACACTGCTTAGAGGAAGCACTAGGGCAGTTTGCATCTTTGGAACCACTCACTGGGGAAGATGAAACATCCTTTTCAAACTCATTTTGCACATTCAGTGCAACATCATTGCATAAATCCTTTCCATTTTCTGAGAAAGTAATTACTTCATTGTAATCATCAGGGGATTTCTTTGCAACTGATGGAGTAGCTAAGTCATCAACTTCTGGATCATCATCAACTTCATCACATTCAAAGTCTTCGTCTCTTTCAACCTCATCATTTTCAACCTCATCAGCATCATCTCTTTCAACATCATCGGCATCTTCTGCAGCTAAAAACCCATTTTCAAATATCTGAATTTTCTTCCTAGCTGCAGAA